CTTGGCACTCAGTTGCCCAGTCTCTGTGGAATTTCAGGGCTGTTAAGCCCATGGCAGCAAGAAATACACATCTGCCTACAAAACCCTACTGCTCTGATATCACAGCAGATAACCCAACGGCAAAACAACAGGCAAAGGGGTCAGAAGCTGATAAAGAGAGGACCGATTGCATCTCAGAGGTTTCATATGTGTCCACATAGGTGTTGTCTTCTACCATTTGTCATAGAAATCATGTGTACCTCTGAAATGAACACTAACAAAATTCACAGCCTGTTGGCTTTGAACATGCACTAAGTAATCACATGGGCCAATCCTAGTCTTCATAAAATGTCCATAATGCAAGTGCTACCCTGTAGCTGCTATTGGGAACCATCAAGGAGGAGCCGAGGGGCCAAGGGCCCCCCCCAAATATTCCTGTCCCCCTAAATATTCCTGTGGTGGGCCTCCCTGGGCCTACCCACAGCTGGACCCAAATGATGTTGTACATACAGTGGTACCTCGGGTTAAGAACTTCATTCGTTCTGGAGGTCCGTTCTTAACCTGAAACTGTTCTTAACCTGAAGCACCACTTTAGCTAATGGGGCCTCCTGCTGTTGCCGCACCACCAGAGCACAATTTCTGTTCTCATCCTGAAGCAAAGTTCTTAACCCGAGGTACTATTTCTGGGTTAGCAGAGTCTGTAACCTGAAGCGTACGTAACCCGAGGTACGATTGTATAAATGATACACATTTATACAGCATATGAAGAACTGTGGGGGGTTTTTCTAATGCAAAGTGACCACCCTATCGTTAGATTAGGACTCAAGACATCCAGGTTCAAATTCCCATTTAGCCACAGAGCTGCATGGGTGACCTTGGGCCAGTCACTCAGCCTAAACTGTCACCGTTTAGCTGCTGGGGTAAAATTAGAGAAGAGAGACCTATGGACACCACCTTGAGCTCCTTGGAGGTGCAATGAGAAATTATAATGTTTTGTGAATGGCTTGGCCAGCCACATCATGGAATAGATTTAACCACTGCTGCCTTTCATAGCCTGGCCTTGTCTCAGCAGTTGTTGTTTTGTTTTTAAAGGTGGGGGAGAGTGCGCAGCCAGGAGCAGCAAGGGAGAAAGTGCCGCTGGGAAAGACTACAGGGGAGAATGGTTGTCAGATGCTTCTGGCGAAGTCTGAATGAGCCTCAGACCTCAGCAGGTGGTGGTATTTGTTCTTCCAGCACAGCTTCGCTCCGAAAGCCAAAGTTGTGGTGCTAGACCCAGACTAGAAATGTTCCTCTTGATTAATGAGTACCTGCATTCTGCAACAGTTGGTGTTTTGGAAGCAGTTTATTATTCAGCAGGCAGGCATATATTATTACTGTATGTGATATGTTATTATTGTGCCGTCACCTCCAGATTAATAAAGTGATTTGTGTGCAGTGCTCTTGTTTTTAAGGGCTGAAGTGGCAATATTGTAAAGCACCAAACCCATCTACACAGGGAGGGTAGGTGAGCTATGCCTCCGGTCCTGAAACAGCCTTGTTCTTCTGAAGGCTTCCTCAGATTTCTCTGCCTCCCAGCTACTAGAGCAGCCTGCTGTGGAGGAGGATGTTGTCTGGAGAAGCCTGAGCTGTCGCACAAGGGCAAAAATTCAGGCTTTGATCTAAGAACAAATGATGTTTAGAAGAAGTGAAGTGAGGAGGAGGAGGAACATCCATGAAATGTTGTGGGTCAGGACAGATTGTGCTCAAGACAAAGACATCTGTTGCATTAGGACAAAATTATTTGGGCATTCAGTGGGAGCAGATACTGATCATAATGTGTGAGCTCCTTTATATCTGTTTGAAAAAAGTGCACAGCAAACTTTGGTTTACACACAATGTATAGGTTATATACAATGTAGACCCACTCAGATTAATGGACCTTAAATAATGTCCACTATTTTATTATGTTTTTATATTCTGCTGGAAGCCACCCAGAGTGGCTGAGGAAACCTAGCCAGATGGGTGGCGTATAAATAATAAAATTATTATTATTATTATTATTATTATTATTATTATTATTATTTTCACTCAGTTTACTCCGAGGAGGACTAACATTACAGTCCTGATATTTCAACACTTGATGCTTTTCATCAATGTCAAAGGTAAAACTCATACCTTAGGCTATGTACATATTAGGGACTTAAAATGCAGCCCATTTCTGCCCATTGTGTTTCAAGTCCCTGTTGTGATATCCAGTGTGGTGTAGGGGTTAGAGTTGCTGGACTACAATCTAGGGGGCCAGGGTTCAAACCCTGATGTGTACAAGTTGTACAAGTGACAATAAAGTATTTCAATTATTTCAGTATTTCAATTGCATCAGCTTAACTACAGCTTGAATTTTCACATCAATTGGAAGCTTATCTAAGTGGAAACACATCAAGCAGGAGTATTTCTCAAAAAACTAGAAGATAAAAACATCAGTGGCACACTGGAGCCTGAATAAGCAGTAAGGTGTACACCAGGGGTAGGTAATCTAAGGCCCGGGGGCTGGATGTGGTCCAATTGCCTTCTAAATCCAGCCCACAGACAGTCCGGTAATCAGTGTGTTTTTACATGAGTAGAATGTGCCCTTTTATTTAAAATGCATCTCTGGGTTATTTGTGGGGCTTGCCTGGTGTTTTTACATGAGTAGAATATGTGCTTTTATTTAAAATGCATCTCTGGGTTATTTGTGGGGCATAGGAATTCATTTATTCCCCCCCCCCCCAAAAATATATAGTCCAGCTCCCCACAAGGTCTGAGAGACAGTGGACCGGCCCCCTGCTGAAAAAGTTTGCTGACCCCTGGTGTACACAGTCAAAAATGGCCACACAGAAAAACCCTAATGGCTAAAAATACCCTGTAAAAACTTCCTTATGAATGTGATCAAGTTAAGCTCCCTGGAACATGTGGATGGGAAATGAAGGCCAAGTTGGCTGATTTGGAGTGGCAATTGATTTATCAATAATGGCAAGAGAGTGACACAGGCTACAACCATCCTCAGCCTTTCATACGTCAGGCAATGACTGTTCTTGATGCTTTTCTAGTTCAAAATCAAACTGCAGTTCTCATTAAGATTCATATGCTTAGCTGCACCCACATGTTACCTGGCCTTCTTCAGCCACTGTCACTCAACAAGCCCTGGAAGTCAACCAGAACTTAATGAGGAGGTACCGCAGGGAGAAGATACTAATCTTGCCAGCAGGGGTTGAATGAGCATTCCATTTTTCATTCAAAAAAGGTGCAGGGTTAACTATGCTCCACTGTACTAGAGGCAGCTTACCCTTACCTGACCTTACCACAGGGTTTTCCAAATGAGGACTCTGTATAATGGCTCTAATTCAGAGATACATATCTGCAGCAGCAGGCTTTGTGTACAGTGCTGCAGGTGAGATGCTAACTGCCAAACAGATTATTAGTGCTGCTGATCACCTCTTAGGGAAGAGGAGGAGGTGCCTGGAATTAACCTCTCCTTTCATACAGGCTTTTCATACAGCTGATTGGTGCTTTCAAACTAATAATGCTGTTTGTTAGGGCATATGCTGTGCAGGATCATTACTCTTCAATGTGAGGACTTTCTCCCAGGCAACACCCATTTGCATGTCAGTTGTAGGGATGGCAATCTGTCAATTTCACTTTCTCTGCTCCTCTTTTTTCCCATTTTATGTTCAGTTCTCCACATTGCCACATCAGTTTGCATTTTTAAAAGTCCTAAAAAGATAAATCAGCAGCATTTTAGTGCAAATTTATCATAATATGCACATTTTTTTATGCAACTTTGACTTATACACACTTTTGCAAATTCCTCATGTTCGGATAAGTGGATTTTCGCATAATGAGCAGATAGCAGAACCTGCAGATAAGGTTTATGTGCAACTAGATTCTAGGAATGGGGGGAGAGAGATCTGCAACTATTTACAGGTCTCCATTTGTAATGTACATGAAGCAGATAAAATTCCAAAAGGGAGTATCTAATTCTAAAAGGTGACAGCAAAGCAATCTTGATTGAACAAACTCTGCAGCCTGTTTAGCTGCTTGTGTGACATAACCCACAATGGAAATGTTGGCACAAGTACTGTCACAGGTGACTTGTCTTTTGGAGAATCTACACATATCTGATCATTTACCATTTGATTGGACTAGATATCGAAAAGCACGTTTTAGGAATAATTCTAATTACCTGACATGGGGCAGTGGATATAGGAGGCCTAAATGACACAATGTTGTTCTCAACTCTAATGAATTAGATTCCAGCAATGACAGAATGATAGAGCTGCCCACTGCTGAATGATTAGAAGAATATGACAGCAGTGCTTCCAGAATTCAGACAACATGTGGGTAAAAGGTATATTTGAAGGAAAGAGGTGATAGGATACCAGCAGGCAGCCCTACAAATTGGATCGTTTAATCCCAGCAAATACTTCCCCCCTGAGGACTCCTATTTTGGGGTTTCTGAGCTGCAGGGGATTTGGCCAAAGTATTTGATTTAAACTAAAGGAAGTCAAAGATTGAGTGCTGAGCATCAAAAGAGATGTTATTTTGAAAGGTCAGAAAGGTTACAGACAACTTGCAGGGGAGCTGGATGAGGCAAGAGGAGGAGATGCAAGAAGAATGTCATCCAGAAGTAAAGGTGAGACAAGGAACTTGATGCCAGAAAGACACTTGCAATGAAGGAAGTCCTGGCTGCTCTGTCCCAGTTGGGGAAGGCAGGTGTGGGAGCGAAAAGAGAACCTGGCTCAGTGATGGAACACACCCTCACAACAGTAATAGTAGTAGTAATAGTAATAGTAGTAAAAGTAATAATACCCTGCCCATCTGGCAGGGTTGCCCCAGCCACTCTGAGTGGCTTCCAACACAGAGAAAAACAGAATATGACACCAAGTCCTTAGCATTTCCACATTCAAGGATTCTCAGGAAGCAAGGCTAGAAAACCCTTCTCTGAGAACAGTTGTCATTCACAGTAGGCAATATTGGGCTAGATCAGACATAGCCAAACTTGTCCCTCCAGCTCTTTTGGGACTACAACTCCCATCATCCCTAGCTAACAGGACCAGTGGTCAGGGATGATGGGAATTGTAGTCCCAAAACAGCTGGAGGGCCATGTTTGGCCATGCCTGGGCTAGATGGACTGAACTTACCAAAGCAGACCCACAACCACCACGTTTTTCTTCAGTTGGAGTTCAACAACATCTGGAGGGCCCACAGGTCCACCATCCCTGTTCTAGGCTTTTTACCAACACGGGGTTCCATTAGCCTCAGCAGTACTCTACACATGTGGATCAAGAAAATCTCAGGTCATGTATTGTTCTGCTAGTGCAGCACTTGCGCCTGCACAAGCACCTCTGCGTCTCCCCTGAGCACCCTCAAAATCTGCTCCAGGGGGTTGGAAGACCCTCTAGAGTAGATGTTGAGGGTGTGCTGCAGGGAGAGAGGAAGGGGAAGCCCTGGTGCAGGAGGGGAAATCTGCACATGCAGAGTTGGATGCAGCCCCTTGTCTCTTTCTGCTGTTAGCACTGCACCACAAGCTCTGTATTCTCTCTTGTGCTTCTTAAGTTTTGAATTGTTGTGATCCATCCTGCAATCTCATACAATGAGAGGATAGAAATCTTCAAAACAAGCAAAACTAGTGCCATGGGCAGCAAGTGCTGAAGTGAGGTACTAGGGCCAGCATAAAACCATCAGTTAGACCCTTTTGTTATAAAACTGTGGCTGTCCAGGTATCATTGGACCACTTTGATCAGCCCTGACCGCTTGCTCTGCTGTTTGGACCTGAGAGGGTTGTTGGGAGTTGAAGCACCAAAGCATCTGGAAGACGCCATATTTCTCATCTGAAGGCAGCCCTGTATAGGGAAGCTTTTTAATGTGCAATATTTTATTATGCTTTTATATGTTGGAAGCCAACCAGTGTGGCTGGGGCAACCCAGTCGGGTGGGGTACTAATATACTAATAAGAATATTTATTAGATTTATACACCACCCTTCATCTGAAGATCTCAGGGTTGTTCAGAGCTATCGCTGAGATAAGAGCGCTAAATGGGTTGCTTGTTACATTCTTTTTTTAGTTTTTAAATCCATTGTCTTTAGTTTTTTAACCCACTCAGCTGTTTTGATTATATTATTTTTTCATTGCATGCAATTGTGTTTACGTCTGATTTTAAGTCTCTTTTGATGTTTTCTTTTTGTCAGGTTATACATGTTTAAAATGCATTAAAATGAGAGCTTCACATTTGTACATTGTGCTTACCCAAACCAACCTGTCTGAGCACCATAAAGTTTTTGTGTGGGAAGAAAGCAGATACACCTTGGCTACTTGACCACCTCTTTCAATCACCAGAACTAGTTTGAGAGCATTCCTCTTCCCTCAGTCCCCAAGCAGTCCCCAAGTGTTCTAACATAGCTTCCTCAACAGAGGTTACTTTTGAGCTGGAGGCAAAAGGGGGTTATCTTGTGTGCCTTGTCATTTCCTATTAGCAATTTTCCAATAGCCCTGAGACACTTCTATCCACCTCATTTCAATTGCTCAATAGGGGAAACAAAGATTAAAAATTAGTGGTAGTGCTGTTTTAAGTGTGGTGCTTTCCTGACCTTTCCTCAAATCTGCATGTCTGAGACTTTCTACATAGTAAATACTCTTTGTCCCCCACACCTAGCATTATACATGCCCATGCTTGAGATCTCTTATCGCGCCCCTCCCACACAACTCAATATGGACATGCTGTGGACCAACTTCATGGTCCCCGAGATTTCCAGTTGGTTGCAGCTCTCATACAGAAATCCATCTTTAAGATATAAAACCATAGAGCCTTGAGGTGGTGATGTATCTCTCAACTCCCTGCTCAGTTGCAGATCTGCAATGCAGGACGCCTCCAGCCTCTACTAAAATACCTCCAGTGAACGAGAACCCACCAACTCATGACACGGTTGTTTGTTCCACTGCAAAACCAGTCTGCTATTTAGGAGGTTTTGCCATTTCCACATATTTTTCTAGACCTGCCTTCTGGAGACTAGAGCAACAGAGCACAAGACTTCAGAATGGAAATTTTAAGCCCACTATCATGTCTCCCCTTAATCATCTCTTCAGCCTAAAACAGTGACTGCTGCACATACAGGCTTCAGGCAGGAAATCAGATAGTTTCAATGATAAGAGTCACTTCTAATGATAAGATTCACTTCTAAACTTGGAGGTAAGCCTCCCTAGGTTCAATAGGATTTAGTCTCACGTAGGTTGAGCATAGGACTTTGGTCTTAAAATACCATGAGCCTTCATTTCACAAATAATTCTAGACTTTACACCTATAGCGGCTAAAGTGGAGGACAGACTTTCCTATTTTTGTATTTCACAAAGGATACCATTTCCTCATTCAGCAGCTAGGAGGGGGGCTTTGGAAATTGTCCGTTTGATGTCTTAACTTAATCAAGATGTTTAAAACATGAGTGGTACAGCAGGGGAAAGATGGGCTACAAAACCAGTTTTGATTAGAATAGTGAACATTCAGAGGACACTTTGAAGCTTCATTATGAGAGAAATTGAAGACTGTGTTGAAGGGCGATAGGGTCTTGTAGGATGTAAAGCTCTTTGAAGTTACTCTTTATGGGAAACTCTGCATTCTCCAGTCATAGAATCATAGAATCATAGAATCATAGAGTTGGAAGAGACCACAAGGGCCATCGAGTCCAACCCCCTGCCAAGCAGGAAACACCATCAGAGCACTACTGACATATGGTTGTCAAGCCTCTGCTTAAAGACCTCCAAAGAAGGAGACTCCACCACACTCCTTGGCAGCAAATTCCACTGTTGAACAGCTCTTACTGTCAGGAAGTTCTTCCTAATGTTTAGGTGGAATCTTCTTTCTTGTAGTTTGGATCCATTGCCCCGTGTCCGCTTCTCTGGAGCAGCAGAAAACAACCTTTCTCCCTCCTCTATGTGACATCCTTTCATATATTTGAACATGGCTATCATATCACCCCTTAACCTCCTCTTCTCCAGGCTAAACATGCCCAGCTCCCTTAGCCGTTCCTCATAAGGCATCGTTTCCAGGCCTTTGACCATTTTGGTTGCCCTCCTCTGGACACGTTCCAGTTTGTCAGTGTCCTTCTTGAACTGTGGTGCCCAGAACTGGACACAGTACTCCGGGTGAGGTCTGACCAGAGCAGAATACAGTGGCACTATTACTTCCCTTGATCTAGATGCTATACTCCTATTGATGCAGCCCAGAATTGCACTGGCTTTTTTAGCTGCCGCATCACACTGTTGGCTCATTTCAAGTTTGTGGTCAACCAAGACTCCTAGATCCTTTTCACATGTACTGCTCTCAAGCCAGGTGTCACCCATCTTGTATTTGTGCCTCTCATTTTTTTCAGTGCAGTGCAGTGACTGATCATTCAGTCACTGCACTGAATTCCTCAAGATTGCAATGTAGGGCCAACAGACTTTGCTTAAACTTCTGAAAGCTCCCTTGCTTAATATTATATGAATTCACTTCAACACTTCCACCCCCCACCTTGAGTTTAATGGTAGGCAGAGCCGGCCCACCTATGAAATGGGCCTCAGGTAGTGGAAATGCAGAGGCGACACCCCCGGGCACCCCACCACTTCTGCTACCACTGGAGAAGCAACCCAGGCAAGGGAGACTTTGGCAGCAGCTCAGCATTCCCCTGCACAGCTGCTGGTCTTTCTCCTTTCTAGAACATTGTTGAAGGAGCATTATCCAGTACAGCAATACTGCGCAGATGGGGAGCCTCTGTCCCCCCAGAGGTTACTGGATTAAAACTCTCACCACCACCCCCGACCATGCTGGCTAAGGCTGGTAGAAGCTGGAGATCAGCCACATGTAAACACCCAAAGGTTCTGCATCCTGCAATACAGCCCCCTAAAATTAAAGTACCACCACATTAGGCATCAACTCTGCTTTCAGCTTTTATTTTGGGGGGGGGGGGAACCCACACCTTAAAAACTGCCATCTTACATTTCAGAATAGAAATCTGAAAAAAAGCTATAAAAACTAAGACAAGACTTCAGCCTAGTAGACAGCTCCTTATTGCTGTGGTTTTTAACTCAAGTCTACATCAAACATTATATTTTGGTCATTTGGTCTAAGTATTCAAGGGTGTTTGAACAACAGTTACAATAAAGGGTTCACAATACAGACATGATTATATTATAGCCAACTGCCATAGACATGGTCTTTGAACTCAGTCTACATTAAAATATGCTCCTTGGGAAATAAACAAACAAAAGTATAGTACAGTTAGAAGCTATAATAGCAGCTTTAAGATGTTATCACAAAACTCCAGATGACATGCATAAAATAAAATTAAGGTTTTATGTTCAGACAGGAGTTGGGTCCCACACTTTCCCCTTACAAAGTAGTGTTCCATACATGCAGTGCCAAGTGGTCTTATTCTTCTCCAAATGGAACAAAACATTTCCATTTATTCCTAAAGCAAAATAGAATGATACCTAAGTATTCTGTTGAACAGTCCAGATAGCAGTTAAAGCACCTGAGTTAGGTCTTACAAACAAGGTTTTGTAGGATTCCATGAATATATCCACATCTCCATATCAATCTAAACATTTTTTTCTTACAAAATGTTAGCTAGAAATATACCCAGTTGCACATATAACCCATACAATAGCAAAAGCTCTAAGCCCCATTTAATAAGATGATTTTTGATTAAAAATAGAAGGCAAAATGCACTCAAAGTTACAGTAAGAAAAGCTTTCACAGTGTAATACTGAGACTGTCACAAAGTTAAGAAAATACTGATATCAAAGGTACAAACAATCACAATGTTAATAGACAAATTGCTATACAAGGAATTTTTTGTTACGAAAGAAAACGCCACCAAAACTTAGGGCATACTGCATCCCTTGGTGGTGACTATCAGCTGTGTACACAATCATGTCTTGCTTGTCTCGTCATCTGTAGAACTCCTTAATTGTAGATGGTCAGTTCTTCAGCTTCTGACTGGTCACTGCTTGATACATTCTTCATCATTGCACAATTTCAAAATAGTGCAATATTGCCATAATATGCTGAGGCATGAAAACATAGCCAGTGTAAAGTGCCATTCCAAGGATTGATACTAACATGGAATCTGAATGGCAGTAAAGGAAAACCACATATTGACAATGTATTAAAACCACACTGCAAGAATGCTATAAAGCCAGGTCTCAAGACATACGAACATTTAAGTCTTGTACATAGACAACTGAACTAATGCAGAATATTAACTGGCAGCAACTCAGCACAACAGCGTAGTAACGAAGACTATACTAATTAAGAGTGCTGCTCTGGACTTCTTCAGAAGGTCACACTGAAAGTTGAATAAACAGTAATAACTACCTTTGGAAACTCAACCTAAGCACTGAACCCGTTAAGTTGAAGTATTTAGACTTAATTATGCCTCACTAACAAATCTAGCTTTTTAGTTAGGCCAAAAATATACAAAACCTGATTTGCTTACTACTAGCAATAGAGGAAATTACACAATATATATTTCTATTTCTCATCAGTTGCTTTTCCTTTTGCACCACTGAAGAGGCTGAACAAACCCACTCTCAGGGAGAACTCAAGTTGGTACAAGGCCTAAGTTCAAAATCCCCAGGGGCCAATGTAACAAAAGTTACATTTATCTTGTGAACTGTCCTAGGAGCTTAAGGGCAGTATACAAATTTAATACAGCCTCCCACCCCCGCCACAAGTGACTCAAACGCAACTGCATATATGTGTGGTGTGGGAAGTAAATAAATAAATAATTCAATTCAAACCCAGAAACAGTGAGAGATAGGTGGAGAGTCCTCGTGGCTCGCGAAGAGATGCTCTCCGGAGCCCAAAGAGGACATCAGTGAGAGCAGAGGAAGCCCCAAAGAGACCACCTAACAGCTGGTGTGGGGCCTAGTGCCACAGCAGAAGCTGCTTTCCCATGTGTCCTCCAGCCTCCTGCTGGCCCCAGAGCTTCAGTTCTAGTTGTGGATATTTTTGGATACAGTATTTTTGGTATTGATTGAAGAGAGAGTGGCAGAGAGGGAGTTCAAAGGGTCTTTAGAGGGTGTTCCCCACTTTACGCAATTTCACTTACGCATGCGAGGGCCCAGAACGTAACCCATGTAAATAGGGGGGATGCCTGAAAATAATAATATTAATAGTGCGGAGAGTTTGGAATCCAGTACATAATAGCTTAGTCAGTATGCAAGTTCCTTCATGAAAGGAACTGAATGAAACATAACATAACGCATGGGTGAGTTCTGCAAGTAGATAGGAGTTACCGGTATGTCACATTGGTAGTTAAAACGTATTTCACAAAGTACAGAAGATGATCAAGGTGTGCACACAAACACAATGGAAGGAGCTGCTTTTCCTATTCCCACCCATGCTGACTTCAGGAAAGAGGGGGAAATATGAACAAGCAGGACAGCTCTTCACTACAGGGCCCTCCAAGCCACTTGGGAAAGAAAAGGAGGAGATTTAGCATCTGGAATGGGGAGCAGGTGTCACTTATCAAGACACCAAATTTGATCTGGGACAACCACCAGTTGCTGATCAATACACTAATTCCAAAGAGTAAACATTGACAATATAGTGAGTCTCCTCATTTGCCAATTACCAGAAGCAAGCTGTAACTTTTCTTTGTGACCAAAAATGGCTAGTCCAGCAATGCACCACGTGGACATATGAGTTGGACACAACCATTTCACTTTTGTCCGGGTAACTTATGAACCAACAGCAGAATAGTATGTATATATCATATCATGATTATTTTTGCAGATATATTATCAATCAGTATGACAAAGTAAGCCAGTAATATAACAGAAGAGTATCACCATTAGCAAAATAATGACTGTAAGGGTCAACAGGTTTGAGGGAACTCTGAGGTTAAAGAGCCAAAATCATGTGGTATTCACCTTCCAGCAAAGCCAGCTGATGAAAGCACAAGTCTTTTAAAAATGAAGACTATGCTGTGTTAATGCCAATGGCAAAGCAGTCTGTAGGCCAAAACTAGTGGAGATATTTCACATAGGAAATTGGCTAGTGAGCCTAGACTGTATATCTAACATTTTATACAAAATACTGTATACTTTCATAACTGAAATTAGTGGTAAACGATCATCTCTTATTTGAACTAATGGACCATTTGAAAATTTGTTAGTAAAAAAAGGAAAGCAACAAACGATAAGCACAAATACGTAGCTGGAATGGTGTGATGTTGGAAAGCTCCATCACTCCTTCACCTTCACCCTCAACACACCCCAGAACAACTAGAACATTATTTTCCCTCCCACTAGAGTTAATCAGAGGGAAATTAGGAAACACTTGTTCATAGGAGAATCTGCTCCTCCCACTTTACTTCATTAGTGGCAAATGGATAGAATGTATAAAGACTCTAGTAGTCCTGTGAAATAGATACTACTTCACATCTTAGAATCATAACATTGTGGAGTTGGAAGGGAGCCTGAGGGTCATCTAGTCCAACCCCTGCAATACAAGAATCTCATCAGGCAGTTCCCCATCCAATTTGAAACTATACCAGACCCTGCTTAGCTTTGCAAATGTGCTTGCACAATACAGTAGTACCTTGGTTCTCAAGCAACTTGGAATCCAAACACTACAAACCCAGAAGTGTTCCAGTTTGCGAACTTTATTCAGAAGCCGAACATGCTCCATTTTGAGTGTTACGCTTCCAATTTGAGTGCCACACTTCCATTTTGAATGCCACACTTCTGTTTTGAGTGTCTGAGGTCTGTCTGTTTTTGCTATTTATTTTGCGTTTTTGCGGTTCTTTTTGTTTTTGAGACTGTGTAGAACCCAGTTCAGCTACTGATTGATTGTGACTGCAGTACATTGTTTATTACTTTAATTTTATGGATCTATGGTCTCGTAAGATAGTAAAATTCATGTTAAATTGCTGTTTTAGGGGTTGTTTTAAAAAGTCTGGAACAGATTAATCCATTTTGCATTACTTTCTATGGGAAAGCACATCTTGGTTTTGGGTTTGGAACAGGCTTCCAGAACAGATTAAGTTTGAGAAACAAGGTCCCACTGTATTGTTACTCTGACTGGCAACATAGCTTAGTGTGTCCTTATTATTCACAATCATAGCACATAGCGAGCAAGGAAGGACTCTTGACCTTGTTTCTGGCATATAAACAGTAACATATAAGAAATATATACCCTTCATCTGTTTGCCTTGATCTCTCATGAATCACACAAAAGTTATCATGAAAGATAACAGCTTTTCTTCACAACAAATTCTCAACCTCACTTTGAAATGAAATCCCTACAGGAAACCATGATCCTACAGCCCCAATTGCCCACCACACTTATGTGATAAACCACCCTCAAATCTATTCACAAGCAGCTACAACAAGAGTGTATCTTGTTTTTCATTTTTCCCTAGCTCTGAAACACAATTGCCCAGACCCAAATGCTTTATAGTCCCAGGCCACAGCTACATAAATGCTCAGCTGCACAGCCATCCACCCAGTGACCTAACACCACCTTCTAACAGCTCCCCAAAGAGGTTTAACACAGCATCCCAAGCTACATGAAGCCTCTTACCTTCAAAAACAAACAAACAAACAAACAAACAAAACCCCACCCCTCTCTGTTTAAATCCCTTCTCTCAAGTCACTGACAAATTTAAGGGGTCGTGCAGAACCACTTCAATTACTTAAGTCCTCATTTCTCCAGAGCACACCTGGCTAAGGCGGATCCCAAGGATCCGTTGACCAGAACTGCCTTTTCTCCATCATTCGCAGGGAGCTCTAGGTGAAACTCGCACAACTCCTTTAAAACAGCCGCAAAACCGCAAGTACACAATGCAAAACGCCGAGCCTTAGCTGAATCCATCCTAAGTAGAGCTTGGAGAAAAAGACGTCAGCAGTCACTTGTTGGCTGCAGCAGCAGCAGCAGCAGCGCCTGCAAAAAAACACAAAAAAAAAAACACCCCAGAGCAACGGCGAAGTAAAAAGTGCACCGAAAGGGAGCAAAGGGGGAGCTGCGAGGGTAGGGCGGAGAGAAAGAGGAACGAGAGAGGGAGGTGGAATGAGTGATACACGCGCCTTCAGTTTTGCCACGACCTTCCACCCAGGAAGGAACAGGCCTGGCCGACATTCCCATAAATAGACACACGTTTATTCCCGCCAAGCTGAACTGTGCAGGACGGCTCCGACCACTATACCCTCAGGCCCAAGTGCCTCCCGGCTAACTGCGCACCTCCGCCGCCCTCGGGAGCCCAGCGGCCTTCCCTCTCGGCCGAAGCCAGGAAGCCGTTCCCTCCCCCGGGCCGTCCTTTACCTTCCCCTCCCGCCGGCGCCCTGCCCAGCCCGCGCGCGCCGCGCCCAGTTCACCGCGAACTTTCCCGGCGGCGGCGGCGGCGCCCTTTCCCCCTCACGGCTCCCCCTTCAACCGCACCAGAAAGGATACTGAACACCGTCCGTTCCCAAGGCTCCAGCATGTAGAGCGCGGTGACCAGCAGGTACTGGTAATAGAGCCACGACATCTGCTTCCAGGCCGAGCTCAGCGCCATCTCGCCGGCAGCAGCGCCTCCGCGCGTCAGAGTGCGCCGCCCGGAGAGAGAGACGCACTCGCTCGAAAGGCGAGGCGGAAAGGCGGCCGAGGGGAGGCAGGGAAGCCCAGCTTCCTCCGCCGATTGGCTCAGCCGCTCCTCGCCCCGCCCCGCCAGGCCGGGCCTAACCCCCCGCCACCCCCGCTCTGGCGCTCTGGGCGACCTAGGCAAAGTTCTACCTTCGCCGATTCGCCGCCCTTGAGGCCGCCGCTTGCAGCTGCCTTTTGCAATAGCGTGCCTCGCCTTACCTAAGCATGAGGCCTGCTTCTGAGGCAGGGTTGCGTCGGAGCGCGGGGAAAGAAAGCGCCTGTTGCGCTTGAGGCTTCGACTCCGCAAACTTGCGCAACTTTCATGGAGCTGCGAGGCTCGAAACTTCTCCTGGATTAGGCCAATGGCCCACCTGTGTCATGGAATCTGAAAAGACTTGGAAGGGACGCCAAGGGTCATCTAGTCCCAACCTCTCCCAAGGCAGGAATCTCAACCAGATCATACATGACAGGTGGCCCCCCAACCTCTGCTTAAAAATCTCCAAGGAAGGAAGGTCCACCACCTCTCTTGGGAGTCTCTTCCACTGTCAAACAGCTCTGTCAAGTTCTTCCTGATGTTTAGTCGGAATCGCCTTTCTTCTCACTTGAATCCACTGGTTTTGGTCCAATGGAGTAGGAGGAAATAAGCTTGCTCCACCTTCCAAACGATGGAGAACACAATTCCAAAATCTATTAAAACCTTCAATTACTAATTTCCAAGGCAGTTCACAAAAGATTATAAAGCAAAGTACTCAATAAACAGATAGATCCTTAGAAAGCTGAGGTGAATTTTAATATTTTAGTAGTTTGGCTTCAATACTTTGGCCGCCTCATGAGAAGACTCCCTGGAAAAGACCCTGATGTTGGGAAAGATTGAGGGCACAAGGAGAAGGGACGACAGAGGATGAGATGGTTGGACAGTGTTCTCGAAGCTACCAGCATGAGTTTGACCAAACTGCGGGAGGCAGTGGAAGACAGGAGTGCCTGGCGTGCTCTGGTCCATGGGGTCACGAAGAGTCGGACACGACTAAACAACTACAAGTTTCACTTTTTGTTATGTTTTAAAGTATTGTAATTTTTTCTTGATTCCATCAATAGACTTTGAGGGCTTGTTACAATCAAACAGTGTATAAATTTTATGAAATAAATAAAAGAGGCTGCACTAACTCAATCACAGGCGAAATAAACATACAGCTGAAGTATACAGACAAGAATAAAAGTTTTCACCTGGAACCTAAAAGATGATAATACTTCTATCGCTTCTACATATTCCAGGGAAAGCTGCAATGTTTTTTTTTACAATAGCATTTCAGCAATAAATTCTACCGACTAGTCTGCATTTTGTAACACATTCAAAGGTGTTTAAATTATAGTTTTTACACAGCCTATAGAAAAGGACCTAAATGACAAGAGTTTGATAGGTAAGACACCAAGAACACATCTGTGATTGTTTTTACTTGATATACGGACACCGCTTTTAGGAAGGTGTTCAGCTTTTTGATGTTAGAGAAGGCAGTCTTGCTATGAGAACAAGATGGCAAACCTTAAATTATAGCAAGAAACTGTAGCAAGTACACAGGGTTTCCAAAATATTGGGGTGAATAAAGAATGGAAAACAAAAAACAAGTCTTGAACGGAGTTTAGTGCTACCAATATCTGATTTACACAAACTAAAGCTCAACTCTTACAGTAATGCTTATAGCAACATTATCAGGCAGCCATGCCACAGACTATGGTCTAAATTCCCCCAAGATCAGAACATTTTAATTCTAAATAGCAGGATAAAAATATTTATATACATAAGAAACTGTTCTAAAAACATGAACTATATACATAACTACAGTTCACTTGCTTTACCAATACAGGGTGTGTGGCAAGGATACAATTTTTACATCAGATTAATAGACGATACAAATGAAACAGAACAGTCCTTGGCTTTTGAATTTTTATGCAAACTTAACCCAATGCAAAATGCTGCATCTTAGCAGTGGCTTGCTAGAACATTGAAAAAATGAAAGACTTCATCCTTATCTAAGACAGCCACTTCTGTTGAACATTCAGTACATTTTACTGGATGATATATCTCCTCCTCTTCCTGTTTTTCCTGACTAGCAATGGATTCACTACTCTGTTTAATTTTCTTGTGCCCTCTCTTTGTCTTTTTGTTCAATGGACCTTTGTATTTCAGAATCTCTTCTTTGATAACGGTGCAATTCATGACAAACATTGCTCTGTACTGAGTTCTGTATGATTCGTGCCTGAAAAAAAGAAGAAAAGAAATGGGAATGCAATAATCTGTTGCTGATAAAAATATTACAAAATTGGTAACCCTACATGTCCTGAATCCAGGAGATCTGCAAATTTAAGAAACAAAGATGAAATAGATATGTCTGAATTCCAGTAGAATAACCATGATAGCATAGCCAAAAAAAGATAAGAGCATGAAGCTTGTTAAAAACTATCTGGCTTATTTGACATGGCCTTTAGTAGTCAACAAACTGTTCTATCTGATGAAGCGTACTGTTACCACTGAAAGTTTGTGTCATAATAATAACCATTTTGTCACTGTCTCCCTATAGTGTTCTGGTGATTTTCCAGAATAACCTCTGTGACATTTAGCAATGGATGGGCCTATTCTACCTCACCCCCCCCCAAAAAAAATCCCAACCAAAGTGCCTCAAATTAATCTGGTCCCAATTAGCAACAACAAGCCAAAATTAAAGCTCTTAGCTTTACTTATTGCAGGAGTGGCTAACCTGTGGGCATCCAAACATTGTTGGACTTCAACCCCTGGATGTACATTTCCAAAATAGAAGATAAAAAACAAGTAAAATAAAACCTACATACAGCAACAGTGTTTTGTGTTGTGTAGGCTCCTATTTGTTATGTGCAAATGGCTTTAGATACCTATTAGGTCCATAAATTACCATATAGCATATATTCAACACGAAAAACAGCACCAAAGGACAGATGGACATATAAAGGGCCCCATTACCTTCAGTAGCTTAGGGCCTTATCAAACCTAAATCCAGCCCTGAGTTTACCTCTCTTTAAACATGAAGACAATATTATGACCAACATCCTAGTTAATGAAAGGCAAGTTCATGAAAACCGGACAGAGTCAGTTGAAATTACAGGGTTGCTGTAGGAACAAACACTAGCTTATCTCATCTGTGATTGCTGTACCTAAATCACAAGTTTCTTAAGGCTGAAATATTACCTCTGGCAGTCAAGGCACAGTGTGGTCATGCATGCAGGACAATTCAAAACAGCGTCACTGCTGGGAATGGCAGGAAGTTTGGCTTGTGGCTGTTGTGAGTGAAGACTTCTTAACCTATGATACCTACAAGACAGTATATTATAGGTCAGGAGAAGCATTCTTACTGGTTAGGCATCTTTACCGAAACTGGTGTATACCAAAACTGCATGCCAGGAGCATGACAGTCGCAAGTACTGCATGTTCTCAGTCCCAACACATTAAAAAAAAAATTTCCCCTCTTTTTGATTTTTTTTAAAAAACCACCACAAAAGGGGGAGAAGAAAAAACAAAATTGCTAGTTCATATTCACTATGATAAACATCAATACATCCATCTTAATTTAGACAAACAGATCAGTATATGCCCTCCAATTGTCTGAATAGGTATCTCAATGAAGTTGAAGTTTATAGAAAGTATGTTCAAATAGTCAGACCATTAAGGTCTTCAAACTACCACGTAATAGCTGATAAGGTCCATTTTTGTTGTCAATCCTAGACACATGATTACAAGATCCTGCTCCAAAATGACAACCCCCAAATTAAAAGCTTGCATGGATTATCCCTATAGACCTGTATCTCTCCCTATTTTAACCACATTGCTTATATAATAATAATAAATTTTATTTATACCCCGCCCTCCCCAACCAGAGCCAGGCTCAGGGTGGCTAACATCAGTAAAATTACAGTAAAAAACATAATAGGGGGGAAAATAATAATAATATTTCAAATTATTTCACGCACACAGGGACAAACTGGTATGTTAATGCCAAGTACAGGGCAACTCCACATCACTCCAGGAACATATATAGACACCACCATGAAAAAAGTGCTGACATGGGTGGTGCCCACACAGGCAGAGCCCATGATCATGTTTCTTGATTGGTCAAAAGGAAAGCAGATGCTTACACTTGAAGGGACCCAGAAGAAAAAGCTCCCACCAAGCTGCAAGTAAATACTAATCAGACTTAAATCCCCCATACATGTCTGGCAGATTGATAAGTAGCTATATAATATAATATGATGTAGCTAATGTTATTCTGTAGTGTATGCTTTGAATAATTTGAATGATTGTTTTATATATATATATATATATATATATATATATATATATATATTTGACAGATAAGAGAATTGGAAGCCCCTCTTTCTTCTTCTCTTCTCCTTTTTTTAATTTAGTTGTTTTTATTTTCAGGTTTTAGAAGTTGAGGGGCCCTGGGAGGCGGGTAGAAAGGGTCTCCCAGAGCAGGAGGCTGGGAGAAGAAATAGAAGCTCCCGAGTGAGAGCTGGGAGCGTCTACTTTTCTCTGTATGGATGAAGGGATATGATGTAATTGTGATAGAGGACTTTTGTATTCATCCCACCCCTTGCCTTTCTATCTCTTGATCTTTCTTTTTATTTTGTTTTCTTATTATTTTATGTTATTTTCCTTTAGATTAGTTTGACTTTTATTGTATTCTACATTGAAATTTTTCAATAAAAATATTTATTTTTTAAAAAGTCTTAAGTTCCTCATGATCCCATCCCATCAAATGTTTGAGTGGAATTTTATAATAGAGTGCCTTGCAGGAGTACCATTTGTTCAATTACTAAACAATCTAACAACAGTCAATAAATGATTTTTTCCCCCAACATAGTATCAGAATGTGATAATTCCCACTCACTTTAGAGAAATGTGCAGGTGGGAAACTGAGCATTAAGGCTCATTTGATATCCATATAATAAGAAACAAAGCTGCAACAATGTCAGAAAATCAGGAATGTGTAGAGTTGATGTTAAAGGCAGCCTGCTGGATCAGACCAAAGGCCTATCTGAGGACACTGAGGTCCAGCTCTGAGGGCCTTCTGGCGGTTCCCTCGCTGCGAGAAGTCAAGTTACAGGGAACCAGGCAGAGGGTCTTCTCGGTAGTGGCACCCGCCCTGTGGAACGCCCTCCTACCAGATGTCAAAGAGCAAAACAACTAGCAGACTTTTAGAAGACATCTGAAGGCAGCCCTGTTTAGGGAAGCTTTTAATGTTTAATTGGTTATTGTATTTTAGTGTTCTGTTGGAAGCCACCCAGAGTTTCTGGAGAAAGCCAGCCAGATGGGTGGGGTATAAATAATAAATTATTATTATTACTATCTAGTCCAACATCCTGTTCCCACAGTGGCCAACCAGGTGCCTATGGGAAGCCCAGAAGCAGAACCTGAGTGCAAGACCACAACACGAGTATTCTCATGACTCAAATTAAATGCTCAATTTCTTACCCCCGTCTCTTCCTGTCCACCCACGCCTGGTCTCTGTTGTCTTCTTCTGGGTCATAGAACAACTCATCATTAGTTGGAATTCGACGCTGCTGATGTTTCCTTTTTTTCCTGGTTTCTGGAGCAACTGTTCAAGTTCACACAGATACAGTTAGAACACACACCCCAAAGAACATGACTCAGAAGCCTATTTGGTAATGCGCCTCCCTTACAAAAGTTGCATGCTAATACAGTGGTGCCCCGCAAGACGAATGCCTCGCAAGACGGAAAACCCGCTAGACGAAAGGGTTTTCCGTTTTGGAGGCGCTTCACAAAACGAATTTCCTATGGGCTTGCTTCGCAAGACGAAAATGTCTTGCGAGTTCCTGCGGGGTTTTTTTCCTTTCCCCCCCCCTTTTTCCCAAGCCGCTAAGCCGCTTATCAGCTGATCTGCTAAGCCGCTTAACAGCTGATCGCTAAGCCGCTTATCAGCTGATCCGCTAAGCCGCTTAACAGCTGATCCGTTAAGTCACTAAGCCGCTTATCAGCTGATCCGCTAAGCCGCTTATCAGCTGATCCGCTAAACCCGCTAATAGTGCTAATCCGCTAAACCGCTAATGGGCTTGCTTCGCAAGACGAAAAAACCGCAAGACGAAGAGACTCGCGGAACGGATTCTTTTCGTCTTGCGAGGCACCACTGTAAGGTGAATGGCACTGCCATGAGTTGGGCGAATGAAGCCCGAAGCTGTTACAAGATGTACATCTGAACCCGTGTGTGTGTATGCACACTCCCAATATTAAGCTGAGAGGTTTTAGGTTTTTTCGCCAGAGTTATAACGTTTGTTTGTTACGAATATGTGTTTACCCTTAACCTTGTGCCCAGAAGAAATTCACACACAAGAGGAATAAAGAATGATTGGTTCATTACTTGAAATGAAAGTGGAAGAATCTATGGTTGCTGCTTCAGACAGCAAAAGTGCAATATAAACCGGCAGCAAATCTTACTGCTCAAACACCTTGATCTAAAGAGTAAAAGGATCCGTAAATTTTCCAAAAGCCTGAACAAAATAAGCACAACAATTTGGTCACAAAACCCACACTAAAAGGAAAGGGAGGCAGGGAAAGCACACCTGTCTGGAAGCAAAATGTGGTATACAGTGAAATTGAGTTCCTTGAGTTCCTTTTGGTGCTAACAAAGCAATGAAGTCTGGAGTTTTTGTACTATTTTGAGCCAATGCATTCTAATTTTGTACTATTTTGAGCCAATGCATTCTAATTTTGTACTATTTTGAGTCAATGCATTCTAATGCATTTTTGTACTATTTTGAGCCAATGCATTCTAATGTATTTTAAAACTGTCACAATACCTTTATTTCTTAGTTCCATTTTTTATTTTATATAAGTTTGTGTTTGCTAGTTAAAAGTTTTACTTCACTTATTTGTAACTGAAATGATGTGTCCTTGTTAAACACAACTAAACTGGTTATCCTTTTTGGCAATAGGTTTTAATTAAGTTTGCTGTGCAACACAAGACTACTGTGTTAATCTTTAGATAAACTATTCAGAGAACAGGGTGTTTCAGGATTGCCTTCCAGGACACATTTAACATAAAGACTGGTGCAATGGAAAATTATTGTTATTATCTCATTTACATGCCACCAATCTGACTGGGTTGCTCCAGCCACTCTGGGCAGCTTCCAACAAAATTAAAAACACAAAATAGGCCATACTGGGCATCTCTTTTTATTATCACATTTATTACCACAGGAGTTAATTCAGTCCATAGAGCATGAGATTCAATCTCAAGGTCATGGGTTTGAGCCCCACTCTGGGTAAAAGATTCCTGCGTTGCAGGTGGTTGGGCTAGATGACCCCTCATGGCCCCTTCCAATACTACAATTCTATGAAATGTGGAATACTTCTGAAATTATGCCATTTATGTAGAATGTAAAGATTTGGTAGAGACATTTGTCAAGAATCTAAAAATAATAATAATCCTGCCGCAACAATGAATGCAATATTGCAGATAAATGTTTTATTACAACCCATTCTACGTTTCTAAATATACTATCTTATCCAGCTGTAGTCAGATAATCATATATTGGCCTTAAAAGACAAAGTATGAAAAAGCCTTTTGTCCACACACACAACCCCTTTTGCTTCTTGAGATATAAACCCAAGAAGCCTCTAATTAACTAGATTCCCTTTTTATTTTAACTGGGAAATGTTAATTAGAGGTGTCTTGGGTTCATTGCCTGTACGACGAGAGAAAGAGCAAAGTGGTCATGTGTCAGGACAAAAAGCTCATCTTTATCTCTGCTTATTAAGCTGAGGTGATTGTGTGACTTGGGATAAAGTACAATTGATTTCCAGAGACCAATGACTAAGCGAACTCAAGGAGGACATTTACCATGGTCTGTGAGGATGCAGGAAATTCATTCATCTTTCTAGAAGAATGAAGGCATTTAGTAGTCTCAATCACAAGGTCAGCTGCCTTGACACCAAATAGCATCCGTGATGCAAGGCATTAGCTTATTTAGTAGCTTCATGTACAGTTAGTTTACTACAGCAGGAGGAATTCCTTCATTTGCCTGAAGATCTATTTAAGGCAGTGGTTCTCAACCTTCCTAATGCCATGACCCTTTAATACAGTTCCTCATATTGTGGTGACCCCCAACCATAAAATTATTTTCATTGCTACTTCATAACTATAATTTTGCTACTATTATGAATCATAATGTAAATATCTGATATGCAGGATGTATTTACATTGTTACAAATTGAACATGATTAAAGCATAGTGATTAATCACAAAAACAACATGTAATTATATATTGTGAAATATTTATTTCTAATTACAAATAAATGAAATTTAGTCTTGAAGCATGCTGTAACATGGGTAACAGTCTTAATATAACAACAGTAAACTACATTGCTACGTTTTGCGACAGTATGCGTAAAAAGCCAACGTCAGTTCGAAGGTTGAGACTGCTTCTTTCTCTGTGGTAGCAACTTCAGAGAATGAATATGGAATATTCCCTGTGCAGGTAAGACAGGCGCTGACAGTTAAATGCTTCTGCCAACAATTAAAAATATACCGTATTTTTCCATCTATAGGACACCCCCATGTATAAGATGACCCCTATTTTTGGGTACTCAGATTTAAGAAAGTGGGGGGAGATGGCCCCATGTATAAGATGCCCCCTAATTTTTGACATTATTTTTTTGGGGGGGGGGGAACCTAGTCTTATACATGGAAAAATATGGTACGTTACAAACAAGTCAAAGCTTCAGCATATTATTACCTTTTGAGAGCTCATTCATTGGAAGTCTTGTGGATAAGGGAAATACACCAAAAGCAGAAGTGAATTTTGATGCAGGAAGCAATAATAATTGCAGTAAATAACCAGTTATTTACCTACTTTGTCTTCATCCTCTGAATCAGAATCAAAATAAATATCATCATAGTACTTTGCAGGGGAACCTGTTCCAGACTGTCCAGCGTTAGACGTACTGCCTGAGTCACAAAATGTAACACAAAATACGTGGTTAACATGAGATCACTTTAGAGAAAGAGATCTATGTTTTCTCTTAGGGTGCAGGCCTGCACACACTTACCTGGGAGTAAATTCCTTGCATACAAGAGCCCTGCAGTTCTGCTTCAGAGATGAGCAGAAATTTATAGCTCGCATTCCAATATTAGCCACTGCACTCCAATGAGACTCTGACTACACAGGTTAAACTTCTTTCTAAAGGTAAAGGTAAAGGGACCCCTGACCATTAGGTCCAGTCGTGACCAACTCTGGGGTTGCGGCGCTCATCTCGCTTTATTGGCCGAGGGAGCCGGTGTACAGCTTCCGGGTCATGTGGCCAGCATGACTAAGCCGCTTCTGGCGAACCAGAGCAGTGCACGGAAACACCGTTTACCTTCCCGCCGGAGCGGTACCTATTTATCTACTTGCAGTTTGATGTGCTTTTGAACTGCTAGGTGGGCAGGAGCTGGGACTGAGCAACGGGAGCTCACCCCGTCGCGGGGATTTGAACCGCCAATCTTCTGATCGGCAAGTGCTAGGCTCTGTGGTTTAACCCACAGCGCCACCCGCGTCCCTTAAACTTCTTTATACCTCACTCAAAATGAGAAAACCCTCCTCTTTGAAACTAGGCATGAGGTGCTTTATCTCTCCCTTGTTTCTCATCAGAAGCACCTCACACACCCTGAATTAAGTGCTGTAAGGCAACCTTCTCCAACCTGTTGTCCACCTCCAGGTCTTTGGACTACAACTCCCATCAGCCCTTAGCCAGCATGGTCAATGGTAAGGGATAGTGGGAATTGTAGTGCAAAACATATGGAGGGCACCAGGCTGGAGAATGTAGCCTGAATGGGATGGATTTGGCTGTAAAGACTCTAAAGGGGGAGGGGAGTGAACTGAAGCAACAGCACAAAATTGACAACAGTCCAGCATAAGATGTGCAGGAAGAGAGCTATCAGCAAGTTCATATTTTCCCACAGTTTAGAGATTTACCTGTTAGCTGCGATTTCCACTTGCCCTCTATATTTTTCATGGTGGAGTCCAGTTCTGCTTCCATTTCCTTTTGGAATTCATCTTCACTTGAAGATTCACTTTCTCCGGTTAGACATTCCCTTATTAGTTTGCGCTTCTGATCAGGGGTGCCATGCAAGAGCACATCTACTTCATCCTCCGAGCTAAAGGGTGATAAAACATTGAAGACTGTCATTGCAAGGTAAATGTAGCAAGTCTATTACAGACACAACAAAAGCAGGGTTCATTTTAAATACTGAGAAAATTATTTTTAAAGAACTTAGAATTGAAGAAATTTACTGATATTAACTCTACAGCAAAAAAGTTAGGTGTGTGTACTATACACTGTACACAGTGACAACTGGAGTGTTGGGGGGTACATCTGGTGGGGGACACCTTTGGTCCTCCACCCTGCACTCAGCTCTCACCTGTGCCTCCTAGAAGCTGTCAGCATGCAACAGCAGCCACACTTCAGGAATGGCTTCAATTGGCTGGCTAAACCAAGTGCGGGTAACCAATCTCAAACTCTCAGTAAGTTAGGGCCTTCCCCTGCATGTGAAGACAGGCTCCAGCAGATTGATGAAGGTAAACAGGGAGTGTGATACAGGTAAATTGCTTTGTATATTAACAACAAACCACAACCCAGCATAGAGTTGTGTTTTTAAGCTCATTAATATCAGTGGCCAAATGTGGCATCTGGTTTATTATTAGGAAAGTAAAGAAGGCTAAGGTACTAGACCAGGCATAGGCAAACTCGGCCCTCCAGATGTTTTGGGACTACAACTCCCATGATCCCTAGCTAACAGGACCAGTGGTCAGGGATGATGGGAACTGTAGTCCCAAAACATCTGGAGGGCCGAGTCTGCCTATGTCTGTACTAGACCTTGCCAATTAAAGTCATCAAAGTCGTTGTTCCTGTTTGTCTGCAATAATCTCATCACCTCCACCTCTGAGTTTGTTCAGTTGCCTTCCTCCCAACACACACAAAATAATCTTTTAGGACCTAAGACAAAGTGCTCCTGAGCACACAGTAGATCTCCTTTACACTTTCCTATCTATCTGTCTAGATGTGGTCTAGAATCTGGTGTCTGGCACCTCAGCCTGCCTACCCATCTAGGTTAGCTGCATCCCCAGATACATTTTACAGCACTGTAAAGGTTGCTTGTATGTCAGGTACCCAGCTGATTCCATAGTCTCAGCTCTATTTTAAGTTGCTTCACCTAGCAGCTGAGAAACACACACCCCTCCTCTTATTAAGGGATAAAAGCTCCACACAGTGCATTCGCTCACACTCTAGGTTAAATGGCTACTAAATGGAAAAATAATAGTTATGGAGCCATGGAAACACCCATGTTTCGCTATTTCTACAGGGGGAAACAGAACATGGAAGTCATTGCAGAAATGTGTGTGTGTACATGTAAATTTAATAATACCCAGCCTCTACCTACTCATTTTTGTAAATTTAATAAACAGTAATCTTTATTTAAGTGAATACAAAGCTGACCCTGATAACTGTTACACCCAGTGCTTTATTTCTGGGGGGACGCAAGGGTACGCATACGGCCTAAACATTTTGTGAATCTAAGTTTGGCCTCATTGAGGGGCAGTATTTCAATATGAGTAGGAAAATGAGAGTACCCCTAAACAATTTTTTTAGAAAAAAAGCACTGGTTATAACAGAAGGAAAGAATAGCGTGCCGATTTCCCCAAAATAACACCGAGGGGCGATTCCTGAAACTTGAAGCCGCTGTTTCAATTTTTTAAAAAACAGAACCATAAAGAAATATTTGGAGATCTCAAGCGGAGGGGAGTTTTACCAAACCAAAACCCAGGTGAGGATAGAACGTCCCGACCATTTCTTTCTGAGCGATTTCAGAGATATTATCCATATTAACGTACGGAGAGAGCAGGAGGAAACTCCACCCCCCCCCTTTACACGTCTATTTACGTCCACACTAATCCCCACCCCCGCAAACACAGCGGAAAAGGAGAACCCGCCTCTAGATATATATATCTAGACCTGCTCTGCGCCGGCTCCTCGTCGCTCGGCTCCTCGATCACATAAGGGTCATCCTCCTCCCGCAGTCGGCTCATGGCGGCCCCTTCCTAACAAGCGATCCCTGCCCGCTTCCTGCCACCTCGGTCCATCAGGAAATGCTTTCCCCGTCTCTTCCGGTTCCGGCAAGCTTGGCGCTGGTTCTTCGTCCGACCTCCTACACCGCTTACAGCGAGCGTTCCAGGGGGACCCGATCAGCAGCACTGGGCGTTCAGGCGTCCGGTTTTGTGCCACCCGATCTGCTCAAAGGGTGATCGTCGCCTGACACGTGCTGTCGGCAGAATTCATCTATCCACGACAAGTTCCACACGCTGGCTCTTCGAAGGCTAAGGAATCGGCTTTCCCCGCTCCTGTGGCTACCAATGTAAAAGTGGACGGGACTGCTGTGAACTTCCATCGTTTGATAGAAGAGAGGATCGCAGCAAGCTCAGTTTTTCCTCTCCAAGCGCAGTATCTTCTCCCGTGCTTTATGGGATAGGATCCCCACGTTCATTTCTTGACAGATGCATCGTTTGGAGATAAGCACCACTGAGCACCACTCAATATTAAGTCAAGGGTTGCTGTCCCTCTGGTTGGTTCCAACACCAACTGTTCTAGGGCACAGTGACTTTGGGTGTCTATCAATTTTATCTCATTGTCATGACTAGAATACATATGTAGCTGGTCTATGTGAAGGTAGTTTATGTCCCTCATTACTACAACGGTCCCTCTTTTGAATGCTTCCTTGATTTCGTTTTCATCTCGAGATAGTTCAGTCTGAGAGACGGGTGAGTTGCCTCTTCTGGATAGGGTTGCATTCCCTCTGAAGGAATATATATGTAATGGAGGATGGGGATGCTCCTGGACCCATATTAGTAACTTGAAACACAGGCCTCAGTGTCTAGGACTGTCTTTTATGAGCTTTGGTTGGCAAGAGTTATGGCTGTTCCTAGACCGAGACTGCTTGGCCACCATGGTGTTGACATTGGTAATCTCAGCACTGGATTACTGCAATGAACTCTATGTGGGGCTTCTCTTGGGCTCAACCCACAAGATGCATCAGTTAAGTTGTTGACAGAGATACCCCATTCACATCCTATAATAGCTCTGCTGAGGGAACTGCACTGGTCACTAATGTGATACCAGGTGCAAGTTCCAAGGTTTCGCTTTTAGTATTGCAAAATAATAAGGAAGACACAGTATAATATTGATTTTTTATTATTTTGTTCACAGAAGATTGAGACAGGGAATTCTTTGCTGCTGCTTAATAAGTTCTAGGCCTCAGCCAGAAAACATGTAGCTGTCTTATACCAATTATAGTTTATTCTGACTGGCAGGAGTTCTTCAGGATCTTGGGCAGAGTTTCCATATCACTTCCTAATCCAGGCTTCCTCAACCTTGGCCCTCCAGATGTTTTTGGCCTACAACTCCCATGATCCCTAGCTAGCAGGACCAGTGGTCAGGGATGATGGGAACTGTAGTCTCAAAACATCTGGAGGGCTGAGGCTGAGGAAGCCTGTCCTAATCCTTCTAACTAAAAATGGCAGGAATTGAAGCTAGAATATTCTTGCATGGAAAGAATGTGCTCTGTTCTGGGGCATGTGCCTTCACCAGAGGGTGGATGTTAGCAGGCTATGATACGTGGGGTGCCAGGATATTCAAGCTTCTGTCTTCAGAGGAGACACATAACCTCCTCCTTCTGCACCATGCAACTTGTGGAAATGCTTTTTTGGCTTTAGCCTTCATTTAGGTAGAATGAAAGGGCTCTGGTACTTTTAAGAATCCTTACAGAAGGGTGAATTTTGCCTTGTATGGACTTTTCCCATCACTGCTGCAGCAATGAGGGAAACAGGATTTGGTTAACAACAGCAACAAAATCTTCCTGTTCACCCCTTTAGAAATTTATAATAGATTCAAAATCTAGGCCTGGCAATCACAATCAAAATCCAAGCTGAAGTTTTCACACAGCTTTTGATACACAACTCTTCATTTTCAAGCTGAAATCTAAGCCTTACAGAGCTATACTGTAAGGAAGGAAGTCCTCAATGGAAAGTAAGTGTCAGGTTGCAGCTGTAGCCTGTATTCCTACAAAACAGTAATCATGTATGAAACAGTATCGGTCACTGAAATTCTACAAACTTGCTTATTCATTTCAGTGGAAGAAGTTTCAAACATTCCTTCTTTTGTTCATGCAGAGCTGCTCTTTCCATAAAGAATGGAGAAACTCAAATAGGGGTTCCGTGTGTGCTTGTTATATTTTATGGTATTTAGGAGGGAACCGACAAAATTAACACCTGAGTATGAAGTGAAGAAAATTGTAAATTCACAAGACAATGACTACAAAATTTTAGGAAAAAAAATCACTGATTTCACAGTTTATTTTACAATAATTGGGATTAGTCTACAAGTTAAGGCAAACATACTAATGCATTTGCTTTCTTTTGAAGTCCTATTATAAAGATTACATAAAGTTTGCTCCAAAATTTCTAGGAAATGTTTGTTATTTGAAAAAAGTTAAGATGCTTGATAACATTATGTGGAATAACCAAGACAATGCTTATAGCAACAATATTCAAACACCTAGTGGCAATATTTAATCCATTTGAAAACCAATTGTTTCAAATCCTCAACTTCAGAAGTTACAAAGGTAGTAAGAGTGGCAGCAATATTTAATACTAGCTTTAACATGAACATAATTCTATTGGCTACTTTCACAAAAGAAAAAAGACCCAGAATTTGGTTTTCTGAACAATATGAACATACAATGATTAAATTAATGTGTAAATATTTGTGTATAACAACAAGTATGCTGTTGCTTCATATGATCTGGAATTATTCTGGTGGGCTTTTGGGCAGAGGGGGAGCTTGTTTATGTGTCCTTTGTCAATCAATTTCTCCAGCAAGTTGTAAATGTCAATTCAGAGTCAGGAAGTAAACTCCAGTGGAAGGCAGCCCTTATTAATGGGAGGACAGATTCAGGTTTATGTATCTCCATTTAACACTGACAGACAGCTCTGCAACAGCTGTAAGTTACCCTGTAGTAAGAAAAAGAGCACAAAACAGAAGTTACTGCCTTTCCTCCGTCTTCTATAGTTCAAAATGTATATATTAAGTGAAGCTGCAAATACATATAGGTTAGCCTTTCCTAATGTGTTGCCTTCCAGATGTTCTGGACCAGAACTCCCATCATCCTTGTCCATTGGCCATGCTGGCTGGGACTGATGGGATTTGTAGCCCAAAGCTTTAGTGGGGAAGGCTGATAATAGGTTAACTGACAGGGTAAGCATTCTTATGTAAGCAGTTCTCAAGTTTCTTTTATATGGAATGCTGAGATTTTGCAGATGTTCTGGATTTTCATTTTCATCAATGTCTATCACTGACATAAACGTGTTCAATAGGAGCACAGACAAAGGCCATTTTTCCTCAGGGGAGCAGCTTGTAATCACTCCATTCATTCTGTATCTTCATTAGTGCACATAATGGGTGCCGCAATAGATCACGCCAGAGTTACATTGTCACTACCCTGGCTAGAACCCGGTCTCAGAACACCCCAGACATTTCTCCACATTGCTGGGGTATCTGGATTTCCCATTCCAAGTGCAATATTTTATGCTGCACCGTGTTAAGATCAATTTTAAATCATGAACACAAAAACCTTATTAACAGGAAGACAGAATCTTCCCCTACAGTTACAACTGATTCAAAGAACACACTTTTATTTTTATTTTTTTGAAGCGGAATAAGAATGTCAAGTATGCAAGCATAATTTGCCTAATAACTATTAGCCTTTGCCCATGAGAAAGGTCACTGTTCAAAATGTGTGAGCATTTGAAAGTTGCTACTTTCAAACGTAATCTTGGGGCCTCTCCCTTTTTGGGGTGATGATGCCCCCTCACTAGCATATCAGAACCAAGTAACACCAACCAGTAACTCAACTTAAGTAACATGATCCATAAACGTAGGTGAACTCTCTCTTGCTATTACATTATTATGCAGAAGTGGGTGTTTTTTTTTAATTAGAGGCATCTCTCACTTTTTGGCCAGAATCTCTGAGGTGGCTCACAACTTTTGTATGAGGGCAGAAAGCAGCACCTCAAAAATTTCAGCTCCCTTCTTTTTATTTTTAAATGGTGGGGGCTGAAAGGCCAAGTAGAAAAGACTTCTAAAAGAGAACACAGCACTCAGGTTTTCCCCATCAGAAAAAACTGTGGATACAGATGCAAAGTGGAACTAATGCTCCAATACCTCCATTAATTTCAGTTTAACTTGCTGCCTCTTAAGGCCCATCAGAATAACTGCCTTTCTAATTCAGGGTGCAGTCCTAAATGTTTCAAAGAAACTATGTTACTTTCCCACTTTTATTTTTTTGGAGGAGTATCTATTCTGTTAAATTCTGCCATTAAGTGTAAGTAATTAAGCTAGAAGGAAAAATATTACCACCTTAGCATGCTTTAGTTCCAATTCTGCCAGTTCTACTAGATTCTTCCGGAATGCAGCAACTCTTCTAGTTTTAAAGTCTATAAGTTCTGCAGGAAATAAAAGTTTGGTATTCTATTAATACAATATAGAAGTGGATAAGACAATCCTACCTAGACCTAAGCACATGTAACTCTTTGGAGTCTCACTTTGTTTTAAATTAAGAGCTGCTGTTGGATTTAAGGATTCAATCCATTAAATGCTATGTGTATCTATGGGCAGAGATGTCAGTCTAGCAGTATTAAATATCCAGGTCATGTGAACTGGCATAGCTAGTGGATCATACTGCTCATACATGAGTAGTCTTCATCAGATTCAGAAACTTTCACATATTTACCCAATTCTATGCAACCAGCCTTTGCATTTTGATATAGGAAATAGCACAAAACTAACTTTCAAAATACAGCAGTTTTTCTGTTTGTTGGTGTAGGTTTACAAAGGGATTTTTAATAAAATCAAAATGAGTTCTAATTCATTTATATCTGAAATGATAAAATAAGCTATTTTAAGTACAGTGGTGCCCCGCAAGACGAATGCCTCGCAAGACGAAAAACTCGCTAGACGAAAGGGTTTTGCGTTTTTTGAGTCGTTCCGCAAGACGAATTTCCCTATGGGCTTGCTTCGCAAGACGAAAACGTCTTGCGAGTTCTTGCGAGTTTGTTTCCTTTTTCTTAAAGCCGCTAAGCCGTTAAGCCGTTAATAGCCGCTAAGCCGCTAATAGCCGCTAAGCCGCTAATAGCTGTGCTTCGCAAGACGAAAAAACCGCAAGACGAAGAGACTCGCGGAACGGATTAATTTCGTCTTGCGAGGCACCACTGTATATATAAATTTAAAAACTACCACGTTCCAAGAATGTTCAAATACCTTGTTTTGCTGATTCAGATATTTTTTCAAATTTCTGACAGCAAATTTGCTGAGTAGTTTCAGCTTGTAGCACATCTTTGTTCTTCGCTCTTGCTTTGTCCAGAGCCTTGTTAGCATTTTCATAATCCACTAATGACCTAGATCTTCTATACAGAAGGTCCTGCAACGAATAAAATAAGTAATAAAATCTATAGATTTTCACTTCCCTGTCCTCCTGGCAACAATCCTCTGGGTTAGCTTTTCAGCAAGAATGAGAGACACTAATTACCCCATGTGTGTGCACATGGGGGTATGAGGATCCAAACATATATAGGAAAAAATGGAATAATGCTTTGGTGGTTCTACCTTCTTGTACCAAATATATTATTGCTAGAGTAAAAATCTATTCAGGATTGCACATATTCTTTTGAGATCATTAGTTAAAGCATGTGAACGTTCTCAGTTTTCACTGAGTTACTCTGATATTAATTTAGGATATTCATACCCCATATTCCAATTTTAGCAATATTTTTATTTATTTGCTTTCTTATATTTACAGTCAAACCTCAACCCTTGAACGTAATCCATTCTGGAAGCCCATTCGGCTTCCAAAACATTTGACAACTGAACTGCAGCTTCTGATTGGTTGCAGGAGTTTCCTGCACTCAGCGGAAGCCGCGTGGGATGTTTGGCTTCCAAAAATCTTTCGAAAATCGGAACATTTACTTCTGGGTTTTCAGCATTCAGGAGCCGAAACGTTCCGAAACAGGTGCTTGGGATCTGAGGTTTGACTGTATATCATTCCTTTCTTCTATCATTCCAAGGCAGCATACATGTGATGATCAACAGGCAATTACCCATCAAAGCACTGACCAGACCCAGACCCGCTTACCTTCAGCTAGACCACTCATCTGTTACTGTATCAACTAATACTTTACAACCTTGTGCTACTGACTGATAAAAATCCAATATAAATCCTTTAAAATGTTCACTCATCCAGTTAGATCATTTTCTTTAGATGTGCTCCAAGGTGCCCTTTTAATAAAGCATACTTCTAACAGCAAAAATATAGATTCACCTTTGCAGCTTGTGATTCTCTCAGATAATATTTCAGAAGGTCTGAAAGTTTAAGGTCTTCATCAGCAGACACTCGTGCCTCTATTTTCTACACCAGAAAAAAATATTTCAGAAGCAATACTTTATGTAAATAATAATCAGAAGATTATATTTTAGAATGCACCACAGCTATGGACACAATACAACAAAGGCAGACAGTATGGAAAACGGAGGAACAGAAAACCAATCCAGTTGAAATATTACAATCCTTCATAATACATACCCTTGTTTTGTCAAACAACTCTGATACTTTCAGGAAAAATCTGTGAATGGAAAGTGAATTGTGAATGGGTATAGTCCATATCTGTGCACTAAAAATATTATTTCTAGCTTGACTATTTGTTCCATGCAGGTGGGATTTTGCCTGATGAGCAGCAAAACCAATCACACACAAAAACAGTCTTGGTACCTCGAATAAAGGGGAGGGGAGAAAGAACTGCTTGCCAGAAAGGTTCCTCACCCTTGCACTACAGAGATAGGAGGCATCACTTTCTCATGACAGAGGCACCACATGCTTGTGACTCTTCCAGTTTACCAGCTTCTTCGGGGCATATCTGCTTGCATAGCCTTGGAACTATGAATTCCATTAAATACTTCTTATTAAAGTGTCAAAAACAGATACCGATAAATGAACATTTTTACTTAGAATGGTGGCTACTTTGGACAAGGGTGAACAGTTTAAAAGGAATGTATTTTTACCCATATTCTCTTTGTAACCAACAAGATGCTCAGACTTTTTCAATGGTACTAAATCAAATACCTCTAGTTACAAACTTAATTTGTTCCGGAGGTCCGTTCTTAACCTGAAACTGTTCTTAACTAGAGGCGTGCTTTCGCTAATGGGGCCTCTTGCTGCCACTGCGCCGCTGGCACATGATTTCCTTCTTATTCTGGGGCAAAGTTCTCAACTCAAGGTAACCCTTCCAGGTTAGCAGAGTTTGTAACCTGAAGCGTTTGTAACCTGAGGTGTTTGTAACTCGAGGTACCACTAGATTTCTTTCTTACTGAAAGTGCAGTTAATAAATGGCAGACTAGACTAAAATGTACAAGAGAGCTGTAATCTTGCAAGAGGTATAACCCAGGTAAGTTGAAGGAGATTGAAAAGTGAAAGGGAAATTGTTAGCTATATACAGTGGTATTCAGTGCTAGTCCTACTTAGGGAAGACCCTCTTAAATTAAGGAACATGGCTAATCTAGGTTCATTAATTTCAATCGGTCTACTCTGTGTAGTACGTAGTTGAAGACAATCTATACTCTTTTTTAAAAAACTTAAGACTCCTGCTAAGCTTATTTCAGTAACATTTTCAATGAATTATCATCACAGTAGGGGAAAAAATCAACCTCAAGCAGAAAAACAGAGCTCATCTCCTTTGTTTGCAGGCAGTTGTAAAAGTTATTTTGCACATGTTTTTATTGCTACTCATTACAGTTATAATCATGATGGTACAGGTTAGATGCAGATAGTAATTTCTCCGCCCCACTGCCTTTCCAAGTCGACCAATGGGCACAGTTACTTAAAAAAATCAATCTAAAATATTTAAAGCTCAACTGAAAAACGAATCATAGCTGCAATATGATATCTACAGATCACCTTCCGGCCTAATACTAAACAAGAGAGCAAGGGTATGACCCAACAAATGTGCAAATCCAGATTCTATCCAAGACAAGGTCATGCTTGCTGGAGACACTGACCTTCAAAGCTGTACCAGAGAAGGTGGGCCTAGCATATATACTGAAGCCTGGGGTTTTCAACACCACTTCCAAGACCTCACATAGGGAGACTTAAGCAGTGAAATGGACAGTACATCTAACCATCTTTATCACATCTCAAAAATCCAGCACTAGGTACATCAAACTGGAAGACTGCTGGATAGGATACCATAGAAACTCTGTGCCCGCTCACCCATCAAGTCTGCTACACTCAAAATGCAAACAGACACAACTGGAAAATACTAACTTCACCCCCATTCAGAATCAAATCCTGGATAGAAAATATGTCAGTGCTGACATAACATTCAGCAGCAAGACTTGTAGACCTAATAGACTGTAGATGTGATAGCTAGGAGAAGAGGTTGCAGCTCCAGCTTTTCCAATGGATCTGTTCTTCCCTGTATAGTATACCCAAATCATGGTTCCCACTCAGAAAGCGTATCCTACTCATTGTTGCTAACAGTCACTCTCAGAACAGGGAAACGGGCCATTATAATGTTACTGAGCTAAAGCTGTATCCAAAAAATTACTAAGTGACACTCAAAAGTACCTTCCTAATATGGACAATACAGCAAACAGCTGTTTATTTTGAAGCCAACATATCTGCAGTTTGGGTTCAATTTTTAAATCCATTGCTCTTTTCTAAATATTATTGGGTAAGAAATTTCAAGTCAGTGACAACACAGACCAGTTATTGAGTGGTCACTTAAAACACTAATTTAGGCCAATGTGGCAGTAAGTGTTTACTGTTGTATATATTCATTCTGGTTTTTTATTTTATTTCACCTGTAAGATGCTTTGAATGGATTTCTGTCAGAAAAAGCTAAATAAAAGTAAATATAATTTCAAGTCCTACACTTGCAGAAGTATTGCTTTTTATTAAAGTTTCCAACGGTATCACAGTAAGATAGCAATAATAATTACAACATTACCAGCACAGTTCTTGATCTTGCAGTCAAGTCCTGCCCACAAATCCCTCTCTATAGTCAGAAAGATATTAGGCAAGGGCAGTCTGGTCCAAAGGGCTAGGCGAATGGAACAAGAGACTGTCTCAGCTTCTGCCTCTCCATTCCTCCATTTGTGTGACCAGATAAAAGGCTCAAGTAAAGAGTCAAATATTTAGGCATATCCCAAAATGCCACCCAAACATCAGAGCACTTTGCATGCAGGGCATATAATCTTCTTAGTCCCAAGCACTGTAAAGTTAATAAATTTCAAGCTCCACATAATCTAAGCAGGCCAAGGCAATACTAGGAAAATATTACTGGTTTTTTAATGAAGTGGTTAGCTCCTTTCAGCTTTACAAATAAACACTAGTCTAAACAAGATAGGACAGGGGACAACAGCCTTTTTCAGGGTTACTAGACAGACTTAAAACAAGTCAGGGTCAAAAGTCAGAAAACTAAGACAACTTATGGTAGCAATGTTACAAGGCTTCTGCAGCTTGCAAATATTTGTTAGACTTGCATTTTTTAGGTCTTTGTATCTCAGCAGTTTTTACAGTTTTTCTGCTGTCATTTACTGCACTTGGAAAATTAAACAGAATTTGCAGGCTTAGCATTCCTGGAATTTGAGGTTAAACAAAGTAACAAGTCCTCTTTAGAATCAAAACCATGGGGGGAAAGTCACATAGCTCAGCTATCTCACTTGGAGCATGTAGGCCCTAGAGAACTGGAGGAAAAGGGTTTTTTGCACTCTTCTAAATATATGTGTGCATTCTGGAAAAGGGTGGGGATGATGAATGGACTTATCTATGTTGCTAGCTGCCAAATTCACAGTGAATTACCTGGTTATTAGCCTAATTCTGTTTTGACAGGGGCAAAGGGAGTTGCATTTTGGCTTAAAACAGCCAGGGTTATTATGCCTACTACCTGCCTTTGGGAAGCATATCTAACCACTTATTCAGGCCAGAATGAAAGTACAGAATTAGACAAAGATCTCTTGACATACGGTACCAGAAAATGTGGCTCTCAGGTTGAGGACCAAGTTACACTACAGTTTTATGACAAGGAGCAGGAGCAGCTACACACAAATGCACAAACAGATTGAAATCTTAGAGATACCACTTTGATAAAACTACAAACCACTGTAGGAGCTCAAGATGCCTGTCTCAACAATCTGCCCAGAAAAGTACCAGAATCATGAAATGAAGGAAGGGTAATTTACTAGTGAACTTATATTCAATTAAGAAAACATTTTTGGCCATACAGTGTGATATTTTTTTACAGAAAGTAGCTTTAATGCTTTATACACTTAAAGTACCTAGGCCTATACAATTATGTGTAACAGCATGTGAGGTGGCCTTGATTTAAATTTGATTTAAATTTTCAATTTCAAGTTTGGTGCAAAAAATCAAAGAATGTGAATTGACTGCACTGCCCCCATTGAATAAAAGTATCTGTACAGTTTTTGGTTGCCATCTGAACAAATTTACCCATGAATAAACATGTATATTAACTAATTATATCATTCTCAATGCATTAAAATTATATCATTTTCAATGCATTAAAATGAATATTCTGCTATTTTAAATGAAAATTCTCTAATATTCTCATTAATCGAGAATATTCTCAAGAATATTCTCCAAAAGATTATTCTTGAGAATTTAACATCACTACCTTCATTTCTCTCAAATGCCTCTGACCTCAGCTGCACTATTGAGATGATTCTTTTAAGTTGTTATTCTAAGGAAAGCAAACACAGTAAGATCCTGCCACAATTCCCTGCTACATTAAAAAGTTATTTCTATTCCCAACAGTCACCACATTAAAGGAGGTAAAACAGTGTGTGTTCAGGAAACAAAGCAACCAGATGCCATCTTTCAAAAACAAGAATTAAGTACCACTAATATTAGGTAGACATAACTTTACAAAATCCTGTTCAGAGTCCATGTTTCATCATTTTTCAAAAATACTTACTTGCATATATCTGTGGAATCTTGTGTTCCCAATGTATACAATGAAGAGCCAATTCTATTGCAGTCATCTGCAACATCTGGAAAAGAAAAAGCACTCCAATTGTTTCATTATGCCACAAAAGGATTCCAAAACACATTAACATCAGACAATGTACTATACTCCAGCTTACTTTCCAGTATTTGCAGGACCCAAGTCTGCAAATCAATACTGTATACAGTAGTAGACGTGGAACTAAATAAATGTCGTATTGCTTAAGCTTTGCCATATTTGCAAATCACACATTTGCAAACCACTTCTAGAATGAAATTTGATTGTAGGCGTTAATCATACCATTTTGAATCCTGGAAATCCTACCTTAATTAATTTAATAAAGCTGTTTAAAAGTTACCCAATAAACAGGAGTGATCCATTTTAAAGCCCAAGAGTTTCTGGAACTCCCAAATGCGTGGATTTGAGGGAAACTGCAGCCTGGCCTCATTCACATGCAACAAGTCATGGTTTGTTTTAACTATGGGTTTGGTTGAACAAAGAAAGATCAGTCTTGCAGATGTGAAAGGTAACCGTGGCTTGTTTTGCCTAATGTTGGCTCATGACGCATAATAAACCATGATTAGCGCAAGTCAAGTGTCATCAGCCTGCTTCAAATCATGGTTCAGGTGCATTTGGAAAGTCAAACAAACCGCAGTTAAACTAAACAAACTATGGCTTAGGAATGTGTGTGTGGAAACTCTGCAGTGCAGGGGTGGGGGAAGTGGCAAAAAGATAAGAGGGAACAGACTTCTGTCCATATCCTTCAACATCTGGTCTTAATTCCTATCTATTTATCTCATCACTAGGTCATTAATATTTCTCTGTTATCCCAAATATTCTTTTGCTTGCACAAATATTCTAGAACGCTAGAACACTCCTATTAATATGCAACCTATAAACAGATTTATGCAATTTTGCATCATTTATACCAAGGTCCAAAACCAGGTTTCTTTGAAATGTGTCATCCATCCAACATTGTTTCTGTTCCATACTTACTTTTGTGGGATCTTGTCATTTTATCAGACTTCATAGAGGAATCCTTGACACGGTTGTGGTACTCTACAAGGAATGTTCTTTCATGTTCAAAGAAGTCATCTACATCCTGCATAGCAATACAGAATCATTTTTCAAGGATGCAATTAGCCATTGGCATCCTTGCCTACAGCAAAATAGAACTGTTTTCAACAAACAAATGAGGAAGCCCCAGGACAGAAAGAGCAACAAGGTGGCCGTAGTTCACTGCAGGACTTAAAAGAGCAAAAGGAATGAAGACATTCCATCGTGGTAGCTATGAGACAAGACCAATAAAAATAATCTGTCTGAAATTAGTTTACATGCTGGAAAACTTGGGTAAAGGGGAAGAAAAAATAGTCTCTTGGCAAAAGAGGCATCAAATTTAACACCAGGCAACTCGCCCTGGGAAGGAGATTTTGCAGAAGGCCTGGGGAAGTAGAGCTTGGAAGGAACTCTAAGAGTTACTTTATCAGGCATGTGGAACCAGTGGCCAACAATAGTTTTTAAAACCAGGCTCAGTATCAAAAGTATCTACGCACTAAAAATTTTATTCAGTTGTCTCTTCATGTCTGATGGGTTACCATGGGAATGGTATAAGAAGTTAAAATGCATCAGTAAAATTCTCCATGTACTTCCTGCAAGCTAGGAGATATGTAGAGAGTGTAAGAAATGCCTTCACCTGAATACTATGGCACTCGATCAATATTCAACATAGCACAGAAGCAATTTTTTGCAGAACTCATCAATACTGAAACGGTGATGGATAGAAACTCCTAAAGGTAATATTTTTAATCACTGGGACTATGATAGTCCATGAACTTTTCAGAAGGTGAGGGTCCACATTCCAAACACAGCCATTTGGATACCACATTTCGGCATGCAAATCCCTGAAGTTTCAATTCCAGTATGGGAAACTCAATGCTGGAACTACCGTATTATGTGTGAGTTTTGCAATCATATATTACTTTAGTTGCAAGTATAAGACATGGAAAGTATAAACTGAAGTTATTTCCTTGGCAAGCATTTAACAGATAGATTGATTGATTGCATGCATGGAGAAAGAAGCTCTCTAGAAGGCAAAACCAGTTAAGAACCAGCTTGCAATTTCTACTCCTGAAATAATTGCAACTGCATATTCCTTCTGGAGAGCTACCAAGATCCAACACTGCCCAAGGACACCACTCCTGAGCAATGTCCCCTTCTAACTCCCACAACAGCCTTCATAAATGTTTCTTGCAACATGCTCACAATATGAGTAAAACCTGCCACTTTTTAAAAATGGAGATGTTCTGTAATATTACTGTTACATGGAATACAAATAATCTATGGAAACTTCTTGAGCTCGCTTATTGGCTACTAGTCACAATGACTGTGTACTACTAGTATCTGAGGCGATATGCCTCTGATTACCAATTACTGAAGAGCATGAGAGGGACAGTGCTGCTGCTCTCATGTCCTGCATCTGGCTGGCTAATATGAGAGCACAATGAGGGACTAGACAGGCCTTTGGCTTGATCCAGAAGGGATTTTCTTATGTTGGTCTCTTGCCACATGCCCATTGGCAAATCTGTAGAATATTCACAAAGGAGGTACAGATATATTAAATGGCTAAATAGGAATCACCTTTACTCCAGAAACTATCACACCATCTGCAGACTTAACCATGTTTTTGAAGAAGTCTTCAAGTTTCTCCTTCTTATTTTTCCCACGGACACTCAACTGGAATACAGAAAAACACAACATCTGGTTACTGTGTCGCCTTTCTTCAGCATTCTTGCATCTGTTCTAATTTTATGTTATCCCGAATCCATTTTATGGTTGTGTGCCACAAAAGTATTTTTTTAAAAAATAAAATACTTAGTCCAAGCAACTTTTGTTTTCAGAAAGTCAAAATGTAATAGTAAAAGTAATTCTACATACAGATCAGTGGGATAAACTTGGATTAAATCCTGTTATTTGTTGTTGGCAGCTAATTTAATTATGCTTCTTATAAAATTTCTGTCCTGAATCTACTGCCAATCAGTTAGGAATATCAGTCCACTGGTTCATCTAGCTCAGGATTGCCTAGAACAGGGGTTGTCCACCTGGTCCCTACTGCCCACTAGTGGGCGTTTCAGGATTCTAGGTGGGCGGTAGGGGGTTCTACGGCACAAGCTGAATCCTCCTGCTATCGAGCACTGGTGGGCGGTAAGGAAATTTTACCATCAAGAAAGATGCATTAGTGGGCGGTAGGCATAAAAAGGTTGACCAACTCTGGTCTATATCCATGGTTCCCAACATGGGGAATATAGACCAGTGGTTCCCAGAAAAGGCTGGGAACCACTGGTCTATATTGACTGGCAGGGGCTCTCTAGGGTTTCAGACTGAGGTGTCTGACCCCCAACTTGTACCTTTTTCATTGCTATCACACCATCAGCTTTTCACTGAGCTATCCATCATAAGCAAGATCTGTCCTGTAATGTCACAGCCAGTTCAGACCCCATCACTGCATACATGAAATTAAAATTTTTGTCCCGGTCTGCATCATTTTACAATTATAATGAATCCCAGTTATATTGTATGTCATTTTAAATGTGTTTGTGGAAGGGGGCTTCTTGGTTTGTTCTTGATCTTATTATGTATTTTGTGTTCTTTTGTATTTTTATGTTGTGAACAGCCTATGATCTTTGGATTAAGGGTGCTACCTAAATGTAATAAATAAATAAAAAAAAATATTTTGCTTCTCATTCACCCAATTGCAGAAGATTCTTTTGGAGATTTCCATGGTCCCCTTAAGCTATCCTGAGCAACTTGCTGTTGCTTGAAAACACATCTGCCTCAGGACTTGCTTTTGACTCGAGATCAGCCATGAGCAAGTCAAATTCATAGCCCCACAATTCATATCTTTGGGGGAATCCTACTCCTTAATTTCTTCCATTGGGATAATTGTTCATCTATCCCTACTCTGTGCTTCCTGCTCTTTGACCAATTTCCATAAGAAGACCTGTACCCTTATTCCATGAGAAAGTTTACCTTTTGATAAAGGACTCTGTCAAAAGGTTTTAGGAAATCCGAGTTAGATCACCTCATCAAGATGACATACTCAGAAATTCTAAAGGTTTAGAAAGGCAAGGCTTGTTACAGAAACTATGCTGATGTTTCCTCAGCTGGATTTGTTATATACATGCTTAATTCTCTCTTTAAACAATACTTCCTGCTAATTTATCCATTAGTTTCTCACACTGTATTTGAAAATAAGGGGACCTTTGTTCTTTATCTTATTTCAAAATAAGATAAACTTATTTATAAATCTTATGACATACAAACTGTCGTAAATTGCTCCAACAAATGAAATATACTCACATCCTGATTATATTCCAAGAAGACATGGAAATTTAAGTCTTTTCTCAAAATGGGATGAGCTGCTACACGACACAAGAAGACTTCATGCATGGCTACGGTCTTCTTGAAGATTGCCAAATACTCACTAAATATTTTAAAACAAACCAACAGCAGAGGTACAATTATAGAAGTAGAATTTCTACATTAAGTACAAAACATTTCAGCCAGTAACTTACAACAGACTGTTGACTTTCAAGCACAATGCAGTACGTTGTATTTAGTACCCACCCATTTTTTTTGGCCCATGTTGCTAGATCACGATGTTGCCATTACAATGGGAGCCACAAAAGAAGTAGAATTGCGCTTTCAAGGTCTACACTCTAGGCTTCACAACTCTATAGCCATAATTCACATCCCTCAGACCTCTAAAACCTCCCTTGCCTCTGTATTTCAGTTCTGGCAATAATATAACAGTGTTTCTGTGCTGTGAATGTATTTTATGACCCAGTCCTTTCTTCGTGTCTCTACCACCTATTATTTGCTGAGGTCCCTGCTTTCCCCTGCTTTGATATACTTCCTTTGGCCCTTGTGAACATTTGCCATGCAAATGTTGAAAATAAGCTTATAAATAAATATATCCTCTCAGAATTGTTTCAAGGCTTAAAACACTGCATCAAATTCATCCAAGCTAGTATAGGATTCAAAATGTGATTACATTCTTTTTCAAAAAAGAAATGTAGCTTCTCTCGCATTGAGCATCTCCCCACCCAACCTTCCATGCTTCTTACCATTTTGGCCATTACATGTACACTTTTCATCATGATAATTTACTAGTTACTTGCTTGGGGGTCATTGCTCAACTCTGCTTCTTACAGTGGAAGTGACTAAAAAGTACTAGAAAGCTGGAAGAACAGGAAGTACTAAAATATACACATACGCTTCTAGTTCTTGCTTCATCTTGGTGAATTCTTCCTTAGTCATCGATCCTTCTCCTTCACCAAGCTTCTGTAATTTCTCTCTTGAGGCATCAAAATCAGGCCTTGGTGGTGCTGGTGGAATCTGTCAAATGAGTACATCAGAATGTACTTCTGAATTCTTGTCAAAGCAAAAACTTTCTGAACCAAGATACAATAAGCTGCTTATGAACCTGGATACAAATATTTCTCTCCATGTGACAACCACCTTCCTAGGTCTCATGCCATTTAAGTGGAAGGAGTTCCTAGCTAAAACAGAGTATATCCTTCTGCTCCAGCCTACCCTTCCCCTTTAAAGCCACCAGATAAAATGCCACCAGACTGGCTACCTGCAGATACAGATTCCTTCTGCCTTTGGCAGGCCCCTCCCACTAGGCTATAGGTAGTCATGGAGCCCCTCAGACAAGAGATGTGCCAAACTTCTCTTCTGTAATGAAATTCCGTCTTCCCAGCTGAACCCCAGGGGCAGTTCCAGGTTTCACAAGTTAACCTTATAATTCCCCAATGAACAGACAAGAAAGATATTTCACACACAAAGAAGATATGTATCCCCATATAATACATAACAGTTAACCCAATAGCTCAGTTGGTAGAGTACGAGACTCTTGATCTCAAGATTGTGGATTTGAGTCCCATGTTGGGAAAAAGGTTCCTGCTCTGCAGCGGGTTGGACTAGATTACCCTCGCAGTGCCTTCCAACTCGACAATTCTGTGATTCTATAATTTAACATCAAAAAATTGAGCGAATCCTAAAAACCTCTTTCAGGTATATATCAAAGGAGATGGACGTATTGTCCATTCAAGTAAGGACAATATAAACAGTCCTGGACAGTAAAGTCTAATTGCTTCACACTCCATGCTACCAAAGTTGTTGGGGGAAAATGTTGCCTCATGATAGAGTTAGCTGTGCATATAGATGTGAAGTGTTATTTTAAAAATGTAATTATTTGCTTGTACTATATTTAAAGCTGCTGCGCTTGATTCACCTATTCTAATTAGTGGGCTTCTTAAGGTTAGATTTAGTTCCTAATATTACTTTTAATGTTTAACAAAAGCACTTTTAATGTTTAACAAAGCATTAAAACCCAAAACGGTCAGTATAAAGTTTTAGAACAACTAGGCATCACACATTCACATACCTTAGTACAGAGAGCTTTTCAATAGAAATTATTCTTCTTGGCAGTTCTGAATTTATTTAGAAGTATTCCAACAAAAATCAGACAGGATTACTGGAAAGTCTATACCACAGACAAGTAACTTTTAAAAAGTCACTGCACTTTAAGTCCTAATCACTTACCAGTGACAAACCACAACATTCAAACACAATGTCAAATTTATACATGAAACAATTCACAATCCTCAGCAATTTTTCTACAAAGTAAAATTGATGAGATCATAAGTTACACAATATATAAACCTCAAGAAAATTAGCTGAATGCTTTGCTGTGCAGCAGCAGAAGCAGAAAGGTCAAATGCTAGGCCCCAGGAGATCACCCGCCAGCCCCTAGTGCACTGACACATACAGGCCTCCTGCACTTAGATTTCACCCACTACAGTGGTGCCTCGCAAGACGAAATTAATCCGTTCCACGAGTCTCTTCGTCTTGCGGTTTTTTCGTCTTGCGAAGCACGGCTATTAGCGGCTTAGCGGCTATTAGCGGCTATTAACGGCTTAGCGGCTTTAAGAAAAAGGAAACAAACTCGCAAGAACTCGCAAGACATTTCGTCTTGCGAAGCAAGCCCATAGGGAAATTCGTCTTGCGGAACGACTCAAAAAACGCAAAACCCTTTCGTCTAGCAAGTTTTTCGTCTTGCGAGGCATTCGTCTTGCGGGGCACCACTGTATCAGTGTTATTATGTAGCTATTCTAGCGAAGCAACTATTCCAAGCAAGAAGCTTTGAATGAGAGATCAAAGCACCAACATCTTCCTAAGGAGAGGTATAAGGACCACTAGAGCAGTCCTGCTCTTCCAGGTGCTGGAGCAATGGTTCATCAATTAACTACTACGCCAAAGAATAACTCAGCTGTTTTAGAGGGTGCCCTGCTCTGCCCTACTTGACAGAGTATATCAATTTTGCTGTGGCGGGCATTAGTTTCCCACGAATATGCAAGTTCTTTAAAGTTGTAAAGAATTTTATGATTCACTTTAAAAGCTAGTGCATCTTTACTTTTCAACAGGAAATATGGGAGTTCAGTATTTCCTTTCGTCAGATCCTCTACTTACAATTCTTTGGAAAATAAGCACTTACAATGTAGCCTGCATAATCTTCATTCTCCACAAAGGAATCATGAAGCCAAATAAACTCTTCATGTTGTCGGACAACTGAAAATTCATTTTGTTTAAAATTTGGTAAAGAACTCTGCAAAACAACAACAAAAAACGAGGAAGGAAGTAGTAAATGACACAAGCTAAAAATTCAATCACTTAGTTTTACTGCAAAAAATTAAACACTATCTTTAATTATATGAAATGCATACAATACTCAGAAAAGCAATAATGTACTTTCTGTCCTAAAACAAATATTTAAAAATCTTTTTGCTAAATTGTGCGCCTCAGACACAATAAATGAAACTAAGGACAATAGAAAACATGCTTTTCTAACAGCATGTTGGACTACTTGAAACGCTATATTTTAAAAAACCCACAACCAATCAAATCAATATTTTCACATACATGATTGTATGTGTGTGTATTTTATACACACACAGTACACCACATATAGAGCTAGAATTTTTGACAGACAACAAGTGTGTTTTTCATCCTAATCCTAAACATTTTTATGTGATTTAGTCCTACTGAAACCAAGAGAACCAAGAGATATCTAATAAATGTGATTGTGGCCTTGAATGAGAAGCTATTATTTTGTCTGTTGATAGATAGTTTTATAAATAAAAATTCATCGAACAGAAGTAAAATACCTAGACCTCAAGCTGGTTTTACCTTTGTATGGACGGTAAACTTCACTTTGTCCCTTTCACTAAGGGCATCAGAAATATCCACTTGCAAGGCAGCATCAGTTTGCAGATCTACAGTGACTGCTCTAAGCTAAAGAAAAAAAGGAGTTCACGTTTATTTAAAGCCATAAAACAAGATTAACAGAAGTTCAGACTATAGTTTTGTATGCCCTTTAGTTTTAGAAATAATAATAATAATAATAATAATAATAATAATAATAATATTTATACCCTCCCCAGCCAAGGCCAGGCTCAGAGCGGCTTACAAGCAATAATAAAAACAAGTTGAATGCTTACAACTTAAAAACAAAATTAAAATACAACATTAAAATATTGAAACATTAAAATATTAAAATGTAGCCTCATCGCAGGAGGAGAAGGAAAATAAAAAAGAAAGAGAGGGAGGGAATCAAATTGGCTCCAAGCCAAAGGCCAGGCGGAACAACTCTGTCTTACAGGCCCTGCGGAAAGAAATCAGATCCTGCAGGGCCCTGGTCTCATGAGGCAGAGCGTTCCACCAGGCTGGAGCCAGAGTTGAAAAGGCCCTGGCTCTGGTTGAAGCTAATCTAACTTCCTTAGGGCCCAGGACCACTAGGGTGTTGCTATTTATGGACCTTGAGGCTCTCCGTGGGGCATACCGGGAGAAGCAGCCCTGTAGGTACGAGGGTCCTAGGCCGTGAAGGGCTTTAAAGGTCAAAAGCAGCGCCTTAAATCTGACCCTGTACTCCACCGGGAGCCAGTGCAGCTTGAAAAGCACTGGGTGAATATGCTCCCATGGCAGAGACCCCGTGAGGAGCCTCGCTGCAGCATTCTGCACCCGCTGGAGTTTCTGGGACAGCTTCAAGGGCAGCCCCGCGTAGAGCGAATTACAGTAGTCTAGCCTGGAGATGACCGTCGCATGGATCACTGTGGCCAGGTCGGGGCGGGAAATATTACAACAAAAGGAAACATTGTAAGTCATTTGTTGATGTTGTTTAGTCGTTTAGTCGTGTCCGACTCTTCATGACCCCATGGACCAGAGCACGCCAGGCACTCCTGTCTTCCACTGCCTCCCGCAGTTTGGTCAAACTCATGCTGGTAGCTTCGAGAACATTGTAAGTCATAGACCAGGTGAAATTAGTGTAATATATAACTAACTAAACACTCTCCATTTATTTTCTTTTTAGCTTTAGTAAGCCAACATAGAATGCAATCCTATTCAGAATGTTATCTAAAGTTCCATTTAAACAATATGGTAGGCACTCAAGCCATTTACCTATGCTGAATTCCAAGCGGTTCGGTTTTTTTAAAAAAAGGGCAGAGCGCCAAATGAGGGCAGAGCATCAAATGTGAATTTTAGAGTTTTACCATAGGCTAGTTTCTATACACACTCTCACATCCTCCATCTAGGCAAGTAAAACCCTGAATGGAGTTCAAGGACATATCCCAACTAAGCAAAAACACTCAAGGAGGGAGCAAAGTAGGGCTGGTGAGGGGTGCAGTCCAGGGAAAAGTTCTGAAGGCCAGATAGAAGCTGGAGGGCTGATGTTTCCCATCAATGAAGTATATGAACAATACATATAGCAACTAGCTGAAAAGAGATAAACTTTAATGCACAATGCTCCATGGTTTACCAACTCTCTAGAGTGGACAAATTACTCCCAACAGCCATTTTTACATTTAATAACCTAAGAGGGCCATATTGCTGCATTAACCTTAGAACTGTAGGGAAAATGCTTTCCAAAACACCCTTTAAAACCCATTCTTGGCCAACCACATTAGTTTTCATGCTGCAGTGGATTTATACTGGAAAAGGGGCTTAAACGGTCCCATAAATGAAGCTGAAGGCTTTACCATGACTTTTGACACCTGAGATGTGGGTGTTTTTCAGGATCCACCCTATCCCCATGACTCTAATTTGTTTTAACTCTTTTAAATAATTAATTTTAAACTGTTGTAACCTGCCCTGGGACCTGCTTGTGAAGGGCAGGTAATAAATTTAATTAATAATTGGAAAGGGTCATAAACCATGTGTGCTTGTTTCTCTGTTAGAATTTTAAGTAGTCAGGGAGGTGGTGATAATAAACTCATGGGGCTTCTGGTGAGCAGGTCCGCTCTAGAAACTTAAAGGCTTCACCCATCTACCCATCTTTATGCAGCTGCCTCCTTCAGCACTTGCACCAAACATCCTAAGGAAGAATAACACTACTCATCTATACATTGCCAGCAGTTCCCTAATCACATTCCCAGAAAAAAATAAAACACATGAACTAAACATTAGAGCCTTGCTTCTTTTTGAAAGAAATGCACACTCAAATTTACATAACCATAAGAACCTCCTTTTTAAAAGTTACCACATAAAATAAAGCTTTGCACTAATTGTGCTGAAAACTGCATCCCTGGTCCAGACCTTTCAGTAAGAGCCCACGTTTTCTTTTCTTCCAAAATAGTTTCCATGCATAAATCAAACTTGACATTTTATAATGTGTGGGCTTTGCCTTTGGGTCAGAAAGTAAGATTCCAGTCCTATTTTTTTCTGTTTCTCATGCAGCACCAGATCATATAAGAAAAGTTTTAATATTTGCAGCAGCTCAGTTAAAGCACAATGTAATGACAGCACTTTTGTCATCTGCAAGGGTAAGTACCCTGCATTAACCTGTTTCTACAGAGCACTGTAACTGGACTTTTAAAACAAAGGTTCTGGGGCAGAGCAGCAGATGTGTATGTGTGGAAACACACAAGACACAGAAAAAGACTTCCAAAGGCTGAAATCCTAAACAGTATTTCCCAGTCCCACTGCACTCAGTAGGACTTACTTCGGAGTTTCGAACCAGGCTGTTAGCAACAGGAAGCCCCACCCTAATGAGCAGTTCTCTATCCTCAAGAGAACCTAAGTGGAAAAGCAATGTTTGTTCAAACACTGAATCTTGAGCAACATTTATACTCCAGAACTCTTGTCTGCATCACTCAATACATTCTCAAGACCAATTGCTAAAATACTTGTGGTCTGGAATGATTAAAAAAAGAAAACATTTAAAACACCTATTTTTCCCACTTACAGCAACAAAGAAAGCTTCTCTGGTATCCTATGTGCAGCACTACGCCACTAGTTCAGCCCATGTTGCATGCTACAGTGCTGAACTTATATAGGCCCAGTTAATCCATATGCTCCTATTCATCGGGTTTTGTTGCTGCCGTCGGCACTGTTGGCACGTGGCGAATCCCGTCCAGAGATATTTCCTCCACTGCCGCTTGCATTCCCCGTCATTCTGCGCTGGCACCCCACGTTGGGTGGCACTGGGAGCGTGCGCCGACAGCGGAAAAGCCAGCAAAGGAACCCGCAGCTCAGCATATGCAATATGCCGTGCAGCGCCCATGTTATATGGTGCTCTGAGCACGGTCCCGAAACAATTAGCTGCCATGCAGCTGGGGCAAGAGCCGACAGCCGAGCAGAGCAGAGCCCGTCAGAGCGCCGCGGGCTCTTCTGCTACAGGCGGCTCGGCGCGAGTTCAGGGGTGAGTGTTGGAGTCTGGGGAAGAGCCGCCCGCAGCAGAAGAGCCCACAGCGCTCCAACGGGCTCTGCTCCACTCGGCTGCCGGTGGCCCTTCCCCAGACTTCAACACTCGGCCATGGACTCTCAGCTTGGCATCCCTGAGAGCCCGGCGACCAGGTGCCATGCACCCCTAGCGGCAATGGTTAAGACGGCCCTGTTCAAACACAACATTAGACAAGCTTGGGAGTTTCAAAGTGCTTGTGTGCATTTTGGTAAAGAAAGCTAACTAAACATGCTAAATTGGATCACCATAGAGTAAGGCAGTCCAACTTTTCACACCAAGTGGGCCACAAGAGTTCTTTGACACGGAACTTGTGGGCCATACACTGCCTTGTTGTACAGGGTTGGGGAGAAGCTGTGAAAGTGCTAACTAGACTTTAGGAAGGAGATGGGAGGAATCTAGGACTATATCAGAACCCTCCTGCCTCCTTCCCAAAGCCCAGCACCTTGCTTACTTGGCTTTGGGAAGACAACAGGAGGGGTGGGGTGGGGTTGGCATCAAATGTTGCTCAAGGACACCCGAAAAAGGTGTAGAGGGCTGCATGTTGGCCCACCCTGCCTAGAGCGTTAGACATTTTTCCAGTGCAAAATTCTTTTCTGATACAAATTACTTAAATTCACATAGGATTTTTCCCAAATTGCAGCTTCCCAGAAAACCCACATCACTGTATTCAAACACACAGAGATACAAAATAAAATAAAAGTTAAATAGCAGGGCCACAGTCTATTCAAAAATTCTGTAAGCATACCCCATGGTCCTTCTTCGAAGTCTTAATTCTCCTTAAGTAAAACACTTTCTAATCAGCATAGAGAACAAACTGAAAGTTGAAGGAACTCAGTGAACTGTTAGGGAATAACTTATTGTCCTTCTGAGTACTGACTTAAGAACAATGCACTCAGTTCACCATATGGAGTTTGAAACCTCTTTCCAAAGAAAAGTGACTCAACGGATGGTCTAGCAATACAGAAGGAAAAGCTGAAACACAAACATGACTTGCAGAAACAGACTAGAAGTCAAGTGGAAATTGAGAAAAGCCTGTATTAGGGAATATAACGGGAAATGAGCAGAAAGAATTCAATTATGCAAAACTGTTAGCAACATTGGTAGGTATTTTTAAAGAATAACAAGAGCAGCCTTGCTAGGTCAGACCAAATGTACATCTAATTCATCATCCTGTTCTCACAGTGGCAACAGATGCCTATGGAAAGACTGTGAATAGGACCTGAATGTCACAGCTTCCTCACTGGTAATACCCAGAAGCATGCTACTGACCCATAAGAGGATCTTTCCTCTTATTCCACAACTACTAAAGTAACTCAGGAGTCTTTGGTAACCAACATTATCAAAAGCTTTTAAAAAGTATAAGTACACCATGTTGGCTGGGTCACCTTTATCTATTTGCTTATTGACACTTTTAAATAATTCTAAAAGGTTAATGAGACATGACTAACCTTGAAGTAGGCATGCTGGTTCTATTTCTACAACGTTGGTTCTTCTATATGCTAAGCTATAACCCATCTATAATAATACTTTCCACCAGTTTACCAGTTTCCATGGAACAGACATTCTTGTTGTTCTTTGCTAAAAATATAATGTCCTCCTCAGATGGATAGCTCAGTGGGTTAGACCATGGTGCTGATAATGCCAAGGTTGCAGGTTCAATCCCTGTATGGACCAGCTGCATATTCCTGCATTGCAAGGGGTTGGACTAGATGATCCCCAGGGTCCCTTCCAACTCTACAGTTCTATGATTCTATGATTCTATGATTTTTTCCACCCCGCTTACACTTCTTTTGCTAACGTTTGTGATACTTTCTGTTTTCCTCAATTAAACAAGACACTATCTGGAGAAAGCTTTCTTGCCTTTAAAAGCTTCATTGGCTCTGCTTGTTAACCACACTGGCATCTCTTAGCCCTGATTGTACCTTTCATGATCTGCTGCAGCTTCTAATATTGTGGTTTTGAACAACCCCCACATGCATTCTAGATATATTTTACCCTCTTCACTTTCCCTTTAAACTTTTTTTTTAAACCAACTCCGTTGTTTTGGGGACATTTCCTTGTCTGAAGTCAGAAATTACCGTGTTTGATTTTCTTGCCAATTGTCCACTTACATGTATGTTGAATTTGATAGCACTATGGTCACTAACATAGCTGTATTCCTAGCATCTAAGATGTTCACACTTTATATCAAAACGTTCCGCTTTTAAACAAATCACCCGAATGGCAATTTGGGACTGTAAGAACCCAATTTTCTGTATTCATATGATGCCCTCTTATCAAACTGGTAAAAATAATAGTGCATGGTAGTCTTGGAATTAGAGCAAGGAAATAGGATGCAGCAACTAAACCAGACAAAACAGTGAAGGTTTGCAAGTTTAAAACTGAGAATAAGACTTATAAAGCCTAGCCATTATTTACTTGGTTAGAAAAAACTAACAGAACTTGGGCTATGCTGCTTACAAACAGTCTTTAAATGTTCGTAGAGAACAATGATTTTTTAAAATAAAAGAGTTTTGTTTATAAAGTTACACTTGCATAGCTGTCAACGTTTCCCTTTTTTTAAGGGAAATTCCCTTATTCCGAATAGGATTCCTCGCAAGAAAAGGGAAAAGTTGACAGCTAAGCACTTGCTACTTTTATTCTTGTATGTGCCACTCTCAAAACTTGGCAAGTCATAGGATTCTTACCAGCATGATAGGTTGAGTAAGAAAGAAAAACTAAAATAGTAAATTAAAAGAAAAGCTATGTTTCAAATGTTACTTCACTTTCCAAATTAACCCTGCAATATGAGGGTGGGGTAGGGAAAACTATTTATAATAATTATGAACAGTTGTGCAAGTTTGCCCGACTCCCTTAGGGGAGAAGTTCCGCGTAAAATAATAAACTAGAAATTTCCCAAGAAATGCTTATAATGCTGCAGAAGTTCTCACTTTGGGCTAGTTTACAGAACCAGTTTTGCATCCACATGAAGCTCTCCAGAAGAGCAAAGAAACTGGGCCAACAACACAGAACTGCCACATTTCCAAGGCAATTCCAGTGTCTGTAGCAAATAAATTGTTGTTTCAGCTGAGGTAATTGCTCCTTAAAAAGCTGGCTATAGTCATTAAAAACACAGTTCATATGAAGCAATATTTATGCAAGCAGATATTCCCTGTACAAAATATTCTAGGATCATTTTGTTATGACAAACCTGACCTTGTGAATGGTTTGGTAGACAAACATCCCATGCTCCTGAAGAAGTAGACTGTAGACTACAAAAGGCTATGTAATTAACTATTTAATAAGATAGTAAGAATGTCATCATGCTGCAGTTGGCATGGCTGCCAAGTGGCAGCCATGCCAACTGCAGCTTGTCAAGAGAACAGCAGGTGGGTGGCCCAGGCAGATGGGAAGGCAGGTGAGCAAGTGACTTGGGCAAGCCATAGAAGAACAGCCAGGACAGCTCCACAGCAATCATCCTGCTCTGCTGCCGCTACCCACCTCACACTGACAACACCATTTCAGCTTCTGCCGCGTTGGAAGCTGAAGAAGAGGGAAGTGGCAGTGGAGCAAGACAGTGGCTGTAGAGCTGCCCCTTTCTGCCTTGAATGTTTCTCTGTGGCTTGCCCAGGCTGCGGTTTGGACAAGGTGCAAGATGAGGGAAGGGGGCTGCACAGCTTGGAGAAGATTGGTTTGGCAAGGTTAAGGAGGAGTTGGGGGTTGGTGAGGGTTAGATTTATTTGGAAAGGTGCAAAGGGAGGGGGGATGATCAGATGTAAAGGGCAGAGAATGGGGTTGGCGAGCAAAATGAGCAGAGGTGGTAGTCCCTGATGCTACAGTAAATTTGTTAGAAAATTCTAGAATAATAGAGTTATATCACTGGCCTATCCAGCAGTTGTTCAGAGCAACCTAGAATAAAGCCTGCATTAAAAGAAAGGTGAAGAAAAGGTGGAATCTGAAATATAGCTAAAAGCCCTTGTCAAATGCAGTACATTTCATGCATTACATGGAGATGGATGCAGGTGGAAAAAATGTATGTTACAAAATTCTATTACAGACTTACCAAAACTTTGCATTCTACCTTTAAATGTACCAATTATTTAGATCGTTAAGAAAGCTAGGATACCTCTGATGTTTCTGAACACACAATCCTATGCTGAGTAAGGAAATGAATAGTCTCTCTAGGTGATGTACAGTAGAATATCACAGTTTTGGAAAAGACCTCACACACTTTTCCTGCCCAACATATACTAAAATATGAAGGGAATGTAGCAAACTAAAATGAGTTTTGTAACACTTTAAAGACCAATAGATTTACTGTAACACGAATTATGACTAAGCTACCCTGTGGTCTATTAATTGCTAGACAGTGTTTTGGAGAATATTTTGCATAGGGGGGTGTTCTTTCAGATTCCAAACCAGTTTAGGAAACAAAGTCTCTAAAACTTTCAATGGCACATATATTATTGAATCAGAAATTAAATCCTGCGAACATTCACATCCACATGTAAAAAAAAAATCTTACTAGATGTAGTTATGCATGAATCCTAAATAAGAGTATGGCACAAATATCATTTCGGATGCAGCTATCATAAAATGCTAAAATGCATAGGCACATGTGGGAGCAGAAGCTGGTTAGTGTGAGCCTGAAGCATTCTTGCACTGCAGGGGGTTGGACTAGAATAATAGAATGTTAAGAGTTGGAAGGGACCCCAAGGGTCATGTAGTCCAACCCCCTGCAATACAGGAATCTCAGCTAAAGCATCCATGACACATGGCCATCCAACCTCTGTTTAAAGACATCTAAGAAAGGAGAGTCCACCACCTCTCATGGGAGTGTGTTCCACTGCTGAACAGCTCTTACTGTCAGAAAGTTTTTTTTAATGTTTAGTCGGAATCTCTTTTCTTGCAACGGAAGCCATTGGTTTGAATCCTACCCTCAAGAGCAGGAGAAAACAAGCATGCACCCTCCTCCATGTGACAGCCCTTAAGATATTTGAAGATGGCTATCATATCTCCTCAGTTTCCTCTTTTCCAGGCTAAACATACCCAGCTCCTTCAAGTGCTCCTCATAGGCTGTTTCCAGGCCCTTGATAATCTCGGTTGCCCTCCTCTGCACATGTTCCAGCTTGTCAACATTCTTCTTAAACTGTGGTACCCAGAATTGGACACAGTATTCCAAGTGTGGTCTGATTAAGGCAGAATAGAGTAATACTATAACTTCCCTTGATCTGGACACTATACTTCTATGATCACAGCCTAGAATAGCATTAGCTTTTTTTGCTGCTGCATCACACTGTTAACTCATGTTAAGCTTGTGGCCCACCAAGACCCCTAGATCCTTTTCACATGTACTGCCAGGTGTCCCCCAGCCTATATTTGTGCATCTGGTTCTTCCTGCCCAAGTGCAGAATGTTACATTTGTCTCTATTGAAATTCATTTTGTCAGCTTGAGCCCAGTTCTCCAATCTGTCAAGCTCATTTGAATTCTGATTCTGAAACCTCCTAGTTTGGTGTCATCTGCAAATCTGATGAGCATCGCCTCAATCCCTTCATCCAAATCTTTTATAAAGACGTTGAACAACGGGCCTAGGACAGAACCCTGTGGCACCCCACTTGTCATTTTTTCCAGGATGACAAAGAACCATTAATGAGTACTCTTTGGGTTTGGTCAGTCAACCAGCTACAAATCCTCCTAACAGTTATCTCGTTCAACCCACATTTTACCAGCTTCCTCGAGAGAATATCATGAGGGACTTTATCAAAAGAACTACTGAAATCAAGATACACTATGTCCATAGGATTTCCCTGATCCACCAAGTTTGTAATTTCATCCAAAAAAGGAATGAGATTGGTCTGGCATTACATTTTTGAGAAACCCATGCTGGGTCTAAGTAATCACAGCATCCTTTTCCAAATGCTCACAGACCGACTGTTGAATTATCTAGATTCAGGTAGGTAGCCGTGTTGGTCTGACGCAGTCGACATAAATAAAAAAACTGTCCAGTAGCACCTTAGAGACCAACTAAGTTTGTTCTGGGTATAAGCTTTTGTGTGCATGCACACTTCTTCAGATACCTGAAAATGGGGACATTTGCCCAGCTCCAGTCTGTAGGGACCTCACCTGTTCTTCAAGAATTCTCGAAGAAAAAAGGCTCAGAAATTACATCCGCAAGCTCCTTTAGTACCCTTGGATGCAGCTCATCAGGCCCTGGGGATCTGAATTCATTTAAAGTAACTATGTATTCCCTTACTACCTCTTTTCCAATCTTGGGCTGCAGCTCCCTCCCTTGCTTTCCTTTTGGGTGAAGACAGAGGCAAAGTTGAGCAGTTCCACCTTTTCTCTGTCACCCAACAGCATTTCTCTGTGTTCCCCATGCAGAGGACCTACCACTTACGGTACTTGTTCTTCCTCTTACTTTGGACATAGCTGAAGAAACCTTTATTATTATTTTTAACTTCTCTTGCAAGCCTGAGCTCATTCTGAGCTTTAGCCAGCCTGACTTTCCCCCTGCAACTGTTGACTACTTGTGTTTACTCCTCCTTTGTGATTTCCCCTTTCTTCCAGTTCTTATACATTCCCTTCTTAACACATAAGTTACGGTTCTTCAAGGGACAGAAAGATCCTGATCATTTCTATTCAGTATGGTGGGATTTTATTTCATGTAGTCTTGTTTTAGATTTCTTTCCTCATGTCATCTACAGAAATATGGTTGCTAGCATTGTTTTTTTCTTTAATATGTATAGGTTTTTATGTCCTACCCTTAGCTGGATATATTATTGATTTTTTTATTGTTTACTTTGCTAAATAACAATTTGAAAACTAATTTAAAATGTATACCAAGTTTAAAAGCAAATAAAGTGAAGGATAAAATTAATAAGAAAGTAAACAATGGTCTGGCAAGTTTTCTAAGATCAGTTTAAAAGTTTGGGGTTTTTTACACACACTTTTGGGATTACAAATATTAAACCAACAGAAACATGAGACTCCCCAAACTGTATCTGACAGAAAACAGCGGCAGAATCAAGAATCACCCACCATAGCTGTCCCATGTCTTGCTAGTCAACTGCTATGGGACAGAATAGTTTCCTTCAGCTTAAGTGGTCCTGCTGTACTCATCAAAATTTCGGCTTCTATTGTTACATAGCTTGATATTTCTTTTTAATATTTACTTCTCCAATAAAAGTTTCTTTTGATCATTTCCTGCTAAAAAAAATGCATGGGTCGACTATCTAAAACATTTTAAACCACTTATTATTGTTTATATATTTTCCTCAACGGACACATGACACTGGTTCTTTACTTTTGTTTGAAAGCCAGTTTGAATAGTCTCCAACTTTTGGGGTCTGTGGGTACACCAAATGTCCATTTCATGTAAGAAAAAACTGGTGATGCTCAGAACTTACCCCTCCCCCAACATCAACACATACTCCAGACCAAGTACAATACAGACAAAAAAGCCCCAAATGAGGCTCTCCCCCAAACAAAAAATATGACTCAAGTATAAATATAAAAAATTGGGAATGGCATGGGGCATGGAAGTGCTCAAGGACACCAGGTTGCTTATAGTCACCATGTTATGGACTCCAGGGTGTTGGACTTAGGTTGGGCTAAGAGATGGTGAAAGTCCCAAGGTCAACCAAAGAGTTTAATGGCTGAGTAGAGAATTCAACCTGGGGCTCCCCTGCCTAGTCACAAAATGAGCAAGGAAATGGATGAATCCTGGACACCACCGGGAGCTATTTGCGAGAAGATGGGGGGGGGGATATAGAATAAACAATCATTTTCTAGTCAAAAAGTATTTGAAAAAAATTGCTTTAAGCTTTTTCTGCATTTCTCAACAAAAGCAAAGGCACACTGCCTACCAATCCAAGAGGTTCAAACTACACCCACCGGTTTAAAGTGTGTCGCTCTGCAAAGCTGACCAAAAAATAAAATAAAATCAACAGGGGAGCTGCAGCAACAGCAAAAGTGTTTGCAGCTAGACCAACGGGGTGGTTTATAATATCTCAACTGCCTGCCGTGGCAGTTTCAATCAGAACGCAAGGCGGATTCGATGTTAATAATGAATAAAATGATAACGCTATTATATTTTAAATCCGAGAGGAGAACTCCGTTAAGAGTCACCAGCGTCAGCTCAGGATGATGGTGCATCCAGACCACCCGTGACAGCGCGGAGTTTTCAGGGAACCGAAGCTGGGCAGAAGGAGGAGGAGAACCGGGTGGGGGCGGCGAAGCCTCCCGGGAGATGATGCCGCCACCGCCGCCTCACCCCCCTCGCTTCCCCACCCACCGCCCCACACTCCGAAAGGGGCTGCGAGCCCCACACATCCGGAAGGAAACCTGTTCTACCGCCCCCCAGCCCCACCAGGGAAGAAAGCCCCCTCCCGTCAGGGGCGTCCAGCACTTACGCCTCGGTCCTCCTCGGAAAGGAAATCTGGGCCGTCGTCCGAGCCTTCCTGCTCCGAAGAAGAAAAGGGCGGAGGCGGGCGGCGGAGGCGAGAGAGACCGAGGCATCACCCACCGCGGACAGAGAAAGAGAGAAAGGAAACCGGTTAGTCCCGCCGGCCTCCGACCCCGCCGCTCTCCCCCGGCCGCCCCTTCCCCCGGCCAGAAGAGCTCACCACGGCGGCGGCGGGAGCTCCGCAGGAACCTACCATCATGGCTGCTCCCAGCCCTCAACTCCGTTCCCTCAGCAGCAAGCGCAGGCCTAGCCCGCCAGGCAGCCCAGACCGGAGGGGCGGGATTAAGGCGGGGACAGGCGGCGGCGGCGGCGGCGAACAAGGGGGCTCTGCTGAGCTCGGCGTCGGCCGTGGGTGTCCGCGGCAGCGTCTTATTTCTGGGCGAGAGACGGGCGTGTGGAGAGCAACGCCCGCGCGGTAAGTGAGGCTTGGTAAGTGAGGAGGCAGCAAGCCATGCTTCGCGCAGTATGTATGTTTAGGACAGGAACAATAAAAGGAAACACGCCGTCATTTCTTCCTCAGGAATCTTAACGCCGTGTAGGGAGGGCATGGTTTGCTCCCCGCACTTCAGGACCTTGGGTTTTGTGTCAGAAATGAACGGTGAAAAAGAAAGGGGGTGGGGGGAACGAATTGGACTCCATGGTCACTGTAATAGTTTGAGAGTCGCGTGCTCTGTAGGACTGTGGGCCGCAGGCGCCACTCCGGCAGCTTGCAGCTACACGGGTCGATCTATGCAGAAAGAGCGCGTGGTGCAGGTCTTGCCCTGGACTGCGGGTGGGGAAGTGCAAGTTTAAATGCTCCCCATCATGTGTCAGCATTTGACAGAGAAAGGCTTTCGTTTAGGCATCTCGGCACAGCTGCCCCGTGTTGCAACGTAAAAATACCCATTGAGAGGTTCAGGTATTGTCTCTCAGGCAGACGTTCTCCTCTGTCAAATGGGAATAATAATATCTACCAATTCCCACGCTTCCAAACTGTTTTATGAGGGCAAACACTTTGCAAATAAAGTACCATGGCTACAATCCTGTGCACATTTTACTCTCAATGTCTCTTCGAATTCAGTGAGATATACAGATCTAAGATTGCAGCTGTAAGGATGCATCTCCATTACTGAAAATCTTTATGCCCAACACAGCAGATGTGTTAATTTAACTCTTACCTGGACTTCAGAGGTGTAGAGACTACAGCCAGGTCAGAACCGCTCAAGTGATAAGGGATGATATCAACCCATACTGCTTCTGTTATAAAATACGTATTGGTCATGCTACTCCTATGACCATTACAACGGTGTTTATATGGTCTTTTTAAAAGAAAAAGAGAGATGCTTTGTGCAGCTATCTGCATGCTTTGAGGTCTGTATGAAGAGGTGGGAAGCCAAGCAAAAAAAAAAAAAAGAAGTCTAAGAAACAGGTGTTGCTTCACAGTTTCTCAAGGTCATTTGAAATCCAACATTGTGCAAGCAAACCTGTTCATGCAGTGGACTTCCCCTCCTATCCCCTGCACTCCCCCAAATCTGCTTGGATGGGGGCTGACCTTCCAAAGCAGATTTTGGAGGGTGCACAGGGGGCTGCAGAGGGGAGGAGAAAGAGTCCCATTGTACAAGTGGAAATCTGTTCCACTGGTGTACAGACACCATAGAATTAAACCCAAAAGCACAGCTAAATTTTTGGCCCAATCTTGTGACACACAAAACTGGGTAGAGGAAACAATTATGAAGAAACGTACGCTACTCCTGGGAACAGACTGAGCCTACTTAGCTGCCTCACACTTTTAGGGCTGGTTTTCAAGACAGGCAGAAAAATTGGTTGAATACCTACATTCTTGCTTCTGAAATGAGGAGAGTCCTTCATTTGAAGAATCGATAGGCCATATATCATCTGAAGGGCAGATGGCCAGAGGAAGGAACAGACAAAAAAAACCACATCTAAATCAACTGACATCACCATTCTTGGCTCTGGCTCAATTGGTTCTTCCTTCAGTCTTCAAACAAGTTAATGCCCTTTAGAAACTCAAGTGTGTGCCTCCCCAAAGGATCTGCCTCAGCAATGTTAAATATGCATATTATGTGAAAGCTCTGAACATATAATCCATTTCCATTTACTCCAGTCATTCCTGCCATCGTGATAACAAACCTTTTGTGAGAGGGACTGAGTAAGTAAATCATTAATATGGCTTATTGAGCGACTTTAGAAATGCCTTTTGTGTCCTCTGTGGTTAGCCTTCCAAAAACTTGTCTAACATAGAACACATTACAGATTTATAGCTGGGTTGAAATCTGTGGTTTTTGGCTGTATACACAAATATGTGAATCCGATAAAGTCAGTTGTGTTTTAACACACGTGATCCACACTCTGCCATAGCCCACTGCACATTGCTTACTTGCAATACACATTCGCATCAAAGGAGCCTGGCAATAAAATGGTGCTGTTGTTGTACAATTGCTAGCCTCATAGATGCATGGCCCAGAAATGGGAGTGTCACTGGAGTGTCCTGCACCTCAACCTGATTTGAGTGGTTCAAATACATACCTTGCAGCCATTCCTGCTTTTTTCCTCCTTCAAGTGACGCTGTAGGCACAGTAACAGCCTTGCAGGGACACATCTACCTTGCTCTTATTTAAAGCCTGCAGTGCTCTCTTTCAGCATTGTTCAGTCCTTCAAGTCCATGTTAGTGCCCTGAAGATAAACAGGATGTCAGGAACTGCTAAAATCTGTGAGTGGCTACTCCATGTGGTGAACCACTGAACTGCAAGTAGCAGCCTTTTCACTGAAGAACCAGACTGCCTCCACCCAGGCTTGCCTTGGGATCTTTCAAGCCTCTTTTCCCAACAGAATCACAGAATTGTAGAGTTGAAAGGGACCCCAAGGATCATCTCCTCCACCCCCTGCAATGTTGGAATCTCTTTGCCCCATGTGGTGCTCAAACCCACAACCCTGAGATTAAGAGTCTCATGCTCTATCAACTGAGCTATCTTGAATACTACAGTCTTTCTGAGCTGTATTGTGGTTGTTGCCTTGCTTGTCTCCTAGTTACTGGTTCACCCCAGACTGCTGCTCCACATCCTCTGTCCTTACACAGAAGCAGTATGAGCACTGCATTGCGCGCAGCTGACCTAACATTTGCAAATTTCAGATGTTCACAGTTCATAGGAAGCATGCTAATTAAGTTTGCTTTTTAAAACCAGCTTTTAATAAATAATTGGTGGATTTGGGGGGGGAATATTAAGTAAAATCTGAGAATGTAAATTGCAAATATTTTCTTCTTCTCAGAGCTGCACTCTTATACATATGGGCAGCTCTTAGCAACTCTGGACCGCAGTTGACACAAGAGAGCATGCCTAACCCTAAACCAAACAAGTATATTTACAGGTCAATTCCTTAATTAAGATGTTTAGTTGTATTCTTGTAAGCATTTACTTATCCAAAAGTAATTTTGACTGACACATTACCAGTGTGTTCTGGGTTACTTAGAGATGTTTACCTCACACTCAGATTAATGGCTCACAGAGAAGTAACAGTAGTTTTATATATATATAAAAAACCCGACCAGCAACACTCAAATACATAAAAACAGCTGGAGTGTAAAACATGGCCAAAAGATAATTCCTATTGGCTTAATTTTAGCCACCAGTATCCAACTAAGTAATGAAGAACATGTTCTGAGAGTTTAAACGTGGACAGAAACAATACTACAAGGGCAGGATTTCAGTGCCTGATAAAGCTTCTTGTCCCGCCCCACGATTGCTTGATTGATTTCTGCTACTGAAAACTGTAGAATTTTGCAGAGAGCAAGAGCGAGAGAGAACACACAGCCCTGACTATGTGTATTGTAGTAAGGCTTATGGTTGCATCTGTTGGTTTCTGCTTTCCTTCACTGTGCAGCTAACTTGTCACGAGACAGGTGTTTACATTCCACAGTCTGTACTGTTGGAGTTTCTCACGGGAAAGGGAGACTGGATGTGACGTACACTGGTTTCCTGTTTTTCACTGTGTGATTCTCTCCGAGCTGTCGAGGAGAGAGGATGCATTTCTCTGCTCCGGCAGAGGCAAGATGTCTTTCTGTAATATACCAGCTTTGAACTGTAAATAAAGCAATATAGAGTATGTAGCACGTATTCTTCATCCTTCCGCTGGGCACGACAGACTCTGCTTTAAATCAACACGTGGTTATGGGCTCCAGAGGTCGAATCGGAGTGCCGGCAAAGGATCGGAATGCAGAGGGACAGATCGGAACGGAATCTGCTCTGCGCGTAGAAGTGATTGATGAGGTATGTGCTACTGCTCCGGGCAGCCTGCCAGCTTCAAGTTAATGGCTTTATGGCTGGACTTTGAACTTTTAAAGCCGGTTTTGCCGGGAATAGGCAAAAGGCTCCCAGGCACAAGTCACTATGCTGGGGAAATCGAAGTAACTTTTAAGTGTGCCTTTGTAATAAGGCAGCTGCAGCAGTGACGCAGCAAGATTTAAAGCAGCATATGACGCTGAAGGCTAATGCCAGAGTCATGATGGCCCTTCAGGATGCTTGTGGGATTCCTAAGCTCAACAAGAAAAATTACGCCGACTGGGTTCAGTATGCAGAGGCAATTCTGCGGAAAGAGGGTTTGTTTGAGGTGGTTAAAGAAACCCCCAGTTCCAGTTACAGATGCATGGGAAGCTAAGGATTCCAAAGCAAGGGGAACTCTTACATTGATAGTATCCCCAGAAGAGCTCTGTCTATTGCGTGATAAGACCTCAGCCAGAGAAATTTGGGACGCTTTGAGAGAGGCTCACTTAAGGACAGAAGCTGGATCCACTATGTTTTACTTTAACAAGCTGCATAATATGGCTCTTGCTGAAGGTGGAGATGTGCGTTTACATCTGATGCAGATGCAAAATCTGAGACATGAGCTGCAACAGAGAGGACTCAACTTTCCAGAGGCTGTGTATTCTTTCATGATACTACAATCTTTGGGTTCAGGTTGGGAGTCTGTTGCAACCCAGATTGCTGTGCAACCAACTGCTCAGCTGACAGTGGACTTTGTTACTGCCGTGATTTTAAATGAAGCAGATCGCCGGGTGCTAGCTGCATGGGCAAGGGGAGTCTTCACAGACGTCATCCCATAGTGCAGTGGAACCACCAGATGGCGCCAAAGCTTTGAAGGCAGTGAAATGCTACTCGTGTGGACGTCTAGGCCATATGAAGAGGGAATGCAGACATCCCAGGGCCAAGACAGAGCAGCGCAGCGAAAGCTCATCGCGCGGAAAAGGCCGAGGCAAAGGCAAAGGTCCGGTGTCTAGGACAACGCAGCACAAGGCTATGGTTTCACGCTTCACTCCAAAGGTTGCAGAGGTCCAGAAGACGTCTAGATCTTTCTTCGTTGTTGATTCAGCGGCCACCCACCACATGTGCAACGATAAGAGACTGTTTGTGTCTTTTACACCGCAGGAAGGTGCGATTCACCAGGCGGATGACCACACTATTCCCAGTAAAGGCTACGGAACTGTTGTTCTTCACAGTTTGGACTTATCGATACAGAATGTGCTTTACGTGCCAGACGCCAAACATAATCTGCTCAGCGTTGGACAGCTGAATGAGCGGAACATTGACGTTTCCTTCAAGAACAAGAAGTGCATCATCACAAAGAAAAATGATTATGTATTGCATGCAGAATATGTTGATCGTTTGTTTGTTTTGTATTATGATGATGTGGTGCAGGATGACACTTGTTGCATTGCAGGTTCTAACAAAAGTTTGCATGCAGAATGTATTCACGATTTTCATCGAAAATTTGGTCATTTGCATTTTGAGGCAGTATCTAAAATGCCTGCCTTGGTTGAAGGTATGACTATTAAACCCTGCAGGTACCACATGAAGTGCAAAGCATGCGCAGCAAACAAAGTGAAAATGGCTGCGAAAGGTAAGGTGTCTAGTAGGAAAGCTACAGAACCATACCAGGTTGTTCATGCTGATTTGGTTGGACCACTAGCGCCCTCTTTGGGTGGAAATAGATACTTCATGGTTCTCATTGATGCATTTTCTAGATATATTTTTGTGTACAATCTCAAGCAGAAATCGGAGGCTTTTCCTAGGTTCAAGGAATTCTGTGCTTGGTTGGAAAATGTGCATGGTAAGAAGATAAAGACTCTTTTCAGTGATCGCGGGGAATTCACTCTCAGCAGTTTGAAGCTTTTCTGACTGAGAAAGGAATTCAACACGATTTGTCTAGTCCTCGCTCGCCATGGCAGAATGGACTTGCGGAACGGGCAAATCAGACATTGCTTCAAGGGTTAAAAACCTTGCTGCATGATGCCAATCTTCCAGAGAGTTATTGGGCCGAATCTCTCTCGTGTTTTGTTTACAGTTACAATCGCAGGTTATCTTCAGCGATTGGTTGTACCTCTATGAGAAGATGTTTGGCAAGAAGCCATACATCAAACACATGAAGATTTTTGGTTCTGACATGTGGGTTCGCTCACCACAAAACTCCAAGTTAGACAAGCGTGGATTGCATGGTATCTTTCTAGGTTATCAGAAAGGGTCTTACAGAATAATGATGACTGACTCTAAGACAATTAAGCTCACGAGAAGTGTTGAGTAAAATGCAAAGTGGGGGGAGAATGTGGGAATTTTCCAATGTTATCCTGATGACGGTGATGAGACTGAGGATAGTCAAGCAACCACAACAGCCCACACCCACTGATGAAGGTTCTGAGTCTGAATCTGAAACTGAATCGGGTGATTCAGAGGATTTCGAGAGTGCGAAAGCCTCTATGCGACCCTCTGAAAGCTCTGATCAAGAATTGGAGGAACCATTGTTCACAATAGGTCGTTTTTCTCCTAAGAAGGAAGAGGAGAGTGTTGAAGACTTAAGGCTAATTCGTAGGTCACAGAGAGCTACAAAAGGCAAACCTCCAAAGAGATTTGCTGATGAGTTTGCTAAGATAGCAGTAACAGCTGTTAAAAGCTCCAAGAAGGTATTTGAACCTTCAAGTTTCCAAGAAATCCAGGGTTTGGATTCAAAGGAAGCTGAGCCATGGTTAAATGCCATGAAGGCTGAGCTTGATTCCTTAGAAAGGAACAAAACATGGGAGCTAGTTCCAGTAGTTCCAGGAATGAAACTGCTTGGAAGCAAATGGGTCTTCAAAGCGAAGACAGATCAAAATGGCAAGATAGTCAGACACAAAGCCAGATTGGTAGCCAGAGGTTTTGCACAGGTACCAGGTGAAGACTATCACGAGACCTATTCACCCACAGTGAGATATGAAAGCATTAGGCTTATGCTCAAGCTAGCTGCAGAGGAAAATCTACACATTAGTCACCATGATATTAATACAGCTTTTCTGTACGGATCTCTAGATGAATCACTTTATATGCTTCCACCTGATGGCGTACAGGTAAAACAGGGATTTGTTTGTGCTCTGAAGAAATCCCTTTATGGTCTCAAACAAAGTGCACGGTGTTGGCACACAAAACTCACTGAAGTATTGTTTTCTCTAGGTTTTCAGCAAGGGAAAGCTGATCCATGTGTATTTGTCAAAGAGGAGGGGCAAAAGAAACTGTACTGTTTGTTTTATGTTGATGATTTATTATTCTTTTGGAAAGATGTTGCAATGTACAATAGCGCCCTAGCTCAACTGAAAGAGCACTTTGACATGAAAGATCTTGGTGAGGTAAACAACTACCTATCTCTGGAAATAGAGAGAGATCAAGATGGTAACATTCTAGTACACCAGTCACGGAAAATTGCTGATGTGTTAAGCAAACTAAATCTGATGGATGCTAACCCTGTAGACACACCGATGACAACAGGTTATCAGGTAGATGACACTGAAGAAGCATTTTCTGACACTACACTGTACAGGAGTGTGCTAGGCAAGCTAAACTTCATTGCCAGATGTTCAAGACCAGACATTGCTGTTAGCTGTAATTTGCTAAGCAGACAAGTCAACAATCCTAGTGTCAAGGATTTGAAAGCTCTGTATCGCATAGCGCGGTATTTGAAAGGCACTATGCATTACAGACTGAGATTTAACAATCTGAAGTCTGGTGGTCTTGAGATATTTGCAGATGCAAATTTTGGAAGTGACGCTACAGACAGGAAAAGTACGTCTGGAGTTTGCTACATGTACAATCAGGGTCTGTTTGATTGGTCATGCAAGAAGCAAACAACAGTTAGCTTAAGTACTTGTGAAGCCGAACTGAATGCACTGTCTTATTCACTTAAGGATTGTGAATGGTTAATACAATTGTGCAAAGATATGAAAATTCCTGTCAAATGTCCAATCCAGGTTTACCAGGACAACAAAGCATGTTTGGCTTTGCTGAAGTCTGAAGGTTGTAAGCAAAGCACAAAGCACTTGCAATTAAAGTTGCAGCATGCTAGGGAATGTATTCAGAAGGGACTCAGTAACGGTGTCCTATATGCCAGGTAATGAAATTCCTGCTGATGTATTGTCCAAGATTGTATCAAGGGATCAACACTGTACCTATGTGCAGAAGTTGGGTTTGTACTGATATTGTGCAAACACGCTGCCCAGTGATGTTCACAGAAAGGGGGGGATGTTGGTTTCTGCTTTCCTTCACTGTGCAGCTAACTTGTCACGAGACAGGTGTTTACATTCCACAGTCTGTACTGTTGGAGTTTCTCACGGGAAAGGGAGACTGGATGTGACGTACACTGGTTTCCTGTTTTTCACTGTGTGATTCTCTCCGAGCTCTTGAGGAGAGAGGATGCATTTCTCTGCTCCGGCAGAGGCAAGATGTCTTTCTGTAATATACCAGCTTTGAACTGTAAATAAAGCAATATAGAGTATGTAGCACGTACTCCTCATCCTTCCGCTGGCCAACAGACTCTGCTTAAATCAACAGCATCTACCAGCTATAGCCTAGACTTTCAGAACTTGTAATTCAGAGCTTGACTGTATAAACAATTTTATTTCCTTCCTTGCTGTCATAAACAGATGATTACAAAAGGGTTATCCAGAGAATAAAGCACTTAGCAAGTCTGCATATAATAGAATCATAGAACTTTAGAGCTGAAAGGGGCCCCAAGGGTAATCCAGTGCAACCTTGCTGCAATGCAGGAATCACAACTAAAGAATCCCTGACAGATGGCCTTTCAATCTCTGTTTAAAAACCTCCAATAAAGGAGAGTCTACCACCTTCCAAGGCAGCCTGTTCCATTGTCAAATAGCTCTTAGCATCTCTTACCACAAGTCTTCTGTTTAGTCATAATCTCCTTGTAATTTGAATCCAGCAGTTTGGGTCAGCAGCAGAAAAAATAGTTTGCTGCATCTTCCATATAACAGCCCTTCAGATATTTGAGGATATCAAAGGTTGGTTTTGAAAAAGCGTTGTTTCTCTTGAATAGTATATTGTCTGGTTTCCCCTCAGGTTGCTATTATCTGTAGAAAGGGAACATAAGTTTACCCGCACCCAACAAAATTACCCCTCAGCAAATGAAAACAGGAATAGTAGTTGATATTTGAGCTTACCTGTCTCTAGAAAAATTGTGAAGTGAGAGTTTTAAATGTGACAGATGCTAGAAACAAGCAAATAAAAATGAGAAGGGAAGGTAGTTCTGTAGGTTTCCTTCAAAATAAAGTTGTGGCTCCTTTCCCTTAGCAGAAAGAATAATCTGTGTCTTATTCTGTTAAGAAGAGCACAGTGGCAATTGTGTCCTGCCAACCCAACCCACAACCTATCACACTGAGCACTTGGCAGTTGTATTGGCAACCCCTCCAGCATTGCTGAATCTTTCCCAAACAGTAAGCATAATAGATTGTAGCCAGGGTCATCATGACCTGGATTCTCAAGAGAGCTGTGTCTAACCAAATGAATGGGAAGGTTTTTATACATTTTTATTAGGTCTGGCGAAAAGGTGTTGCATCTGAAATAACATAAACTTTTAACTAATATAGAAGGCTCACTCTGCAAATTCATAAAAAATAACCAATGTGTACTTTATTCAGCTTCCGTAAGTGTAGTGTGAATTAGGTACAGATATTAAGCTGCAAGCCTCTTCATTGTCAATAGATGGTGCTAAGGGTATAATTTTAACATTGCTACCAGTTTAGGCAAGATTTATGAATAGGCTCCAATTACAAAAAGAATTTCCCTTGTATGGGTGACATTACAAACCTTAAAGCCTTCCAATAGTCCAGCTGCTAGAAACCAAGGAGACCTTACAGTTTTAAGCATGTTCGGCTTTTAAGAGAAAAAAACTAATGTAAATCAAATGAGTACAGGAATCCAAGTGTCCTTTCTTTGAGTTTCTGTTGTATAGCATAATTAAAAATAAGCTGTAGGTGTATTCTAATGGTAAAAATACAGCAGCTGTTCCCATTATGAAAGTATAGCTTTGTACAGTTCTATTTTACAGGCACAAAAAGGCTTTACATAGCACTATCCCAGACAGTGAAATGCTTGCTTCCTGGGCAGGGTAAAGAGGTGCATCTTCAGCATTTGCCAAGAACTATATAGTGAAGTTAACAGTTTCACCCATGTGCCAGAAAGAATCCCCTCTCCCAGGCCACCACCATCCCAATCTTCTTAGTTGTGGAACTACCAAGAGAGCCCCCTCTGCCAGTCTTAACACCCAATATGGTCTGCAGGGGAGGGAGAAAGTCTTTCAGATATTTGGGGCCAGAGTGGTTTAGGGCTTTAAACACTAATGTGAGCACCTTGAATTGGGACTGGAAGTGAAATGATAATCAGGGGTGCTGCTTTGAAACAGGTTTATATGTGAACTAAGTGGAACCCCAGCCAGTAATTGGGCTGTTGCATTTTAGACTAGCTGAAGTCTGAGTTATCTTCAAGGACAGTCCCACAAAGAGCACATTGCAATAATCCAGTCTGGAAGTTGCCAGAACGTGGAGTACAGCAGCCAAGTCATTTCTGTCCAAAAGGGGTTGTCGCTGACATACAAGGTGTTAAAAAAAGGCACGTTTAGCCACCAGGGCCACCTAAGCCTTCAGTGACTGTGTTAAATCCTGGAGAACCCCCAAGCTGTGGATCTGCTTCATAAAGGGGTGTGCAGCCCTATTCGGGACAGGCTGCCTCCCCACCTCCTGGAAGTGAGAACTTGGGGCATATGACACCCCTGCTTTTCAGGATTCAACTCTAATTAATGGCCCACATCACTGCTTCCCATATCAACCACCTCTCCCAGCCTTGCTGATGTGGTTCAAAGGAAAGCACAGCAATACTTTTGGCACCAACTGGGTTGCAGGAGTTTCCAGGTGTACAAGATGCCATCCAACTGTCTTAGGGACTCTGCTCTGGAGTTGTGTAGGATTTACTCCTTAGCCTTTTCTTCTCTTGAAAATGTCTCACAATGGCACTGCCCCACCCTTCTTTCTGCCCGTGTTGCAAGATACATCCTAGCATGGAATCTGTTGCACCAAAAACCTTTTACCATCCATCTTTCAAGCTTCTGAGATTTTCCACAAACATTTTGTCCATACCCTCAACCAAAAGTCAGCTCACAGGGAGGGCTGGCCCAATACATTTTGGTACCTGAGGCAAATTTAAGTAGTGCTTTCCTTTCCTGCAAGGGAAGAAGGGATGAGTGGAGAACTACAAGGGCAGATTAAGTTCTGCATTGGGATCTGCTGCCCCTGTGGATCCTGCCACCTGAGACAGTTGTCTTACCTTGCCATATGTGTGGGCCAGCTCTCCTCACAGGCGTTCCTTATACTTACCTTTTTCATTTTCTTGCTTTCCTCCCTTCTCTATAAATCCACCATCAAAATGAAACTCTAACCACCTTGGGTTAGTGATTTGTATTTTTGTTTATGTTCCATTACAAGGCACCATGTAATAAGAATGAATATTGACATTTCACTAAGCTTGGGGCTATTAAATCTGTCAGGTCCACAATTCAATATATCACAGCAGTAATTTATACTCCTTTCACTATCGTACACATCTTACTTATAAAAAATTCAAGGTTACAAAGTGTATTAACTATTTACCCTACAATCAAGGTAGACTTATCCCATTCTTAACACGTATGTAGAATAGCTACATTGTATATAATCACAAAATGCTATTGAACCTAAACATTTCAGGTATCTGAGATTTGATTAGCTGGCCAAAATAGGGATTCATCCTTTAATATGTCTCTATAAAAACTTAAATCTTCTGTAAACTGGAAATTGAGCAGTTTATTATTTTGATCAGGTTATCAGATTATTCAAAACTTTGCTTTAGTAACTAAACATGGAAATCCTTCACCTAAGGAAGACTGTCAGAGATTAAATTAGGACAGGTTTGTCAGATAAACAAATAGCATCTGACGTCAACTTAGTAGCTATTCAAGGTTATTACTAAAGTCGCTCTTAGTTTCTATACTATATTGTACTTAGTTTTGTTTTCTCCTTTCAGAATCAGCCCATACAAAGCATGTTCATGTTTTAAAAATTGAAGCTAAATTTGCTCAATTCTCAAAGATCAAAAAGGACTTTCAAAACAAAAATGCAGTATCTACAGAGATTTTTAGCACTGTCATGAAAACTTTTATTTTAACATTTCTTTGTCAATAAAGTTAAGTAACTGAAGCCAACACCCAACGTCCCATCTATGATGGGAGAGACATGCAAGATGCTGTTTTGAAGCTTTCCTTCAACCTTTTTAAGTCACAATGAGGCCTTCGTCATTTTGCATGATAGAAAACAACAGCTGACAGCCCATTTGGAACACATGCCAGCTGTCTCTCATTTGTTTTATTGTCCGAGCAGTAAGAGGTTTGTAGCAGCATTTCCAAAAGCAAGTTATAGTTTACTGGATTTGATCAGATCTCAGTCAGTACTCTCAGCTGTAAACATGCTTTTTGGACCAAAGTTGTTATGCAGAATTCTGTCCTTTGTCAATATAAATAAGCTTTCATTTTACATAAATCCATGTAGACTTTTGAATGAATACAAAACTGGGCTTGATTTTAAAGTAAACATACTCTCCTCTTCAATATTCAGTTCTAAAGCCTCAGACATCTGTTCAACACAATTTGCAAGCACCAAATGACATTACTAGCCGAGGATTACACAAACTGAAAAATAGTGCTTTACACAGATGAGCATTGCTCAGGTACAGATTATTATTATTATTATTATTATTATTATTAACATTCATTTCAAAGCATTTGGGTTTTCTCAATTCTAGAAGGGAAACAGTGCATTCTAGGTAACAAAATGGAGCAGTTTTTATACCAGCCAGGTTTTTACGAGGCATAATATCTAAGAGATGTGGGGAAATGAAGACACTTTCCAATCAAATGTTTTAATCTGTAAAAAAGAATTTTCGCTTTCCCTTTTTGCATAGAAATAGTTAACATCTAGCAACTCAGCATGCCAGTCAGAATTCTACAGTAGAATTCAGTACACTAAAAGAGATGCATTTCACTTCCAATAAGTCAGAAACAGCTGAAAGCTTGAAATAGTAACATTCTACAGAGCCACTGACAAATTACATTGTTTTATAAACCTATTCACTGTTGTCTATTTCTCCTCCAGACTTAAGTAAAAAAAAAGTTTACATCAGTTTAAACTTATTTCTATTCTCTGCTACCTTCTTTTAAGAAACTGCTAACCATTTTCAATTTCTATCCTTTGATGAAAGCATTCCTCCTAGTGGTATGTACACTGCAACAGCAATTGGCTCCCTAACAGAGTTCCTTTATGCATACCAGTAGAATCATGTCCAGTTTTGCCATTTGTGGAGAACTGATGACAAGATACAAAAGCATGTGTTTGCCATAAATAGCTCTGGCCAACGGAGGACTGCTCGCACAGAGCAGATCAAATTCTCTATAAGGAGAGCAGTGTTTGGCTCTTAGCCAAATCATGTTCCTGATGCAAGACTTAGTAGCTGCAAAAGCTTTCCAGTCCTATTAGCACAAAAATTAACTGGCAAGAGTTGCCTTGTGACTGAACAAAAGATGGTACTTGCAATATTTAACATGTAAAACTGTGAAGGATATTCTGTAATAGTGCATTACATGCCTCATTGTTTCCCTTTTAAGTTTCAGATATAAGCTAGTTGTAGACCGATGCCCCAGTTGTTCCCATAATGATGGCAATTTATTAAAGTAAAGATTGTAGAGGAAAGTTCCTTATTCAAATTATTCCTACAGTGGGATCATGAATAAATATAAAAAGATTCATTACTGAAGTTGAGAGCAACTGTTCAGTATCTAGGAGAGGTACCGCTGAAACAAAACTCTGCAAAATGTTAAAATACACTTCATTCTGTAGTTCCCAATGAAAACAAGGCAACATTCTGTAATAAGCCACAAGTTTTATTGCAACGTGGCTAATATATTTGATCTCAAAAACAATGTTCCATTTAAGGCTCTTTTTATACAGAAATTGCCATTATGATTGATGTTTTACAAAACATCATTAGTGTTGCAAGACTTGCATGGTAAACAGATAGTTCCTACTCCTGTTCAGTAGTGTACATTCAACAGAAAAACAAAAAGGCATCATTAACAGCTACTTCAGTTATAAAGATATGCATGTAACAGGAATGAAAACTGGGGTACTACAACAGTTTGATGACAATTACAGAAACTTAATTGGCATTCCTTGGGAAAGGGGAAATAAAACATATTACAAAAAGTGCTTTAATTTAAATGCATAGTGTTGAGTGCTGCCATGTCACAAAAAAGGCTTGTCAAGGCAGGTGAGGTGTATGAATGCACAAGAGCCTCATGGAACTGCGATCAAGTGCAACTGTAAAGTAATACTGAATAGAGTCTACCATTTGACCGTTGGACAATACTTTAAAGGCAATCAATTAGCTTAAACCTTTTGTTGCTTGGCTAGACTATCCACATCAACTATCACATTCACTGTACATATTTGCAAGGAATGCCCACATCAGTTTTGGCTAAGAATATGATGTGAGGCATTCCTTGGATTCTACATAAACTATCAGGTTTAAAAACAGTCTAATGGTGACCACTTATAGACTGTATAATGACGTCTCCTTCAGGTATTTGGGATCTGGGAAGGTGGGGCAAAAGGAACTAATGCTATTCCAATTGAATGAGCTGCAAAAATGGAAGCTCCAGATGGCACTTGTCTGTCCTTTTATAAGGGTTTTCCTTCAAGTGAAACTACCACATTGCCTCCTAGTTTCTCTCCCAGTGTTGATCGATCTTTAATATCATCCAACCCATTTACTTGCCACTCGTGTTTAATACCTGAAAAAGATAAATAAACAGAGATATATTTGTTCAGTATTTTCATAGCAACAAGTGCCTTACTGCTCAAGTATCAAATACCTGCCTACTATCAATAGCAGCTTAAATATGGTAGTTATCCAAAAGGAATTGTTACTCACTCTGAGGAAGTAGCTAAATACAAAGTTGGCATGTGGAATATTTTCTGCTCATACCTGTGAATTTCTTTTTAATGGCATCTTTTGAGCTTGCGTAGATCATCTTGCTTTTTAAAGGCGCACTCTCTGGAGCCCTACAGACGGGGAGTAAAGACTTGTTATTTAACCCATTGAATTTTGGAAACAAAATTCTATTTAAATAATAATCCTTTGATTTACACACCAGAATAGAAATACCAGGTCTTCTTTTTTAGATTCCTTTGTTTCATATGTTGCATCATACAAAGCATATCGACAATCATTCAGAGGTAACAGCTTCACAAAAGATGTATAAGGGTCCTCCACTGTATCACCTATGTCACCAACTAGTATCTGCTTTGCTTCTTCTACAATTATTTGTCTTTTGTCATCACTTAAACAGAAGAGAACTGCTTTCTTTCGTTTTTTAATCTCTTCTGGCGTTGAAGATTTTCGTACTTTCATGTCATTGAAAACCTTGATAACTTCATCATTCACTGTTACTCCAGAAGCCTACAAAACAAAGCAAAACAGCATCCACTATAATAAACATCATCTATTAGAAACATACAATTTGGTCCAAAGCCAGCCATCATTACCTTAATACAACACAACAACAAAACACAATTATCTAGTTTTAGGTTAAGATAGCAATTTCGACTCATTTAAGAGCACATTTAGCCAAGAGTAACTCTCACTGAATTCAGTGGGGGCTTACTAATGAGTAAACATGCTTAAGCAAACACTACATGGGATTTTGCACAGAAATAATCAAAAGCATTTGCAGTAGTTAATATCAAGCTCTGTCATTATTCTAGTTTTGTTCAGTGATGTAAGCCTCTAAGGGAAGAAATGCCTTTTGTATCGTGTCAGGTTTAATATTATGTATTTAAAATTCCTAGATTTTATTTAATACCCTATAAATATTCCAGTGAAGTTACTACATGATGAAAGAATCAAGGACAGAATGTACAATTCCTCCCAAGAGTATTGAGGCTTATAGAAGCCGACCCTACAAAAATGTGACTCTCTCATTCTGACTGGACAGAGGTGTTCTGTAAGGGTACACTGGAAACCCATAAGCTTTTTTGCTATTTTTTTTAGTTTCTGCTTTTCATCCTATAGTGTTGCTGTAGGTTAACAGGCGTGCAGTTAATGAGTGCTAATCCTGTTTTAAAGGCCTAGGCAACTGTTCCCGCCTATATTTGAGGGCATTTAAATGTTATCATGGGGTAAACCCAGAGAATAGCAGCTCCCATGACACTGCTATAACATGGGAAAGGAACCAAAAGGTTTTTCTTTTAAACACTTAAAAATAACTAACTATACTTGTTTTCAGATAAACAACCCCCTTAAAAGAGCAAAGATTTTAAAGCTTTTTACAGCACATTAGTTTAGGAGAAACTGCAAATATATAGCAGAACAGATGAAGGTAGAAAATATTTAATCATTTCTGACTTGTTATTTAAAACACAAAGTAGGAATCTTCATTTTTAAAAAATGTTTCTTACAACTAGTTCTCAAACACTTTCTTGTCCAAAACACTCCATTTAGTTTAGTTGTATATCTCAAAAATTTAGAGAGAAAAGAAAGAAAAATTAAAACTGATAATGGACCAGCATGTTTTATACCATATTGTTCACCTCTATGGAAAGATGAGACAATACAGCTCCTTTACCATTTTTTCTTTTCTCACACCTCCCCCCCCCCCCCGCCCCAGTCAGTTTTTGAGCCATCTAGTGCCAATGTAATGACTATTGCCCAAATACAGCCAGAACATTCCTGCCCTTCTGCTGGATTCTCAGCAATGTAGTTCTAGGGCAGAGCTCCTAATGGTACACTGCAACAAGAACAGAAGGAGAGAGAGATGCCCCCATGTGTTACACAAACACTGAATTTCTGCCATAAACCAGACACCATCCAAACACAATGAATGGTAAATGCCACTCACCTTCCAGCTTTTCCAGTTAAGAGCACCCTGCCCGCAAATTATGATTAAAGCACTCCAACAAAGGAAGCAGCCATCTCTCGGCTTGGTGCTTCCTTCCCCACCCCCCTTGACACATTCAGACACAATGGAGAGGGGCAAACCCAACTATGCGTCATTCCACCCACCCCCACTGGCATCACAATCCCAACTAGGAGAAGCAGAAAGCCTATATTCTTACAACGCACTACGAGAAAGGGGGAATTCCACTCTAAGGCACTTAAGCCCAAAATGAAAAGGAGACCATCCTCGCTGTGTCATATGTATACTATTGGAAACGATCAGCCCCCACAAAGAGGCAGAGAATGAAGGAGGCGGCAAACCCTGCTCTTTCACTCCCGTTTCAGAGCCAAGCAAAAGGAACCAAACCTTTCTCCGTGGTCTGGGCTCCCGCATACATTTACCCTTCCATAAATAGAGATACAAGTGATTTGCTACCTCTAGCTTCTCCCAAATGACAAGCGGGGCATAACACGTATCATTCCCCCACGATGAAATAGACGGGGCTTACCATAACACAGAAAAAAAGAGCCCTTTCCAAAGAAAGGGGGAAACAAGCCCCATTACCCGCGCACACGACACACTTGTCCCTATGACTCCACGGAAGGGAAAGAAAGGCTGTGTGAAGGTAAGTTGTCCCGTTACTTGGTCCTCAGCAACAACCCGAGAAGAGGGCCATGTATATACCCTGCCATCTTACAAAGAGCCGCTGCTACACCTAGGAAGGAACCAGACGCGCAGCCGCCCTTTATTTTGCTTCCTCGCCCATGGAGGTGTGCGTGGGCTTGCAGACTTGTGAAAATAAAGCAAAGCGAGAAAAAGCAGCCGTCCAAGCGTGCGAGACTCGTATGCGTGGGAACCCCCTCCGTCACTCACAAGGCGAAGAACTTGCGGGCGCTTCTCCCCGGGAAGCGGGCCGCCCGCCGACCACGAGTTGGGGCGGCGGTGGAGCGGGGGGGGGGGAGAGGGTCGGTCCCCCTTCCCCGGGCTAAAATTAGACTAAAATGGCCGCCAGAGGCCGCGGGCCCCGCTGAGCCCCTCTCACCCTCGCGGGGGGCCTAGTCCCACACCCTGCCTGGCACAAGCCGGCCGGGCCACGCTGAGGCGAGTCGGGCTGCCCCGCCCTTACCATGGTGCCGGGTCCCTGTTGCGGCGGCGGTGATGGCGGAGGCCGCTCCTACTGCTTGCTGCCTATGGAGCGGAGGGGTCTGGTTGACGCTGCTCGCAGCACAGCTCGGAAAGCGCAGGCTGGGCTGAGGCGAGGAGACAGGCGGGGGGCTGGAGGGGAAAGCGGGGGGAGGAAAGGCCGGTCACATGGGCGCCGCCTTCTGTCACCACGTGCTGCAGGCCCGGCCCAGCCCTGCAGAGCACAAAACGGGGAGGGGACGGAGGGCCGCCCACCTCCCTCCTCCTCGTGAACGACGCCCCCACTCCTCTTTCGACGAGGAAACTTCCCTAACGGGAAGGAAGGACGGAGGGGGATTTCCTGAGGAGAAGTAGGCTCCCCCTCCCCGCGCCATCCTCCGGCTTTGTTCTGGCCACAGGGCGACTCCTAGGGTTGCGCCCCGCCCCACCGGGCCGCCCTACAACTCCCTCGCCCGCTTCCACGCTGACCCCAAGGCGAGCGCAGCCGCCACCTGCCGCAGTCTCGCCCACATCCCCTCCGCAGCCCACGGAGAGGAGGCGAGCAAAGGGCGGCCGCGCGGGGACGGCGCTTTCCAGCCGCCTCAGCTGCTCGCTCGCCTCCCTCTCGCGGTGCTGGTTCGTTTCGGCTGGTTCTCCCTCCTCCTCCTCCGCTGCGCGGCCAAGCCAAGCCGCAGACTGAGGGGGAGCCGCGGAGGTGGTCGCGAAGCTGCTGCTGCAGCCGCCGGCGCTCCCCGGGAGGGAGCGGCCCACCGGGGCACCGCCTGGAAGCAGCGGGCGCTCTCGCAGCTGCCTCCAGCCTGGCCTCCTCGCTCAACGGGCCGCTGAGGGAGCCGTGAGGAAGGAGGACCAGCTGCCTCCCTCTCCGCGCTCTCGACGGAGCGAGGGGGCCGGGGAGCAAGTGCAGGCGGCGGCGGCGGCTCATCGCAAACAGGCAATTGAGTATTCCTTCGACTTCATTGCCTTGATATCCCGCCGTTTTCTGCTGGGAGCCCAAGGTGACGCACCTGGTTCTTCCCCCCTCCTGAATTAATCCCCACTGCAACCCTGTGAGGTTGGTTGGGCTGAGAGGCAGTGGCCCGCTCAAGGTCACGCAGTAAGTTTCACGGCCGAGTGAGGATTTGAACCCTACTCCCATGGGCGTAGCCCGGATTTATGTTGGGGGGGGCAGGCTTTATGTTGCGGGGAAAGAATCTCAGGTAAGTATTTTTATTGATTTAGGGGGGCAGTTGCCCCCCTTGGCTACACCTATGCCTGCTTCCCATCGTAGTTCGATACTCTAACCACTGTACCACACTTTACTGCACCGGCTCTTCTGAGTGCTTCTGTGGACAGCCAGCACTTGGGTTTGGGCCACCTTGTGACTTAAAGAGAAGGGGCAACAGAGTTGCTGAAGGAGTGAAGGCACCTGCGTCAGATGGAGCACCAAATAACAGAGGCATGCCTTTCATTTTTAGCTTAGGTCCCTCTCTTGACCAAAGGGACTAACAGAAAAAAACATCAACTCGGCTAAGGCAAAGTACCAGAATGAAGGTAGGCACACAACAAGATGTAGCATATATCAAAACAGAAAATAAAGCAGATTTAAATTCATGTCAAAGCAGTCTGAAATACAATCTAATAAATCTGTAAGAGTTTATTCAGTAATTAAGCAGGTGCATGCTGGCCACCAACCGCAGTTTTAGTGTGATTTAGGTTTTAAGGGACGCGGATGGCGCTGTGGGTTAAACCACAGAGCCTAGGGCTTGCCAATCAGAAGGTCGGCGGTTCGAATCCCTGCAACGGGGTGAGCTCCTGTTGCTCGGTCCCTGCTCCTGCCAACCTAGCAGTTCGAAAGCACGTCGAAGTGCAAGTAGATAAATAGTTACCGCTCCGGTGGGAAGGTAAACAGTGTTTCCGTGCACTGCTCTGGTTTGCCAGAAGCAGTTTAGTCATGCTGGCCACATGACCCGGAAGCTGTACACTGGCTCCCTTGGCCAATAAAGCAAGATGAGCGCCACAATCCCGAGTTGTCCGTGACTGGACCTAATGGTCAGGACTTTACCCTTTTAGGTTTCTTTTAAATGGTAGCATTCACTGAGGAGGTCCAATCAAGCAGCTTAGTAGATTTGGTGATGTCTAGCTGATGTTGAGTCCTGCGTAATTGCAAGATGTTCACCACAATGTATTTTGAAAGGATTGCAACCCCCACCATTCCTGACCAGTGGCTAATGGGGGCTGTGGCTGAAGAAGGTTGGAGTAGAGCATGCAAGCTTCATTCACGTCTATGGAAAAATCTTCCCGAAAATCTGGCTTGGCAAAATAGCACTCATTAAAATGAAAGTGGTAACCAAAATTGGCATACCTTTTTGAAGTACTACCAGTTTATATACAACAAGATAAATTTACAAAGTGGTAGATAATGATAAAAGGTAGAGAGAAAAAACAAAGGGGGAGATGGCTGGACATAGCAGTAGGAGACCCCATAATACTTAACATCTGGTATTTAGTGCCTTCCAAGTTAGGCAATTGTTGGCATTAATACATGAAAATAAAGCTAATTTGTGGGTCAATATGGAATTAGAAGACAGGGAGATGTTACAAGGACCTTACATTTGGGGGAAAGAAAAGTAGTTTTTTGTATTTTACTCAAGAATCAAGAGTCAAAGGATACACATGTACTGCACACAGCAATATGTACCATAGGTTTACTGTTTTTTTGTTCTGTGGTGTTTGTTCATGGGCAAAAAATTATCAAGAAAGAAAATTATAAAAAGTAATTGGGTGGCTCTATTTTACAATGGCTTTATAAAAGTATAATTTATGCCTATGCTTGACCTGTACAAAAATGCAATGCCCATGGGTGCTTTACAGACAGGGGTGAGATTCTCTTATGGTCCATTTAAATTTACGCAGCACACCTCACATTAATAGGTAAGGTAAATGAAACAAACATTCTTACAAGCACATTGTTGCTCATGCCCAAGACTTCAGCCAGTTTTCAGGTGTACTTATCCTGCTCAGCTCTCCATCTGTCTGCAGGGTAGATGCCTTCTATTGATAGATAACCAGTGGCCCTCCAGATGTTGTTGGACTCAGAATCTTAAGAGTTGAAGGGTCATCTACTCCAATCCCCTGCAATGCAGGAATCTCAGCTAAAGCATCCATGACACATGGCCATCCAACTTCTGCTTAAAAACTCCCTCTTGTGGAAGTCTGTTCCACTGCCAAACAGCTCGTTTAGTTGGAATCTCTTGCACCTTGAAGCCGTTGCCTCGAGTCTTACCCTCAAGAACAGGAGAAAACAAGCATGCCCCCCTTCCATGTGACAGCCATTAAGATATTTAAAGATGGCTACTATATCTCCTCTCAGTCTCCTCTTTTCCAGGCTAAACATACCCAGCTCCTTCAAGCGTTTTTCATAAGGCTTACTTTCCAGACCCTTGATCATCTTCGTTGCCGCCCTCTGCACAAGTTCCAGCTTGTCAATATCCTTAAATTGTGGTGCCCAGAATTGGACACAGTATTCCAAAAGTGGTCTAAGGCAGAATAGAGTGGTACTATTACTTCCCTTGATCTGGACACTGTACTTCTATTGATGCAGCCTAAAATAACATTAGCTTTTTTTGCTACTGCATCACACTGTTGACTCATGTTAAGCTTGTGGTCCACCAAGACCCCTAAATCCTTTTCACATGTACTGCTAGTAAGCCAGGCAGTGCTCTTTTTTCTTTTAAAAAAAAAAAAAGGTTTAGGGGTACTCTCATTTTGACTCAAGAAAATCACCATTTTATAGTTCAAATTGGGAAAAATACAGTAAATGGACAAAAGTACAGATTCACAAAATGCTTAGGGGTATGCGTACCCCTGCATCCCCCTAGAAAAAAAGCACTGAAGCTAGGTGTCCCCCATCCTGTATTTGTGTACCTGGTTCTTCCTGCCTAAGTGCCTTACATTTATCTCTATTTAAATTCATTTTGTTAGCTTGCGCCCAGTTCTCCAATCTGTTAAGGTCATTTTAAATTCTGATTCTGTCTTCCGTGGCATTAGCTGCTCCTCCTATTTTAGTGTCATCTGCAAATTTGATGAGCATCCCCTCAATTCCTTCATCCAAGTCATTTATAAAGACATAACCCTGTGGCACCCAACTTGTCACTTTTTCCCAGGATGACATGGAACCATTAATGAGTACTCAAGTTTGGTAAGTTAACCAGCTACAAATTCACCTAACAGTTATCTCATTCAACCCACATTTTACTGGCTTCCTCAAGAGAATATCATGGGGGACTTTGTCAAAAGCCTTACTGAAATCAAGATACACTGCGTCTACCACATTTCCCTGTTCCACCAAGTTTGTAATTCCATCAAAAAAAGAAATCAGATTGGTCTGGCATGACATTTTTGAGAAACCCATGCTGAATCTTTGTTGAATTATCTTCAGGACCTTCCCTGGTATCGATGTCAAGCTCCAACTCCAATTAGTTTCAAGGCATCAAGGCCAATGGTCTGGGATGATGGAAATTGTAGTCCAGCAACTTCTAGAAAACCACAGACTTGTTTTGTTATGTTTGTAATTACGTAATTTTAACATGTTGTAAGCTGCTTTGAACATTGTTTTAACTTTGGATAGGCAGCATACAAATGATTGATTGACTGAATTGAGTAACTCACATTTGGGCTACTGTATTCTGATAACCAAGTATGAGAATTGACTGTTACTAGAAACCTTGTGTTTCTGGTCTTTTGTACAGAGGCAAATTTCCAAGTCACCCAAGATTAATATTGAGGCAAAAGTTTTTTTGTTTTACTTTATTGACAAAAAGTTTTAGAAAAAAATTAAATAAGTAGTTTTCAAGACATCTGCAGGAGTAGTATGGACACGGGTATTGGAATAGTTCATCATGACAGATCTGCAAACATTAAAGGATCACACATCAATTAAGAAATGCTGCTAATAGAATCAACAAGTGGCAAGTCCTGTTATCTATTCTTGCTTCACCCAAGAACTGGGCAGCCACTAGTATACAGATAAGCAAGTAGTACTTTGAAAAATGTTTCACTTTATTTTTTACACTCAGAAGTTGTACAAATAAACTTTCAGTTTTGCTGTAAGAACTGCCAGGTAGAGGACAATTAACTGATCATGAGAGGTTTAAAACAACTAAACACAGAGTAAACAGGAAATTAATGAATTCTTTATCCTCCAAGTAAATTTTTTTATAAATACAAAAACAAATCCACAAATTATTTGAATGCTAAATAAATATCTACTTAATAAAGTCAGACTGAATTTCTCCAACCAGCACCAGCACACTAATTTAAATGATAAAAAGGTGTACTCGTTCACTTGTAGTGTCAAAACTTTGTGCTCAAGTGACTTCAGATGTCCACTGCGTTGCAGATGGCTGTTTTAGCCTAGGTAGAACCCTCACAAGACAATGCCACAGCTCCTACAAGATCTAAACAATATAACAATATTATATGGTGCTGAAGAAAAATATTTCTGGAAGGTATTTTGACACAAAATGGTCATTAAAAGTACAAAAGCTACTGTAAACCAGTACTGTATTCAAAACACATCGATCAAAGTTATTAGTCACTGAACAAAACTGTAGCAAAGGTAATCTTTCCTACATTCTCCTGAGTGCTTAATAATTGAGAACATAGTGCAGGTCACACTTCCAAGGTGTGACAGATGTTATTGCTTTCTATGGCTGCATGATTTAAATATTTCATTTCCATGAAAATATAAGAGGATTCCTCTAATAGAAGTCCTTTAAAAGGAAGACGTTAGATTCGGGATTTTTTGGCTGCTGGAGCAGCACGGTCCATGTAACCAGAAGTAAGAGGAAGTCCAAGCTTGTGAGCCTGAACACGGAAAAAATCCTGAAGTCTTGTTCCAGCCTTTGCTTCGCTTGTATTGCGTGGGTTATACTCAAAGCAGTTTGAAAACATCAGTTCAATGTCTTCAATGAATTCTGCTGTAAGGAAGAAAAAACAAATACACATTTAGTCCATAATGTTATAAAAATTATAGATAATCCCAAAATCAATGTTTCCTAGACAAAGACACCACCACCCTTACGGTGGATTACTTTGGCTCACAAGAGAGTATTCTCACATTTCAGCTAGAGGTAAATAATGTTCAAGTGTGTATTGTTCAATATGCTGAACGCCCACTGCTGGGAGCATAACTCCTAATGCATAACTCCACTGTTTCAGAATAACATAAAACTAAAGTCATTCCGATGCCTTGTAAATTAAACTGTGTTTAAAGCAACAGAAATAGAATTATTTTAGAAAACTTTACTTACAAGCTAGTTTGTATTCACATTTGTTGACTTTTTCACGGATTATGTTTAAGGCAATAGGTTTTTTGATAATATCATAGTAGTCTGGTACCTGCATTTAGGTAAAGAAGTACATTTTTTAAAAGTGCAGAGAGAAAGAGCAAAAAAGTACATACAATCAAAATATTTTTCATGATTTTTAGGCAATAAATCAAGAGACCTCATTCAGAAGTTAAATCTTTTTAATCTGCCCACCCAAACAGGCAGTCCTGCCTTTTTCTGAATATCAGGAATGTGTGAGTTTGACCAAACTGCGGGAGGCAGTGGAAGACAGGAGTGCATGGCGCGCTCTGGTCCATGGGGTCACAAAGAGTCGGACACGACTAAATAACAACAATGCAGCAGTTACAAGGTATGTATTTTACATATTTCCAATCCATCATCTCTTAAGAACAGGTCAATAGATCAGCCTGTTTTCAAACTGTGCAGTACAGAATCATGTCTTGAATTTGTATGCACTTTTCATTGTTCTACTTCAATGTTCAAAAAGTGGAACAGCTGGTTCTCACCTGAAGGGTGTTTCTAGGTGATTAACAGGCAACATGGCTGGGTAACATCGCCATCTTGTGGCCATTACATTGTTTTACAATACAAGCCAATTTAAACTATTATGAGTTTTTTTCCTAATAATGTTTCCCTTTCTGGATCTATTAAGTCTGTTCCTGCAGTTTGTCATTCACTGGACCAAGTTAAAATGCAAAACATCAGTTTGCATTTCCTGTCTTCAGTTGCAAGGTGGTGACATTACCCATCCATGGTGTGTGTTCAGCTACCTCCCAATAATTGCTGAGCTATGAACAAAACAGAAAATGCTGAACCTGGAGTTAACAAGCTCCCTCTTCACACAGCCAACAACAGAAGCCTTTCTGAATTTCAGGACCCAACACTGACTTTGCTGAACTGTCTCTTAAGACTTCCGTTGTCATAGCATTCAAATAAGGATTGGAAAAAAGTCAATCTCTCTGGCATTAGCACTACATTAGCCCGTAAAGGTAAAGGTAAAGGAACCCCTGACCATTAGGTCCAGTCACGGATGACTCTGGGGCTGCGATGCTCATCTTGCTTTATTGGCTGAGGGAGCCGGCGTGCAGCTTTCGGTCATGTGGCCAGCATGACTAAGCCGCTTCTGGCGAACCAGAGCAGTGCACAGAAACGCCATTTACCTTCCCGCCAGAGTGGTACTTATTTATCTACTTGCACTTTGATGTGCTTTCGAACTGCTATTTTGGCAGGAGCAGGGACCAAGCAACGGGAGCTCACCCTGTCGCAGGGATTCAAACCACCGACCTTCTGATCGGCAAGCCCTAGGCTCAGTGGTTTAACCCACAGTGCCACCCACGTCCCTTACATTAGCCCATATATTCCACCAATTTTACATCTTCAAAATAGATAGGTGAGGCATACCCAAGTTATTACAGTAACATATGAAACTTTTAGTTCTAGATACGACTCAAATGTAGAGATTGAATTTCAGAAGTATTTTTCTACTCTTCCTCTTTTTGACTATTCCTGGTTTGTCAGTAAATGTCACTTTTTACAACACTGGACCCCATCTATTTACCTGGATTTTGGACACTAGTTTCATAAAAGGCCAGCTGTCATCGTGACGCACCAATTCCACAACAAGCTGCTCAAAAGCAGACAGTTCATGAACTCCACCCTGACGTCCTGAACTTCTCCTATTCAAAGGCATTGGAGACGGCTCTGGGGAAAAACAAATTATTTAAGAAATACATTATCCTGAGGGAGTAAAGGTAAAGGTACCCCTGCCCGTATGGGCCAGTCTTGCCAGACTCTAGGGTTGTGCGCTCATCTCACTCTAGAGGCCAGGGGCCAGCGCTGTCCGAAGACACTTCCGGGTCACGTGGCCAGCGTGACAAGCTGCATCTGGCGAGCCAGCGCAGCACACGGAACGCCATTTACCTTCCCGCTGGTAAGCGGTCCCTATTTATCTACTTGCACCCGGGGGTGCTTTTGAACTGCTAGGTTGGCAGGCGCTGGGACCAAACGACGGGAGCGCACCCCGCCGTGGAGATTCGAACTGCCGACCATGCGATTGGCAAGTCCTAGGCGCTGAGGTTTTACCCACAGCGCCACCCGCGTCCCCATCCTGAGGGAATAGGAACATGTTAAGAAAAGCTAAAGTGGTACAGAAACAATATGATCTGAGTTCATCCTTACTCAAAGTGCTACAGTCGAGGATAAGGAAAGCTAGAATGGGTTTCCCTGCCCACCAACCCCCAGTGTCCTCTGAAGGAAACAGCCCCCTCAAAAGACATTCATTGATATACAACTGTTTACAAAACTACACAATTTGTGTAAGCTGGTACTAAGTATTGAGTAATGACTCGACCTGAAAGGAGCTGGCTTCCTTTTCAGAATGAAGAAAAATGTTTAGTAAACAAACTGGTGCATAGTATGATGGCATCTTATGCACTTCAAACTTGCAGTTTCAATCATACACAATTGAAGACCAGCTGGTTGAAATTCTGCAAGGTAAATGCAAGCAAGGCAGAGAGCTTAAAAGCTCTTTTTGCACTGAGTTTTCCTCGGGTATGGAGGCTGATCTGAAAGATGTTTCTTCTTTTTGTTAGAAGATCAGCTATTTCACAAGGGTGCATTACACTCCTCCAAACTTTTGCCCATCCCTGATATAACTCGGGACAAAAACGACGTAAGTTCAGTCAGAGAGGAGCATCTTTAATCTCTCTTGCTGGCCTGCCCCAAGTTGCAAACTCTCTAAGCCCATCCCAAGATGAAACAATTCAACCGATTACTCCAAGCCTTCTATCCTATAACCTTTACTTGACCAGACTAGAAAAGCTTTCTAGTATATTGCCATGCGCCATTTAAATGTTCTGAATATTCTCTATTCTCCAGCCAGGTGGCCTTGGCCTCCCTACCTAGAAAAGCCTTAAGAATGAGATTGGAGGGAGACAACCAATGAGAAAACGGAAAAGAATTGATTCTCTTGACAAAGAAAAAATGCAAGACTCTGATCCATAGTGCTATGCCATGTATTTCTGGCAGTAAGAGTATGAAAAGCCACAGGATACAATAACAAACCTCCCTAGTTCTACATCCGTACTTTTACATATACCAGAGATTTCCAAACTGTGTGTTGCGACACATTAGCGTATCGACTGCATTGTGTAGGTATGTCGCACGAATGCTCCCTGTGCTCCTCCCAGGGCTGGAAAGGGGTTAGTTTAACCTCCAGTTTGCTAGTAAAACTGAATTACTATGTCACACAATGATGCATGTCTAAAAAATAGGGTTGCCATACATCCTGGAATTCCCAGACATCTCTTCTTCTGGGGGCCTTACATGCCCATCTGGGAGGAATTTTGCATTTTAAACCAAATGTCCTGGATTTTGGAACACTGGTTAATGTGCTGGCTGTGGCGGGCGTGGGTGGCTCGGGCTTGGTGGCAGCAGAAGGGCTATCAGGCGATTGCCCTAAAAAAGCTCAACAACCTTTTGTGTCCAGATTTTTACCTCTTGAAATATGGCAAAACCCCACTGAAATGTCACCAACATGAAAAGTTTGGAGAGCTCTGATATATACTATGATGAAAACTTCTTTCTGCCTTACATCTGAAGGCAATGTCAAAAGAAGCCATCTACCTGTTCCACATGGCAGTCCCAAATGGGCTGAATTCATTCTACAGCCAATAGTATTTTAAGGATTCAACATACCTGTAGATTGTCGTTTCCTACCCCTCTTTTTGGGCTCTGTGTCTTGAGGAGAATTTTTTACAATAGGAATGGGAGAACTTTTCTTTTCCTTTGAATCTGTAGCATCAACAATTCTGAAGCCGAGATAACTGGAAGGACTACTCTCTGGAGTATTATCTGCTGTCTTCCTTCCTCGGCGTCGCCTCTGGGGACTGGTCAACTCTATAAATGTGTCTGCTTGTAGCAAATCTCGATTCTGACGAGTTGTACGACTGCTAAGTCTTGATGATTTTGCTACTGATGAAGGAGCAGACCTTGTCTTTCTTATGCCCTTCCCAGTAGCTTTACTTGCAAATCCGGTTTGCTTAGGTGTATTCTGCTGACTCCGGGAACTGTATCTTCCAGTACTCTGACGCTGGCTGTATTGACCTGAGATGCTGGTTGCAAGTTTTGCAGCTCTTGCTCTTAAAGCAAGTTTTACTTGAGGTTTTCTTGATTTGGATAAGCTGTAAGAAGTTACAAGTATCAATTTCTGTGATACAACTAGTATCTTTGCTCCTCTCTATTCTTCAAAGTTGTGAATTTAGCACTCAATTAACTGTTTTAGACAGATAAATTTGCACTGTTTCAATAACTGTCAGGTTACCAATTATGGAATGACAAATTTTTCTTTGCAAATTTAAAACTAAGAAACTACCCATAGTTATCCTATCTTAATTGCAAGTACACACTTTAAACAAAACACTATACCCCTGGGTGATTTCATATCAAGTGATCCAGCTTTCTTACCTCATGTTGTCCAATTTTCTTAATATTTTGTACACTTGTTGAATGATCAAAACCTTTAAAGCTCAGCCCTGGGTTGAGATATGTCAAAGCCAAAAACACCAATCTCTTCAGAACTTCATGGGCTTTAATATACAGTATGTCACATGATGGACTTACTTAAAATATATGTACAAAATATTTTTTAAAAATGTGATCCCATTGAGATCCCAAGATGAAATTTTGCAGGTAGCTCTTAGAAATATTAAATAATCAATACACTTTTTGGAAATTTTAAATCATATTTTTAAAATCACTTTTAACAAATTAAATTTTTGTACCTTAAATTTAAAATTTTAAGTAAGTCCATCATGTGACATATCATATTAACGGCTGTGAGAATTCTGCATGGATAGAGCCAACTTGGTGGCTGATTTACCTTTCATCATCCTCTTCTTGAGAATCAGAGTTGTCCTCATCCTCTTCATCTTCATAACCTTCTTCCTCACTATGTCCAGTATCTTCATAACTGGTTTCATCTTCCTCCTCTTTAATCTGTTCTTCAGCCTCTTCATCACTTTCCACAGAAGGTCTCTGTCGGGATGAGAGGCGTCTGGAACGCTGCTTTGGTCGACATTCAGGGCAAAACCAGTCTCCATCAGGAACAACCTAACAAAGAGGCAGCATGCCTTTGTAAAATGCAACTACTACTTATGGTTACAATTTTAAAACAAAACAAAACAAAAGTTGAATTACCTTGAGCTTTGGTCTTATACAGTAAATGTGATAGCCTCGATCGCAGACATCACACAGCACCATGCATTCAGCATCTCCTTTCTTTCTGCACATTTTGCAGCGAGCATTTAAGATAGATTTGGACCAGATTACACTTCGCTCTAGTGTTGAGAGGTGGAGGAAGATTTGAGAGAGGCTAGCAGAAGACAGAAGTGATTCTCTCCAACGGTCCAAGACTGTTTTATGTGAACGGCCACCATCACTGGCATCTTTACAAGAAAGAGTGATAAAGAACAATTAGGCTGCAAACTTCCCAATAATTGTATTCATTATACAAAAACAACTTATTCATAGAATTAGAGGCCAGGTCCTCTTATGAATCAGAAACTGGCTAAATAACCTGTAGACAGGGGAAAGTGATGCAAATCAGGTTTCTGCTGCCTCTTTAATGAAGTAGGAATAGATTTGACAGTTCTCCCAATGGAGGGAAGAAAGGAATGGGATCTTCCAATAACATGAGTTGGGTGGTGCTATTTAACTTGTTCAAAAATGATAAGGCGTTAGGGGTGGGTTAAAAGGCAGACAAATTTGCAAACACTACCAAATTGTAGCCCACCTGGGGAACAGGGAACAGCTCCAAAGGGATCTCATTCCAAACATGGGCAACAAAATGGAAAATGAGATTCAGCAAGAAAAAAGTGAGGCATACGGGGCCCCAAAAATCCTAAATTCACATATACACTGATTTGGGATATGAACTGGCAGTGGAATTTCTAAGAAAGCCATCTTGGGGCCATGATGGATAAAAAGTTAACTCAGTTTGTGGCAGCTTTCTATCCTGACTTCATTCTCTCTTGATAGGGAGAGGTGTCTTATTACCGTATTTACTCGAGTCTAATGCGCCATCGAATCTAATGCGCACCTCCATTTCAGAACCTTGAAACAAAAAAAAGTATTTGTTGGCGAATGTAAATGTGCCATCGAATCTATGTGCACCTTAATTTTTGCAACATAATTTGGCCAAAACAAGTGAACATTAGATTTGAGAAAATACGGTATGTCACCCAATGGAATGGTTCCTGTTCAGATACTCATCCAGTCAGCCTAGCCTTCCTCTAGCGAGGCATTCGCTCTAAGTCCACATTTCCATTTTTCTTTCTGCTGCTTATTTTTAATTTTTATTTTCTTTTTACTTTTGCAAACTTCAGGTTTCCCTAAACATGCTGATATATTTCTCCTGTTCTCAATCACCCCATTTTGGCTATAATCCTGCTGGCACTCACCACATGAGTTTGCTATTAGAAGACATGATGATTAAATAAATAAATCATAAAAATGGAATCAAATTATAAATATACAGGGCATATCACTTACAGACAACTGGGTGTTCATTGTAAGGACCAATAATATGAAAACTGATTATTAAAGTTATAATTTGCCTGATGCCTTCCAATCATAATAAAAGATAAGAGAATATCCTCACTCTTCCAAAGACAGAGAGAGAGAGGGCATTTCCCAATAAGCAATTCATCCATTCAGGAAATGATTTATAGGCACTTGGGTGATAATCCTTTTTGAAGCTTCATTACCCTCAACAAATAAGGATTTAGCTGCTTATAAGGCAATAAAAGCTCCAAGAATTTGCATAGAATCATAGAGTCAGAGAATTGTAGAGTTGGACCCAGAGGGTCATTTAGTCCAACCCCCTGCAATGCAGGAATCTCATCCATGACAGACGGCCACCCAACCTCTGCTTATAAACCTCCAATGAAGAACAGTCCACCACCTCTCGTAAGAATCTGTTCCACTATGGAACATCTCTCATTGTCATATAGTTCTTCCTGATGTTTAGTCAGAATCTCCATTTCTGTAACTTGAATCTTTTGGCTCAGGTACTAGCCTCCAGAGCAGGAGAAAACAAACTTACTCAAATTAGGGGACCTTCTCTCCACCTTTCAGTTAACTTGCACTCTCTTCCCCAAACCCAAACTGTCCATTTCCTTAATTCCTGTTCCTTTTATGTTCACTTCTTCCTCTATTACAGCTTCCCTCTTTTATCCCCTTCCTCTCTACTCCCAGTTTATTCTTATTTTTAAATATTAATATTTTCTCTTTCTAATTTATTTCAGTGAACTCTCCAGTTCTTTGCCCTCAGGTGGGGGACCCTCCCCCCCCGGCAACGTTTCCATCTCCCAGCCACCTTTACTCAGTTCCCCCTTCTCCACCCCCCCAGGCACACTGGCTCTCCAGTTCCTGCATCACTGCTCAATGCCTCATTCTTCCAGGTAGAAGAGATGGCTATCACCTAGGAGTCAGTCAGGACAGACTTCCTGGCTTGGTGGCAGACCAGGCACAAAGTAGGAAGACTTTGGGGTGAGGGTTGAGGAAGAAAGAAGGGAAAGGTCAGAAGGTACAGCAGCCACCAGGTGCTGCTTCTTTCTCTCAGTACAACCATCCCTTTTGCCCCCCCTCCTTCCTTCCCCTCCATCTCTGGCACCAACCACACTATTGAACTCCTATTCACGTGGAGCAAGCCTAAAAGGCCATTCGCTGTTAACTCATTCTCGAATTGCGCCCCCCCCCCAAAAAAAATCAAATTGCCCCCCTGTGGGGTGTGTGCCTCACATTGGGAACCGCGGCCCTAGCGCAAGTGGAGGGAACAAAACATGATCCCTGACTGAGCGCTGCATCTCAGATGGGGATCCTGGCTTGTTTCATACGAACAAACCATGACTGGGTAGCCAACAACAACTTTGGGCTTCCCAATCATAGTTTGAAGCAAAGCGACCACAATCCTTTAATTCAGATGTAGCACTATGTCAGGCAACATGGTTTGTCACTCTACTTGTGCTAACGGAGAAGTGAAATGGGAGCTGCCTGCTTTCACGGTAAACCATTGACTACAGTTTATTGCAATACGCAAATGCAGCTGCCTAAGTAGAAGTAGATTCCTCTCCCTTAGTGCAATGTTTTAGGTGCACTAGAGAACTTGCTCAATATCAATAGTGATGCAGATTTTGAGTAAGCGACAGTGTAACCCTGTCCTGACTTTTTTCTAGTTATCACTGCCTTCACAGAGGAAAACTTTGATTTCAGAAGGCACTGAACCAGCTCAAGATGTATGGTTGGATTTCAGTTTGGCTACAGAGATCGCTGTAGGATTAGGGATCTTTTACAGGTCAAGACACCAAAATAAAGGTAAAAGTTCAGTGAAATATTTTATCCTTAAGCTCTTCACTATTCCTTTCTAAAAAGACTGTCACAACTGTGATTCTATGTGGTGGTATTCAATCAAACATTTCCAATATTACAAGAAGATTTGGCTGTGCCAGGAACTTCCCCTCCCTCTCCTTTCCCTGTCGGCCCCCTAAATCTGCTCTGGATGTTTAGAGGAAAGCAAACAACAGCTTTGGTGGGGCTTATGGGAAGATGGAAAGTTCTGTTGTGCCGCCAAAAGTGCTCTTGCTTGTGGAAAGGTTTAGTTTGATACTGCCCACTATTTCAAAGCTGCATTGCTATGCTCAAAAGGTGATCATGGGACTAATATACTAAAGACACCTGCAGTGGATGAAATGTAATTTTAAAAGATTAAATATAGAATAATGTCAATCATTTACCATCTTTCTGACTAGACTGATCTTCTCTTTTCCTCCTTTTATCCCCCTTTTGGTCTCTTTTATTGTCTTCTGCATCACCTAGTGTTAAACGCATACAGTTATTTCAAGCCTGGTTTGGAAATAAACGGGAACCTTTCACTAGCATGCTCACCCTATTTCCCTAAAACTAAGCAGTTAATGTTGATATTTGGATTTGCATCAATATGCAGAGCTGTGTTACATCACATGTCTCTTCACATGATGTATTAGCACATTCCCAGATCAGTACAAAGGGATAGGAAGAGGTGCTTCCTATTCCAAAAGTAACCATGCATATCCTAGGCCTATGCTCACAGTACACAATATGCTTTCTTACCATCAGGGGTATCAGCTCCTGGGGGCCGAGCCCTTTGGGGCCCCCTGAGTATTTTGGGGGTAGGGGCCACCCCCTCAATGTCCAAAAGCACAAAGTACGGAGACACACGTAGTGAGGCTCCAGTGGCCCACTCCTCCTCCTGCCACTGCGGAGGGGAAGGAGGGTCGAAGCAGCCTCCCATTGGTGAAGGAGGAGCCCCCGTCACTGAAGCCCTGCAGGTGCCGTTTTTGGCTCCACCTCCGGTTCCTCCTGACATTTTACACGGGACATCAATGTCACGTGTGGCATCACATGCATGACATTAACCCTCTCAATCTGGCACCTCTGCTTACCATCATTCATCATTTGCCAAGTGGATCACATTTCCCCCAACATTTATGAACACAGTGAATCAAGGAAGTGAATCTTGTGTTCAGGTGTGGCCATACACCCACACAATCCATTCATCCCACTTTTGATTTCAAGTACGTTCCAAGCCACCTGACTCTAGATTGGCAATTCTAGAGCATTTTCATCACCATTCTTATTTTGAGTTTACTTGCCCTTCACCCACCATAAGGTCCCGGGTGAGTTGCAGCAATTTAAAACACAACACAGTTTAAAGTGATTTTGCATTTGTTAAAACTTGTTCAGTACAGTAACTGGCAATTTGTTGACACATTATTTGGACATGGACTATTCTTTTGCTCATAACCAGCACAGGGCTCTAGAAGTAGGTACGTACCAAGTGGAGCTTTGAGGAATTTACGTTCAATGCCTTGCTGTATCTGAAGCAGTGCTGATGCCAAGTAATGGACAACATTATTCACGGGCTGCGGAGTGCTTGTATTAGTTGAAGCGGTGCTTCTAGGTTCAGGTTTTAATACAATCAATCTAAATTAAAGTTTAAAATTCATCAGTTTTAAACGACAAATATTTTTTACATTGGTGGTGTGAGCAGAACAAGAATGTACAAACATGCATTCTGTGGACTTAATTAAAATAAATAAGCATTTGTTCCTCAAGTAACTAAGTACACAAATCAAGTTTAAGTAGTGTATATGCAGAATAATATAACCATGAAGTCTCTCTTGGCACTTTCATTAATACATATATAAATATTTATATTAATCTAATCACTAAGAGCGATTTCCTTGGACACTGTGCACAATGTACTAGTAACTTCTATATAGGCCTCATCCAAAGAAATGAAACTGAAACTTTTGAAGTAGTGTTTTCCAGGAGCTATGCTTTCTGCTCAAAAGATCTCAAAAGAACATTACCTGATATCACCTCAAACACACTCTTGTGTGTTACAAAAATCCCTAACAGGGCCACTTCACACAATTTCTTACACAATCATTTCTGTATAGCAATTGTGTATAGCCAGCATATACCCAGTAATGTGTGATTAGCACACTCGTTTTCGCACATGTATTAGCCACAAAAATAAGCACTAATCACAGCCCTTAAGTACGTGAAGCAAAAAAGACCTACACACTTGATTCACCTGACACAGAGTATCTGTGTACAAAATTTATCTTATGTGAAACTGGCCTCAGCAGTGCAAGTCAAATATGCCATCAATGGTGTTAAACATAACTTTAAACTAACAAAGAAAGAGCACAATTCTCAGGTCAGGTCAGTTAAATCAGTTATGGAAAAACTCACACAGGTGTCATCTCAAGAAACAGAATACAGTGGTACCTCGGTTTACAACAGTCCTGTCTACGAACTATTCGGTTTACAAACTCCGCAAAACCGTAAGTAGTGTTCCGGTTTGCGAACTTTACCTCGGTTTACGAACGGAAGCTGAATGGTGGAAGGGCACCAGTGGTGGGAGGCCTCATAAGGGAAAGTGCACCTCGGTTTAAGAACAGACTTCCAGAACGGATTAAGTTCGTAAACCGAGGTACCACTGTATTGGAAAGAAATAAGGGCTACAATATAGGTGCTTTGCGAATTTGTAAACTCCAAAACAAAAAGAAAAAATTCAGCAATTGAAAATAAAATTAGTTTAGAAATCTTATAATCCAAATACATTGATATATTTGAGTTGCATAGATCAAACACACAATTTTAGTAATGAAAGAATGCAGAAAGAATTCACAATGAAACACCTATACTGTTTTATTGCTTCACAGAACTGAAAATAGGAATGCTGTCTCTTGACATCATAATTGGTAATAATCAATAAGGTGTCATTTGTTCAGCAATTTCCAGAGAAAGCCAAACATCAATTATACTTAACATGATTACAGCATCACTACTAGGGCTGTGCCAATTTTTTGTCCTCGAGCGTTTTCAAAACAAAGCCATGCTTTTGAGGGAGAGTGCCTAGCTTGCCATTTTCTGCTAGAAAACAAAGTGTTGTCTTACACAAAACAAACCAGAAAAAATATAGTTTATGGATGTTGTTTGATACAATAGCACAAGAGTGGGGAACCATGTCCCAGATCCTTAGAAGAATTGGCCTTGCTAAAAATACCACAATGCAGGGAAATGCTTTTAGTTAAGAACCACCCCCCTCAAAAATTTCATTCTTCACTGGATAAAGTGGAGCAAAAGAATGAAAAGCCAACTACCCATCCCATTATTAATTTTAAATAGCACAACTAAAAGGTTGCTGGTATTACCTGTCTCTTGCAATACCTCTTGCTTGATTATCTACTTCCATCTCTTCTACGTCATCAGTCACAGTTTTCATTATACCATTTTCTTTGTTTTCATCATTTAGTAACTCATATTGCCCACTTTCTAAGGCTGTCCTCCAAGTTTGCCTGTCTGCTACCTATAAAGCATAATACAATTATTGAAAGGCTTAACACAAAGATAAAGACGATTTTTAAAGTTGCATTTTCAAGCAAATGGAAAATTATTAATTATTAGACCTGTTAGTCACTTATTACCCAAAGGTCTTCAAGTGATTTATAACACATTTAAAAACATAAATATGCATACATTATACCATTAAAAAAATAATAATAATGTATGTAACAGCCACAGAGAGCTTGGCAGCACACTGAGGAAAAAAAGAGAAGTTTTTACTTGGCACCAGAAAGATTTCAACAATGGTACTAATTGGACCTCACTGGGGGAGAGCATTCCCCAGATGCAACTGAAAAGACCCACGCCCTTGCCACCACCCTCCAAGCTTCCCTCAGAGGGGGGACCTGGAGAAGGGGTTCTGAAGAAGTTCCAAGAGTCTGTGAAGGTTCATATTGGAATAGGTGTTCCAAAAGATCCTGAGTCATAAACAGCTTCCTAAGTGAAAATCAGCACTTTGAATGTGGCTTGAAAGCATACAGGTAGCTAACTGCAGATGTATCAGATTTAGTGTAATATGAACTGTTTGCCTGGAACCTGTCAACAGCTGGGCAGCTGCATTCTGCACTAACTGAAGCTTCAGAACTGTTTTCAAAGGCAGCCCCACATAAAGCACGTTGCATCAGTCCAACTCTGAGATTACAAGAGCATAGATTACTGTAGCCAAGTTATCCTGTCCAGATAAAGTTTAGCTACCAGTCTAATCTGATGGAAATCGCTCCACACCACAGAGGCCATCTGTGCCTCAAGTGACAGCAATGGATCTAGGAGAATCACCAAACTACAAACTCACTCCCTTCGGAGGGAGTGTGACCCCATATAGAGCAGGCTGCACACTATTCAGCTGGTAAGAGGAATCACCCACCAGCAGCATTTCAATCTTGTTTGGATAAAGCTTCAGTCCATTATCCAAATTAACTCACTTTCTAAATTGATTCACTTAACAAGTAAAAATCACAAGTATCCACCGTTAACAACACTAAATGTGTCCCGAGTATAGAGCGAACAGAAAACAAACAAAAACCAGGCGCAGGAACACAGGCCTGAATCACACTGATATAGCAGAAATGCAAAATAAATTTAAAAAATGCAGAAATGCTACTACCTCAAGTGGAAGACAGGAAAGTAACTGGGGTTACTTTAAGGAAATGGAGCTGGAAAAGTTTTTTGTGAGGCGACTTCGTTCCTGGCTTCAAGCACCGGGAGAGCTGACCCCACTTTTCAGTACAGCGGTACCTCGGGTTACATACACTTCAGGTTACAGACTCCGCTAACCCAGAAATAGTACTTCGGGTTAAGAACTTTGCTTCAGGACGAGAACAGAAATCGTGCGGCGCGGCGGTAGCAGGAGGCCCCATTAGCTAAAGTGGTGCTTCAGGTTAAGAACAGTTTCAGGTTAAGAACGGACCTCCAGAACGAATTAAGTACTTATCCCGAGGTACCACTGTATTACATCACAGGAGAACAAGAAATAACCAGCACTCCCTGTCTCTCTCCATCGCACAGGGTGACGAAGACAATTTCCATACCAAAATCAGGCCGAAACCCAGATTTAAATGGATCTAGAAAATTTGCCTCCTCCAACAATACCTGGACCCGGCTGGCAACCACTATCAAGAACTTTGCCCAAAAGGGGACATATGCTATTGGTTTAAAATTATTAAGATCTTCTGGATTGAGGGAAAGGTATTATGCCCACAGAGGTCAAGCAGGTTTTAAGGCACAATATTCATCATAAAAACAGAAATAGTAAAATACCTTAATAGAGCCCAAAGTTCCTTGATAGATTCTGTCTTCAATATCCAAAAGAAAGTCTCTGAGTCTCAATTCAAGCTGCTTTTCTGCAGACATCGGAGCTGCATCATATGTATTCTGTGTTTTCCCACGTACTGGACACAACTTGCTTTCATTTTGAGGTTTCTCTGTAAAAGCAACCAATACCTTAAGTAGCAGTTTCCAAATGAACATTAAAATATCAAGAAGTTACAACTCCTTCAAACCAAGACCAAAAGCATGCCACCTAAACACATTGTCTAAGAACAGTATAGACAGGTGACTATCACCAAAGCCAATTACATTTTTTTCTCCCAAAACAAAAAATTCACATCAGCTCAAATGACCACAAATAAGGAAAGTGTAAAACCCAAGACAGCTTCAAATTAGAAGTCTATTATTTGGAATGCAGTGGTAAATTGCTATTGCAGAGGGGCGGGGAACCTATGGCCTGCAGGGTGGTCCAATATGTCCCATGAATCCCATTTCCCTCAAACCACACCTACCTGTCAATCAGCTGACTGCACTTGTGATGCCAGTTAAAGGGTGAGAGGGTGGAATTCAATCCTGCACTGAGGGCACACGTTCCTAGCAGAAAACAGGCACCCACGGGTTGATGAAAGAAGCCACCTGCCTCATTTGGCCAGCAAGGCCAATTCTTCTAAGGATCTGGGACATCACTTCTGTGCTTTTGTATCAAACAGCATCCATAAACTATATTTTTTCTGGTTTGTTTTGTGTAAGACAACACTTTGTTTTCCAGCAGAAAATGGCAAGCTAGGCTACGGCTTTGAATATTACACTAAGCCATAGTTTACACTACTTGGTTTTAATGTGAATGAGCAGGTGCACACTGCTTTTTCTGTGGTGGCTCCCCGTTTGTGGAATGTTCTCCCCAGAAAGGCTCACCTGGCACCTTCATTGCATATCTTTAGGCATCAGGCAAAAATGTTTCTCTTTAATCAGGCCTCTGGTTCTGGCTGCTTAACATTCAAATGTGTTTGTGGGAGCAGGGGTTATTGGTTTGTTTTCATTCTCGTTCTTGTTTTTAATTATGTATTTTGTGTTCACATTTTGTACTGTGAAAAGGACTGGGTGATATCAGCTTTTCAACATTGCTATAACCAGCCAAACATCGTGATATAGTGACACAATGCGATGTTGAATAGTTGAGGGAGGAGCAAGCTGCATTGGCCGTGCAAGGCACTGGGGTAAAACCAGTACCCAGCACAGGAAGGAAGGAAGGAAGGAGTGGAGAAGGTAAGGCGCAGGCAAGCGCCACCCCCTATATACTCAAGAAAATCCAGAATATTTACCTGAAATATGGAATTTTTCTACAGCAAAACTGTCCAGTTGTTTAGATATTCTGTTTTTTTCCTGCAAAAGAATTTCCTTTAAGGCACTTTCCCTGTATCCTCTGGAATTGAGAGCTGCTAGAAGTTGGTTCAGTTGTTCCTGAGAACTGTAAAAGCACCACCGGTTTGGCTTATGTATTGGCAACGACACCTGTACAGTAGCACCAGTATGGAAATCTTGGTGACTGTTAGAGGTAGATTCTGTCTTCAAAGACTCTGAAGTTTTAGTAGCAGTCTGAGATTTATCTGCAATGTGACTCTGTACATTATTTTGAAATGAAGATGGCCGAGGCAACAACATATCTTCTGTAAGACCAGAATAGTCTTCTTCCACAAATAATCCTGGAACAGATGGGAAAACCCAGTAGCGTCGGTATAGGCGGTCCCGGCCCAAAGGAGAGATATTTGTACAGGCTGTGGCTTTCTGAATCTTTTCTGTAAGTTCCCTTTCTTTTGCTTGCTGTTCCTGTTTTAAAGCTTCTTCCTCCTCTGGAGTGGGTGGCTCACGTTTTTCACCAGTTGTCTCTATTTGCCTTGCCAGATCTTTAAAGCCATTCTGTCTTCTTCCTGAAAGAGCAAGCAAAAATGTTTTATTTCTTTATTTAATACATTACCTGGCCACTCACTGACCAAAGTGACACAACTATACATAGCACAGGTAGCTTAGAGTAGCACAAGCGGGCGTTTGCCCAAACAAATAACACAAGAAAATTTCAAGCAGGTAGCAAGATATCGTAACTTCTAAATTTTTCTTCTGCTCGTTTTGTACCATCAATCAACTAATGTCTTTATAGGCCCAATGTGTGGCTGCATTCACAATTTTTATATGGAAATTCTGTCTTCTGCAAGTTTCTGAACTAATTTCTTACATTTGCATTCCACCTCGCCTTCAAGGAGCTCAAGGCAATGTACATGGCTCTTCTTCCTTCCTCTTTTATTTTCACAGCAACCCTGGGAGATAAGTTACACCCAAGAGCACCTAGTGAACATCATGGTTAAGCGGGTCTCCTCAATTCTAGTCCATCACTCTAACCACTACTCTACTGTGCTGGCTCATAAAACGAGGGGAAAGGTTTTGTACCTTAGATACAAGCATTAGAAACCCATGATGGAAAGGAGTAATGAATGAGGCAGCCTTAAGTATCAAACTAGATCAATGGAATTATAAATCCATAAAAAATAATAATGACATAAAAAATAATAATGACAATCTAACAGAATGATGCAGGTAGTGAAGTTAACTCTACGCTTGCCTTCCATTAAAAACCCTAGAAGCAAGAACGTACAGCAATAGAAAATCAATACATAGCAATGAAAATGCACTAGAAATGAACTTACCTCCTCTTCTCTTTTTGTTTGGCACAATGTCATCTTCCTCATCTGTCATAGCATCTAAGTCTTGCTCCTTTGATTCAGTTTCTTTGCTCTCTGTGCTTGTATCAAGCTCTTCCCGCTCCTCCTCACTAATGCAATAGACATACCAAAAAATATAAAGTCCTCCAAGTTCAAAGAGTTATAGGGAATTGCACATGCATAGCATATTGTAACACACCATAGAGCGCAGTCTGAAAAATTGCACTGTGCGCCACATTAAAAAAAAGACACACAGAATAAAGTTACGCCCACAAGCAGAGAACTCCACACTGTCCACATTTACTGGAGATGAAAACGGATCTGGCTGGGCTGGCTTTTGATAGGTCACATTTGATTTTCCAAAGTGTTTTATAATAAAGATCAATGTGCATGCGTGTGTATTGAACTCTTTTACTATGTTATCCCCCCTATAGTATAAAATTTGTGATCATATTACGTAAATATCATAACCAGAAAGCAAGATAATCTAAGAAGTTTTTATTGTTGATGGAAATATTTAAATTGAAACTGTGTACACTAACCCCAGCATGTGAAATTAAGCACTATCCTAATTATATATGTAAATATTAACAACTGATCATACCCAATTGATACGTCAATTGCAGGATTTTTCTGCTCTTCTTTCAGTTTCTCCTGCTTCTCTTTCATCTTTAGTTCTTGTCCTTTTAGTCTTTCTTCTTTTTTCTTGCGGATTCTGATGTTATACAATACACAAAGATGGTTAGTTGGAGCATATAGGGTAATCAACCATTTCCTCTAATTACATCGCTCTACTGAAAAGAACAGAGACCCAACATACAGGAGATCCTTATGTGCATCTTGATGCACAGAAATCTCTGGATGAAGGCCATGGTACATAATAAATATCACTAAAATAAATAGTACTAAAAGCTTGTTGTTCAACAGATGAGCATGTTTTGCACTTGAAAGGTCTGAGGTTCCTTCCCTGGCATTTACAAGCCTGGATGGGAAAGAACTCCATCTGAAACATTGAAGAGCTGCTGCCGGTCAGTATAAGGCACCTTTCCCCAAAGAAACACCTGTGGATGCCATGGCATGCTCAGATATCTTTCATTGTGTCCGCACAAGACTGTCCTCTTTTTTACAGCACACTATCAGGATCATGGGGAAATCAGGAAGCCCAAGGGGAGAAGAGAGCACACAGGACAATTATTTCACTACTTTTTTGCTGAGCAGAGAAGCAGGAAGTAATTACTGCAGCTACCAGTAAAGCTATGACGAGTGGGGGCTTCTCCTACCCCAGGGGTAGGCAACCTAAGGCCCAGGGGCCGGATGCGACCCAATCACCTTCTCAATCCGGCCTGCGGATGGTCTGGGAATCAGTGTGTTTTTACATGAGTAGAATGTGTGCTTTTATTTAAAATGCATCTGTGGGTTATTTCTGGGGCATAGGAATTCATTCTTTTTTTTCTTCAAAATATAGTCCGGCCCCCCACATGGTCTGAGGGACAGTGGACTGGCCTACGGCTGTAAAAGGCTGCTGATTCCTGTCCTACACCAATGCTAGACTTAGACTGGCCCTTTTCGTTCTCTTCCATCCATGGCTGAGCTTCCCCCACCTTTCACCATTTTATGCATTCTCTTTCTCTGTAGGTTCTCTTCCTTCCCGCTTTGAATGTTTTTTCCCCTGCCCCGCCCTGCCCCTCTTTATTTGGGGGTTTCTCTCTCTCCCACTCCACTGCATGTGTGTGTGATCAGAGTGTGCAGTACACACACACATGGAAATAAAATGAGAAGAGCATACTGATACTCCCAATGTTTTGTAACTGCTCATGTTTCCTACAGCAGTGGTCATTTTCACAATACTCTTAATACAATTCCAAATGTGCTCATGGGCTCAAAACAGTTGGGAAGTCATGATGATGTAAGACCAGAGGTGGGAAGTTTTTTTCAGACATGGGGACAAATTCCCAAGGGCCACTGATTGACAGGGCCAGAGCCACAAGTGGGCACAGCAATTAATGTAAATGTTATATTTGTGCAAGTAGTCTAGTTGTTACAAACACCCTTTTCTACCCTCCTTCCAGTAAAGCAAAATGTATTATCAGAGTTCAAGCAGTCATCCCAGCCAGGCAAAAACACTTAAAGAGTTTGCAAAAAGGGGCCAGTTAAGGGTTGGAGTTGCCTTTTTTTATTCCCCAAGCTGGTGATTCATCCCCTCTAGCAATCTGTGGCCCTCCAGATATTGCTTGAATGCAGCTCCCATGAGCCTCAGCCAACACAACTAATGGTCAGGGATGCTGGGAGTTTTACTTCAGCAACATCTGGAGGGCTATAGGTTCTCCACCCAGTGGAGGCTATATTGAGCCAGCTGGTCTGGCTTGGTATAAAGGCAGTTTTCAGTTCCAAAGAGCAACTTCCTAATTTAGAACTAAATTTTTATATTGAAAATATGTAAGATACCTTGTAAAAAAAAGGTTTGAAATAAGATTAATCAAATACACCAGAAATGTGTTTACTTTTCTAAATTGGATTATGACAGACAAACAGGTTTTACTACCGTATTTCTAGTAAAGGTAAAGGGACCCCTGACCATTAGGTCTAGTTGTGGCCGACTCTGGGGTTGTGGTGCTCATCTCGCTTTATTGGCCGAGGGAGCCGGCGTACAGCTTCCGGGTCATGTGGCCAGCATGACTAAGCCGCTTCTGGTGAATCAGAGCAGCGCACGGAAACACCGTTTACCTTCCCGCCAGAGCGGTACCTATTTATCTACTTGCACTTCATGCTTTCGAACTGCTAGATTGGCCGGAGCAGTGACCAAACAACGGGAGCTCACCCCGTCGTGGGGATTTGAACCGCTGACCTTCTGACTGGCAAGCCCTAGGCTCTGTGGTTTAACCCACAGCGCCACCCGCGCCCCATATTTCTAGTAGGCTCTTTCAATTTTAGAAGCCACGCTTCTGGAAAAGCCCCCGTTTAGCTTTATTGTGCTGATATTTGGGCATCTGTGTTCTTGTCACCTTTCTGCTGCAGCTTCTCTTTCTTTCCGGTGCTGTTCTGCTTTTAACTCTCTGAATTCTTGTTTTGCCTGTCGTAATACATCAACAGAGTCCTCAATGAAGTCTCGAGTAGAAACAAGAGTCAAAAGCTTCCCGCAGAGGGCATGAAGAATCTTCATCTTCTCCCCTAATAAAATGAATATAGATTGATGCTTCATTACAGAAGTCACAGAATAATCCCGTGAACTGGTCAGTAAAGCTTCATCAATAAAGTAAGGTATCTATTTTTAATCTGTCAGTGACCTTTGGGCTCATTAATCCATAGAGATTGACAAGATGTAAACCTAGTACAAGGAGGGTTGTGCCATTTCAGAGTTTAGCCATCTTGTTTTATGGCATAGTTTACCAATAGAATCTTCAACATGTTTAACTGTGTGTACAGTACATGAACTTCTTGCAAGCTATTTTCCAGTCTAATATAAACGTGATCCAAAGAAGCAATCAACTGTTCCATGCACCAAGGAACTTCTGGACTTGTGTTTTTTTGAGTATGAACCCACCCAGCTTGTGCCATACAGCAAAACACTTTTGAAACAAAGCAGTTTGTTCTATATAATGGAGGACCTGCTGTTCAAACACAAAAGAGCAAGTAAAAATACCCAACGTTCATATACTATCAGTAGCTCAATTGATAATGGCTAATGATTCTTAGAAAAACAGACATAAGCTCATGTAGAAAATTAAACAGACTTCCACAAGATACGTAGTGCAATCCAATGCAAAAGTAAGCCCGCTGCCTTCAATGGAACTTACTCTCAGGTAAACCTATATAGGATTGCAGCCTAAATCACCTACCTAGCCCCAATCTTTATTATCATCATTATTTAATTAAATTTGTATAACTTCTAGGGCTAAAAGGTATTAGTGGTTATGCTTCAAGAGACAAAATAGGATTTTTCTTGACATTGTCCTAGTAAACAATTCTTGAAAACTTCTGTCATGTAACTTGACATATTGACATATTAATTTGGCTCTATTACCCGATGATAGATCATACACGGAAGTACACGAGAGTTTCTTCAACAACCCAGGATTACTCAATCTTAGCTCCATGCAAGCATCATCTGTGGCATCAAATCCTCCTCGCTTCTGGTAACGATATTTAGCATTGGCTGATGTTACATCTGCACCTGATGCTAGGATATGAAGTCTGAGAATCTCAGAAAGAGTGCAGCTATCAAGATCCAAGTTTTTCAAATTGCAACCTACAGTTAACAACGGAATGAGTGTTAGACTATTTGGCTACTAAGAGTATTTAGCAAACAATGTGAATTATACTTTTTTTTGTAAAATAGTGCAAAACGTAACAAAAAGTGAAACCCACACATACCCTGATGTAACTGGGGCCATGCAGCTGCCAAAGTTGCAACTGCAGATAGTGCAGATTTTGTGGGGTCTGCATCTTCATCCAAAGCCTCTGTTAAATCTTTAAGGAAATAAAGACTTTATTCTAGTGAAAATTAACACTTGCATTTCGGAGGCGAAGCAAGCAAGTCTTTTCTAAGCAATGCGGAGACAGCATATAAACTCGATATTTTTGTAAGTTGCCGTGCAACAAACATATGCATACTACCTAAAAGCAGAGTAAGCATGCAGCACTCCCTAAAAGCTTCTTGCATTGCACACAACTTGACCGCAAGAGCACAAGCACACACATGCAAAGAAAGATAAACCCATGAAATGCTCTTGTAAAAAAGGTTTACTGCGAGAAATCAAATAGCATCTTATTACTACATTCTTATAATTACTTCATTATGATTATGCCTGCAGAAATGAATTATGGGTGCCAGCAGCCTGTCTGTGCAGCCAGTCAGTGCTGATTTACCACATTACACATGAGATTCCATATCCTACACAGTTGATCAGTGAAGCACATCAATAAGCCAGGTTCAGAAGTTTATTTACAGCAGTATCAAGGTTATCCAAGACAGAAGTTTCTACATATCACCAAAGATAGGCTTATAAGTATTATTCTTTAAGGGTAGGAAACAGCAAGACGAAATACCCTTCTTTAGAAAGCAAATTCCTTATTCCTGAAGTTATTTCTTTTTCCTTTTTTTTTTACAGACTGAGGTCCTCTCACATCCAACCTCCACAAAGCAGAACTGCGCTATCCTATACTGGACATACGGTAAGCCTCCATTCACAAAAGTTAATATATTTTCTCTTTAACAGCTTCTGCCAAGTTATACGTGTGAATGCAGCCCAACCAAAATATGGAGAGCCATAACACAGAACTATGGGCATGCCTACCCTACAATTGTGAGTTTGTTTAGAATGCCTCAGTCAAAGCTATGAATGATTCAAAACAAAAACTTGACTTTACAATTAAGCAAAGGAGTATCGCATCTAGAATCTTGCAGTGGGAAGTTTTCAATTTAAGTGAGCAAAGTTTAACATAATATATGCATGAGAGAAAGGCAATCAGATACACACTAGCAGTACCAATAGGTGCAGTACAGTCTACATAAGACTAAATTACTCCAAATGGCAATAAAAGTTTCACTTTTGGGTCCAAGGAATCTCATGTTCAACAATGACTACTGATTGAGTGTGGAAAAACACAATTCCCCCCTGCAACTGATTTGCCAGAAAGAAGTCATTTGGATTTCCTCTCAACAGAATAATGACTAAATCTTCCTTGCACAAAGGAAGAATCACATGCAGCTTTGCTTTCTTCCAAAAAACCCTATTTCTCTGAATGGTGTGTGAGATCAAACAGAATTTTCAGATTGATGCACTTGACTCTACAAAGCACACGTCAACTGTATATATTTCTTTTCTATATATATTTCTTTTATGCAGTATACCACAACTGTTATTGTACTGGTTCCAGAGAAGAGGTGTAAAAGCACTCAATTTGGGGCAGGTGTAGGGAAATTTTGGTCCTTCAGATGTTGCTGAACTACAATTTCCATCAACCCAAGCCTGCATAGCCAATGACCAGTGATGATGGGTGTTATATAGTTCAGGAACATCTGGAGGGCAGAAGGTTCCCCACACCCATGTTAAGGGAATGCAAACACTTAATCTAGAGAAAATGCCTTTACCAGACAAATTCTGATAAAAAAATGGAAGAGCGGTGGGGGATCCCGTCAATATTCTAGTCCTCAGGGAAACAAAACAAAACATGAATGTTGGAGCAAAGGTTTCAGAGTCAGACCAGTAGCTCATCTAGCTCAAGTCTTGTCTCCACTGATTTGCATAAACTCTCCAAGTTTCAAGGAGAAGTTTTTCCCAGCCCTTCCTGAAGATGCCAGGGATTGAATCTGGAGCCTTCCACGAGCAAAGTGGATTTTCTGCAACTGAGCTATGCCCCTTTTCTGTTTGCTCTTTTACTACTTTATTCAGATGTGACTGCTGTGTGTGGTAAAAATATCACTATAAATCAACAAACAAGCTATTTGTTATGTGGTTTCTCTTTTCTTCAAGTATGCAACAAAGGAAATAAAAATAAACCACCACCTGAGCTACAGCACACTTTGGAAAGAGTATTCAAAGTCTGCAAATGCTGCAATAGATTTAAAAGTGTGCCCTTTGGAAAATAATTACATTAGCTAAGAAGTGTGCTATTACAAATCTGGACCAGGTGTTCCAGTGTGTGGATGACAATACTACTGTCACCGAAGAAATGAATAGTAAAGCTATGCACTGTTATGATGCCAGATTATTATTTAGCTGACACAAGAAGAAGTCTTACAGCACTTTAAAAAAAGCAACAAATTTATCATGGCAAACTTTCATCCAATGAGTAGACTATAATAGTCCATAAAAGCCTTACAACAATTTTTTTTAATTTTTTAGTTTTTGCACAAGAGCTACCAGCTACCAACACAGCTACCCCTCTGAAAGTTATGTAGCTTACACTGCTGGTGAGAAAGATGTATCTTCTGAATCTTCAGCAAAGTTACTGAATTCTGAAGAATTTTTTTTAATGAAAGGGATGTGTTAAGTTTTGAGACTTCTTGAAAACCCGCCAATGTGAAATTCTTGCTATGTCTAATAATGGGAAAGCTTGCCTTTTAAAAAAAATTAAAAGAGCACCTGCAGTACACACCAGAATCAACGCTGCAGCTAGCACCTGACAAACTTTTGTTTTTCTATAGCAATCATGTGCACTGAAGTGGAGCAATGTTAACTGAAATATTCCCATGCATGCAAATTAGTATGCGTGCCTATTAGTATGCAAGCTTTGCATTAAGAAGCACAGTTGAAGTCTGACCTTTGGTCTCAGCATCAGCTATTTGGTCTTTGGCCACTTCTTCTTCTTCTTCAGCCATGGCTTGAAAAATGGCCGTCAAGAAGAAAAAGAGCAATTCACATAGTGGACCTTCACTGTCATTTCCAACAAGAGCTTCCTCTAAAACCTCTGTAAATAAGAAAAAGTGGATTTGTTCAAACTGCTACAAATACACAGTGAAAAAACTGAAAGCTGTTCCTATGTTATGTGATTGTCAAAATATTAATCAAATCAATACACAGGATATTTTCCAAATAGGTCAACTAGAGAAACAATTGCTGTGATCCAGCAATTTATTCCAGGCTCAATTGCATAGAAAGGCAGGTGGATCATCTCTTCATTTGTTTCAAAGAAAGGGCAAAGTTCATTTTGCAGAATCCCACAGGGCAGCATGTACACTTGAAATGAATGGGGATATTTGGTCACATGCATGTATCTGAGCACATATAGTTGCCCAGATCAGGATGATTGCTGACAAGCAGTACATAAGAAATAAAGAGCAGAGTGAATAAAATACATTAAAACTAATGTCAGCTGGAGGCACCTAAGCCAACCTAGATCCACAGCTGTACTCCCAATATTGCATCATTAATGCATTCTGGGAAGGAAGAGAACCTGTTTCTTTCTTCCCCTGCAAAACAAAATCTGTAGACAGGATGTTTGCAAAATCTGCTACTCATGTTTCCTTTAGATTCAGTTTGCTAAAGATTCACTTGCCTAAAGTCACTCCATCAGGAAACTCATCTTGAAGATCAAAGAGTTCACCAAAAGCATGGAGAAACTCCAAGACCATGACAGCATCACCAAAGATCTCAGGAGGTAGTCTGGTTTTCACTGGAGTTGGAACTGGAAGTTCCTGTGATGCAAAGTAAATATTTATTGTATGTTTCAGTTATACATATGCGGTGAATAATCAACAACATACATCACAACAGATTTGATAGCCAAAAAGATTACAATGACTACCCAGCGTGAGTGTTGGTGTTAGAATACAGGCAGAAAAATAGAGCAGAAAGAAGGTGGCAGTGGAAGAAGAAAAGCGGTGACCACATGTAGTGCAATGTCTTGTGCTGGTCTTGCCAAACTGAGAAAAAGTAATTCTCCTCCCATTAATCTCAATGGAAGGGAGAAATAATAGCTGCCACTCGGTCCATTTCAGCCTCAACGCAGGATATGGTGCAACTCAATACCATCTACAGCACACCATCACCAGCATATAAACCCTACAGAAGGGAAACAGCAGGGTGGGAAAGGCAACTGTGGGTGCCAGAAAACATCCCACACAATTATGCAAGGAATGATGGGATCACGCACTGCAAAATTAACTGCTGTGATGGTCTCCCCACATCTGAAGCAATAGCTCATAGTATTTTTACTTTTTGTATGTTTTAAAGTATTGTAAATTTTCTTGATTTTCTTATCTTTTCGTAAACTGCTTTGAGGTTGCCGGGTTTTGTTTTTTAAAACAATCAAGTGATGTATAAATATTAATAAATAGAAAACAGGCAGACATTGCATGTCCCAAGTGCCTCCATCGCTCTGTGGCCTCTGCTTTGGTGCTCCACATGAGGGCTGGCAGATGTGGGCTGTGTTCTGCTGCCCTGATTAAAGCTCATATGCCCTCTGTGCCCCATAGTGGGCAACGGCCTCCTGTTCTTGCTATTTCCCAGGGATGAGATGGTAGCATGTTTACAGCTATGACTGCAGGACTCGCTCACAATGGCACACTCAATGCAAGTAGAGGATTGCTTTGCAAGTTACAAAACTTATGACTTAAATTACTATCTATTAAATATAAAAAGTTCTGAAACTGCACAACCATCGTTTTAAGTCCTTTTTCCCCACAAGGGGAGAATGTATGTGATAATCATATAGTGGATTTACAATTTCAGCAGATCCATCGGGCAACTTTTCTAGCCACAGAAAAGGTCTGAAAAACAATGCATAAATACACAAATATTTCTGGATTGTGGACTCTCTCTCTCTCTGAGGTTCCATTACCTTAAGATCATCACATTCCATGTCTTCTCTACGCTTACTCCATTGTTTTAGATGTTCCAGGTATTTCCTTTTCTCTTCGCGAAGCTTTTCTCTTTCCTGCAATTACACAGAAAATGACTACCAAAATAGTTAAAAACAGCTGTATTTAGATTATGCATTGGAGTAATAAAATTCAAGATAATGTCAATCCATGTACTTTTAGTGGAAATCTTGTAAGAAGTTAGGTTTATAATTTAATCTAAGCAACAGTTTAATTTACTGATTATTGGTATTGCATAATTTTCTTTAACTGTTGCTCTTGATGCTTATGGAATTTACTTTAATTAAGAGAATAGATAACATAATTAGGATATTGACTGTTTCACATATGTATACATGATTCTATTTATTTACATATCTTGGTAATGACAATAAAGGAATTTTTTTTTCAAAAGAAATGTATCATTTATGTTATTACATTTATTTCCCACCTTTCCTTCAAAGAGCTCAAGGTGGTATACATAAGATTTTTCCTCCCATTCTGCAGCCCCCTCAACAAACCTGTTGTAGGTAGTTAAGAGAAAGTGACTGGCCCCAAGTCACCCACTGAATTTCATGGCTGATGGATGATTTGAACCCTTGTCTCCTAAGTTTCCTTTATTACTTTAGAAAAAACCATCAAATATTATGAATAAAAGTCCTATTTCAAACAGTATGAAAATAGCTTGTATTTGATTAGACATAGGTAACCTAATTTTGGTAATGCCTCAACAGAACACTACACACATTAAGAAAGGATTGTGTCAGGGAACTGCCATCAGTGCCGGAGGGAGAGAGCAAAAGCCAGAGGGATTCCAGAGAGCGTCCAGAGATCGGGAGAAGCAGCCCATCTTCTGGGGAAGAGAATCAGCGTAGCACCAGTGGAGAAGGGGGGCAGATGGGGGAAGCGGCGAGGCGGTCCCATGACTCCTTGCGTGGGACCAGCGGGGAGAGTAGAGGTCCTCCGTTGCCCACGCCCTCCTTGCGCAGAAGGCTTTCGCGCAGAGAGAGTAGGAGGAGACTAGGCGTCAAAGAGCTTCTTTGCTGGAAGAAGTTTTAGAAACGCCCACTAACGGATTCTGCCAGCGATTGAGTCAGCCACGGGTGAGTGGCTGTCCGGACAGAAAAGGTTCACTTAGGCAACCCAGCCATGTGTTTGCACCCAGCCGGGGAGATAAGCACCGGCTTACGCACGAGCAACCCCTAGAACCATTACAGATTGCAACAATGTCCTGAAAATTAAAGCTTGTAACTGAGACTGCAATTTAGAATTTTAACTCACACTATCCAGGGGGCTTTGGATAGTGATGAAAAGCTCCATGTAGGAAACTATTTACAATTTTGCAGATGCATTCTCCTTCACCACGCAGGTGAAGAAACAGCAGTGTGTCCTACTCTTCTTTGTACTGTGATTCATATTCCTAAATACAGTTGTTTCTTGGAAGTTGAACCGCGTCCGTTCAACTTCTAAAATGTTTGGAAACCAAAATGCAGCTTCTGATTGGCTGCAGGAAGGCCCTGCAGCCAATCGGAAGCTCCGTTGGAAGTTCGGCTTCCAAAAATAGTTCGCAAACCGGAACAGCCATTTCCGGGTTTGCAGCATTCGGGAGACAAAACATTTGAGAACTAAGCTGTTTGAAAACCAAGGTACGACTGTACTGGGAACCTCTAAATGTAGCTATATATTTTAAACTAATACTGCCATTTCAAACTATTAGAAACCCAGGTGGGGGGTACCTGACCTTTTCTTTTTCTATTTTGAGTCGCTCTCTCTCTTCTTTCTTCTTCAGCCTTTCTCCTTCCACAATCTTCTTAAGTTCTTCCTTCCTTTTTTCCTTATCTTCTCTTTCTTTCTTCTTGGATTCTATAGCAGTTGTCTTTTCTCTTTTCAATTTTTCTTTTTCAAAAAGTGGACAGGAGAACTAGAGTTGTATTATTCTTTTTAAAGAAATTATATAAACCACACTTCAAGATCAAGTTAATCAAATCTGGCCACCTGTGGGTGATGCCGTTACGTTTAAGGAAACAGCCCCAAACAGACATGCTATGACTACAATCCCAATCACAATTACTGGGAAGTAATTATAGTTCTGGCTGTAAGCGTATGTCAGAGGGATTTATGTCCAAGCTAATATGATGTATTATGATTCTATCCCACCTTTCAGGTAAAAACATAGTGCTCAATTCAGCTAGCACATAAATAAAAGACAATAGTAATACAATAATGGGGAAAAAATAGTAAAGAGGAAAATCAGCAACTAGTTAAAACATGTATCATGGCATAAAATTATATAGACTAAAAAGAAAAAAAAAGCCCGGCTAAACAAAGCAGTCGTAAGAGTGAAGGGGCTAAATGAACTTGTGGCAAAAAGAGTTCCACAACTGAGTCACAGCTTCAGAAAAGGCCCTCTTTTGAGACAGGACTGCAACAGCTTCTTTCTTTGAAGAAGAATACACTAAAAACTACAGCACTAGTTCTACAGAATCAACAAAAGCCAGCCCATTATGCATGTTTTTCATCTAAAAAAAAGCTTATTCATCGCATGAGCTTGTACTTACCCATGGCCCTCATTTCGTCTTTTTCTTTTTGGAGTCGTGCCCTTTCTTTTGCTGCACTGCTTGCATTTCTAGGACTAAGCTGCTCTTTTGCAACGAAATCCTCCTGAAGACAAAAGGGGAAACTCATGAAAGGGCAATAACTGAAAAACTGAAATCTTTTAACAGCTTGGTGGAACATATCGCCAAGTTAAAATGTATATGATGAATGAATAAAACTAGAAATGTGTTTTATTTTGTGGCAATAGCAAGTTTTGACTACTGTCATTCCAAATGTAAACACCAGTTTAATCCAGCCTCATTGCATATGAGTGGCCAGGTTTTTAAGTCCCACCTGTGCCCATGGACTTTCAGGGCCTTGGTATATAAATTATTATCTCTCAGAGTATTATATGGCCAACTGTGGAACAATTTTGACTTACCTAAGACAACTAATGGCAAATATGAAAAACACAGATAGCAAAGTACTTTGCCGTTTTGAATTGCTGTAGGATGCAATCCACTGCTGTTTCTTGTTGAAAAGCACATTAACAAGTACTGCATTACTTACATGATCATCAGATGCCATCTTTGGAGGTCTCCTTCGCCGTCTGTTTGAAGGACTGAAGACAAAAGTGGGTGGATCATCAGGAAAGAGGTAGGAAAAATTCTGTTCTGCTATCTTGTATTTTGCAAATGATATTGCCTTGTAGAGAAAGATGGGGAAAGATTGTTGAGAAGGCTGCCTGCTCTTGCATGTACACACTGGCTAATAAGCTACGGTTTTAGAAAGAGACACCATTAGCCATTATTTCCTAATCAACACCACAGGAATGAGTTATCTGTAGTAAACGGAACACTCTTTAGTAAGCATCACTGAAATAAATTAATCATGAGTAAATTTGGGGTGGAGAATTTTCTTTTTCTGTGTCCTTTTAACACAAATGCAACATTGCAATGAAAAATACACCACCATTGTTTCAAATCAGATTCCAATTTATACGAAACCATAGTAGCATTGCACAATAGTTGGAAAACAAGTTTGGGCTAATAAATAAAAGAAGTACTTGCTACCACCGCTAGAGACTTTTTTAAAATGAGTTTTTCTCATCTCTGAAGTGTAGTGCCTGAACACCTTGAGGCTGATTCATATAAAAACAGCTTGGGCTCATGCACTCCTAGTGTGCTCTCATGCTCTACTGACAGCAAGCTATCGTTTACCTAAAACCTGGGCCAGACAAGGACAGTATAGTACAGTATGTGTAGGTCTGACGACAGTCAAACCATAGTTTACCACTTCATGAAAACTGTAATTATATACTTATTTGATTTAAAAAAATTCAAGGTGGTTCACAATATTAAAGAACAGCTAAAAACAAACAATAAAGCAATAATTAATGGTAGCATCAAACTACACACACACACACACACACACACATCATAACACAACAACTAAACTGGGTATCAAACTAATTTCACTGCCTATAATGTGATCAAAGTACAGTCTTGCTTCAACTTGTTTAATTACCTTAATTTTAACAATGCCATCATACGATTCACAGTGTTGCTTCAAAAAGAGCTTTAGTCTGTCACGAGAAAATAGATGTTTCCTCCGGCTATGGTACAGGACAAAAAGAAAAGGAACATGCATCAATATCAAAGATGATTCCCAGCTGAACTGGCACACTAAAATAGTTCCTAAATTTAGTTTTCAAGAGAAAACTATCCTATCAAGTATTTTTTTCAGGAACTACTGTTCCTGGCAATTCTAATTAAGTAATATAAATACCAAATCATTCCTGAAATAGAGTCAAGATTAAGCAAGAGCTCTTACAGTACTATAATCCAGAGATTGCCAACCCAGCATCTGCAGGTGCCAGGTTTGTGGTCCTTGTGTATTTTTTTTATTTTTGGTGGGGCGAATGGGAATGTTTTGGAGGGAGGTTTTCCTTTTGTTTTGAATGGCAGACATTACGTTCTGGCCCCCTGCGAGCATAAGTGAAATGTGCATAAATGGGGGACACCCTGCTGCGCCTCCAGCTCTTGAGGAGACCTTCTCTGGAGTTCAAAGGGGATGTCCTCTTCAGGCTCTAGGGAAGAACTCCTTTTGAGTCAGAGGCTTGAGGCTGCTCAGCTGACCCCCCACACCAGCTGAGCAGCCTCAACTAGCCTCCAGCGGAAAAGCCCAACAGCAGCCGCTTTCCTGCGTGTCAGATGTTAGCCAGGAGGCTGAAGAGACTCAGCAAAACCCCACTGCAACTCCGGCACGCAAGGAGACCCTCCCTGGAGCCCGTAGAAGATGTCCCCTTCAGGCTCCAGGGAGGGTCTCCTCGCAAGCTGGAGGAGCAGGAGGGCTTTGCTGATGCTCTTCAGATCTCTCCCCCCCACTTCCGAGTTTCCAGGGCTGCACATACATGCAGTCACATGTGAACTGAACTGAGCAGATGGGGAGATGCCTGTACATGGTCGAGACCTTGGGCTGAAAGAGTGGGAGATAGGTGTGCATGTGTGTGTGAGAGAGATGGATGGATGGATGGATGGTCTATGAGAGGAGAGATGTATGTGCTGTGTGTAAGAGAGAGGTGTGTGTTTATATGTGTGGCCTATGAGAGGTGCACTTTGGCAAAGGGAGAGGAAGAGATGTATGTGTGCCTGTGGTCTATATTCGTACAGTGAGTGTGTACACATGCAGGTAGAGTAAGTTCAAGGATTACAACCTAGACTTTGGTTTAGGGTTGGCTTTGGGACTTTGTGCCTTTAACAGCTATGTAGTTGGCAGACACTGAATAGGTTAAGCCTTTTCCACTATGGAAATACGCACTATGAATGTACGCACCCATTCATAGTCTGCCTGTCAGACATTTCAGTATGTGTGTGGCTACTGGTTTATTTTTGAGCTATCCGCTCAACATTGCTCCTCATATGCATATAGGGCAGTAGGACCATAGCCTTCAGTGCTTACCATATCTGAGATGCTTTCACTGTAACAGATTCATACAATTGTTTCTTAATAGGCTTCACTTTGTACTTGAACAAGGAGGGTTCAGTTATGGCTTTTTCCTTCCTAAAAACAAATATCAATTAATTTCCTCTCTCTGAACAGAAACATTTCTGTGCAACATTTCAATGAGTTAACTCCTTCAAATTACAAGAAATTAATTATGTAGTTAAATGTAATTAAAATGTACAAAACATAATACCACATAAAGAGTTTGAATATAATTAGTATTTTTAAAACCAAATGGTTGCCCTAAACAACAGGAAAAATATTTAATTGTATTAATTTTCACAGAGACGCAGCATTGCAGGCTTATAGGCTGACCTGCTCCAACAAATGCACATAACTCTGGTGACCTCTCAGATTCTGGAATGGTGTAATTCCATTCCACTATAGGCAAAATGGCTGCATAGAGGTTTTACATTAAGCAACTATTCTAATCCAGTTTTTGTAACCTTTTAAAACTATCCATATTTTCCAAATATAAAACTAATCTTTTACCCATTTTGTGCAGAACTGGTATCCAAGTCTGAATCATCGCTATCACTAATTACGATAGTGACTCCATCGGAACTGTTAACATGGCCATTAGCCATTCCATTTTGATGCACTGGTGCTTTAACTTCCAAAATCTTACACTGCAGTCTGAAACAAAGCAAACATAAGAACATAGCATTTTTTTAGTGCAAAAAGATTTAGTTACTGGAATATATACCTAAAAGTAGTTCGCAATCCAATATCATTTTATACTAACAGACAGATAAAAAGTGGGAAGAATGTTTCAAGAGCAGAATCAAATGTAAAGTATGTGCTCATTTCTTCTAACCCTTGGATAGTCTGTGAACTTAAAATCAGCTTAATTTTATCTATGTTCTTATCACATATCCATGTAGTTCCATAATTATGGGATGCAAACAGAGGTCTTCATGGGAAGAAAAACAGTCACTAGTGCTATTCTGCAACTGCATAAGCACTAGTGTAAGTATGTGTGGTGCTATAATAGGTGGGTATTACAGCCGTTCTCATGCCTTTTGTAAGCCCCTGAAAAGGCAAAATCTTAATTTGTTTTCACTTTCCTTATGCAAAGACTATTTGCATGAAGCAAGACTATCTGCATGAAGAACAGTACTCCGAAATGAAAACCAATGCAAGAGTAGGGAGAATTTCCACATATGAGTCTTCAGCACATTGCAAGTATGAGAGTACATCTGTTATACACAGTACAGTAATACATTTACTCTATTGACAATGTCCTATTACAGCAGTCATATTAAATTATCTGTTTTGGTTTTCAGCATTAATCACAAAGCCTCTTGTTTTATCCAGATAAGAAAACATCTTAAAACGAATGCCTGTTATGTTACTGAGAAACTAGATATTAAACACAAGAAAGTGGGAAAATAAAAGGTTCTATGTTGTCTGTGTATCTACACTAGCAAAAAAGATTATCCTTTATTACAGTTGATGACCCAAATAAACAAGGATAACATGATTGTTGTCTAATCTCGTCTTAATAATGGCCCATTTGCTTCCTGACACATTGTAAGCCTCCATTTTTGGTAAGCATGTCACCTAATGAAGACAACCATTAAATTGTTCAATGCAAAAGGAAAATATGTAATTAACACCTCTTGTCGTAGATGTTACACTTACATACATATTGCTATTGCTGAAAAGTACAGGACATGCCTTGCCAATTGTATAATAGACCAGACTACGTTTAGCATATTAGGGCTCACTGCATTAAAACAGCTGTGTTCGTTAGTGCAGTTGTTTCAGTTCAGCTACATTCTGTGTAGACTAACCCAACACAAGAACATAGGGGGTGGGAGGTAAGATGACAGAAAGGGATGAGAGAAGACAACCTATTAGCTTAGGAGGAGTGGGGAGAATGTGCCAGTAATGGCTTAGCTTCGACCCATATTATAACGAGCCATAAGCCAAGAACAAACCTTGGTGAGAGCTTGAAGACAGAACTTCCATGTTTCGAGGATTAATTTTTGGTTTCATCTAGCATAATTCACAAGTTGATTCCAGGTTGAAATTAATCAGTTGTATACCTGAAGTTCCTGATATCCTAAGAATGGCTAGAAGATCAGGGACAAGGTATGGACTCCTTCTACTCTCCCTTTCCTCATGTGTGAATTTCTCCTTCCCAGTTATGGTTTCATTTAGCCATAGGGTAGCATTATAGCTGAATAGCCCCCGTTATCACTAAAACCATGCTTGCTTTCTTAATTATATTTTGAAATTAATATTTGAAGTGGGTTTCCAAATTATTTTTAAAAGGAAATTAAGTTAGTGCTGATGCAGACATAATGTTTGGGACAGAGAGGAGAGGAGAGGAGAGGAGGGAGTTCAAATCTGTTACATATTCCAAATTATTTAAACATGGTGAGCACCTCATGCATCTGCACTGAGGCCATTGTTTTTTAAATGATTGAAAACACAGCAAAATAAAACATTATCATGCAGGCAGTGTGCTTTTTATTTAGATTTATATCCCACCCATTCTATACATACAGAATAATGCTTTGTATCTCAGAAACCCTTAATCTGTCAGTCAAAATCTTCCAGATAAGGAAAAAAGGAACTGGGTTGAAGAATCTGATCTAGCCACAAATTTAACCACAGATTCTAGCCGTGTGACCAGCCAAAGCTACTTAAAATTAAGCTGTTCACAAGATAAACCTAGATTTTGTTTTCTTTTTACAAGAGCCATAAATATATATCTCAAAACTAGCAAATATAAGAAATACTTACCTTTCACCATTATTCCTAAGTACTGCAACAATTTCACCAACAAAATAACGGTCCTTGATATAAGCAAAGATGTCATCACAAACTTCATGAAGTCGTGAGCGCTGAGTGAGGGTAACTAAGTACAGAACTGGAACAATAAGTGGCTCTGGAAAGTTCTGGAGATTTTGTAGGGCTTTCTTTTCTGATTCTAGTGCTTCTTGATAGGTGAGTCCAGGTTTACCGGTAACAGCACAACTCCACACAAGGCTATTACACAGAATGGTTCGTTCAAAAAAGTCACTGCAACAGAGAAAGTTAAAATAACTGAACATGTCAAATACATGTCTAAGTATAGGCAACCCCCACTTTGAACGGGGATTGCATTCAAGGTCATCGCACGTTCTGTGAAATCACATGTAATTGGAAAAGTCTGCAAACACTCCGCTCCTGGTTTCAAAACTTGGCCTTGAGGCCAACAGTGCCTTAAAGCCACTTTCTCTCTCATATATTGGTCTTCAAATAGAATACCGTACCTCATTATGCTTTGGGGAGATATAATCTCATTTGAGTTTAAATAAAATCAAATCCAGACCCAACATGTCTTATGTGGGACACCGATTATGTGGTACAACTGTGACTAAACCTCAGATTTTACCTGATTCATCATAGAATTCTGTTCTTCTCACACTCATCTTCTACTCACTTGCTCAAATGTGAGCTTGATTTGGGAGGCAGGTCTGGAGATGTGAGAGTCCACAAGCATTTTTTCTTCATCTGTACTGGTACCGTCCTAAGGTTACCAATTTTACTTTGGCTCCTTCTATATCAGTTTCACTCATTTCATTTTCTTTTCAAAGTGAGCACAATCCCATCAGAGACACAGGTAAGTATGACCCAAATCCATTTAGCATGGACCCATGATTGCCATGAAGCAATGAAATACTGAGCCACTTCCAACAGGGAATGTTAAAGTTCCCAACAATATCACCCTGGCTATCTTAAATAAGGAGACTGCTTAACAATGGTAAGGACTATACACCAACAGAATCCCTATCCTGAACACCCACCATTAAAAAAAACATGCTCGAAACTATAATTAAATGAATGAAAACTGTAATGTTGAATGAGGCACCTGGGTATGGGAATGGAATCACTACAGCCCACTAGGCCACCTGCTACTGTTTGGAAAAACTGGCAGACAAAAGCTGGGAAAGATTTACATACAGCCAGGTCTTTGTAATATATGCCAGGTCAGCATGCTCATCCAGGATTAAATTCTGGATGGCAGCTGTCTTCCCATTAACCGAACTAGCATTCAGCTGCAAGACTTTCAACCAGGGGGACTGTCAACAAAGCAACCAAGATTCAATTGGTCTAGAGATACTAATAATATGATTATGATTTTAATGATTGGCTGCTGGGCTACAGTCCATTTTATGGGCAACTACTAAATACGGCACTTTATGGGTTCAATGAACTTCTTAAGTGGCAAAGAGTTGATACTACTAAGATGAAAGTTTTGCCACTCTCTTCTAACTGAATAAGGAGTGGAGAAAATGCCAAATCTTCTGGTGCTACAGAAGTGTTTTATAGTAGTATAAAAATTCCTGAAACTTTAATTTAGCAGAATTTGTGGATTTGTTGTGTGGATAGTACTGAATCTTACGACTTCTATTAATTAGTTTTTTAGGCTGCTTTTAGGCAAATACCTGTCCAAAGCAGCTTACAATAAATAGACATATATATAAAACTTTAAAAAGCACTACAAGGAAAAATTGAATCAGTCTATCATCCAGCTAATGAGATTCATGCAGGTTTGCAATCACTGTAACAGAAACAGTAACCTGGGAAAGCATGCATGTCCCATGGTTTCCTTGTACCACAGAACATGGTGTCTCTCCAAACCTGACAGCCAGCATCATGTAATAAAACTGTTGGACTTAGCCCAAAATACCTGGCCCGAAACCCTGATTAATCTGGAGTAGCCACTATCTCCACCTCATTGAGCTGTTGCAAGTATATAATTGCAACACTATATATATGCATACAAATTTGATAAATCAGAAACGTAAGACCAGTTCTTATGTAATTGTAACTGATGATTTTGCTTCTTTCCACAAGCACGCAGCCAGGGATAACAAACCATGATCCCTGGGTTAAGTATTATGTCCATGGATGTTTTACTCAAATTAACCATAGTCAATAAGCCAAGAATGTACCTTGGTGATAGGTTGTAGTTTGATGGGAGCAAAACCACAATCCCCAATTGTGTGGTGATGTGTCTCTTAAATGCATAACTGCAATTTTAGTTTTTTACTCTGTTTTGGTTTTATACTGGTTTTAATCTTTATACTATTTAGCAAGTGGCTTTGGAATACATTTTGTTAAGAAAAGCATTAAGGACAATTAATAATGACAACAATAATAATAATGACAACAACAATAATAATAACAACAATATATTGGCTGTGGAAAAGGGAAGATCCCTTTTCTATGTGTAGCCTATTAGTAAAAAACAAAAACACAAAAAACTGTTTGGCCCACTACAGTTCCACACTGTTCATGGAGGAAGAGACTTTCCATTCCCTGTGGCTAACACAGATGAGTGGTTGCCTGCTTGCTCCCCCCCCCCCCCCAGAACACTCATTTGCCTACATGGAATTGCCGTACTTGCTACCTCTGACTACCAGATAAATTGCTAAATACAAGAATGCATTAAGAGCATCCTGTATTTTACAAACTTATATATCCTTATCTAACTTTATCTAAAATCAGTCCAATTCTTAAAATAATGTAAGATTTCTTCTCTTGCTGCTACATTTCTAAATGGAAGAATTTGATAGGCATTTTCTTACCCCCAGATCCCTTCTCACATCTCCAACAAATGTGGGTCTAGCAATGGTTTCTCAACGGTGAGCGAAAGGAACTCTGCACATGCCCTTATGTGTTCCTGGGACAACACTGAGAATTTTTATACCCTATTGATGTCAGTAGAAGAATTGTGCATAGCTCACCTCTCCAGCTAAATTTTTTTGGACTTCAAAGTGCTCAGCTTTGGCTGGATTATACATAAAGTGTTGTGAATAAAGGGGAAGGATGAAAAACATATTCCAACTTCTTATCTATCAGAGTTCTGGATGAAGACTTTTGTCCTGAAGAACTTTTTCTCCTAATATTACATTTAATATGTAAAGTTCACATATTCTCTTCATACCTATGCCAATACTTAAGAACAAGGATAAACTAATGAAGTTTATAAATATATTTTAAATGTAAGCTAATTGAATACTACATGCAATTACTATTCACGTCATCTCGTGGAAAAACAAAGTCCTGTGAAAAGTTATTATAGAAACTGAAGGCTCCTCTAAACTGGGAAATACGTAACTCTTATATTCATGAAAATCTCACCCAAAAGTAGTGCTGCTGTACTGAGCTTTATTTCATTAACTAAGTAACTAGATTAGTACTTTTAACTAATTAATTGATAGCCTGCCATTAGAGAGAATACCTTGTGGACCAACTGTCCTCCTCTTTCATTTTTAAAACCGAACAAGCCAGAGTGAAAGCCACAAAATCAATGGAACTCTTAATGCATGGCAATAAAGCACAATACTGAGATACACAGCTTTAGCTAAACCAGCACATTCAAATGCGTCATCACTTTCCCTTGAATACGCTCAACTATTGTACTTGCCAGCGTTAGAAGAACCCTGACAGATACTACGGAAACAGAATTATCACCCCCTTTGGAGCTCAAGAAACAGGTGCCGACGAGTCCTACTCGCCCGGGTGGAAGTTTAGGGTACTAAAACGCCTAGTGTGTCGAAAAGAGGAGAGGTTTAAGGGGGGTCGGGCGCTTTTAAACAGATAAAAACCCGACTCAGTTGCACTATGAAAGGAGACGGCAGGAGGGGCTGTCGATGTTTTGAACTCAACCCCAACGGAGGCGCATTTGGGAGCGGGAGGGCGGCTACAGTAGGCGGCGCGTTTATTCGCCGTCCTGCCAGCTGCTGGGAAAACAATAGTGTGCGCGCGGGGCGGTTAGCAGCGCCCGTCCGGAGGCTCCCCTTCGCGCAGACCCTCCAAAGCGGCGTCTATACGACGCGGCCGGCCGTTGATTTCTGGGTGGCGGTTTCCGCGCTCGGATTCGCTCAAACGCGCCAAGTCGCTTCCACAAACCGGAGGCAAATGCGAGCACCTCGCGAAAGGCCTAGTGGAAGCCGCTTTGACATGCGGCGGGAGGGAGGGGGGAGAGTGGTCTCGGGATACCAGAGGGACAGGGACGGCGGGAAGGGACCAGACCCGCCCCCCCCCCACTTGCCACAAACTTTATTTCCTCCTCTCCCCCTCCCCCCCCGTCCTGAGGGGAGACACAAGAGCGCGCGCTAAAGGACAGCGGGCAGGACCTGGCTCGACGCCCCCTCCTCCCCTCGCAAGAGGGGTGGTCAGGGGGTTTTCCCGACCTTTCGGAGGGGGATTCCCTCCCCACCCTCTTCTTTTCCCAGGCCAGGTGTCAGCCATTTCCCGCCGCCTCCGCCGCGCTTTCCTGTTCAAATCAGCCCGCCAGAGCCCACGAGGAAATGGGGGGGGGGGAGAGAGGGAGAGAGAGAGACTTACTCGTAGTTCCTGAAAATCTCGTTGGTGACCTTGCAGTAGAAGACGTGCTCGTCCGGCCGAAGGTCAGCGGGGGGCTTCTCCCTCACGAAGGGCTTTCGGTGCAACAGTGGCATCGCCCGGGTCCCGTTTCTAAGTGGAGTATATGAGGAGTAGCGGGGGGGGGGGGAGAGAGAGAAAGGAGGGCGTCAAGTCGAGGCGAAGAGGAGCGGCGAAAGCAGCAGCAGGAGCAGCCCGAAGACGGTTCCTTTTGTGTGCGTGCGCCTGACACGCCGCTTCCTCGCCTGGGACTGAGCGAGCTCTGTGTGCGCAAGGGAGAGAGCGAGAGCGGATCCTTCCTTTCCTCCCCCGCTTCTCTCTCTCTCTCCCCCCCCTCCCCTAGGCCGCCTCACAATGGGGCCATGACGCCGAACAGCAGGCGGCGGCGGCGGCAACGACTACTCCCTCCTCCTCCTGCTACTACTACTACTACCCCCCCTTCCTCCTCCGCCGCCACACAACGTGCTCGACCGACCCGGGGATTCCCCTCCCCCGGTGTCTAAGGCCTCCCTTGGACTCACCGCCTCCCCCCCCCGCTCCGCCCACGGGGGTCGCCCTCTGACCGGCCCGGCGCGCTGTTCCGCGCACCTCCTTCCGCTCTCTCTCCAAAATGCCAAGCAAACAGGGAAGAGAAGGAGGGCAAGTCTTTTTGATCGCTTATCTGCTTTCCCGGCCAGCTTCTGTCGGGACTCTCTCCTCTCCCCCCCCCTCCCCTTTCCTCTCTCTTTCTCACACACACCCCGTCTGATCTGATGTTTAACGAGGGATCCCCTCCAGCTGAGAGGCTGTTAGATGAGCCTTCCCTTCCTGCTGTCAGGATGTACACGAGAGTGCCTTCCCCTCCTCCCCCGTCTTCCCGGAAAGGTCTGTAAGGCAAATTGACCCTCCTGAGACAGAGGTAAAGGCTGCACCATCTCCTCCTACCTGATTAGTAACTCGATTGCCCCTTCCGCCCGGCTGGTATCTGATGAGTCTCCCCTCTTTTATTTCTGCCCCCCACCAACCCCGCTCCTCGGAAGTTTTTGATCTACTACTTCAGCTCTCAATGAGGAAGAGCTGTTGGGAGGAGCTTTCGACTTCTTTCCCCTACATCTTTATTGGCCGATCACCGCCTTTCCAGCTTGTGACACGCAGGAAGACAGAGAGCTACATTATTAATTAATGGTTGAGGCGCTCATCCTCCATTTTTGAATTAGCAGCCCCAAAGCTCAGTGGCGTGTGTCGAGGCTCTTAGAGGCCTAGCCTGGTCATTAGGACTCCTCGTTAACCCTGGTACCCAGGGAGCAGGTTGGATAAGGTTTGTTGGTTTTCTAGTAAAAGATACTTGGAAGCTAAAATAATACGTGGTCATTGCATTCTAAGAAGAAAATCAAGTATCTGATACAGAATGTACATGCAGAATGTTGTTTCTGTTCGTGGTTAAACACCATCATGTATTTCTAACAAATTAGGGAATAACCTCAAGCAAGGCCAGGTCCTTAACCTGGGTCACAGGTCACTATTTTTAGGTATGCTATATGTCTGGACATACCCGGTATTCAGGCCTCATAAACAACGTCTGCAGAAATGTCAAGGAAAATCCAGATGTATGGCAGCCTATGTTTGTAGATCTTGTAAAAAACAACTGGGCAAAACAAAAAAAGGTTCAAGAACTTTGACACCCCCCCCAAAAAAAGCCCATCAACTTTGCAAAAAAAAAAAAAAGCATAATTTTTGTGTCCGGGTTTTCCACTTTTTGAAATATGGCAAGCCTATTTTGAGCACTGATGTTGGACTTTTTTTTTCAGTGTTGTGAGGATTCATCAACTAGCTACATATACACAGATTATTGCATGGCAATTGTTTCATATTCAAATCCACAGTAAATGCTCTCCTATCCCAAGCCATGCTCACAAAGGTTACTTTAATAAGCCCATAACACATATATTTCTTACAGTGCTTGCACATAGTTTATTGTGAACTTGATGCTGCTCCTGAATGAAAGTTTTTCACAGTGTACTTATCAAAACACCCTGTGTCTCCCCCTTATCTGTTCAATCCAGTTTTACCATTTTGGGTAGGTGGGTGTGACTTACTGGATTTTCCACAGAAACACTTCATCTGAATTAAATGAGGAAATAATGTAAGACAGTACAGTGGTACCTCTGGTTACGTACTTAATTCATTCCAGAGGTCCGTTCTTAACCTGAAACTGTTCTTAACCTGAAGCACCACTTTAACTAATGGGGCCTGCTGCTGCTGCTGCCGCCGCACTGCTGCCACCCAATTTCTGTTGTCATCCTGAAGCAAAGTTCTTAACCTGAGGTACTATTTCTGGGTTAGCGGAGTCTGTAACCTGAAGCGTATGTAACCTGAAGCTTGTGTAACCCAAGGTACCACTGTACTTGGATGAGAGCTATATTGCATGCAGGATGAACCCCAAGTCCCTTTTTCACACGTGAAAAGAGTTAAAATAGGGAAGCAGAAATACATACACATTATATTTCCAGAGTTCTTGTTCAGAAGATAAGTGTTCTGGTTTTAAAACACACATATTTTAAAAGCTGAACAATTAAAATTAATTCATACCAACTGAGATCCTAAAGCTGTTTTACCATTTGTCATGTAAATGCAACCATTTAAAACAAATTGTAACTGCTGGTGTTGATGAGACCACATCACAGTACTTAAAACTCAGCACTGGCCTGTTAGCTGTCAGGCCCAATTAATGGTGTACAGATGTACAAAGCCTTGTATGACTCTTGAGCCCGAATACCTAAAGGAGTGTCTTCCCAATAACTACCAACTCTGCTTTAAGACTGGTGAGAGAACCAGTGTGGTGTAGTGGTTAAGAGCTGTAGACTCGCAATCTGGGGAACCGGGTTCGTGTCTCCGCTCCTCCACATGCAGCTGCTGGGTGACCTTGGGCTAGTCACACTTCTCTGAAGTCTCTCAGCCCCACTCACCTCACAGAGTGTTTGTTGAGGGAGAGGAAGGGAAAGGAAATGAGAATGTTAGTCACTTTGAGACTCTTTCAGGTAGTGATAAAGCAGGATATCAAATCCAAACTCTTTTTCTTCTTCCTGCTCATTGTTCAGTTGGTAAGCATGGCCTGTGAGATGATGACTGAGCAGGGCTTCTCAGGGGCAGCCCCCATTTGTGGAACTCCCTTCAAGGTGATGCTTAGTTGTCTTCCACCTTGACAAAAATGAGGTGCAAACTTAAGAGTGGTTATTGGCATCTGTCTGTCTTGGGAGACAATGGAAGTATGCACCTTTGAGAATGAGGTCTAACTGTTGGAAGGTTGCAGCGCTGATGCAGGAAGAGACATGTTTTGTTACAGTTGGGTGCAAATGAAGGTGTCCAGTTGTACTGCTGCAGATGCACCATGGCACTCTTCCCAGCGGTCATTCCTCCTCTGGTCACTGCTATGGATACGTGACTTGTCTGCCTGTCTCCAGGTACTGTGGTCATCTGCAAGGGATTCCCACATGGCAGAGTTGATATTGCCAGCCTTCATGTCATGTTTGCAGACATCTTTGTAACGCAGCATTGGTCTGCCAGTTGGCCTGGTGCCAGAAGCCAGCTCCCTGGAGAGCACATCCTTGGGGATCCTGCCAGCTTCCATTCTGTGGGCATGACCAAGCCAGCCGCTTTTGGAACAAATGGAATGAAGAATAACTGTTAAAAGTTTTATTGTCTACTATATGATATTTTAATTGTTGGTGTGGATTTGTCGATGTTTTAACTATTGTTTTACTGTATTTATTATAATTTATGGTGATTGTTAGCCACCCCAAACTCCTGGAGGAGAAAACAGGACCTAACAATAACTAAATATTCACCAAGTAGTAAGCACTATGGATGCCAGGTGGTGAGATGTTACTTTTGAATCAATGGGATTAGACTTGGGCTATCAGAGCACTGGTATCAGTCCCAAAAAACCATCCCTCTCCTCATCCCAGGTCTTACAATTGATTCTTTATCCAGTTCATATGCTTAGGTCAGTTTCTGTTTTTCTTTTAAAATCCCAAATTGTATTCCTTTCAGTCCTCACCCTGCAAGTAGGTCTAGGTATGGCTTTTCAGTAGCTTATTGGTATTTCAGTAGCCAGTGTTGTGTAATGGTTAGAGTGCTGGACTACGACCTGGGAGAGCAGGGTTCAAATCCCCACTCAGCCATAAAGCTCACTGGGTGACCTTGGGCCAGTCATCATCTATAATCCTAACCTACCTCACAGGGTTGTTGTGAGGGTGAAATGGGGAGGAGGAGAACGATGTACACCACACTGAGCTGCTTGGAAGAAAAGGTGGTGAATAAATGGAACAACTAAACAAATAAATGATCAGGCTTATTCAATGGAATTTTACTTAAAGCTAGTCTGATGATCCATTAAAGAAATATTTATTTTTCTGCATCTTTATAAGGTTATGCCAGAAAGGGTTACTTCTTTACTTGGTACAATAGTGCAGCCAATTCCAATGTTAAAATTTAAACAGTTTAAAACCCAAGTATTTAATTTTTGTCTGTTCCATTGAAATGGATTCAAAGTAAATGGGCTCTTGGTGGTAGCACAATTATAACAATGCAATCTAACAGTGGGCCACACCCGTGTTGATTGGATCTTGTATTCACTTTACCTACTGCTCAGAGGCCTTATGGCTTTTCACTATGGAGACCACTTCATGTAGCTGATGAAGTGAGTTCTGGCCCATAAAGGCTTATATAGCAATAAATTTGCTAAAATACAGTATAGTTTTTATAGTGTTTTCTGCAACACACTAACACAGCTGGGATCCTAAATATACACAGGTCAACTTCAAATATGCAATTTCTGCAGTCGTTCATATGCAGCACTTGAGACATTTTATTTACAATGATGCCTTAAATGAGAATTTTGTTGTGCCTAATTGCACAGGATGGGTTGTTTATAGACGAAAGCCCTGTTCATACAAATAGGGTGGGGGAATAAAGTCTTCAGTCTGAACAGTTAGTTGCAAGTTCCTTGCTGCAGCAGAACTATGGGCCTCAAACTGCCTTGAAGTGGTTTCAGAACAGTGGGTTTGTAATCACATAAAGTTACAATTCTGTGCACACTTGCTTGGAACTAAACACCCTTTCCCCTCAAAATACATACCGGTAATAAAGAGCTTGAATATGAAATTGCAGGCAGTGTTGTGTTCTGCAAAACTATGGTCTGATGATTAAACAGTTAAAAAAACCAAACACAGTATTTTAGCAGAAGTGTGATTGTCACTGGCCTGCTTGCTTAAGATGAGTTGCAATATACGTCCAGGCAAATAAATAGGTAGGTTGCAGTTGCTCCTGAGAAAGCTCCATAACCTATCCTTAAATTGAATAGATACAGTGGTACCTCGGGTTAAGTACTTAATTCGTTCTGGAGATCCCTACTTAACCTGAAACTGTTCTTAACCTGAAGCACCACTTTAGCTAATGGGGCCTCCTGCTGCTGCCGCGCCGCCAGAGCACGATTTCTGTTCTCATCCTGAAGCAAAGTTCTTAACCTGAAGCACTATTTCTGGGTTAGTGGAGTCTGTAACCTGAAGCGTATGTAACCTGAAGCGTATGTAACCCGAGGTACCACTGTACTGCAATCTCTCACTGATGAAGCATATAATACATAATCCTAATCATGTGGCTCATGGCTGCTGGGAGTAGGGGGCACACTGGGGAAGAGGGACACAAATCCAGACATGGGAGGGAAACAATGGCGAGCAGGCCGGAACTTCTCTTTTTGTGAGGGACAGCCAACCAGGTATCCTGCAGATGCTATTGGACTCCACCATCACTCAACCCCAGCCAAGGTGGCCAATGGCTAGAGATGATGGGAATTGTAGTTCATTAACCTTGGGACCATTTTGGCTATCCTGCTCTAGTATATTATTTTGCTTGTTCAACTCCTCTTTCTGGTTCTGTATTAAGGCCAACAGTAAAAGTACATGAAGGCTCTTGTACCGCCATCCACCCACTGGCGCTCTTAAAGATTGTTAGCAAAGGGAAAGGAGATGTGGACTAGATCCTGTATACTACTTTAGAACATTTCAGCCATTGAACCCCCCATTATACAACATAACATGCCAGCATCACATGCAGTATCTCCTGAATGATGAAGCACCCCCCCGAAACTCCAGTCAGCCGCAGTGATATAGAAGAGCCCTGCCACAGACCTGTAAGGTACATAAGGTTTCCACCTGCTCCTATGTGCCTAGTACCTGACAAAGGCCCATCAGGTGAATTTGTAGATGTGCTGGGTGGACTGTCTGTTGGAAGCTAGGATGGTAGAGAGTTGGGCTTCAGGCTCAGGTTCCAAATGCAGCTTTCCAGGCCTCTCTATGTGCATACCCTCCAACATTTCTCTGATGAAAATAGGGATGTCCCATTTCTTAATGATAATTTTACTATTTATACCCCACACATCTTACTGGGTTGCCCAGCCACTGGGCAGCTTCCAACATATATAAAAACAACATTAAACATTTTAAAAACCACTATACAGGGCTGCCTTCAGCTGTCTTCTAAAGGTTGTATAGTTACCACCTCCTTGGCTCGGAGGTCACAGAATTCTATACTCTCCAACATTTTTCCAATGAAAATAGGGACGTCCTAAGGGGGACATTCTGGGATCAAATCAGAAACAGGGACAGCTTCTGTTAATCCGGGACTGTCCCTGGAAAATAGGGACATTTGGAGGGTCTGTGTGTGGTCCCCATAACTCTCTACAGGGCATTCTCCTCATAGGCCCTACTTTGCAACCCAAGTATTTCTGTCTTTCTAGATTGCTTCCTTGAAGTCCAGCAATGCCTCTCCCTTCTCTGAATGGTGGGTAAAGTGGGGTGTGGGAGTGTATGCAAAAACTAGCCTGCTGTCCAAAGTTTACATCAGTTGCTCCACCAACCTCTGCCTCTGACCCAACACACCACTAGCAGATGACCCTCAGAAGGCTGTCTTGAAGCGAGTGTGGCTCCTCAGGCTCCAAAAGGTTCCTCAGCTATGCTGTACAGTGGTACTTCTGGATGCTAACAGGATCCGTTCCAGAGCCCCGTTCGCATCCTGAAGCGAATGCAACCCGTGTCTGCGCGGGTCGTGATTCGCCGCTTCCGCACATGCGTGTGACATCATTTTGAGCGTCCGTTACTTCCAGGTCGCCACGGAGCGTAACCTGAAAACGCTCAACCTGAAGCATATTTAACCTGAGGTATGACTGTACTGTAATTGCAAAACATCTGAGATCCACTACAGAGATAAAACTATGGGAGGCGTACACAGAATTTAAGAAATCACACAAGGCATAATCAATCTTAACCCACATCTCTGGCAGGTATCGTTCACTTTGACAGCTTCCTACCATAGAGGCAAAAGCAGTACACAGGTCTAAGCTGGAGCTCCTGTGGTCAACTGCTTCTGCTAAGAAACTCATAGCAAGGGATAAACCCTAAAGGAAACTGGGAAATATTCCCAACAACTAAGTGGACCCCACTGGGGTGGGGTTGAATGCTAGTTTTACCCAACTCCAGCTTCAGACTGCCTCTGTGTTCAAATTCTAACAGCAAAATATATTTTTCTGTCTCTCCTACAAACGGGAGGGGGGGGACAATCAGTGTTGATCTTACCATTAGATAGAGGGAGTGACTGTCTAAGTGCTGGCTGTGGGTGTCATTTAAAGTCAGCCAATTGTTGGTTACCTCATTTATTACTGTATTCTTATTGCTGGGAGGGTGAAAGGCACTTTAAAACTTTTTGCCTCAGGTGCCAAAATAACTTGAACAGCCTTTGGGAACCATGAACCATGACTAGGGGCGTGGGTGCAGATTTGTGGTGTCTTCTGGTGCTCTGCTTCGGGCAAAATGTTTTGTGCTGGCCTTGAGGATATCACTTTCCAAAAGGTAGATGTTTCAATCACTCAAGGAACAGTTCAGCTTTTTGTCAAGTCTCTGCTAATCCATGAGGGATGTCAGGCAAAACCACAGAGATAAGCCTATTCATTCTAATCAGTTCAACCAAACTCATAACAATAGTTAAACCTTCTTAAGTGTGAATGAGTAGAGCAGTTAGCAATAGTCTCCCACTCCAATTTGAATTTGAACCTGTCCTTGTGCTAAGCTCTTTTGCTAAAATGCCTTTGCTTTTAGAGGTGAGATTCAAGATAAAGCCTTTTCCTGTGGTTGCTCCTAGTCTATGGAATCTGTTCCTCTGACACATTTGTTACATGATTACATTATAATCTTGTAGCGCTGTATAGTTTTAATGATTTATGTTTCTTTTCCTCTTTTTGCTGCTATTCTTGTTGTAATAAACAGTGTTATTAAACCTCCTTGAGGGCTAATAGGGGTGGTAGCAAATGGATATTTCAAAGATATATCCAGAATTGGCCTCCACAGTAACGGACACACCGTTAAAATAGTGTTCATGGAAGTCAATCTTACTCGGCCACAGGTGATTGCCAAAGAAGAAGATTTCAAAGATAGGAAATCTTTATCAGTCTCCCTTGTCTATGCTCAGTTTTAGAAGGGAACAAAAAGGCCTCTTAGAGAAGTAAATGGTTTCACCATAGCCAGGGCAGATATTGCTAATAGAATAAGCTTAAACTACACTGTACTTAAAAGAGCTGGCCCGGAAGATTAAAGGGGTCAACAAATTCACTAAAAACCATTAAAAGAATGGGTAAAGTGAGTTCAAGAGATGCTGCTACTAAAAAGCCCCTCTTTCATGTCACCACACCTCATTTCAAAAAGTGGCTGCAGTGCTAAGCAGTTTCATATGGGAGAAGTTGTCCTACACAGGTACCTTCTTCCTAGGTTGTATTTGCCTCACAAAAAGTCATTACACTCTCTCTCTCTCTCTCTCTCTCTCTCTCTCTCTCTCTACATAAAAAGGATCAATACATCCCTCACTGAACAAGAAACGACAATTAGACTGGCAACTATGTTCTTCAGTTGCCTCTGGTTCATCTGTACTGTACTCACTTACTGTAATTTCATATTTTCAACAAATGAGTTTCAGTGGGGCAGTGTCTCCTAGCACTGTAGTTCTTCCCCATATCCTAAATGTTTCGTTTCCTTCCCCCCTTTTTTTAGGTAGTTGCTTATCTCAACACCCACCATATAATATAAAAAAGTTATGTATAAGCATTGGGCTGAAGCATTTTTTTTTTTTAAAGCAGGTGGGGTAGAGAGGGCACTTTTCCTCCATAAGTGGCTAGAAAAGGAACTTGTCAAGTCCAATATTCATTTCTTGATGGCTGTAACACATCATATTAGAGGCTCAATGAAAGCTTGAGGCCACTTCACAAATGACATTTAAAGCCAAAGGCTAGCACCTGCTTCCGAAAATGTGGACCTTAATGTTTTGAATGCCATCTAGTGGTAGAATTATAATAAATACAAGAAATACGTGTTGGGCTAGCCCCCACCAATTCCTAATCACATATGTCTGTGTTTTAGAGATTAGTAAAATAATCAAGTTGCAGTATGACACTTAGTGGATCAATGTAATGTCTTTTTTGTTGGTTATTAAATTAATAGATATCAATTATTATTATTACTATTATTATTAGCCATTAATGAAGAACACAGCTTGGGTTATAGACAAGCGCCAAACTAGATGTGCTGGGATTGCACTGTTACTGTCTTCTTCTTTAGTTAAAAGCAGCTATGGAGTAAGGCAGATGTGGCTCATGTTCCCAGTTTCTCAAGCAATATTGTGAAAGTTCTCTGCTTCAGGGAACTCCACCTTAAATTGTGGCAGGATCTTCACACAGATACTGTACCCGGGCATGAGGGAAGAGCCCTTGGCTGTGATAATGTAAACTTGGGCCTGTGTCTTTGGCCTTGTCTTTAACAAGAAGTGCCTGGATATCGTTCATCCATGTGAACACTGTTTCAAGCACCTTCTTATACCTGAGCTACAAGATATATTTTGTCGCTTCTTCCCATTCAAAAGAAAAACAGCATTTACTTAGCCATTTAAGAATATAAAAAATGGGAATAATAAACTGACAGACTCCTCTATCTAAACCTCTCCCTTCATTCAGAAAGCTCTGCCAATTAATATCCATTGCTTTATTACTTTTTCCAATGTAGATTATGCATGCTTGCCCGTTCTTGCATGCTTCCTACATTCCCCACACCTTTTAAGTGTAGTTCAATAATCAACCTACACCCAACTGTCACATGAAAATCAGACTCGAAGGGAAAAATCAGGATGCTTCCAGATGTGAGTTTATTTTAGGATTGGTGCTGTTCGTGCACACAAGTTTTTGCAGTTTGCTCACAACATTGTAGCTATCAAAATGCAAAGCTATATTTTTTAAAAAAATTAATCCAATTTCCTTTTACTGTGTAATGACTAAAAATAACCTGTTATACATCTGCGGTGTAGAAGCTTTATTTCTGGCAGTCCAAAAAACACAAGGGAGCTTAGCTCCACCAGTTTTTACATGTTGATGGCACAATCAAATTTAAACAATTTGGCTAAGGGAGCTGTTTTGTCAACACCACACAGTACGTGTGGGAGAACACTGAGACTACAACTATAATATGGACATCAAGTTTTTAAAGAATAAATAAAGTAAATACATAGCGAGGTGAGCTCCCGTTGCTCGGTCTCAGCTCTTGCCAACCTAGCAGTTCGAAAGCACGTCAGAGTCCAAGTAGATAAATAGGTACTGCTCCGGCGGGAAGGTAAACGGTGTTTCTCTGCTCTGGTTCGCCAAAAGCGGCTTAGTCATGCTGGCCACATGACCCAGAAGCTGTATGAAGGCTCCCTCGGCCAATAGAGCGAGATGAGCGCTGCAACCCCTGAGTCATCCGTGACTGGACCCAATGGTCAGGGGTCCACTTACCTTTAAGTTAGGTAATTATTACACTTGCTACACTTGCTTGGTATTTGAGGGGGATTCCCCCCCACTTGCTTTCATGTTTGTTTGTTTTTTCACATTCAAGCAGAATATAAATTTTATGAAATAAAAATAAGTATTTTATTTGTAAAACCAAACGTAATTTGATACTGCATCTTCCCCCAAAAGCTCAATTTTGCCAATTGTGACTCAAGGGTGGTAACATTTGATCTGCCCACTGGTGTGGATGGCAATCAGCAGAATAAACCGACTGAAAATGCAGGTATGTATGCATGAAACATGTGCACAGAAAAGTCAGATCATCATCCAAATGATCTGCTTGTGGTATAAGGCTTCCAACCTTTGGATTAAAACAACTGTCTTCAGTTCTGGTTTTAATGCTGAGAAGCTAGCAAAAAAGGCATTCCCTAGAGAATTTTTTTTGGTAAGCCCTTTAAAACAAGATGCAGTACATAAGAAGAGTCACCTCTGCTAAGTACCATATATTTAAACACTAGGGGCAAGTGAAAATAATTCTAGTCCAAAAAAAGGGGGGGGAAATTATTTTAGAACTTGGTAAAGGCAGTATTTTCACAGTTCTTTAACCAGGGACAAAAGTAATTAACAATCCTCATTTGAAATAAACCAGGCAGGTTCTGTTTAAAATATTTCCTCATTTTCATAAAGAAGAATATATCGCTTGCTTTCCACATATTTTATCTTGACACAAAGGGCTGCTCCCTCCACAGAGTGCTCATTGTAGAACTGGGTGGTGCTGACATCACCACCAAAGATGGCAGGTTAACTCTGAGCTCCTGCCTCTTGAACAGCATTAAATGTACAATTTACACCACTTACTCATTGGTCCTCAGCAAAGATCACAAGGAATGGTATCTGCCACATCTCTGAATAAATAAAGAAATCTTCACAGCTATGTTGCTATCAGAGAATGAGGGGTAAGTGACACATTAACTGAAGAAGGAACAATAGGTCCTGAGATGGCTAAAAGCCTTAAAAACTACCCCAAAAGAGACAAGACCTCCTGAATACATAATTAAAATGCACAATGATCTAGTTTCTAAATGGAATGCAGTAATAAAAGCATTAGGTGCAGGAGTCAGCAAACTTTTTCAGCAGGGGGCTGGTCCACTGTCCCTCAGACCTTGTGGGGGGCCAGACTATATTTTATTTTTGGGGGGGGGAATGAATTCCTAAGCCCCACAAATAACCGAGATGCATTTTAAATAAAAGCACACATTCTACTCATGTAAAAACACGCTGATTCCCGGACTGTCTGCGGGCTGGATTTAGAAGGCAATTGGGCCGGATCCGGCCCCCGTAACTTAGTTTGCCTACCCATGCATTAGGGGATAGTATCAATGATCCATCAAAATGGAGAATACCGCCCAAACCACAAGTGGGGCCATGCGTATGGACGTTGAACTCTCCCCTTTGTTAGCAATCAAAATCAGATCAGATCAAACTATATCAGGTATTTTCATTAACAACACACAACATAAAATAGGCATGTTTGCAGATGACATCTTACTATTCACAAACCCAGAAAGAAATCAGTCATATTGTAGCCTTATGAGGCTTTGCCCTCAGGTGGGAAAAATATTGCGCCCGGGAAAGGGAAGTGGGAGTCAACAGACACTCAAGGAATAGTTTCGGAGAAAAAGGTTTTATTTCTACCATCCATGAACTGGTAGAAGGAGCAAGTGTGATAACTCACAAAAAGCATGCACGAATTCACAGTCCTGTGCACAAGCATATATACCCCTTTCCAGTTCCCTCCTCTTTTCTCCTCCCTCAGGAGTCCTGCCCATGAGTTCCTCTGAGCATGAACAGAAAGCTGTCTTGGGACTATTGGACTCTTGGCACCCTTCCCAGGAAAGGGGGAATGAGAATCCACAGGGGGGTGGGTCGAGGAGCCCTGGTGGTTCAGCATGTCTAAGATGTTGCAACCGAATGAGATAAGATTCATTTCTCAGGCCTGCTATGAACAGAGCCTATTCATTAGCCTTTAAAAGTAACATTTTGCCTTTTGCCACAGCATCTTGTTAGAAAAGCAGAGAAGAGCAGAGAAAAGCTGTTTTGGATTTTTAGAAGACAAAAGGAGTTTTGGACAGTTTTGAGGCCTGGTTGATTATTGAAGCCTGGGGTGATTTCACAGACAGGATTTGGGTATTCTGTCCCTTCAATATAAGGAATGAACTTAATAACAGCATTTGGGCAGGTCTTCAAATCAGTAATTCTGTGCTTTAACATAAACACAGAAAGCACAGAACAAACAGGCATATCAATAAATTATAAAATACACTGAAATTTTTATACTAAAGAATTAAAAACCAATAGAAAAATTTAACTATAATCTTTTATCATGGAAGATATACAAGGAGCTTATGAACTGGTCAAAATTAAATATAGCATGGTTAAGCAAGATTGCAACAATCAAAATGAATATATTACCTCCACTGACATACTTATTCCAAGTACTACCCTTACCACTAACTCGCAACAAGATTCAAAACTGGCAAAAAAACCAAAACAAAATCCTACTAATTAATTTATACTCAATGGCAAAATATCCAGGTTATCAAAAATTGTATTGTATGAACCAAACAAGGAGGGCTTGGGATCCCTTAGTGGCAGACAAAAAATTGGCAGAGGACAAGAAAATGACTTTGATACAATAAGGTTCAGCTTTATATCATTTGTGTCCTCCTCACACTCAACTCCAACCCCACCGACAACTCATGGCTCTTTATGGAAGGACTCACTCCACTGACAAAAATGGATATATCAAAAGAAGAACTTTATTTGAGCTTTTGTATGCCTCTCTGTTTGGGTTATTCTTATTGCTCATTGTTTATGTGTTTGCTTTATGAAAAACAGGAATAAAAATAAGAATTCTTGAAAAAAGAACTGTAGAACTGCAATTCAATGCAATTTCAATATCAGTACACATTTGCATTAGAGAATTCTGTACAAGTGAATTTGTTCAAGTGCTTCTCTATCAGCAACTTCTTCGAAAAACATATCGTAGTCCAACGGCAGAGCTTCCACCCATTGGCTGAGCTGAATGTCGACCTGAAAAGAAATTAAAATTTCATATTTGCACCTGCTTTCCAGTGCACGCAGACCTCTTGACTACTGATGAAGGCAGGTAATAAAAGGTTATCAAAATAAAATATTATTCTGCTGCAGGACTAACATAGGTAAGGTTTGCAATGTACATGTCTTGTGAGGGATTTGGGACTGCAGTATTGGTAGTATTCACACATTGCTATCTCTCTCAACTATATCATTGCAAATGAGAGTACTGTGGCCCTCAGTGAACTGATCAAAATCACATTTTCATCTTGCCATTGACACATGTTGCTTCTCCCCAGCCTAGTCCTTCTTTCTCACAGGTGTAATAGTTAGGAACCTGAGAGGAGAAACAGGCAGTTTGCTAGCACTATGCTCAGATCTTCCCAAAGCGCCAAATACGAGACCCATGGCAGGAAGCCATGGGACCTCCATGGTCCTCTCTCTTGCCACCAACCTCACTGATCTAGGAGGTGGACACACAAGGAGGGCTTCTGTTGCAGAAGCTTTTTCCATAAAAGCTTTTTCCATAAAAAGGAAAGACTTGACTGCAGAAAAGTTTGAAAAATAACTACTTACCTGAAGCTCCGAAAGAGATTTCTCAAGGCTTGGCAACGTCACTAATAAGGAACCTTTCTTTCTTACATTTTGCATGATAAATTTCCAGGATCTAGGGGAAAGTAAGTTTAGATTTCACTTGCTTGTGCAACCCTTATGGAAAATTACTCGCTTAGCACGAACTAACATGTTCCAACAAAGTGTAGTTATTATCATCCATCATTTGGCGTTTGTGCTCCGAGAGAAAAATACTAGAAGCTTAGCTTGGCCTGCATGAGCATTACAGCCTCTTTGATATGTGCCTGACATATATGCAAAATTATTTTATAGTACAATATTATTATGGAGTGTACCCCACTGTTTGTGGGAAATAATATTAACCAGATTTATAAAACATCTGTATTTTGAAAAAATACAAAAAGAAATACTACCAATGTGTAGAACAGGTTGCATCTACCATCGCATAAGCACAAGGCACCTCAATACAACGGATTTTCTCTTTCCATCCTACAGCCCTGTACTCCATCCCCAAAAGCCTATAGGGTTAGTGGGGCTTATCAAACATTGTAGAATGGGTCATCCAGGGTCACAGTGTATGTGTTAATTGAATTGCCTGGAATTGGGTCAAGGAACTTGTGCCAAATAATAGCTGCAATCCCAGCCTCAGGCAATGTCACATATCTGCCACTGCATAACAAGAGAGGAAGCTGGCTGGCTCTCATTTGAGGCAACTATTATCACAGCTGCTGCGAGGACAGGGATGTGAAACCTGTGGCCTTCCAGCTGTGGGGGACTAAAACACATCAACCTCCTGGCCTTGCAGGTTGGGGCTGGTAGGTGTTGTAGTTTAACAACTATATTGAGAGCTCTTTTCCTTGTCGTTGCTGATAGGGATTTGCATGGCTCTTACGTCCATAATTTATTCCACTCTTCTTCCTCTATGTCTAAATTCCAATTTACCACCCACCAACTTCTTAAATTTTGCTGTGGGCAAAATTGTACCTCTGTAATCATTTTGTGCATGGATGAAATTAGACATTACGCCACTATGTTTCCTCCCACTATTATTTTCTCATAGGTTGTTAACTGCCTGGTAGCTTCATTTTTTACTTTTGCACTTATAGGATTACCATCACTTTCCAGGTTTTCTAATATTGTCCACTGGACTCCTTTATTAGCTGTGTCATATATCGCTTAAACGACTTGCTTCATAATAACTACTTGAGTTTGAGAGTCTGGAACTTACGTTTTTCTTAAATATACATTTCAATCCTAGCTTTTTAAAAGAGGAGAAACATGTGTAAGTCTAACTGTATCCTCAGGAATGTATTCCTAGTTTCTAAAAAATTCAGGAACACACATCTTACCTGGCCTGTTCTGAGCTGTCAAGGAAATATTCAAAAACATTATTCATCACAACAATGTCAGCATTCTGAAGAAGTGACGCCTGAGTACATATGTCTGCATGAAGTACCTGAAGGGGGAAAATCTGTAAGCTTCTAACATGAAAGATCATCTGGCAACAATCTCAAATACTGAAATTAGCCCCCTCCCCCCCCCACTGTTCTGGGGGTTCTCCCCCCAAAAAGCCATTTTTTGAAGGTGCAGTGGCATAAAGGAGGAAAAAGTCAAGTTGCACAAGCAGAAGGCTTTGCACAGTGCTTCTGCTGATGGGGTGCATTTGGTGAATCCTACCTAAGGCTTCCCCACCCAATTCATTTCAGCAGCTGCTTCACTTTACAGTGAAACAGCTACTGAAACGAAAGAGTGGTGAGAACAACTGGATCAAGGAAGTGCTCCCTCCCATCTTATCAGCGGATTGGGGGGGGGTGATACTGCTTTGTGCTGGGTTCCTGCTTTGCACAGCACTTTAATGACTCCTGACAACCAGCTGATTGATGGCTGCTTTGTCCAAAATGGTCTCACAAGCCCAAAGGGACACCTGGTGGGCTAAGGTTGGTCCGCAGGCCAGAGGTTCCCTGACCCTGACCCTAAGCAAGCCGCTTACTCTTGGCCTCAGCCTCCCCATTTGCAATATGGGTGTAAAAATACTGACCTTTCTTATTGAATTATACGTATTACCACAAGATAGCACACATAAAGTGCTTGGAACATCTGATTATACAAATACTAAATACTATTATTCTTTTCTTGTTGGTCATGGGAAAACCTTAAAATCATCTTAAACCTTTTTAATTGTTTCAATATTATTAATATTGAATATCCTCCAGCCTCCGTTTAACTCCAGAGCTGAGTGTACAGGCTGCTATGGAGTTGGTTTGAATCACATGATGGTTTCAGTCAAAAACATTTACAAACTTCAACTATTTGAGGTATCCTACCAGGTATGTGCATTACTGCGAAGATATTGCAACTCCAATGACATTATTTTTCTATGAATATTGACTTGCTAGTTCAAAACCTCGCTGTAAATAAAACAAACTAAGAAATATGTTACTACCTTTATTCTTCCATGAAGTTGGTATTTTGCAATGATAACTTCCTGCAACCGGCAAAAGTCTGCATTCATTTCAACACCATAGATCTGAGACGCTGAGCTATAAAAGTAGCCCTAAAAGAAAAGCCAGTGTAGATAGACAGATATATATATAGGTGGACTGAAATGAAATGTTAAGCTTTACTGAATTATATATATATAAGATGAGACTGTAAGAATCGTAGAAAGTTTCAGGCCCTGTTCCAGAGGGCTTGGTAGCAAGTGCTCAAAATAGTGTTTAGCCCAACAATATGAAGTTTACCTTGCCATAATAATTTATCTTATAAATTAGAATAAATGTTTCACAAGAAGCTTGATCAACTTTTATATGGATTTAACACGGCAAATGCTAGAAACCCACATATTAAGATGCCCCTAAATGATAACTATTACAGCTTTCTGAAACTCTTAACCAGCTGGCGAGAACAAAATCTATTCAGATTAAATATGGCAGATTGCCACTTCTGTAAATAGAAGCAAAGAATATGATGAAAAGAACTATTTTTAAAAATATGAGTTATGCTTTATCTGGAGGATATATTCCATTTTTAACACCATAAAGTGCTTCAGCTTTCCAAATGTTAACAAGTGTTTCTAATTTAAGATAAATTTAGCAAAAATTGACACTGCATCTACTTCATTTGTTATTCCAGGAAACAAGGGAATGCTAAGAAATAACTGGATCCTTTACACAAGTGTTCAGGAAGGTATTCAAAGGAAGAAAAGCTCCCCTTTCTGATCAAGATTATGCCCATGGGGGCAGCTTAATATTTTTAAAGAGCTCCTTAAGACCTTTTGATAAAATGCTATGGTCCTATGCTTTTCTTTTGTTTATTTCTTAAGGGGTTTTTATCCGTGGGTGGTGCTGTGGGTTAAACCACAGAGCCTAGGGCTTGCCGATCAGAAGGTTGGCAGTTCAAATCCCCGCGACGAGGTGAGCTCCCGTTGCTCGGTCCCTGCTCCTGCCAACCTAGCAGTTCGAAAGCACGTCAAAGTGCAAGTAGATAAATAGGTACCGCTCTGGTGGGAAGGTAAACAGTGTTTCCGTGCACTGCTCTGGTTTGCCAGAAGTGGCTTAGTCATGCTGGCCACATGACCTGGAAGCTGTACGCTGGCTCCCTCGGCCAATAAAGCGAGATGAGCGCCACAACCCCAGAGTTGGTCACAACTGGACCTAATGGTCAGGGATCCCTTTACCTTTACCTTATCCTGCCTTCCTAAATCTGAAGGAGCACAAAAGGGATCAATGTCAGTCAATCAAACCATAAGATAATACAACAACAGTAACCAAAGAACTGACTATAATAAATTCAGGTTCAGGCAGGAGACAAGCCAAAATCTTGCTCAAGCAACACAGACATTACCTGATGATACTACATAATTGGGAGGAGTAGTAGACTTTCTCTGTAGTTTCTGATAAGGAAGAGTTTAGCTAGGTAAGCAACTGCTGATTTTTCTTGGTAACAAGGGGAACATATTAAAATATGAGGCTGTCTTGGATCTTTCGAAGTATCTACACTGACTTGCAGAAGCTGTTCAGTGTCTGAGGCCTGTGCTCTACTATTAAATTCCAGCCCTCCCCTAAGGCTGTAGCCTAGGAAGGCACACACAAAGTTTGAGAACCAAAATTATACACAGATGTCAACTTTACGGTGAAGCAAAACATGACTGCAAAACTGAACCTGGGCAATGGCTTCCTGATATCTATTTCCTATAAACGGCTGAAACAATTCTTTTAACTATTGAGCGGGATGAAGAAACCTGAGCTGGATTTGCCCAAAACTCAAAAAAAGTATCACCAGCCCAACCCCCCTCATTATCCAGAGACTTATCGGGCAGTTATAACAACAAAGTGGCTGTAATATGTCATTGCACCCATGTCTTTCTGGCTTAGAGAAGAGAATGTAGTCATATCATATCTGGGTTTGGAGTATGATGTCCAGTAATATACCACTCATGTTGTGAACAAAATTTTGAGCAAAGTAGGTTATAACATTAAACAGCGTATCTGCAGGACAACACATAGCACAGAAGCATAGAATAACCACCAGGAACAGGAAAAAAGATACATCACAGAAATTGTTAACAAATTCTTGGACTGGGTTTTACCCCAAAGAGGACCGCACCAAGTCTAGAACCAATGTCAACCACCACTTTTCCTGTCAGATCAGGCAGTACATGCCGAAAGAGAAACTTCAGTTCCGAGATGGAAAAGGAATGAGAAATGAACTCTGGGAAATAAGAGCAAAATAATTTTAAATATGCAACCTTGCTGGAACAATCATCAAACACTGTCAAATGTTTAGCAGAACATGGATTAAAACACCTTTCCAACAAGAATGATCATTTTTCCACTTGTCTGCTGAGAATAATATTCCCCACCACATTCACATCTTTATGATTTTGAGTAAAACATCAAACTGGACACAATCTTGTATTTCTTTACTTAAAAAGTAACCTTAATAATACAGGGTGAGACTGTAGCATTGGACACATTTCCCACTCAATTTTAAGTAATATAGCATAAATTAAGTGCAACTACTGAAGAGTAAACGGTTTAAATGATACTTTGCGAGATCTTAACTGTCTAGTAAGTGCTATGGGTCTGCTTCATGTTGTTCTTTGAACAGAACTGTGAGCAAAATGAAGAACAGATCAGAGTCCTTTTCACATATGAACACATGGTGGGGAAATCAGGACCACATCCTCCAACCTAGAATGCCATATGTTCAACTGAAAGTCTGAACAGAGCCTAGGATGCATACACAACTGGTATATAGACGAGCTCTCTCTGTGCAAACAGAAACTTGCAAAGGGCAGGGTTCCTAATTACACATACAAAGCTTTTCTCTGCACAAGTGCAGGCTTCGTTTTTACATTCCAGCTATCGGTACAGAGCTTGAAAGGGGGGACCTGCAGCTGTGAGTCTGCTCTGTCCTCCAGACATTCCCTGAATGCAACTTAGGGCCTTCTCTGTAGTGACATCCTGACTTTGGAACTTTCTCCCTAAAGGGAACTGTTTGTGCTCAACTTCAACGGTTTTAGCAAACACACTTTTAATTGGAAAAATTAATGTTGGTATAATAAACACACACATATTTTAGTTACAAGTTACACCTAAGACATAAACAACCCCACCGATTTACCTGAACTAAAATTAAAAGCTAATTTATGTTTATTGGTTTTGTTCCTTTTTTATAAACTTTATTGCAAATTTTAAAAACAACTACAAAACACAAAGTGCTGCCTTCCAAGACAATACATGTACACATGTTAAGTCTTGCATGCATCAAAATAAACCTGGAAAATCAGCTCACTTCAACAGCATTAAGATAATTTCTCCATAGTAGCTGCTGTGGCAAGATGAAAGGGAGATTACTTTACTATTGTTAATAAACTATATAAATCGAGACCATGCAGTCAAACCCATTTTCCTTTTTTTAATGGACTTTCACCTTATTTCCCATTTCATCTGGGAGCACAATAACTTGTAGATGCTTCCGCAGCTCACTCTGAAAAGCATAGTTCCACATCTGACTGAAACCTGAAGCTACTCCATATTTGATTTAGGAAAAAAACATTGGATCAACTGCATAGGCACACATTGACCAATGCTGTCATTTGGCCTCCAAGTACATCATCTATGTACTTACCTAATGGTGCTGTCCGATGAGAGCCGCATGTTAGACAGTAATATCTGCTCATCTTCCCTTCTTCACACAGTGAGTCAATACAGTCATCATCATAAAGGAATGCATCAATATGAACTGTGGGTTTTGTTTGCTGTTGCAGCTGAAGGAGAAGCATAAAGATGAACATGTATATTAATCAGCATATTTTCCCCAGTACTAGCTGCACACAATTTAAGCCCTAGACTTTCTGTTCCACGGCACGTAAGTCAGTGGTTCCAAAATTCCCTGCCCCCACAAAGGACCACTTGAAAATTGCGGTGAGTCTTGGCTGGCCACTTCATGATCTTCCAGTCTATTGAACCAATAATAATGCACTGTGCTCTATGAATTTTAACTGTATTTTTATAGGCACACCATGGAACACCCGAGGGAAGCTCTCAGACCACTGGTGGTCCACAAACCACAGTTTGGGAACCCTTGACCTAAATTATGCCTGTTTCCTCACTATTTTGTACCTCTAATTTAACATGTTTTCTCTGTCTAAGGAGTCAGTATTATATATTATACTGCTGCATCAATGAGTTATATTCATGGCCAGGCGTTTCATTTGGAGACCCCACATTGCTGTCTACTAAGGATGCACTTTGAAGGCGGCAGAGTTTCTGCAGCTATAAATGAGAAATAGATAAATGGATAGATAGATAGATAGATAGATAGCATTTACTTGTGTGATACTTAATATGTCATCAGTGCTAGCTGGAATATATATCTTTGTTATAAAGCAAATAGCAAAAGGGGGGAAATTGTGGAGTAATATGAGGAAAGGTAGTGACTAATTTTAGCTCATTAAGAGGAGCCAATGGAAGCAAAACTAGCTCCCCCATAGGCAGAGGACATGTAACCCTCATAACCCAGGTCCCACTGTTGGGTGGTAGAAATTCTAAGCTTTCCTCTCCCAGGCAGCTAAATTCAGTATTTTTGCCCAAAACAAATGAAGATTGCAGCCAGCTATTCTGGTTCATCTGGAGAGGTGGGATCCAAAAATAACTGCAGTATACTGTTTTTATTAGGATCAACTCGGAAGTCACAGTGAGCAAGCTTTTGAGTTCTTCAAAACTCTTATTCAGGATAAAAGGTAAAGGGGCCTCTGACCATTAGGTCCAGTTGTGACCAACTCTGGGGTTTATTGGCTGAGGGAGCCAGCGTACAGCTTCTGGGTCATGTGGCCAACATGACTAAGCCGCTTCTGGTGAACCAGAGCAGCGCACGGAAACGCCGTTTACCTTCCCGCTGGAGCTGTTCCTATTTATCTACTTGCACTTTGACGTGTTTTCGAACTGCTAGGTGGGCAGGAGCTGGGACCAAACAACAGGAGCTCACCCTGTCACGGGGATTCGAACCACCGACCTTCTGATCAGCAAGTCCTAGGCTTAGTGGTTTAACCCACAGCGCCACCCGCGTCCCTATCTTATTCAGGATAGATAGGTGAAATAGAGGGAGAAGAAATATGTTTCAGAGCATAATGGGGGGGGGACCCCAAAGGAACATTTCGGCAGAAGAAGAATTCTGGGTAACTTGAAAACTTGATCAGTGCTTTGTAGTGTTTTATTCTGTTTTTGCTGCTTAGCTGATTAAGCATGACCAAGCATCACCTGACCTACACTGGGCCAATCAGCACAAGGACACTTCTTCAGCAGTTAAAGCTTATTCCCTGTTCTTCTCTTTCTTGAGCTGTTAAAGACAGGTGCCCTGGGCTCAAGTTCTGACAGTGACTCAATCAGGTCATTCAGCAACCTGCATCAGACAGAAGTCCCTGATAGCCCTAGTGGTGGACCCAAATCACTAAACCATCTGACACGGGAAGGCCTCAAAGGCTAAACTTACTTTTTGGAGAGCAAGGTGCTCGGAGCTGAGCATGGCCTCTTTTGGCAAACAATCTCTAAGATCTTCAGCAATACTTCTGAGAATAATATCATCGTTACTGGATGTGAATTCATCAAAGTCATCTACAAAATATATATGTATATAAATAAATAAATAAATAATCATGTGGCACTATCAAGCATCAACAATATTAATGCAACAGTGATTTGCACACAATTCCAGATGTTCAGGATTTTTATTTGAAGAGCTGTTGCGCAACTTTTGTTGCTTATTTTTCCTATAGGCGACAGATTTACATGCCGATGACATTACATTTCAAAAAGCACTCAGTTATTTTAAGATTTACTTTAAGGTGTAGAAACCTACCAACACGGCAATCTTTGCTCCCACCAAAGTTATCGTATTTCATTCACTTAGCTATTTAAACATCAAAGATGCTTTTGAAGTATTGGAAGAACGACAAAAACATGCAACTGCTTGCTTGTACATTTTTAAACACATTTCATATTTGGAAAAAAGGTATAAGCAAAGGTTTGTTGGAACAGTAATTGAGAAAATAATGGAAAATGGAGGGAAAGCATAGCTCAGTAGTGACATTTATGAGGTATCTTCAACAGTATGAAATATCAATGTGATAAAGTCTCCAAAACTAAGAATTTGACCTGCAGGCTGTTAATATACATTTTATTCCCTGTAGAGCTATTTTCTGCAACGTGGTGACTTTTTCAGCTCAGGCTACCTTCTGTATTATTGCTTACCCTCTTCTTCCCTGAAAATTACTGCCTCTAATAGCAAACTCCCTTGACAAAACAAGACCACTGAGATACAAGAGGCGGGCAGAAGTACAAAAAGCCTTTTAAAAGGTGGGCATGGCTGATATGCAGTGACTGGCTAGAACTGTAAACAGGAAGAATACTGTTAGGATTGAAGGTGCACCGGCAACATTGCCACCTTCCTTTCACCCAGCTACTTAAACCTCGGACACAAAATAATTCTGCTATGACACACTTTTAAGGTTGGAACCTTAAGACTATTTTAAATCAATTTCTCTTAGCTCAGAAACTCCCCAAAGTAGTTTCAAGCATCGTTATTTGTAGTTACAGTATTTTGGGAAGGAAGGTGGAGGCCAGCATTTCACTGCAAAACTGGTCATACAGGCCCACCCAGTTTACCAATTAAAGGAACATCTTGAGGAGATGTTTTTTTCCTAAGGGAGAAAAAAAAAAGAATTTGAAACCTTGCGGTTACTCCAGTATGAAAGTGGCAGGCAAAACCCAGCAACAACTGAAATCCCACATGAGCTAAAAATGCATCCTATCTCAGTGGCTGTTGTAAGTGTGGCAACAGAAAGTGCCATGGGTTATACCCAATGTTGCCATTGCGCAAGTGTTCCCACACAGTGGGGTTTCCTGGCTGCAGCTCCTTGTGAACTCTTAAAATATGTTCAAGAGGACTGGTGGCCTGCAGGCAGGTGAGAGGAGAGGCAGGGGAAGTTTGTTCGCACGGAATGGGATGCAACTCTATAATTAGCCAACTTTTTATTTAGCCATCTTTCTAAGCATATAGATGCAGTAGATGTGCTCCGGTAGCAAACAACTCTTTGCTACTTCCACAAGATCTTCAAGAAGGATTACAGACTCAAAGTTGAATATGCACTTTTACTGTCCTCATGCTGACACAGAAAACCTTGACAGAAAAAAATGCACCCCTCAGCCAGCTAGATTGAAACCAAGATAACTGAACTGAAGTGCCATTCTGTTTGCTTCCCTTCAGCTCAGCAAAAACCTCCATAATAGGCTTGATAGGAGCTCCCATACACCCTTCATACCAGAACACACTGCAGAACCTAAAATGCCTCTGGACTCAGGAGATAAAATGATATCTCCTGATGGTGTACAAGTGCTGCCACATGAAGAGAAAATAATATCAGAGACAAGCTGTAGTAATATGCTGTTGCTGACGCACACTTACGTGCGTGAAAGAGTTATTCAGATCCCAAGTTAACAAGGATGGAACTCAGCAGGCTCCCAGCAGCCTTTGCTTCCTCACCCCCCACCCCACCCCTGTGTTCCTTGAAGAAGCTGGGAGCCAAGCATGACTCCCAGCTGAAGAAAAACCACATGAATGAAAAATTTCTCTGAAATTTTTTTACAGCCTGAGTCTTCTGCATGATTCATTTGTGTAAGAAGACAAATGTCTTTCCTTTGGAACCTTTTCTTCTTACTTTACTGCCAACAAATGGAGAGTTGTTTGCTGTAACTTCTGAAACTCTGAGTAAAATATTCACTTATTTACAATGCTGTGTCTGTGATTTATTCTAGCCTAAGTATTTTGTGGGAAATATTTAAAGGTGAATGAGGGCAGATGTAAAATCTAATGGAGTTTTAATGTGCTTGGAGCAATCACCGTTGTGCTAACTCTGCTATGAGAAAGTAATACTATCTTCCAAACCTCTCTCTCCCACAAGAAGAGCAGAGCAAGGAGTGAATTCACCCACGCTTTATTCTCTCTCTCCCTCTCAAGCAGAGAATGTGAGCCAAGTTTCCCTAGAGTTGGCTCCCTGGACCTGGTTCTGGAGGCAGCAATCGCCTTTCATGGATGGAATGTGGAAGCAGAGACATGTAAGAAACCTTTATAATCTGTGGTTGTCCTTTATGGGTCAGAGAAAAACAAGGCCTAATAAAAATAACATAACAACAGACTTGCTGAATCTGTCCAGTGGCTCATCTAGCCCATCATCCTGTTCTCACAGTGGGCAACCAGGCGCCCATGGGAAGTCATATAACAAAACCTGAGTGCAACCACACTCGACTCTCCTTTAGTTTCCAGCACCTGGTAATAAGATGAGCAGGACACAGGTGGCGCTGTGATCTAAACCACTGAGCTTCTTGGGCTTGCTGATCGGAAGGTCGGCAGTTCGAATCTGCACAAAGGGGCGAGTTCCTGTTGCTCTGCTCAGCTCCTGCCAACCTAGCAGTTCAAAAACACACCAGTGCAAGTAGATAAATAGGTACCACTGTGGCGGGAAGGTACAGTAAAAGGAGTTTCTGTGCGCCCTGGCTTCCGTCATTGTGTTCCATTGCACCAGAAGTAGTTTAGTCATGCTGGCCACATGACCTGGAAAGCTGTCTGTGGACAAACGCCGGCTCCCTCAGCCTGAAAAGCAAGATGAGCACCACACCCCATAGTCACCTTTGGCTGGACTTAACCGTCCAGGGGTCCTTTACCTTTTACCTTTAATGCAACATACATACTCTAGCAGAGAGAGCACCTCCCCTCAGCTTAACTACCACCCTATGCCAGGTGTCAGCTCATGACTGTAGGCTGACAACATTCACCAGTAACATGAGGGCAGCATCTATGTGCAATAGCTGGTATTGATGGGTTTTGAGGGGCTTTCCTGCCTAAACTATGGCAGCATACATTTCTGCCCCCCAAAGAATCCTGGAATTTGAAGTTTGCTAAGGGTGTTAAGTGGGAGGAGGGAGAGAAGTAGAGCGGGAGAGGAGCCGCTTACACGAGTGTAAGCGGCTCCTGGCTGGTTGGCTGCTTTAAAACAACCCCGTGCTCTATGTCCCTCTCTCCTCCCCACTGAGCTCGCTAAGTAGCAGCAAAGCTTTTCAGCCAGCCTAGCAGGGGAGGAGGGAGAGAAGCAGAGCGGGGTTGGCTGCTTTAAAACAAAAACTGCCTGCAGTTTTTTGCTGTCCGATTTTGGATTAGCCACTGTAGGGGCTGTGTGTGTGTGTGCTTGAGCTATTGTTCTCCTCCTCCTGCTTCCTGTTCACTCTCCCAGCGCCCCTGCGCTCTCCTGCGACTTTAGGATTGATACTGTGTGTGTGTGTGTGTGATCGTTCTCCTTCTCTTGCTTCCCACTCCCAGCGCCCCTGCAACTTTAGGATTGATACTCTGTGTGTGTGTGTGTGTGAGGGCTCGCTCTCCTTCTCTTGCTTCCCGTTCACTCTCCCAGTGCCCCTGCACACTCCTGCGACTTTAGGATTGATACTCTCTCTCTCTGTGTGTCTGTGTGTGTGAGGCATCGTTCTCCTTCTCTTGCTTCCTACTCCCAGCGCCCCTGCGCTCTCCTGTGACTTTAGGATTGATACTGTGTGTGTGTGTGTGTGTGTGTGATTGTTCTCCTTCTCTTGCTTCCCACTCCCAGCGCCCCTGCGCTCTCCTGCGACTTTAGGATTGATACTCTGTGTGTGTGTGTGTGTGTGAGAGGGATCGTTCTCCTTCTCTTGCTTCCCGTTCACTCCCCCAGCGCCCCTGCGCACTCCTGCGACTTTAGGATTGATACTCTCTGTGTGTGTGGGGGGGGGATCGTTCTCCTTCTCTTGCTTCCCACTCCCAGCGCCCCTGCGCTCTCCTGCGACTTTAGGATTGATACTCTGTGTGTCTGTGTGAGGCATCGTTCTCCTTCTCTTGCTTCCCGTTCACTCCCCCAGCGCCCCTGCGACTTTAGGGCGACTTTAGCATGGATCCACATGGATCCTCAGGATTTTTGCATTGGGCTACCCCAAACTCACCGTCAGATTACATGTCTGTGGCCACAGCATGAACCACAAAAATCATACATCCACTGTTTCGTTTAGAATGTTTTTTTCTTGTTTTCCTCCTCTAAAAACTACGTGCGTGTTATGGTCTGGTGCGTGTTATAGAGCAAAAAATACGGCACTTCACTAACTAGAGAAGCAATAGAACAAAGCAAAGGCTATTTTTGTCTCTCCAGCAAAGGCGTGCTGCCCCACCCAAAATCCAGGTGAATAGGGTAGATGCCCTCCAGTATTCTGAAATCTGAAACCAGGATCCCAATACATCAGTTGTAAAACTCTCCTTCAGGAGAAAGAAAAGAAACAGGATGCATTCTCTAAGGCTGTAACATGTCTTGCTTATAATCCTTTGCAGAGTTACCTGGGAGTAAAACCCATTGAATTCAATGGGCTTTCCTTCTCAGCAGATATGTGCAGACTCCATTCCCATATGCAAACTAGTAGTACAGCACAAATGTTTCTTGAGAAGATGATTGAGATAAAGGGTAACCTACCCTTGTCTCGAAGATGGAAGTAGAGGTGGCCTACATATTCCCTTTATTAAATGTATTTTTAGCTTGCAATTCATTATGTGATTCCTGGCAGGTTACAACATAAAACAAGAGCAATTACAGATAGTTAAGTGCAGGTTAAAAACATGGCATTAAAAGTTCAGTCATAAAAACACCCAGTATTACAGCAGCAGTCCAACATCCCACAAATGTATTGGCAAACAACCAGGTCTTCCCCTGGAACTGAAATGCCAAAAGCATTGGTGCTACTCAGTTTCCAGGGAGAGGATATCCTGCAATTGGGGTACCGCCACAGAGAAGGCCTTAATATGTATTACCACATGGTGTATTACCCTCAATTCCAGATCATTAACCCAGCAACAAAGACCAGATCCAGAGTTTTCCCTGCTGAATATAGGCCAGTAGTATACAGGCCAAGTCCCATTGTTGTCATAGTTACATGAAGTTCTAAGCTGGCCATCCCAAGGTGGGCCCAGCACAGATGTTAAAGTCATTCAGTGCCTGTCGTCTGTTCAATAGTTATTCATATCTGTTCAGCCAGTGTGGTGTAGTAGTTAAAGTGGTGGACTAAGACCAGGGCTCAAACCACCCCCCTCAGCCATTAAGCTGACCATGTGTCAGTTACTGTCTCTTAGTCTAACCTACTTCAGAGGGTTCTTCTGAGGATAAAATGGAAGGATGGAAAATCGTATTTGCTACCTCCTCAAGCTCCATGAAGGAAAGATAGGATGCAAATATAATATAATAAATAATATAATATAATATAATATAATATAATATAATATAATATAATATAATATAATATAAATATATAAATAAATAGATGGATGATTTCAGGGTGCTGTTTCCAAACTTTATTTCTGCTGTATTTGAGCTCATTTGCACCATAATGGGAAAAATGAATTTAAGCCATCAGTAAATTTAGCAACATACACCTCACAGTTTGTGGGAAGACCACACCAACTGCGCAACAGTGAAGGAAGGGTTGCTAAGCAGCTGCCTAAAGATAGCACTGTCTATTTCTATTACAGTATAAAACCATGGGGTTTCTGTAATTTGGCAGAAGTTGATAATACTCCTCTTTTTTACTACGTATGGGAAAGGAAAAAGTATTTTAGCGTTTTCTAAGCAAGACTGGTCACAAACTGTCACTGATGCAGCCACCCAATAATTCTTAATAGCAGCACCACAATGCCATTGTGTGGCAGTGCTGCAAAGATCCAAACACTAGCTGACCAGAGAAAAAATTCACACCAGCTGTAATCAGGGTGCCAAAGAACATCTGGAAAGCAGGTACAAGTAAGGGGCTGTGTCGATGTTGATGATTCCATATTTTTCAATGTGCTGAGCTCAAATCCATCACCCGCTGGTTATCTGATCTATTAATATGAATCCAAAATGACAACTTGTAATGCTATTTTATTTTAAAATATTTTTATCAAATGATCTCAAAGTCTATATTAAGATAACCCAAACTACACATCCCTGTTCATTTGGCCAACAACAAAGGCCAGAGACTCCCAAAGAAACCAACAGCTGGAGCAGTGCATTTTTTGGGAGGAGGATACATTCCCCAATACTACTTGTTCTTTAGTTAGTGGTTGTGGCCAAAAATCTTCCTCTTGCCATGACATTCATCCTGGAAGAAAGTACTACCTCCCTTGTTCTTCTGCCTGGTGTATTGCAAATGTTCTTTGAGGACAACTGTTTTCAGGTTCAAGATGGAAGCAACGTACCCATTACCAGCTTTACATGTGTTAGAGAACATGACTGTTTCAACAACCTAACACAGCAGTACCAACATTGTGAGGACGACCACTATTGGGATGAAGCAAATAACAGATAATGGCTTTCCATACTGCAAATGTGCACTGATGCTGAGTAATTTCAATTATTAGTTATATTCATAAATGCATATTAAGGAATTATGTGACAAGTTTTTCTACATTTCTGCAGTTTATGCCAGGTATGGGGAACAGATGTGGCTAAGTTTCCAGTTTTCATCAATCCTAGACAGCATGGCCAATGATCAGGGGTGAAGGAGGTTTGTAATCCAACAATATATGAAGGATCACAGGTTCCTTTACCCTGGTTTATAGTCTGTGCTTCGCTTAAAAACAACACACACTTAAGTCTGAAGTGTTTTGACATGTGATTTCAGCACAGGTAATCAATGTTGGTAAGAGGTATAACATTGATACCTTGCACTTATAAGCAGTTATGATCAATAAATGCATAGATAATTGATAATGCATTTTTGTTTTTTGGCTGTTAATAACAGATCAAGTTGCCCAAGGGTTATAAATTCATCAGGTATTGCTAAATACAGTGGTACCTCGGGTTACATACACTTCAGGTTACAGACTCCGCTAACCCAGAAATATTACCTCGGGTTAAGAACTTTGCTTCAGGATGAGAACAGAAATCGTGCTCCGGTGGCACGGCAGCAGCAGGAGGCCCCATTAGCTAAAGTGGTGCTTCAGGTTAAGAACAGTTTCAGGTTAAGAACGGACCTCCGGAACGAATTAAGTACTTAACCCGAGGTACCACTGTACTCAACATATTGAAAGCATCTTGATATCAAAAAGGAAACTTCCCCCAATTTTTCAGGTTCGCCTTCAAAATACAGGATTTTGCAGCCCGAATATGAAGAACATGCTATTTTAAGTCTGCATTGGCTTCCAAAACCAGTACATGGCCCTTAGGTCCAGCATCGTGCTTCTCATGCCAGCCATCAGATGCCTGCGACAGAAAGCTGATCATGAAGGAAACAGTCCTGACCCCTGCGCTTTTGCACAACCTGGTTCCAGAGGTGTACTGACTGGGAACATGAAACATGCAAACTATTATTAGGCTTGGTGGAACCCAAAACAACACACTAAATTGGGCAAGGGAGGGAAGACGGCCCCAAACTACTGGTCGATGACTGAGCATACTCAGTGGGCCCTGAATGTTGAGCGATTATTGGGGGTGACTGAATTGGGGGAGGGATATCCTGAAGAAGAACACCCCATGCTGCAACATTTTGTTGCAGGTCTCGCTCATAAGAAAACTGTAATGCAAGCGCAGGAAGAAACAGGCAGTGGAGAAACTGATAAGACCCGAGGAGAAACGTTGCTTACTGGTTGTTCTCATCCACTGAAGCAGGCGGGGCAGATCCCCAGCCCGCGCACCCCGCAGCACGTTCAAAACAGCCTGGCGAGCCGAAGGGAAATCCATGCTTTGCCTACTGAACACACCGCGCATGCGCCGGGAAGACCGCCCTCCCTTCACAATCCTGACTGGCGGAATCAAGAAACGTCAGCAAAGGCTCTGACGTCTCCGTTCGGCGGCTGAATCCATTTATGTAAAACCCACCCCCCCATCCTTGGTGGACGCATGCGCGGAGAAGTCGCTATGCTCAGCAGCCCTGGGAGAAAATGAGGAATCGCTCTCGACAAGAGATACGCCGAGGCGCTATGACAGACACGGCTTAACAGAGCCCCGCCCTTTACGGTGCGTGATGGTGACGCCCAACGCCCCTTGTTGGCAAAGGGCCAGCTTTCTGAAGGTTTTCTGATACGGTATCCAACAGGAACGCGCGCAGTGGGTCCCCGCCCCCCACGCCAACGGTTTCTGGTTCGCACGTGCAGTTAGCAGAAACGCCCCCCCATCATGCGTGGCAAAAGCATGAAAATACAAAGTTACTTAAAATGAACATACGCCAACAGCGCATTAAATAGACTCCCTTTCATAGAAATAACAATAATGCTCTGTTTAAAAAAAATTTACAATAAAGGATCCATATTTCTCACCCCCCCCAAATAAATCTGGTCACCTTGCTTAAGTTATAAACGTCCTTTGGTTCATCGTTTTGGGAGGGGGCCACTCTTCCATCGTCTCCCGAGGGAAACGGATGCCAACTATTGTTGTTGGTGCATATCAAAGAACTGGTTTATGTATCTGGCATGCCCTACTATCCGTAAATGGCTAACTCAGGAAGGACAAGTTTAAGTACGTCCTTTTAAAAATATCCACTGGACACAATACATTTATTGTTTTCTATCCAAGATGATCGTTTTCCGCCCCACTCCCCTTTCCTTTAAGTAAATGCTTATTTTTAACCTTTACTTGCTTAGCGTGCCAAACCAGATCACTTAAGTAGGTGAAATGTTGCTTCGTAAGTGTTGGAACAGGATTAGACCGAGAACTGACAGAAGCACCGACTTTCCAAAAGCACGTTTATAATATATTCACAAGCAATTCCTTATTGGGTTTAACAGCGATTTGCAGTTAGTTCACACTCGCTTTTTTTGATAGCTAGACGCTTGATTTAAAACAAACAAACAAAAAACAGCGACCCTTAAGCATTATATAGGTGGTTCGCAAATAAAATTAAAATCCTCATAGTTCGTTCATAAAGATTAAAGCCAGATGACGCACATCAACATTTGATGGGGCAAACTGCTTTCGTCCTCACACTTAAGAGGTCAACATACCATTTCCTTTCTGCTTATTTATTTCATAAAACACATGCACCGCTGGATCGTAAAAAACAAAACAAAACTTTAAAGCGGTTTATCAAAGACAAAAAGTAAAACTAAGACAAATTTTCAACCCTGCTTTAAAACAAAACAAAATACTAAAACAGATTAGAAGTCTAAAACCCCTGCTGGACAATTGCTCTAAAGCTCTGAATCGAAAGGAAACCTCTCCAACCCCGCCTGCGCCCTACGGACGTGCAGTACCCTCCCTCCACCTCTGCACTCACTGGCGCACGCATGGTTTCAATACCCGGACTCATAGTGGGCGGGGTCTTATAAATGCCCCGGAAGCGGAAGTGCGCGCGGGGTGTTTCCCCCCTTTTTTGTGTGAGAGGCTGTTAACTTCGCAAGCTGCGTGTAGTGGTGACGTGACATTCTTCCCGGTTATGTTGTGGGAGACTGGAGGGGACGGTGCTCGTTACCGGTGCTGGGCCTGAGTTAACGGCTTCGTGAGGGCTTCCTGTCGCGCGGCTCTCGTCGCGGGGCCGGGCCAGGCCGCCGCCGCCGCTTTAGAGGCAAAAGGAGGGGGGAAGCTGCTGTTCTGGGTGAGTCTTGTGATGGGGCGGGTGGCTGCCCCGCTTGGGTGCGAATAAAAACTTGGCGCTCCTTTCTGGGTTCTGCCCAGCTGTTGCCCTGGATCTCTCCAAACTTCAGGGCTGTGGGCAGCTTGGCTTGGGAGGAGATCGCCGGGTGGTGTCTTGGTGAGGTGAAACTTGCTTTTGCGGCGAGGCCAAAATTCCTCAGTCTGAATCGGGCGAGACAGTTGTTGCTTAAGCCCTCGGCGGCCTTGCTGTATAATCTCGAAGCTTTTCTCCGTATGTAATCCCATATGCTCGTTATTTCTCATTCCGCGCGATGTAGGGCTGTTCAAAACAGATTCTGATCCTCCATTCAGATTAACAACGACATAGTTCAAAGGACCACATTAAAAAAAAACCTCCGTGAAAGTGCAAAGTACAACACAAATACTCATTTTTTTAACCAAAAGTATTCAGTTGGGAAATTTGTGTGTGCAGTGGCTTCCCAGTGACCTTTTAAAAATATATAACTTGTGAAATGCAGCAGCTTTTCTTTTATATAGGTTTAAACCATCTTGAGAAATGTTATATGTGAAGTGGCCCCGAGTTGTTTGGTGTATTTGATCAGCTGTTAAAGTTTTTGAGCTACAGTTTGTTTTTTTGTTACCTGTGAAATCAATGGCTAGTTCAACTAAAAAAATCCTGTATGTGTGTAGATTATTTAAAACACTTCAATTTTCTATCACATCCGTGACTCCAAGGCAGCTCACAAGACATAATAAAAGCAATCTGTTTACAGTGAAAATAAAAAGTATAGCCACTGGTAGTGCAGTTGTAAATGAGGTTGCTTATAATTACGCCTCTCTAAGTTTGTTGGAACATACTTTCTACTAAGTGTTTTTAAGATTGTAGTCCAAGAAAATAGTACTGTAAATAATTCCAGGTCTCCTCCTTTATTCTGGGAACACTTAAGCTCTTTTAGTTTGCAATAGTATGCTAATACTTACCTACTAAAAGTAACAACCCCATCTTTAGTACCTTTTTGGGAGCTCCAGTGTGGTGCCAGCAGGTGCAACAGAATTTTCCTCCCTCCATATCCAGCCCTCCCTCCACACAGAGAGAGCGAGCTCTGGGGCAAGCTGCAGGTGGGGCGGAGAATAAGTCCCATTTTCACAAGCAGACATCCATTGTGTAAGTGGGACACCACAATTAGATATCACATTTGCAGGTATCAGGAGGTGTCAGTCAGCAGGGAACTAAGTCATAAAGAATTAGTGTGATCCATGGAGGTTGTTGCTGGTTCTTTTCACTAGAAGGTATAGTGGGTAGGTGCTGAACTAGCTACCTGGAGGTAAAAGTAGAGATGAACTGGGAGCTTTGCTTCCTTCTGCACTGACATATTTTGCCAGTTTAACCATATGTTTCCCTCATGAGCTGAACAAATTAAGATGATCTGCACTAGAGGTAAGGTTGCACATTTTTTTACCTTTCAGTTTCAATTTCTGCTGCTGGTGATAAGGGACTCTTACAAATACTGTTCTGAACTATTAAGGAAATGCAAGTCTTACTGGTTTTTTAACATTTTTGTGGAGTCCATTTCTACTCTCTGGTGAACTTGTGCTCCCTGTCCCCTCCCTAGTGCCAAGATTAAAAGGAAAGTGTGGTTTGGCTCCTTGGTTGCTGAAGTTTGTTAAACTCTTTCCTACAAAGGAGGATGGCAGGAGCTTCCTTGGCTGTTTTGAGGCCAATGGGTCTGGAGCACCACAAATGCACAGCCGGACTAAGGCCACAGTTTTTGGCTTATCTAGCAAAACTCTGTAAACAAAGGCTGGTTACCAATCCCAGCCAGTTTTTATGTTTTCTGGTTATACAGTTAGCATAGACTAGTTTCTTTGATTTTTCATAATAAATGTTATTGAAAAGACTTTAAAAACCGCACCAAAATATTGCTTAATTCAAATGGTTAAAAAACCCCGACATTGCTGTGATATATTTTAAATTAAGCAACTAAAATTGAATCAAATTTGTATCTACTTTTATACATAAAAGTAATCAGTTAAAGTAAGATGCAGTTGCAGTAAACCTAATTTGATGAGTTTGTTTTAGGTTATGAAATGTTTCCCATTATCTCTGCTAATGTCTGCCATTTTAAGCATGATGTTTAGCCTTTAATTAGACAGTCCAAAACAAAGAAGCTTATCTTTGGCTACTATTCCATACACAATAACTTGGGAGTAACTCTTAACTCAATATAGCAAGACTTACTTGTGACAAAATATGCAGATAATTAAGGTAATACAGAATGAAGACGTTGACCTAGTGTGTGGCAGCTGTGAAAATGGCAAATTCCACACCAGGCATAATTATACATATACAAATATTTGGTGTGATCACATTTGAAACACTGCGTACAGTTCTGCTTGCCTCACTTCAAAATGGATATTGTAGAACTGGAAAAGTTTTGAAACAAAAACAAGAGGATGGAGCAACTCCCCTATGAAGAAAGGCTGCGGTACATGAGACTTTTTGGTTTAGAGAAAAGGCAGGCAAGAGGTGACATGATAGTTTATAAAATGATGCATCAGCTAGAGAAAATGGATAGAAAAAAGTTTTTCTGCCTCTCTGATAATACTAGAACTTGTTGACATTAAAGGAAGCTGAATATTGGAAGATTCAGGACAGGTAAAAGAAATTACGGCCTCATGCAGCACATAGTTAATCTATGGAACTTACTCTCACATGAGGAAGTGATGACCAACTTGGATGGCCTTAAAGGAGAATGAGAGAAATTCATGAAATATAAGGGTATCAGTTGCTACTAGCCTTGATGGAAACAATAATGCTTCTGAATACCAGTTGCTGGAAACTGCAGGAAGGGAGAGTGCTCGTTTATGGATTTTCCACAAGCAACTGTTTGGCTACTGTGGGAACAGGATGCTGGACCAGATGGGAATTGGCCCGATCCAACAAGTACTTACGTTCTTTGGCATGAGTAATTTGATTGCTCAGGTTAATTTGTGGGTTGTGTTAACTTATGATTCCTTTACTCTTGAAAATTGATATAGCTGTAACATTGGGCTTTGCCAGTAGTAGATTTGAATACTTGATGCATAATCCAGAACTTGTTTAAGCATTCTTCATTCCCATAGGAAAATATGCTATTACCTTTCTCACAGTTTGTATCCATAGTCCATCATTTATCTAGTAAAGCTGAGTAACCTAGATAGCTTTCGTTGTTTCCTTTCTTAAGATTTGATTCCTCTCACATTACCTGTTCTCAGAAATGAATATAGTCTTTTAGCTGAGGCACAACGCAGGTTGGGGTCCAAAGAACTGCATTTATTCCTGTGTGCCCACAAAGGCTTTAGGTATGTTTCTGCAATAGCATTTCCTAATGCTGCAAACCACTTTTGAAATAGAGGAAGCTCTCGGAGTAGTCTGATCTTTATGCAGTGCAGGTGGGGGCCTGCTGTTGAAAGGAAAGATACAAATCCCACTTGAATATGATCACAGCCTTTGGATCCTTGCAGAATAATCTGTTCTTTAAAGAATACTAGTTGACATTGGAAAAAAATAGTTAGAAAATGTTCGAGAAAGTTAAATGCATTTCAAATGTGCGCTACAGTCCCATCCATGTATATTCAGAATTCAGCCTAATTGATTTCAGTGGGACTTGCAAGTGTGTATAGGTTTGCAGTCTAAATGTTCTTGATCTGGTGATTATGGAAGGTTTATCTTTTGACAAAAGGAAGCTTAGGAAACTCAACAGAACTTATCTTTCTGTGCAGCTATAAATTTTATATAAACATTGAAGCATTAAATATTTGCATAATTTAACATGCAAAATATGATGGCTGTAATTGTTCAACATGTTAACTCTATGAAAAAATCAAAATATATTAGTAGGAACAATTTTCAGAGCATGTTTCTATCTCAGTACCTTGTTGATTAGCTTTGTTCTTTTGTACCACACCTTTTAAAAAATCTTTATGTGCTACTTCTAAAAATATTTTAATGTTCATAATACTGAAAGTTTAGTTCTCACAAGGGACAATATGTCATTGATATTTTAATGTTTCTTTTACAGATCATATTTGAGTTGTCTTTGAAGTTGCCAAAATGGTTTTAGCAGATCTTGGGAGAAAAATAACCTCAGCATTGCGCTCTCTGAGCAATGCTACAATTATCAATGAAGAGGTACGTAGCATTTCCATATGTGTTGTAATGATGATAGTTAACTAGAAGGTAAGAATTATCTCTTCACAATCAAATTTGGCTTTGGAAGAAAATGGCCCAAGCTTAAAGTAATAAGGTTAAATTTGTACATACTATATCATGAAACACGTGAGAGCTGCTTAAAACATACTGTGTGGCAGCTGTGGCAACTAATTAACTGAGACTTAATTTGTATTGTTGGAATGGTTGAACGACAACCTTCTACTACAAATGTAATTTACTTTGAAACACTGGATTAACAAAATTCAGGACGTTAACATTTTCTGAATTGTCTTTGTTTTCTCCTTACAAGGTTTTAAACGCTATGTTAAAAGAAGTATGTACAGCATTACTGGAAGCTGATGTCAACATTAAGTTAGTGAAACAACTGAGAGAAAATGTCAAGTAAGTGATCCAACCAAGATAACATAAAGATGTACAATTTTCTGCAGTGATTATCTTTGCTTGCTTGTGTCTTGAGAGAGCCATGGGTGACTTCTTCATACTACTTAATTAATACCCAACTTAAATCAGTTCAATTTCTAGTTTCAGAGGAATAACTGATGTCTCAATAAGTGCTCTTCTGACATAGCTTATCTGCCCCACACAAATTGAAGTACAATCATTGTAAAAAATATGGGGTATTATACAACTCTGCCCATATGCAAATGGAACAGACTTCCTCTTGTGCAACAATACTTCTCCATCCTCTCCTCCCAGCAGTGCACCCTCAAAATCTGCTCCAGAGAGTTGGGAGCGTTGGGGGTGATGAGCCTCCAGGGCAGATTTAGAATGTGAGTATATGGCTGCAGATGTGGTGCTAGGGAGAAGTCTTGTTCCACAAGTAGAAGTTTGCCTGTTGAATTCTGCCTGTAGTAACTCTGTTATAAGTAGTCCTAACATCCAGGACCTTCAGAATAATGCAAGATACAGCACTTCTATAACAAATTGATTGCTGGGAGGGAAGGGTAGGAGACATGAGTAGCTGTATGTACTTCTGGGCAAGCTGCCAAGAGCGAACTGAAATAGCAAGCTGGAATCCTGCTTGCAATGAAATTTACTTGGTGCATGGAATACGTATGACTGACATATGAAAGGTGTTAGTTGTTTTATATGTGGATGAGCAAAACACTATTCTGAATACACAAATGTTTTTGCACAAAAGTATACGATATTGATTATCTGTCCATCTTTACTTGATTGACATTAACATTATTGTTCTATTATTTATTATATTTGTTATTCACAAAGCGACATGCATTCAAACCAGTTCAAACAAACACAAATAATGAAAATCTAAAAACAGTTACAGTATATGGATAAAGCATAGGTCTTACAGATCCTACCCCACAAAAAAGGGTCAAAAGGCCTGAAAATGAGTAAAGAGGAAAGTCTTTGCCTATGCCTAAAAATAGATAAACATGACACCAGGCATGCCTCCCTGTAAAAGCCACCACTGAGAAGGCCTGTTCTTATGTTGCCATTCTTCATGCCTCCTGCAGAGTGGGCACATGATGAGTAGCTGTTACTGAAAATTGTAGGGAGAGGGGGTCTTTGAGTAAGTTTGATAACTCCATGCTCCTAAACATGCTCTTGGATGCAATTCCCATTGAATTTAACATAACATTTCTGTTGTATTGCTTTTGATCTTGTATTGCTTATTTTCTGTTTGAACTATAGATCTGCTATTGATCTTGAAGAAATGGCTTCTGGCCTAAATAAAAGGAAAATGATTCAACATGCTGTCTTTAAAGAACTTGTTAAGGTAAAATATATTAAATAGTAGTACACTTGGTTTTTCTAATCCATATGTTGCTTGCTTTAATACAGCCTAGCACTCAAGGTTTCCTTCTTTTTTTGATCAAACATTCCTTGTTTCTACCTCACATTCTCATATGAAGGTTGTTGCCACATTTCTATATGAATATTGAGTGACCATTGCCATTCTAATTGTAGGTATGTGCAATCTTGGTAAGACATTGTCAGGGGACTGCCATCGGAACAGGGGAGGGGGGCAGGGGAATACAGAGAGCCTCCAATGCTTCTGAGGAGCAGCTCCTCGTTCAGCTGTGGGGAAAGCCACACCTCCAGTGGAGCAGAGAGGGAAGGGGGCAGCCAAGCAAGGAGAGGGCTCGAAGATGCTGCTGGGAGGCAGGCATGCCACTTCCGTTGCTCAGCCTGTGCAGGGGTGAAACGCAAGGAGGGGAGGCAGAGATTTGGGGTGTCTTAAGTTTTTATGTTGGGGGAGAAGCCAGAAGAGGCCACTCCTGGATTCTGCAAGTGACTAAGATGGACATGAACTTGTTGGTTCTGCACTGTAAATAGTTTGCACCAATGCAACCTGTAAAAGACAGGTCGGAGTCCTGCCTGGTTACTCATGAGCAACCACCACTCGCATCTGACAGACATAAAACAACAATGGTTATGGGACATCTTTATACTACAATGCAGATTTTATTCTTACTCATTTTACATATTTCTTTCTACTGCAGAAGCTATAATCTTAAGCATTGTGTTACATGTATTGCAATAATCTGTTGAGTGGAGTAGCTTGTTAGCCAGCATTGGCGAGATCTACCTTTTATACAGTTGACAGTGGCTCAAATTAATACCAAACCAAAGTTTGTGCTACCTCCGTTTTAGTGTGGTGGTTATATTGACAAAACTGTAGTTACAGCAATTGCTCTGCTTCTGGAGTCTATTGTGCACAGAAGCAACAGTGCTTAGCAGGTGCGGAGGAAAGACAAATGGTTCTAATCAGTGGCTTGCCTGCACATTTGGGAGCTGAAATTATGGCTGGTTGACTTCCAGACTATGATTAGCTTGAACTGTGATTAAGTGTGATGTCCAAAAGGAGCAATGGTATAGTTTAAATGAATAACTGGATTTTATACCAATTGTATAGCTAGAATACCCCAGTTGAGAGTACTGCAAAAGCAGGTGTATGTGCTGTTCACCTGACTTCACAGTGGGGTGATGATTGTAGGGACATTAGTGCACCATGCTTGCAAAGAAACACTGCTTCAAAGACTTCAAGCCCGTTTTCTCCAGGGATTGGTGGCGTGTTAGTCTCACAGCTGATCCTGCTGTGTCTCCACCATCTCTGCATGTGATGTCATATATGGGGAGCAGGAGGGGTGAGGTGGGGAATGTGACCTTTTGGGAGAAATTGGGACCTGTGCTGGGCCAGAGTTTACCCACCCCTGTCTTAATGACTGTAAGGATGGTCTTGTTAAACTTGTTCACTGGCACTGGTTTGTATCACTGCTAGGTAATTGGAGGGGTTTTGAGTGGCACAGAACTGGGCAATGTTACCATTTACCGTTGTTTTACTTTGATTTCCAAGAAAGCATCCATGATGCTGGAAAAATATATTAAATCTTCAAGCAAAACTGCACACTGAAAATCTTATGTGTTACTGTGATTCTGAAGCTTTGCTTCGTAGCACACATGTATACTTTTTGCTTTATAGCTCGTAGATCCTGGAGTAAAAGCCTGGACACCAACAAAAGGAAAACAGAATATCATAATGTTTGTAGGGCTACAAGGAAGTGGCAAAACAACATCATGTTCAAAGGTAACTTGCATTCTTCATAATATTTAATATAGACTGTTTGCTTTCAGATAGACATTTGTGACTATGAACAAAACTGAACTAAATTTTAGGGGTGCATTCAGGTGTTACGAAGCAAAATCTTTCTTGTATAAAGAATTTGCCACAGATAGATCTCTGGGACTTTGAGCTTAACTACTTTTGATTGAATCTAGACCTTCTGGTCCATGAACAGAAAGGCTTCTTTCATTTCCAAAAGGAATGCTGATCCAGTGGAAGCTTCTTCTTGAAGAGGGGAAGACATGACATTCATCAGTTTCCAACATCTCTTTGCAGCCACTAGCATGACTATTACCGTTTAAGAAGGTCTCTTAGCACTGGAGTGGCATCTAGTTAGTGTGTTCCTCTCTGGTCAAGGATGGATCTAATCCTATCATTGCAGGAGATCATAAAATGAAGGTCACTTTTGTTGTCCTTTTATAGAGTCTACATCTTGTACATAGCCATACCTTGACAAGACTTGAAAATATTGGCATATAGTGCAAGCCACCTGTCACTGCATGGCAGTAAAACTTCACTGTAAATGTCATATAAAGGCAGCAGAACCCATATCTTCTGCAGCTCAGGGTTCTGCCCTAAGAGCTTACAAATGTAAGCAAGTCTGAAATGAAAGAACCTTACTGTTCTCATGCACCATATTGATTAGCTTTACAGTGGTGCCTCGCAAGACGAAATTAATTCGTTCCGCGAGTTTTTTCGTCTAGCGAATTTTTCGTCTTGTGAAGCAGGAAATCCCATAGGAATGCATTGAAATTCAATTAATGCGTTCCTATGGTCAAAGAAAGTCCAAACAAAGCCAAATTTGGTACAACAAGAGTTTATTAAGTGCTCTTTAAAGTCACACCCACCACACAGAAATTCAAATCCATAATTTTTTTTAAAAAACAGCAGAGTGGCCCAATGGTCACAGAAAATCATAAAAATTCAGAAAAAAACCACACAAGCTTCCAGATTCTTGCAAACCCCTTCTCAACACCAAGTCCTTGAATTCCAAACACCCCAACCCAAAATCCAAAAACCCCAAAAAAAGTTTTAAAAGTTTAACTTACCAAATGGCTGCAAAAGAAGTTTTGGAAAAGCTTCAAAAATCACCAAAGTCTTTAAAAACCTCAAAAAAGGCTACCACACCGCGTTCTATGAGTTGCTCCTCGAAGTCAAGTCGCAACTGTATTAACGGTGTTAAGAAAAAGGAAACAAACTTGCAAGACGTTTTCGTCTTGCGAAGCAAGCCCATAGGGAAATTTGTCTTGCGAAGCAGCTCAAAAAACGCAAAACCCTTTCGTCTAGCGAGTTTTTCGTCTTGCGAGGCATTCGTCTTGCGGGGCACCACTGTAATTGCTCTTGTGCCACAAGGCCCATTTTGGTCTTCCTATTGGGCACTGAAAACTAATGAAAACATGATGTAATGTTCTTGAGAGTTCTTAATACTAAACTTGACACTATCATTACATCTTTGGATTTTTTATTAACAGTTGGCATACTACTACCAGAGGAAAGGCTGGAAGACATGCTTGATATGTGCAGATACTTACAGAGCAGGTAAAATACTTTCCCCCCAGCGATTTCATTTTCACTAGATGTGCATATTCTACATGGCTAACAAATACTGTCTGAATTCTACAGGTGCTTTTGACCAGTTAAAACAGAACGCAACAAAAGCAAGAATTCCATTCTACGGCAGGTATGTATCTTTAACTAAGATCTGTTGCAAAAATTATGTTATCAGATTCTGAAATGATATTTGAAGAACAATATTAGTCAATGTGCTGCCCCCAAGATGAAGTTGTTTCAAACTCCCATCACCCCTGACCCTTGGCTATGTTGGCTGAGGCTGATGGCCACAACATCTGGAGGGCATTTTTATATATATATGTAAAGCTAGAATTTAACTATTTCACTCTTTCTGATTTTTAAAGTACTTCTCATGGCTGTGAGCGAAGCTTAGTAACTTGGAATCAATGTCTTACATCCAGAAGGAAGTCAGTTGGTGTTTCAGTAACAGGACCTTAGCCTAACTTTGTTTCCAAGCCTGCGTTCATTGCACTGGCACTCATAGTGCACCCAGTGTGCTCGTTCCTTTTCCTCTACTGTTACAGGCTGAAATTTAACGTGTGTGTGCATTTGTGTGTTGGGGCGGGGATTGTAAACCAGTCAATAACTTGCTTTGGAAATGAGTTTGAAAACATTTGATTGTGCACAGAAAATTTGCAGACTCTTAGTGTCATAGGAAATAGTCTAGAATAGCAGTGGTTGGTGAAGCAGTTCACGTGTGGAAGCAGTGAGCTGCTTCAGTGAGGCAGTGAAGGGCCAAGGAAGCCCTTCCTTACTGAGTGTTGGGCTGTGTCAGCACCATGCAAGCAGGCTGCTGATAGCAACAGTTTATGCTGTCTGCTTGACAACTACATACTTGCACTGTGGCTGCTGGGACACCTGCTGACTATAGGAAGGAGGAACTCTTCCCCCTCACGCAGTGATAGGGGTGTTTCCTGTCAGAGAACCATCTCGTTGAAATCTGCTTGGTAACATTGTCCATGTAACTGAAGCATGTGTGTTCCTGTTGGAACAGTTACACAGAAATGGATCCTGTGATCATTGCATCAGAAGGTGTTGAAAAATTTAAGAATGAAAACTTTGAAATAATAATTGTCGACACAAGTGGTCGTCACAAGCAGGAAGACTCACTCTTTGAAGAAATGTTACAAGTTGCCAATGCCATAGTAAGTATTGTACACAATAGCTTTAGTTTTGACAACCGTGCTAAAATTAGTCATGCTGAAATCCTGAAGTATGTACTGCCTTATCAGAATGAATCCCTAGATTCAGTGGGGCTTACTCTTTAGTAAGTGTACACAGGATTGCAGATTTTGGGTCTGTTCATAACATAGGGCAAATCATCATGAACAATTTTTGCTTTTTGGGCCAGGGACTGTTTTGAAGGGCCCAACTCAAAGTGCTGGTTTTGAGCTATAAAGCTTTTAAGTGGCCAGGACCACAATATTTCAAGGACTGCCTCTTTCCATACGAACCTACCTGGACCTTGACATCAGTTTCTGAGGCCCTTCTTCATGTGCCTTCTCCACGAGAGGTCCAGAGGGTGGTGATACGAGAATGGGCCTTTTCTGCAGTGGTTCGCCATCTGTAGAATGCTCTGCCCAGGGAGGTTCGCCTGGCACCTTCATTATATACCTTTAGGTGCCAGGCAAAAATGTTTCTCTTTAACCAGGCCTTTGGTTGATTGGTATCCTATACCCTTTTAAAATGTGTTGGGGGGTGGTTATTGGGTTGTTTTTGTTTTTATTTTGATTAAATATTTTGTGTTTTTATATTTTGATTTTATCCTGTGAACCGGCCTGAGGCCGGATATAGGACAGTATGCAAATTTAATAAATAATAGTTATAATAATAATTGAAGGAGTCATAAAATGGAGTCCCTCAACTTGGTCTCTCTTTGATGATCCAGATCTAATACAGAGCTAAATAGACTGATGCTGGGCTATATTTATGCAGACTATTACCGATAAGTCTGGTATATGTTGCAGATGCATGATTTTAATGGCAAAACAATCCTATTAGTCATGCTGAACTAGCTTTTGAGGGCACTGTAAACCTTCCAACTTTTAAAAGTTCAAAATTTTAGGAAATGTTAAACTGGGCCTCCATATTAAAATTAAGATCACAATAATTATTGGTTATAAGTAATTATTAGCATTGTGTAGTTCTGCAAATGATTTGTCTTCTCCTTTGATAACATGCAAAAATGGTAAAACGCTTTCCTGCGTGTTTTCTTTATACTTGCTGATATAAAAGCAGTTGGAAAGAGAGAAATTAATTATTTGCTCTTGCTTGTGTAAATACTTACAGCAACCAGACAATATTGTTTATGTGATGGATGCCTCTATTGGTCAAGCCTGTGAAGCTCAAGCAAAGGCTTTCAAAGATAAAGTTGATGTTGCTTCTGTCATTGTAACAAAACTGGATGGCCATGCAAAGGGAGGTGGGGCACTCAGTGCGTAAGTATATTTTCACTTAATTATGGAACTAAGTAGCACTGCAGTGACTGTAAATAGCTGAGTACAGTAAAACTGTTCAGAAAGTAATGCTAATCCTTTGCTTTGGTAATATTATTTTGAAGAACCTTATTTTCCCTCAAGGGGAAATTAAGAGTAATTGCCACCTCTTGTTACATTGGGGCGTGAATGTTTGGCTCTATGCTAAACTATCTCTAATAATGTGGAATCCATTTTTCAAGCAGCAGAATCCAGTGACTTAAGTATTGTGATGAGGCTACTTTATCTATTCTTTAAGCATAAATAAATTTAAGTAGGTTTATGCTGTATCCACTGTGATTTGGCTCACAATTTTTAATGACGTTTTTCAAATTCAGAATGATAAATTTTATTTAAAATCCATCTTGCACACTAGAATGCTCTGTGTTGAATTGACTTATAGTTGACTTTGTCCTTCATTGCAGAGTGGCTGCCACTAAAAGTCCAATCATTTTTATTGGTACTGGAGAACATATAGATGACTTTGAACCTTTTAAAACACAACCCTTCATCAGCAAGCTTCTTGGTATGTATTAATTGCTGATAGGACCAAAAAAAACACACCTCTTTAAAAATATATTCTTCAGTGTGTTCAGATTATTTAAAAATCTCATATGGTTTTTATTTTAGCTCCTGAAGATGCCTTTTTGTATTACAGGTATGGGAGATATTGAAGGACTGATAGATAAAGTAAATGAATTGAAATTGGATGACAATGAGGCACTCATAGAGAAATTAAAACATGGTAAGCTGTGCCAAAAGTATTACTAATACGCTGTGTAACAGCTCAAAACACCTACTCATAAGTGTATTTTGGAATGATTGAGTGTAGCAACCTAATTTTTTTAAATGTAACTATTTATCGTTGACTCCCACTTCTTTTGCACTTCAGGTCAATTTACTTTAAGAGATATGTATGAACAGTTCCAAAACATCATGAAAATGGGACCCTTCAGTCAAATCTTGGTAACTATGGCTGAAACTTGTTCTCTTTTGCATTCTGATAAGATTCTTTTTTCTCCTGAGTTCAGAAAATTCTGCGCTAAAACATTAAAATTCAGTCTGAACTCAAATGCTACATATATTCGAAAATGGCATTTAATATTTACTTTTAACTGTTGTAGGGTATGATCCCAGGTTTCGGAACAGATTTTATGAGTAAAGGCAACGAACAGGAATCAATGGCAAGGCTAAAGAAACTGATGACAATAATGGACAGTATGAATGATCAAGGTAAAGTTTCCTACATTTGAGCAACTGAGTGACCGATGTGTTGAAGTGTACTTACTACATTGTCTGAATAAAAGCCTAAATGAATTATACCTAATCTTTACTGTTTATAAAACTAAAATACCAAACTATTAGTATAGAATTTTGAGTGGTTGCCCTTCTAAAAAACCTGTAATTGACTCATCAGCATTTTAACAGTGTACAATAAATTGTTTATTTTCCCATGGCTTCTCTAATGTAGAACTTGATAGTACAGATGGGGCCAAAGTTTTCAGTAAACAACCAGGAAGAATCCAAAGAGTAGCAAGAGGTTCTGGTGTTTCAACTAGAGATGTTCAAGAACTCCTGACACAGTACACAAAATTTGCACAAATGGTGAAAAAGATGGGAGGCATAAAAGGACTTTTCAAAGGTGAGAGTAATTACAGTTGCATGGCTTTCATGTTCTCCAATTTAGTCAGTTGCATAACTTTAGAAGCCCCAATTCTGGACCAATTGTAAAAACAAATAATGTTTTGTTCTTATGAATTCCCATGTTAAAAATAGATTACATGAGCATCACCATGTAGCGAAGCTGTATGTAAATTTGGATTTAAAACATCATTTTCATAGACATGTCCTGTAAAAGTCACAAACAGTATTTTTCTACTTCCCTTGGAATCACTTCAGAGAATTGTGTTTGACCCTGTTTAAGAGATGAAGCTGAAACTTGTGGTAGAGATAATAGGTCTTGATTGTATCTCTGAAAAGAAAGCAGACTTTTCTAATGAGACTATGATTCATTGTTTTGTTTAATAAATTTGTATACCAACCTGCAGCCGAAGATCACAGGGCAGTTCACTGATGTGGTATTGGATTCAAATGTCATATTTTTCCATGCTGTGGAGGCTCAATGGTCTTTGCTTAAAAGTGTTCCAAACTGTGGGGGAAAGGAGCAATCTATAGACAATCAAATAAGTTTTAACAGTGCTGTACAATGCCAGACAGTCAAGCCAGTTCTCTAGAGTGAATAAGCATGATTTCTAGCAATAGTGAGATTACTGACTTTTCTTGTGCACTTCTCTAAAATACACAACTGCCAGCACACTAAGAGAATAAACACCATGTAATGTTTCTGATGGGTTTGTCGTTTCCCTCTCCCCTCCTCCTGTTTTTCCACCCCTTTAAGGAGGTGATATGTCAAAGAACGTAAATCCATCCCAGATGGCAAAATTGAACCAACAGATGGCAAAGATGATGGATCCCAGAGTTCTTCATCATATGGGTAATTTTTATCCCCCCCCCCCCGCTTACTGTAGGAGGCTAACAAAATAGGTACACCATGTAATTTAACAACTCTATTTTAATTCTCATATTTGCCTTGCCTTGGAATGCAACTGTCTTGATAAGAATTCTAAAGTACTTTCAGGCCTATGGTTATGTAGTTATGTTTCAAAATTTAAAGGACAGTTCGATTGTTATTGCCAAATTTCAGTTTCTCTGCAGAAGGAATGATGGAAAATATCTATCAGTAGCATATTGGTGCCAGATATCAGTGCTAAGGACATATTGTGGGGTTCAAACAGTTTGAAACTGAATTTTTCCTCTTAAAACAAATTGGAGCAGAAGTAGACAGCTATTGCCTTCCATCAATTTTTAATAGAGCTCATTTAGCAACTGTTAAATGAGAGCTTGTGCTACCAGCATTAGCACACACCTATGCTTAATACATTTTGTTCTGTTCTAAGCTATCCCTTCCATGCTGTATTCCCTGTGGAATCTTCATTCTTTTTTGTCTTTGAAGAGCAATACATATCACAGCATGCTATGAAAAATTGCCTGTTTGCAATATGACACAAAGGGCTTCTGTTGGTTAAATGCTAGCCAAAAGTTACATTACACACACTGAACTAATTGTGCAACTCTTTGGATTCCAGTTGACCGGTTCTTATATAAATGTTCCATCTTACTAGGCTTCTTCCAAACTGTAATGTTGAAGTGTCCATATTTAATATTTCTCTTTTATTCCAGGTGGCATGGCAGGACTGCAGTCAATGATGCGGCAGTTTCAACAAGGTGCTGCTGGAAATATGAAAGGCATGATGGGATTCAATAACATGTAAAAAGCCTTAATAAACTGACTTGATTAACCATTTGCTGGAACATCACTAAAAGAATGAGATCTCCTTTTTTTACAGTGAAGGAGAATGTTAATGCAACAAGTGATGCTTTTGAAACTTCAATCTGAGAGTTTCTAGATTTATTTCTAGAAAGTGGTTATATTTTTGCTTAAATTGGTTCTTTTCTGTTTTAATTTTGATGATACATGGAGAATTAAGTTAAAAATCAAATCATGTACAAATTTAATATTTAGAGGAACTTTTTAATTGCCTCATGGCAGCCGTTATATTTGTAAACAATTCAGAACTTTGGTTAATACCAATATGTCACAAATATACTGTAAAATAAAGTGGTTGTAAATTTAAGAGTTGGGGTTTCTTTGTGACTTTGCACTGGGCTTCAGAAATAAGCTTCTTGTAAGGGAAGTATTGCCAGTGTTAACATCAGAGTGCACTGAAGTGTTCTTGGATGGCTTTTCTTGATTGAAATATTTACTTTGGACAAAGATTTCTCAATGGAGAGATTCTGTGCTTTTAGACCAGGGGTCCTCAAACTTTTTCAGCAGGGGGCCGGTTCACTGTCCCTCACACCTTGGGGGCTGGACTATATTTTGAAAAAAGTAATAATGAATTCCTATGCACACTGCACATATAGTATTTGTATTGCACAAAAAAACCCAGGAAAAACAATACAATATTTAAAATGAAGAACAATTTTTATCAGGCCCCACAAATAACCCAGAGATGCATTTTGAATAAAAGGACACATTCCATGCAAGAGCACCAAGTGGACCCCACAAATAACCCAGAGATTCATTTTGAATAAAAGGACGTATTCCATGCAGGAGCACCAGGCGGGCCCCACAAATAACCCAGAGATGCATTTTAAATAAAAGGACACATTCTACTCAGGTAAGCCATCCCCCCCCCCGACTCTCTCCTCCCTTCTCCACAGCACTGGACAAGCCCCAGTGGCTGCATACCTGAGTCTTGTGAGCGGCAGGGGCTGGCAGCAGGGGGATGATGAGCGGCCCGCGAAAGGGCCCTGCAGAGGGGCTGGCAGCAGCAAATTGTTCAATGCTTTGAGTCAGTAGAAGGCTGCTTTTTCTGTCTCAATGCTGTTTAGCAACTGTTGCATTAAAACTGCCATTTCCTGTACCTAATGAAATAGCCAATTTTCTCAGAAAGCTACTTTATAATCCAGGCACCACAACGCTGTATACGTGGGGGTTACGATCGGAGACACCACACTCATCGGTGAAATCACTTATAATTGAATCCCATTGGGAAAAGCCTGCAAACACCCCATTCTGCCCCACCCCACCCCTATTCTGTCCTTTTAATGATGCACAAAACTTTCCTTAGCCCCGTCAGAATCTATTCTGCTATTCTTTGCTTCTGCCCACAGCCACCGCCCCCCACTTTTTCTACATTGAAAGAGATGTCTGAAGGATGATGAGGCATATATTACACAAATAATTTATATTGATTTTTTTACTACTATGTAATTCCTTCCCTGCTCCCTGAGAACTCTGAGCTATTTAGTGCATAACATTCTATATTTATGCCACCTTTTCCTCCAAGGAGTTCAGCCTGGTTCTCTCTTCCTCATTTTCTCCTCACATCGACTCTCTGAGGTAGATTCAGGTAGGTAGCCATGTTGGTCTGACACAGTCGAAATAAAAAAATTAAAAAATTGTCCAGTAGCACCTTAGAGACCAACTAAGTTTGTTCTGGGTACAGTGGTACCTCAGGTTACATATGCTTCAGGTTACATACGCTTCAGGTTACAGACTCTGCTAACCCAGAAGATGAAGGGAAGTTTTCTTTCTGCAGTTCTCTCACTGTGAAGTTCTCTTTCTGCAGTTCTCTTACTGCACATGACTGTGGCATTGTGGGAAGTCTTACTATGAAATCTTTCTATGCTTACTATGAGAACTCTTGCTTCTTTCTCTCTTACATTCTGGGAAGTTTTTGCCTCTGCACAAGAGTCTGAGAATGTTCTGAACAGTTCCCATTGAGTTCATGAAACAGTGTATCCTGACCTGTTCTTAATGCTTTGCTGACCACATTTACAGAACGTGATTGTTGTATTCCTTCATGTTATGTTCTTTCAATATCAATCTTTAGTTATAATTTAATTAGGAGGTTTCATGCCTGTCTAGTTCCAGCTCCGCTCCCGGTCTTTGAACTATCAGTGATTGATGTCATATGTAATTCCCGCCTTGTACCTATGTTAACCAATCAGCAACAAGATGCTTTGTGTTTGTATCAACCAATCAGCCACAAGCACACCTGTGGCAATGTTTGTAATATTCAATAAAAGAGAGTTCCCGGGGCTTGTCCCGGGCAGACGTCTCTCCTTTGACACCCACCATTCGTCTGTCGTGATTTCAACCCAACATGCCAGATCCCTTACGCAGCCCTGACGTGCCAGATCCCTTACGCAGCCAAACCTCATACTTCACCCGACTGGAAAAGTCTCAGCGCGCTACTTCGTGAGTATGGGAGGGGACTTGACTAAGCTCCAGAAAGAGCATGCTAAAGAGTTGCTTTATTTAGTTAGACAGCGGGAGGTGGGTGTTAATATTTCCTTAAAAGAAATTGAACAATTGCTATGTGAGATAAATTGCCAATGCATTTTTATCCAGAGGCTGGATCTTTGGACGTAGAGACTTGGCAAAAGATCGGAAAGACCCTTTTGCAGAACCTAGGGCTCCGATTCATTGTCTGCTCACTTGGCAGAAATGTGCTGATGCCGTTAGCTAAATTAGGGCCCCAATTGGGACCCCAGGCGTCTCCTCTTCTGGCCATTGCAGACAATCCCCACCCTCCCCGCAACTCTTACCTCCTTCTCCCAGCCCATCCCTCCCTGCGTCTCACCCTCCTCAGCCTGCATCCTCCCCCCCCAGCCCTCCGCCTCAGCCTGATTCCTCCCCCCCCATCCCTCCTCCTCCTGCCACAGCCCCTGCTTGCTCTATAGGAGCTGTGCGTGCTGCGCTCTCTCGGGCAAGGCAATACGGACTCCTGGCCTTAGAGGAGGAGTCTGAGTGGCCAGGTGAAATGCCGTCTGCTTTCCCTATCTCTTATTCAAACCCTGGATCTGCTCAACAGCAGATTTATTATGAATCGCTTCCTTATTCTGTAATGAGGGAATTAAGGAAAGCCATTGCTGATTCTGGTCTGAAATCCTCTTATGTGACAGGGATGCTAGAAGGCATAGCAACTGGTTACATTATGCTACCTCAGGACTGGAAAGACCTTATGCGCATGCTTTTGTCCCCTGCTCAGTATGTGGTGTTTGAGAGTGAATTTAAACATAGCGCTTCAGCCCTGTCTGATCCTCAACATACTGCCAATGAACTTTATGGTGCTGGTCAGTTTGCTGATATAACTGCCCAAGCAACACTGACACCTGTACATTTTGTTCGCACCGCTACCTGTGTACAACGCGCCTTTCGGAAAGTCCCTGTTTCTGGGCAACCGCTGAGCTCCTTTGTAAATATTAAGCAACAGCATTCGGAGCCATACCATCAGTTTATAGATAGATTGAAAGAATCAGTCACTAGGCAGATTGATAACACCACTGCTCAAAATGAATTGATGAAAAAATTGGCCTTTGAAAACGCAAACACTGATTGCAAGAAAGCTTTGCAGTCAATCATACATCGCCCTAAATATGAACTGGCCGATATGATTCAAGCTTGTGCGGATGTCGGTAGCCAGAGCCATGCGATGTCCTTGCTTGCCGGCGCAATCCAAGCAACCACTAAGCCTACTGGTAACTGCTTTAATTGCAAGCGCCCAGGCCATTTTGCCAAGCACTGCAGAGCCCCTGGCGGGGGGGCAAACAAGGATGGTGCTGCCTCTAAGGCTAAACCTTCTGAATTTGCCATTGATTTGATCAATCAGGAGACCAAAGACTCTGTTTTACCTGGTGAAATTGTGCTTATGCCCACTCAATTGGCAGGTCCCCTGCCTCCTAAAGTCGCAGGTTTAATTTTACCCAAATTTTCTGCGGCAAAGGAAGGCATCCAGGTTATTCCTGGAGTTCTGGATCCTGACTATGTAGGCACAATAATGGTTCAACTCTGGAGCCATATGCCCATGCAATTAAAAAGGGTGAGTCTTGGGCGCATTTGGTGGTGCTCCCTTCTCATCCTACTGCTTCTATTATGGATACTAATTTGCACGAGCTCTCTTCTTTCCCTCCACAGCTGTTAGCTGTAGTCCAGAGGATTGGTGAGAAGAAACTTCTTCGTAAGTATAAAATCAATGGTATTGTGCTGGAAGGCTTGATTGACACAGGCGCAGACGTTTCTGTAATTTCTAGTAGTTGCTGGGACCCCACGTGGCCCCTTGAGTCTGCCTCTGCAGTCTGGGGTGTGGGTGGCCCCCAAACCTCTTCCAAAAGCGTACAGTGGCTGCCTGTTTCTCTGCCTGATAGCTCTGAAACCATTGCTTACATCCAGCCCTGTGTGCTGAAAATCCACCTCAATCTGTGGGGAAGAGACTTGCTACAGCAATTACAAGCTACCATTCAATTTAATGAGTAAGCTTGCACTTCCCCTCAACTGGAAATCTTCTGGTCGTGTCCTGGCTATACGTTTAATTACATTCCAGCAATACATCAGCCATGGCACACCTTGCTGTTTAAGCCGTTTGTCCATCATTTTATCCGCCATATCACTGCAATACTGAATTGACTAATGATTGTGATGCTTTTGTCTCTCTTCTCAGTAGGTCTGAATATATCTCTTTAGTTGCTTCTCTCTTAGGAGTCCCTGGATTGGCTGTATGGAATCGTGTGAACATTACTTCTTTAGCTTGTTATGCAGCAAAAAACTCTGAATTATATTTCACAAGCTTTTGAATAAAGAACAGTGCACTCCACAATGGACTTTTTACATTATATAACCCCCTTTTGAATAAAGAACAGTGAACTATATAATGGACTTTTATGAAATCGTGCTGCTATCACTATTTGCTCATGCTTCATCATTATGGCTGTGAACAAGTGAATGACATGTGTTGTTTCAATATTACTGACAATTCAAGAGCCATTCAAAGCCAAATCTCTCATTTGCAAAATCTTACACATCACATTAAACAGGACATTGGTTTTCCTGGCCTCTGGGATTCTTTCACCCAGTGGCTTACTGCTTGGTTGCCAAACCTTACTTGGCTTCGTAATCTTTTTCAATATGCTATTGTTATAATATGTTTATTAACTTTACTATGCTGTTTTCTTCAATGCGTTCCTAGCCTCATGAGTCTTTTCTCTCGGCTTCTCTCCCCCCCTCCACCACCCAGTAAACTCCTTGCTGCTTACATTGCGAAATGGCAACACCAACAGTAAACCTTAGGGGAGATGTGGGCGGATTTATTTTGGGCATGCGCTGGCAAACCACGTATCCTGAAGTACTTTTGTCCCATCGACCCTGGCAGGCTTATTTCGGGCATTCGCTGGCACACCACTAATCCCGAAGTATTTTTGCCTTATCCACCTGGAATGCCTCGCAAACAAGAAAAGAAAGGGGGAGATGAAGGGAAGTTTTCTTTCTGCAGTTCTCTCACTGTGAAGTTCTCTTTCTGCAGTTCTCTTACTGCACATGACTGTGGCATTGTGGGAAGTCTTACTATGAAATCTTTCTATGCTTACTATGAGAACTCTTGCTTCTTTCTCTCTTACATTCTGGGAAGTTTTTGCCTCTGCACAAGAGTCTGAGAATGTTCTGAACAGTTCCCATTGAGTTCATGAAACAGTGTATCCTGACCTGTTCTTAATGCTTTGCTGACCACATTTACAGAACGTGATTGTTGTATTCCTTCATGTTATGTTCTTTCAATATCAATCTTTAGTTATAATTTAATTAGGAGGTTTCATGCCTGTCTAGTTCCAGCTCCGCTCCCGGTCTTTGAACTATCAGTGATTGATGTCATATGTAATTCCCGCCTTGTACCTATGTTAACCAATCAGCAACAAGATGCTTTGTGTTTGTATCAACCAATCAGCCACAAGCACACCTGTGGCAATGTTTGTAATATTCAATAAAAGAGAGTTCCCGGGGCTTGTCCCGGGCAGACGTCTCTCCTTTGACACCCACCATTCGTCTGTCGTGATTTCAACCCAACAAGAAATAGTACCTCGGGTTAAGAACTTTGCTTCAGGATGAGAACAGAAATTGCACCCCGCCGGCGTGGCAGCAGCGGGAGGCCCCATTAGCTAAAGTGGTGCTTCAGGTTAAGAACAGTTTCAGGTTAAGAACGGACCTCCGGAACGAATTAAGTACTTAACCCAAGGTACCACTGTATAAGCTTTCGTGTGCATGCACACTTCTTCAGATACCTCCTTCAGATACAGTGGTGCCTCGCAAGACGAAATTAATCCGTTCCACGAGAGTCTTCGTCTAGCGGTTTTTTCGTCTTGCGAAGCAAGCCCATTGACGGATTAGCGCTATTAGCGCTATTAGCGGTTTAGCGGCTATTAAAGGCTTAAAGGCTTAGGGATTAGCTGCTAAAAGGCTATTAAAGGCTATTAAAGGCTTAGCAGATTAGATAAAGGGGGAAAAGCGAAAAAAACTCAAGACTCGTAAGGTATTTTCGTCTTGCGAAGCAAGCCCATAGGGGAATTCGTCCTGCGAAGCAACTTCAAAACGGAAAACCCTTTCGTCTAGCGGTTTTTCCGTCTTGCGAGGCATTCGTCTTGCGGGGCACCACTGTACTACTTTAGGTATCTGGAGAAGTGTGCATGCACACGAAAGCTTATACCCAGAACAAACTTAGTTGGTCTCTAAGGTGCTACTGGACAATTTTTTAATTTCTGAGGTAGGTTAGACTGAGAGACAGCGTCAGGCTCAAGCTCACTTAGTGAGTGTCATAGCTGAGGACTCGAAGCCTGGTCTCCCAAGGTCATAGTCCCAGCGCTCCAGCCATCGTGCAACACTTGGCTCTCCAAACCTCCCCAGCATTTCCCTTTGAGATACCTAACCTTGCTTCCCCGAACTACCAACTCCACAGTATCCTTGGAATGCATGCGACTGTCCAAAAATCATAGAATTGTAATTCCCTGTAATTCCCCAAAGAATTATAGGGACCAGACTACCTAAATTGTTTAGAAATTTGTTTATGTATGCGACTACGGCAGCAAAAATGCTACTTGTCCCAAAATGGAAAGAAGCAGAAGTCTCAGCAAAGTAGGAATGGATACAAAAACTTACGGAATATGCAGAAATGGCGAAACTTACCGGAAGAACAAGAAATCAAGATAACAAGCTTTTTTTTTAAATAAAAGAATTGAAATTGTTTATTGGATACTTACAGATAAATTGCAAACAGATAAAAACATTGGCAGGATTATTGTAATAACCTGTAGTTTCATAAGAGTATATATTTAAAATAGATAATTAAATGAGCAAATTAAATGAATTTGGGTATGCAGACGGTATTAAAAAATAATTTTAAGGAACTGCATAAAGAGGGGTAAGGAAGTCAAACTTTGAAATGTTAAAATGATTGTAAAATTAATGAATGTATAAATTTGAAAAGTATAAATAAAAACTTTTTTTAAAAAAATCATAGAATTGTAGAGTTGCAAGGTATCATGGGGTGGGGTGGCCATATGTCTGGGCGGAAAGCACTTAAATGTCTGGGAAAATCAGGAAGTATGGCAACCCATGTCAGAAGCGTGTATTTTAGTGAATTTCCTTAAAAATAACTCATTTTTTAAATTTTATTTTTAGATTTAGCTCAACAACTTTGTTGCGTCCAGATTTTCATTTTTTGAAGTATGGCAACCCTATGGGGTGTGGTGGTGTTTCATCTAGTCCAATCCCCTTGAAATGCAGAAACTGCAACTTAAAAAATCCATTATATGGCCATCCAACCTGTCAAGCAAATAGTCTATAGCAGTGAGGCCAAACGTGGCCCTCCAGCTGTTTTGGGAACTGCAATTCCCATCATCCCTGACCACTGGTCCTGTTAGCTAGGGATGATGGGAGTTGTAGTCCCAAAACCAGAGGCAGGACCATCACTGGTATAGATAAGCAGGGTGGGTGAAGCTGTGGCCCTCCAGAAGCTGCTGAACTCCAACTCCCCTCGGCTCCAGCCCGGAGTCAACAGCAATGGATAATGGGAGTTGGAGTCCAGCAAGTGGAATCCATACTGGAGATGGATAAAGATTTTGTTTTGTTTGTTTCCTGTCGCTCCACAAACTATGGACGCCCGACAACGGATGGCACCTAGGCTACCTCGTCCTTTAGCCCTAACTCGCCCCTAACCGAAGAACCGTGGAGGGCAGTGTCAGAGAGAAGCTAGCTAGGCCGCCGCCCTTGCCCCCTCTGCCGCTAGAGGGCCCCCGCGAGCGGGCTCTTCCTGGTCTCCTAGCAACCGGCGAGCCCGGGCGGGGCCGCCGGGGCTGGCCTTTCTATGAGCTCACTTCCCAGGGCCTCCGCCCGGGAGGAGGAGCAGGAGGGTTCGGCCTGGCGCGAGCCCCGCTGCTGCCAGTCTCCCTCCGGCTGGGCTGAGGGCGGTGGGAGTATGGAGCAGGGGCTGTCCGCCATCACTCTGTATTGCGCCCCAGCCGCCGTCGCTGTCACCGCCTTCGCCATGGAGCAAGAGCAGGTGAGTCTCTTTCCCCGCCACTCCGTCTGGGGAGCCTCTTCGGCGGCGGCGGCGGGGGAAGCCGCTCACCTGACCCAGCCTCCTCCATGACACCTTCAGCCCGTCTCTCGCCGTGCCTGGGTCTCCGCCCTGTCTGAGGGGAGAAGAAGGGGCAGCCCTGCCCTCCTTTGCCTGGCGCAAGGGGGGGGTGTGCTGCGCCCTTCCATGCTGCAACCTTTGCCCTCCTCACAAACGGGGTCTGCTAAGGGGAGCCGTCTTATATATCTTGTCTTATATGGAGGTCGCTGCCGGGGTGCAAAGCGTTTAAAGGCGACTCCTCCATCGCTCCTTGGAAACCACCTACCATTTCCCTCAAGGTGCAACTCGCGCATGCTTTATTTGCAGCCACAACCCGGCCTGTGGGCGCTGTGCTTTCCCCCCAAAATTATTTGTATGCTGCTGCCACTTCCTCCCCCTCCCCGTGCCAGTCGCGCTTCTTTTTTTGTAGTCCTGTGTTTCCTGGTGGTGGTGATGCTGGGTGTGGTTAGGACCCGGTTCAGTATCAGCCGAGCCTTGGAAAGTGGAGCCCACTGTTGCAAAGAAGGGTTTGTGGAGTTGCTTAAATACGGTCGTTCAGATGGCCTACACTTTTATAGCAGCATCGCTTGCCGGGAATGCTATCCAGTCTCGGGTTACCTGTGGGCTGGAGGTGTTGCCCATCTTTTCAGAAGAAGCTGGTTACGGGCAAAAATAAAAACGGTTCTCAGCAGTTCTCAAAAAGCAGATTTTTTAAATAAAAAAAAGCAGTGTCACATCTGAACGCTTTAGGAGTGAACATGGTTCTGTCTTTTAAGCACCGGAACATCTTCATTTCATGATAACAGGATTGTGCTAATTCCCACGTAGAACAGCTAGGCTTATTTTATTGGTGAAAACGCGATCTGAAAAGAATTTTGTAGTGAAGCAGTTCATCCTTAACTTTTCACAAATCCAGGACTAATCCATTCTGTTTTACAGGGCTTCAAGATCCAGAATTTTTAGTATTTATAATGTCATCATTTGCATTTAATAAATTAACTAGTAGCCTGTTTTTCACATACATATGAATAAATTCACAAATACCATTTATTCATCAAATTATTATGTTCACCATCTACCTTCTGCCTTGATACACTTTTGTACTTCACACATATAGCAGGTGTTCTGATTTCTTCGAGCTCCTCCTGTAAGCAGATACCTGTTACAAATCAGCCTGTTTAATATTACATGGACAGGCTTTGACTTTCACCTGTGAAAACTTGACAAAAGCAGTGACACAGTTGCCTTACATGTAAAGGATGCTCTTTACAAAAAAGCACCTTAGGAGGCTAAAGAGTTCATAAAGCTTTTCTCGTTTGTATACTTTTGGCTACAAAAACTCTGATGGATATTTAATAATATTAATGCTTGAGTGGCAACTGTAAAGAAGGGACACTCAATGTTAAATACAAATAAAGGGGAAATTTTAAACTGGCCTGATACATTTTGTTTACATTCTTTTGCAATAGGAGCAAAGATGCATTGATCTAGTATTTACTAAAACAATTTTATGCGGGGTGTACTTTCAGCAGACTGGCTTTCTGGATCTTACTGGTCCTAGTCCAATCTCTGCTCAGTCAGGGATTGCTTGGGTAGCCTTAAGCAAATTTATTGTGTCACAACCTCACTTGCTAGCTGCAAATTCAAAATAAGAATGATTTCCCTCCCAGATGTATTGTAGGGATAGATGAATATACTCTGAAAACAAAGTGACCAGGAAATAATGGTTATTTTATATAGGCATTTAACAACATGTAGCAGTGTTTATTTATATTTATTTATGAAGCTCCTTCACATGTGTCTCAAGGCAATTTGCAAGCATTCCATAAAATTCATTTAAAATTAAGACTTTCCTCTGCCCCCAAGCTGTGGGTGAAATATAATTGTAAAACTTATGGAATCTTATTTTGTGGGGTCTGCAAAGAAGTTGAACTTTCTGTAGAGCTGTCTAATAATAATAATAATAATAATAATAATAATAGTAGTTGTTTATTACTTATACCCCGTCCATCTGGCTGGGTTTCCCCAGCTCCCAACAATATTAAAAACACGATAAAACATCAGACATTAAAACTTCCCTAAAAAGGGCTGCTTTCTATCCTTCCCTTATCATGTGGGCATTTTTGCAACTGACAAGTTGCCCTCTTGTTTCAGTTGCATGTAAATGGCGATAGAGGCTTTGAGAATGTGGAACTTGGAGTCATCGGAAAAAAGAAGAAAATTCCAAGAAGGGTCATCCACTTTGCAAGTGGAGAAACCATGGAAGAATACAGCACAGATGAAGAGGAGGATGAGCAGCAGGAGAAAAAAGACCTCTTGCCTTCTGTTGATCCAGTAGGTTTGTTTCTGAAATTTGTTTGTTTTTCATAATGCATTATGCTACCCAAATGGAGTAATAAAATTCTATTAATTCTTATTTATCCTGTTCTGATAAATCTCTTTCCATAGGAAGAGGACTATTTAATTGTCATAATGTGGTGTCTTTTTAAAAATAAAGGCAGCAATCATTTTGTGTGGGAGTTCCATTCCTAGCCCCCATATGTGCTGGTGGAGCATGCATAAGCTTGTCCTTGCCTGTTCTGCCCTCTACTGGGTGCAAAAGGACCTGTGTGTTGGCAGTTGCGCGTCAATTGGATGCATGCAAAATGGTCTGTACACCGTTTCAGATCTCTGTCAGTGGTGGACTTTGGGGCCTCAAATTTCAGCAATGCCCTGTGCGATGCCAAGATTTGGCGCCCCTGCCTCTTACACTACATTCTAAATAATAGCTGCAGTGTTGTTGTCCCCCATCCCCCGCTTTGTGCCCAGTGAGACTGAATTGGTCACAGTCCCTAAATCTGCCTCTGTCTCAGTTGGCCAATGAACTTGCAATATGGCGTTAGACAACCTGAACTATTTTAGCCACAACCCTCCACCCCACCCACATCTGAAAGGAAATGAATAAGGGAATGAATCTGACCTTCTTTGCACAGTTCGTACCGTGGATCCTGAACGCCTTGGTACTTGGACGTTTGGCTCCTGAACACCACAAACCTGGAAGTGAGTGTTCTGGTTTGCGAACGTTCTTTGGAACCCTAAGGTCTGACGGGGCTTCCACAGCCAATTGGAAGCCGTGCTTTGGTTTCCGAATGTTTTGAAAGTCGAATAGACTTCTGGAATGGATTCCGTTGGACTTCCAAGGTACAACTGTACTGAGATAATGACTTGGATGTAGAGTAGCACAAATGAAACTCTGCTTGTATAATGGAGTTTTCCCTCCCACCCTTTCTTCCCCTTACACCAAAAAGCAGTTCCTTAGTGTTGGGAACATTCTTGAAAAGTGAAGAATGGGCATTGGAGAGACTGCAGCGGGAGAGATGAGTTAATAAAAATTGGGTAGAAGCAAGTGGAAACTCAGAATGGAAACCAATACTTTGAACATTTGAGTGTGCTGTAGAAGTGTATGTGTTTATTTAAACAAGACAAACCCAGGTTTCTGTATCCTGAGGGGTGTTAAGTGTTCTGTTTGGCATGTCAGTTTTGTTTAACCAACCCTCTTTCCTGAATTTGTGATGATGATGGATGGTTGAGACAGGGGTAGGGAACATCTGGCTGCCCAATGTTGTTGAACTGCAACTCCCATCAACCTCCTGGTGCTGATAGAAGTTGGAGTTCAACAGCATCTGGAGGGCCACTGGTTCCTTGTGCTAGTGGTTATTCCATAAAAGCATACAAAAAAATGCCTTCTGTGCATTTCAGAGAATACATGTGCAGAATAAAGGATGCTTTTGTATTGGCCTAAAAATACTGTGTTGTATATTCAACACAGTGCCATCATATCCTTTTTGGTTTTGTTTGGCCCTCCCAGAGCTGAATTTTTTATACAAACAGACACTAAAATGTTCAACTGCTTCTGTAAGGATTCTTGAATATTGCAATATATTTAGGGGCAAAGTGCTGTTTGAAATAAACATGCAACTAGGTCAACAGCATCAGTACAATTCAGGTTTGTTCCTTTGTGTTTACTCAGTTTCTAGAAGGAAATATTTTACTGAATGCGATGAATTTTACATCAGACATGCCCTATTACCAGGCCAAGATCTGGCATCCTGAATAGCAATTCTGTCTCTGAACAGAGAGAGGTACTATTGACTTGCATTGTGTTGCAAGGAAGGCAGAGAGAGAAAGATGCTGGAGTGCAGAATGCAACTGTGTCCAAAGCATAGTGGAACAGAATCTGCGAAAAACAATCCGTCCTTTTTACAGCTTCATAATACACTTCATAAGCCTTCTTTGTCTGACATTTTATTATACAAATTTAAAATGAAATGACTGTAGAACCATCTTCTGCTGCATAACTTGCTTTCATTATAGTATTATTTGATTGGATAAATGTTTGTTTTTATTTGTTTATTTGTATACCGCCCTTCATTCTAGAGTTGCAGAGCAATATACAAAATAAAGCAACAGTAAATTAAAATCATAAATACATCAATACACAGTAGAAAACATTAATTTAAAATACAACACTTGAAGCTTGGCACTAAAAACCAGCAAAAGTTAGGACAAATAAACAGGTCTTCAACAAGTGCTGAAACATCATATTGTGGTACAGCTGAGAAAGGATTGCTGTCACCTGTGGCATATTATATAAATGAGGCAGAGAAAAAGAATATCCCCAGCTGAGCTCTGGTGCCTTGGCAAAAATGCTGTAGGATTTCTATACAGACGAATAAAGGGTCTGTTTTCTGACAGTCCCAAGTTGATAGCTTATTATTTCAGTTGTGGTATAAAAGGGTACATTTACAAAGACTAGCATCCGCTCATTAAATTTGCCTTGGTGAACTGACATATTAGGACTTTTAATGGAAACACAGCATCCTTAAAAAATAGAACTTGGCTGGTGTTGGCTTCTTTACGAATAAACGCAGAACCTAAAATAAAATGGTTTACTTCTGGTCTGAAACTGTAGCTTTAATAATACAGACTTATTTCAAAGTCTGCACTTATAAATCAGAAGTATGTATTCACCTACCCCCGTTTATGGCTTAATGCAACTATTAAATTTTGTATGACTTTCAGGCACAAAAATCTACATAGGTAGCTAAAAATAATAATAGCAAATGAATCTGTGTAGAAGTTCATAACATGGGGGTGGGGTGGGAGTTTTCAGCCGGTGAACTGTTATTTCACCAGAATGGGCCAGAGAATACAAATGTTTATTTTTCTTCCTTCAGAGATACCTTGGTTTTTGCAAATGAGCATTGAGAACATTGAATAATAAGTCTGTTAACGTTTTTTCATGCCTTTTTCTGTAGACCCCACATAAGCACCAGTTTGCTTCTAAGGGTCTTGAGTATTTGCTGTAAGAAGTAGTTGGAGCTTCCACTCACACATTAGGATTTTCCCTTTCCTGAAAAGCCCTGCCAGAAAGCTTGTGGAAGGGGGACCCTTGAACAGCCTTCCTGCAGGGAAAATAGTTGCAGTTGTAAAAGAAATCCAGAAAGCCCGTATAAAAGCGCTTGGGCATACATGCAGGGTTCTTAAGATTCTGACCTCATCATTTAAGGACTTGATCAATACCCAGAATAGATTAAAGTGTTTGTATTTAATTATCAGTTTCTTCAGGTAAGGTTTGAACTAGCCAATCTTTGTGTCAATATAGCTTTAGTTTTGAAACATACCAAGAAGAAAAGGTTTGTCTTTTACGCTGCATTTTTATTTACAACAGGATAACTATAGCTTTACTTCCTTGCATTGTTAATGCATATCAGATATATATCAATATATTTTTGTAAACTTTCTGGTGTGGCAAATTCTGCATTTGCAATGGCAAATTGGCTCCTAAATGCTATTGCCATCTTATGTATTGTATCTGCAGAATTGGGGAGGTGAGAGCAGAGCAGATGCTTTGCATGCAAAAGGTTCCAGGTTCAGTTCCTAGCATGTGCAGGTTGTTGGCATCCGTCTGTTTCGGGAGACAATGGAAGAGTGTGCCATTGGGGGGTGAGGTCAAACCGTTAGAGAATTAGAGTGCCTGCTGTGGCTAGAGAAACCAATATGGGAGAGAAATGTTTTACTGCAGGTGGGGCAAATGAAGGTGTCTGGTTTTGCTGCTACACATGCACCACTGTGTTTCCATCAGACAATATTGGGATAGAGGGACAAATTATCTGACTTGGTTTAATGAAACTTTCTATGTTTCTACATTTATGCATATATTCAGAAGCACAGGATATAAGTACAGTGGTACCTCGGGTTAAGTACTTAATTCGTTCCGGAGGTCTGTTCTTAACCTGAAAATGTTGTGAACCTGAAGCACCATTTTAGCTAATGGGGCCTGCTGCTGCTGCTGCGCCGCTGGAGCACGATTTCTGTTCGTATCCTGAAGCAAAGTTCTTAACCCGAGGTACTATTTCTGGGTTAGCAGAGTCTGTAACCTGCAGCATATGTAACCCGAGGTACCACTGTAATATGATTTTCTATCTGATTGGAAGAGCTATAATTTCTGCATGTGAACATTGGGGAAAGAAGGCCAAGCAAATATATTCAGGGTGGGTATTCTACCATTAGGTGCCACTACAAAAAAGGCCCTGTTCTTGGCAGCTTAGCAACTGAAATTCATCTCCGTGATAAACAATTTAAAATAGAGGAAGGTATGCTGAAGAGATGAGGGCAGTGTGTTTCCAGGTCAATTTTCTTGCTTCTCCCCCCTTCCATGGTGGTGTTGCTCTTGTTATACCCAAGTCAAGCAATAAAGACATTCAGTGTTACATTCATCAGTAGCCTTAGGCAAATGGAAGCACTTCTGCTCATGCATGGCTGGACAACTGAATCCCACCAATTCTCCCAACACACTGCAGCCCTGAGGGCTGGGAACAGTATGGGAACTGTTGCAGAGGGCTGTACTATGAAGAGGGGTCAATGAAAATTGGATGCCCTGCTTGTACAAGCAGAGTACTTCCACTTGCCTAACACCACCATTGGATACAACATACGCGAGACACATGAAATAAATTAAAAGTCTTTCAGATGCATAACATAAATGATCTTAACCTTTATTTATTGCAGGCAACACTAACTTGGGGGCCCTATTTGTGGTTTCAGATGCTAAGAGTAGCCACATCAACACTATCAGGTATGTATGTATTCTCTGTCTCTCTGTGTCTACAGAAAACAAAGTAAGTTATAATGAAGTGCCAAGTGGTATGAGACTGAAAGGACAGGCATGAAATGAAGCCATTAATGTGCTAGTTACTGATATGCAAAAACCCAAATCATTCATTAACCTGCAGAAGGAAGTCTAGTGAAGTGATGAAAGCTCACATTTACTTGGTTTATCCAGTGTTTTCTTAAAAGTTTAAAAGGAGGTACTGAATACTATTTTTCCTCATATAAATATGTCTAGTGCTGCATATTTCAGTGCCTACACTTCACTATAGGCTGGCATGAGTGGGTGGTATATTACTCTGAAAAAATATATTACAGTGAAACCCAGTCTTCATTTTCTACACATGCCTTCTGTTCTGCTTTATAAGTTGATTAAAAGATGCAGCACTAGGGTACAAAATTAGACAACCATTTATTGCAATGAATGTTATGACCTCCTTTCTTGTTGACTGTTCCCCTTGGCTTCCCATTTCAGTTTATTCCATCATTTTAAGAAGTCACGGGGGGGGGGGGGAGTCTCAGGTGGGAATTGGACAGATTGGGGGGTGATATTTTTTTAAAAAAATATATAAATTCACAAGAGAAGTATTGCACACATTGACCCACCAGGTTATTATGTGAAGACGTGTGTGTAATTTGTAGACAGACTTAGGATGATGAAAAGCTTTTAGTAAAAGGGCAAGTTTGTGGTAGTTTCCCCTGCCCTTTTTTGGGTTGTGTGTGTATACCTGCTCATCCAGCATTTGATGCCTGCAAGCTATACATACTCTGAGCTGAACAATTGTGGCTTCTTCACTTGACTGTAGAGCAGATAAGTATAAGGAGGAGGCCACCTCAAGCAGCTCTAGCTCAGTGACCCATTGTGCAGTGACGACACATCTTGTCATCTTTTGTTTTATACATCTAGTTTACCATTGAAACACCTTTGGGCCTGGTGTTTCACTACAAGGGGAGTTGGAATATCCTTGTTCAGGTACATATGAAGAAAATTTAAACATATAGCAATCTCTTTTAGTGGGTATTTTCATGAAAAGCCCAACCAACCTTCACTCTGTACGGTTTTAGGTGTAAAGGGTGTAGTCTTTTATTATCCAATCTGTGCTGTCACTTTTTATTTGGTTTTGTTTCCATAGTTTGTGTGGTTCATGTTTTGGCTTGTACAAGTAGACACAAAAACTAAGGAAGTAGAATAATGGGCGGGGGGACCCCTTCCTGCTGCTTTGTGAATGTTTCATGTTTTTATACCGTTGTAAACTGCTGTGATATATTTTTATGATACAGTGGTATATAATCATTTCTTTAAATAAATAAATGTCAGATGATGCAGAATGCTAATGGGAAACTGCTCACAAGTTTGCTTGGTAAGGCTGCAACATTCATAAATGTGTTTTATTTATTCAGTGTGTGACTTCCTTGGTGAAAAGATTGCCTCTGTTTTGGGAATCAGTACGCCAAAATACCAGTATGCCATAGATGAATACTACAGAATGAAGAAGGAGGTGTGTGCCTTTTTGTACCCTTTTAACAGTGTAGGAATTACAAACAGATTTACTAAAATGTACTGCATAATAGTCTGGTTTCTTAATATAAAATGGTTTAAAGATGTCATGTTTCAGTTCTCTAAAAATCTATCAATGTCAACACATTTTCTTCTGTATTAACTTGTTTTCACTCTCCCCTTTAAGTCCATTTGACAGGACATTTTTTAATGGGAAACTTGAGTACATCCCAGATGCAGTCTCTTCAGGAAAACATGCTTGGTTGTATGTACTTTTCAAATAGACTTTAACCTACGTTGGCCTAATATTATATGAAATAGTTTGCTACAATAGAAGGAAGGAATTACGTACATGGTGAGGGGTTTCAATTAAAACTGAGAAACCACTACCATACATCTGTTTTATAATTCAACTGATATTCTAATTTGTATTAGGGTTTTTTTCTTTATAAGAGTACGTTAAGGGTGTTCCCCTTTAATTTACATTTTAAGTAGAAGAAATGCTTGTTTGTATTTCAGAAGGTAAATGCTTCAGGAAGAACTGGTTCCTAAAGTTGCAAATCCCAGACACTCAACTTCTGTTCAGAGGCTACTTTGATAGTTTTACTACCATATGCCAGACATGGAAAAATCATTTGATGAGAGGCTTCCATATTTAATGCTGATCTGTAGGAAATGAACTTGGTTTCAAAACAGTATTGCCATTCTTTCTGTTGAGAAGCATGCAGATTGCATTAATGTTTTCTAATGTTAAGTTGACCTTTCCTGTTGGATGGGTACTTAAGAGCTTTGCAATAGTAATGTGCTGCAGTAGTAGCAACTACGTGGCAGCAATAAATGATTTTGGTACACATGAATATGCTCAGGATATATGAATTAATGGAGTCCTGCTGGTTTTACAACATGTGAGGTTTGTTTTTTTAGGAAGAGGAAGAGGAGGAAGAGAATAAGATGTCAGAAGAAGCAGAAAGGAGGTTTCAAGAGCAGCAGAACCAGAGTCAAGAGGGGACTGCTGTCCATACGGCTCAGCCAGAGGCTACAACCTGTAGTACATTTGTAAATCTCAACTTTGAAACAGAAGGAGATCGTTCGCTTGTTGTGGAAAGCAAACAAGATATTACTCCAGTGTCTGCTTAGAATGAGAACGGAGCATTAGAATTCTTTGGGTAGCATCCAACGGTGTCTGGTTGTCACTGGAACGGACTTCTGGTCATGCAGTAGGGTTTCTCCAGCCTCCCCTCCCCTCTGCGCTCCTGAAATCTGCTTTGAATGGCTGTAGTGGAGAAGAGAGGCAGGAGAGGCCCTGCTGCTTGAGCAGAAGTCTGCTTGTGTGACATTGGTTCTCACACCCTGTTTCTTAATTGTCAGATGTTTGTAGGCTCTGTTATGCATGTTCAGTGGAATGTAACTTATTTCAAAGTATGGTCAGAGATACTTAACGTCTCTTCAGCCAACATCTGTCTAATAAAGGCTAAGACATTTTGCTTAACCTATTAGATTATGAAATGCAAATAACTGGTCCTGTGATCTATCTATGCAGAACAAGTGAAATGTCTTTCCTGAACATCTGGTGCCTTGTTGACAGTTGTGGACTGATCACTGTGCTTTTTTTGTTTTAAGGTCATTTCGCATTTATAATGTTACTTACTGAAACCTAGGTGAAAGTTTAGACTAATGGCAACTAATTCACAAGGCATCTTTGTGACTTAGTTTAATTTATTGTCACTGTTGTGTGCGTGTGTGTGTGTGTGTCCAGTCATATAGTTTAAAATAAGGTGACTTTGTTTAATGCCTGTTAAAAGAAACAACTGTATAAAAGAACTTGTCTGAAAACTCTATCTCATAAAGGACTGTCCTGTTAATTGCTTAGTTGGAAGAGTAAGAGTAATATACAGAGTAAGTTCACATTGTAATCTCTGACTTTATTATGTGTGTTGGGAAGGATAGTCTGGATAGGAGATGGTATGCTGATAAAATGATGGCTCTAAATATTGGGTGTAGTAAAAAACAAAAGTAGTGAGGTATGCTAAATTAATTATTTTGCATACCCTTGCAGTGTTTTTTCATTCTGAGTTAAACAGACACTGTTTCAGTGACATAACTTGATTTTTATATTTAAAATATTTGAAAATAAGTTTGAGAACTGCCTACTGCATGTCAACAAGGGTGGGTTTTCTATCTAGAAAGGATCTTGTCGGCCCCCCGACCAAGGACTACTGACAATTTAACTTATATAATGAACCTTTTTGTGAGGACAATCCACACTAATTCTCACAAAATTCTGCAGCACAAAACTTTGCAGATATAGGACAGGACCCAGATGTCTGTGGCTATGTGGCACAAAAAGATGCATGCAGAAAGCAGTACACCATGCAAAACAAACATAACCTTTTTTGGCTGTTGTTACACACTTTAATAGCTTCTTCCACTGTCTTGAGTCACTTTCTTAAAAGCTTGCTGTGCACCTGTATAAAATAGCCAGGAGTCAGGAAGAAACTGTGGACTACAAATCCATGTAGTATGGAAATAGGAAAAGTGTCACAGCAGTAGGCAGAAAAACTGCAGAGATGTAGAACCACCTCATGGATCATGCCCTTTCCTTCACTGTCACCATCAGGCATGTGGGAAGGAGGAAGTTTTTAAGTCTTGTCTGCCACGCTATTTTTTTTTATGGGAAGCTTTTCTTAACTTGAGAACGTTAGAACAGCTTTAACTAAACGGCACATCACAACATTCTGGTGTTGTTTTTTTTAAAAAAAAATCTTAAAGGGAACATTCATTTTGATTTAAGAATCATTGATTCCAAATGCCAGTTGTAAACTATGTGAAGCCTATATTAAGCATCTATTCAGGGCATCACAGTAAATTATTAAGGCTTTTGAGTGCCCAGCTGTATAATTACTTTTCGCCAAAAATGTTATTGCTTTATATAATAGGAAGGGCTTATTGTCATGAGGTTCTTCTATCATTGTGCCTTACCTTTACTATTTCTTTCAGTATATGCAAACGGTATGAAAGTGGGTACTTTTTCTTGTAAATGCATTAAATTTTATATTTAATATAATTTTAAATCAGTTGGGTTCAGAGTTGTTATTATAGGACTAGCAAACCTTTGCTATGAATGCAGCAGGCACAGGTGCCATTAAAATACCCAGTAGTAGGTCCTGGGATTCTAGTAAGCCTATACATTTACCCTACTAAGCCTATAATCCTGTGTCTACTTAGAAGTAAGTTCCACAGAAGTTACTCCTGGATAAGGCCTTGGAGGGCTGCATGCAATTAAGACATCAGAGGTATATTTTGACAGGATAGTCATATGTTTTGAGAAACACCCATGACTTTTGAAGCCCAGTATTTGTGCACTTGCAACACTTAGAACAATTAACACCATCATGAGCATTTACACTAACTGCTTGTTATAGTAGATGAAGGTTTGTGATGCTGTTTAGTAGGAGGTTTCACTATTATCCATTTGACAGGTATTTACTTCCATAGTAGTTTTAAAAAAAATTGAGCTGCACATTTGTAACTACAGTTCTACATATCTGATATTTCAGATATAAATGATCCAGAGATTTGTTTCTTTCTTGCACATGATTTGTTTTTGCAATGCCAATGCACCCAGTACAAAACCAAAAAGAGTATTCAAGACCAAATTATACCAACAGGTATAATTTGTCTAAACTGGAAGGTGGCTTGTAGGTTTAGGAATAATTTCAATAAACTTAATTTACCAGAAAAGTCTGTAAACGTTTAATTACATTTTCAACAAACAGCAGTACTCTTTTCCTTTTTTGCTTCAGAGAAGATCCATCTCACAAGCCTTATACAAAACTTGTCCATCTGGAGCTACATGGAAGCTTCATTTATTTGGGTAATGAATACATTATTCAGCTTTAAATGGTCACTGTATCAGTTGGGCAGATCTCCATGGATACAGTCTATTCCTGTTAAATCATGTATCATCAAGATCTGTTGTGTTGTCATTGTCACTTGCTACAAGAACCTCTCTGTTCTCATAGGTCCAGAAGCCATTAAGATCAATTAAAATGCTAGTGACAGTGTCGCCTTGACTACTGTTGATTAAGTCCTGAAGAGAGATTTTGTAAGGATCCTTGGGCTTCACCATGTCAAATATTTCATCCTAGAAAAAGCAACCAAAAATTAACAGTTTCTTTAATGGAAGTCGAATAGGATAAAAATGTTTTGTGGACCAGTACCAGGACTTTTTTTTTTAATCAAAATAATTAAGTAACACTTAATTTCACTTTCCCCTCATGCTTTGGTGTTCAATTCTAGTAGTAAAGCACATCCTTGCTGAAAAGGAGTGTAAACTGAACAATATACGAAGGATGTGTTTATACTTGCTTTCAAAATACAGTCACAGTTTAGTAAAGTTCTTTATTGCAGTGCTGCTCCCACAGTGTTTGAGTAAATTACTGAGCGGATAAGAATGAGACCTGTTTTGTCTTAGCAGCCAGCATAAGGAGCAGTGGTCATCAGCTCCTGTAAATGCATTTTGGAGGGGATGGTAGTGACCTAGATTAAATTTGGAATCTGTATACACTAACCCAGGGGTCAGCAAACTTTTTCAGGAGGGGGCCGAAACCACTGTCCCTCAGACCTTGTGAGAGGTAGGACCCACCCTCTCCCAAAAGGACCCCCGCTGCCACTCACACCACCTTGTCTTTGGCAGCGTCATCATCCTCTGCCTTGGCCAGGGGTCCATGGGGCGCAGAGCCCATGCTGGGCAGCGGAGGCAGCCTCCGCGCCACCACTGCTTCATCCCACTCAGCTTTTGACCATACACGGCCGCCTAAGCGGGATGGAAGGGGCATTGCCCAGAGGTGTCCGGAGCTTCGGATTGGCTGCAGGAGCTTCTTTGTGGCCAACCCAAAGCTGCGCCAGCATTGCCGCCCACCCAGAGGCGTCCGCGGCTTCAGATTGGTGGCAGGAGCTTCCAGCATTGGATTGGCGGCTGCGCCAGCGTTGTGGAAGTCAGTCCCCACGCGGCGAGGCCTCCACGCTGTGCTGGTTTAGCGCAGGGATTGACCGAGTGGGTAGCAGGGCCCGCAAGGTTCACAGGCCAGATTAACAAGCCTGGTGGGCCGCATTCGGCCCACGGACCTTAGTTTGCCGACCCCTGCACTAACCTAAGGGCAGATGTACAGCTACATTTAATTGCTCCATGTGACAGCTGTCTCCCAAGTGCTGATCTTTTTCAGCAGTGGGTCTCGCATAGGACAGGTAATTTTTCTTGACGCCATGATAACACTTCCTTACCTACTTGCAGTAAAAAGCTTGCCTCACAAATCAATTCATGTTTTCCAATTGACACAACATAACACACACACAATACAGCCACCAAGTGCATGCTGCTTTAAACTGTCCAAGGTGGCAAGCCATTTGCCTGCAAATAGCAAAAGGATCTATGGTGGCATGACAAAAGAGTTCTGGTTAAGCGGCTACATGTAGAGGTTTTACCCCTTAGTGACTGCTACGAGTTTTGGGGGCACCAGCTATCGTTTCCCCCACTTGTGCTGCTTTGATGAGAATGAGGCATGTGTCCAAGCTTCTATCAGTTCTCCCATTCAACTTTCAAGATGGATTCAGAAATCAAAGTAGCAAAATGAAAGTATCCTCTAAAAAACCCCAATTAACATTACATGGATAATTATAATAAGTGAAATATTTGCCTGTTAACATTTTTTAGGCAAGAGGCCTTCTAGGCCTGTTACTTTATACCGCAGAATGATCTCCCTGAAGGTTCTATTTGTCTATAGGCTAGATATATAGAATATTACTGTTTTTTCCAAAAACATTCAAAAATATATTGGACCAAATTCAATACTATTAAGACATTAACTATGGAATCAACATTCTACCACAATACTGCCCCTAGTACATATAAACATATACTCTCTCTCATTTCAGAAAGTCAGGTCTTTCTCATACTACTGCATACAAATAAATTTTGATAGAAATCTAACCTTGACATCTTGAAAAGAAACTGGTTCTTGCCCATGAATTTTCATCTGTTCTTGAATAGCCTATGGCAACAGCACAAAGAGGTGTAACATATGTTCAGAAAACAAGACAGCATGTTTTCAAATCCAAGACAGTGAATAAGCTGTGTAACATGGATAAATAACTCTACTATGTGCTAATTCATACATCTAATTTAGCCCTGTCTCCTCAGAATAGTAGAAGTATTCCAGGGTCTCAGGTAGAGGTCTTGTTCAGTTCCTGCTACCAAATATCCTTTGATGGCAGGTGCTGGGATTGAACCAGAGATCTTAAACATTCAAAGTATATGCTTCCACTGAGCTAAGAATCTTGTCCTTTATCATCTGTTCGGAGAGGTATGCTGCCTGTGTTCATTCCCCTTGTGTGAAGCGTAGGCAGGGACTGAAATCTGTCATTTTCTCTGCAGATCTATCAAAGCAGAAAGCGCTCACCATCTGTTCAATCTATGTGCAACAATTCCCAACTTCTAGCCCACTTTGAAGAAAAGTATTAGAACTGAAGCAAGCAGCAGGCCTATTGTTAAAATAGGCTTTTAGCCTCAAACTTTGAGACTAACTATAAAGTGTATACTGGAAGAAGAAATAATTGAAAGATGAAGGGCCAATTGATGTTTGTTATAGAAGAATTAATCTGTTTCACGCTGCTAAAAGAACACAGCTCTGAATGTATTTTAAACCTGCAGAGCATTTATTGTAAAAGCTTTGAAAGTGTTCCAGATTTTCTTTCTCTAAACCTTTAGTTGAATTATCCTACTCCTGAGTCATTAGCAGCAAAATACTTCGGTTGAGTAGGCACAGAATTGGAGGTGATCAATATTAAGGGGGTTAGCTTTTACAAACAAGACTGAATTGCTCTGATTGCTTTAATCTGAATGAAATATATACTTGTGTGGGATGACAGTGGAGTCACTATTTTATCTTCAAAATTCACAAAAGGACATGCCCTACAAAAAAAGGATTAAACCTGAAAGCCATTTTAGCGCCCGTAAAAAGGTGATTTAAATTTAACAAACATTTCTACAAGATTATGTGGAAGGTAAAATTGTATCTCTAGTGGTGTAACATCCTAAGACTTAATATTAGCATCTGCAGATCTGTGAGACTGCTGATTCAGTGATCCTCTAAGAAGTACTTATTTGCTGGAAATAGTATAGTCACGGTTAGTTCATAAAGGTGTGTTTTTATAACAGGATCATCTGAGTGAGTTCCAGTCAATGAGAAAATGTAAGTTTAGAAAGAGCCTGCTAAAACATGCAGGCTATTGTATGAAAGCTGCCCTCTGATTATATAGGAACCACAGCTTATCCATTATTACTGGTAGACAGAATATATTAACATCCCATAGAAGTTAGCCATTAGAGGTCATCAAAGACTATTACCTTAAAAAGAAGAGTTGTACGGAAAAGGCAAAACCTGGTATTTAATTAAAATCACAGTGGTGTATTTTCTTTATGTAAGATGTGCTCTGAAAAGCCATTCTGAATTATTTCCCTTTCTTAATGTGAAGTTTTAAACATTTATATATTTCTTTAAAGTTGACAAAAACCTCACCTCAAACACTGGTAGTTTAAAGCAATTGCCTGCTGATCTCTAGGTAGAGGCACAAAGGCTGTAACAACACATGTACAAAAAAATGACCTACCTCTACAAAAAGGGACTTACCCTAAAGAAATAATTAAGGGAAAAGACATTCAGGTATCCTTTGTTCTCTATATCAAGCAGCTTGAAAATATACTGCAGAGCTGCAGGTTCCTTTCTGTTTTCTAATGCAAGTACAAAGTCCAGGTACGTCTTATAGTCCTAAAAGCAGATGCAATCATGTTTATTATAGTCCACTTTCTAAATTGATTTTGCAAGCAGAACATAATTGGTGGCTATTTCCTTGTAGGGGAGCAGTTAGTTTTCATTGAAAGACAGCATGACTCAGAAAATGGCTGCTGAGAAAAAAAGGGTGTGCAGAAAATACATGCTTTTTTATTGGATAGGCAACATACCCATAGATTTCTATCAGAACTACTCGTGAGGTTGTCCCTTAGTCTGAACTAAATGAACCATGAACATTTGAACAACAGCCTATCACAGTCTTCTAATGGCCAACCATTGTTCTAGTTCAACTAAAGCTGAATTCATGTGTTAGGCAATTAAATAATATTTAGCCAGTTAATAATTTGCTGGTCAATCATTGGTTGAAATGTATCATACGGTCTAGTGTCCTAAATTCTATACATTTTACTAGAAGTAACATGCTGCAGCATATCTTATTGACAACACAGGTCTTCTGTTGTAAATTGGGTACGGAAACAAAAGCTATGTTTTCCCGTTCTATTTTTACCACCAATTCAGTTACCCGATTCCAGTTCTGCATGTACTTGTAAGAATTATCTCCCCCCAAAATGAGCCATTTTATTCAAAACTCAGCAGCAGTTTTCTAAACAATAACCTAATTGTATTTTTAACTTAGGGAGGTAGACAATGGCCACTTTGCTGATTGACAAGGAGGGCAAGGTCTTATAAATGTGAATTCTATATTAGTGGCTGTATGTTTGTGCTTCCAAGGCTGTTTGTTAGTTTCAATTTATAAGTTACTTGCTGTTCTTGCTTTTGGCATTAGGAGGTAAATAAGAGCCCACTGTCCTCCCTATCACAATGAGATTTCTTATTCAGCTAGCTGCTAAGTTATGAATTTGCAGTGTGTGGGTTTTTAGCTGCCATTCACATGAGAATTTTGACTTCATTCTATTTTGTTAGCATGCATATAAAAAGTGAAGGAGTTCCAACTTTTTTTAAAAAAACCAAAAACAAAACCCAAACACCACAACATTGCCTTTACAAGAAATGCAAGATATTTCTTCTATCATACATCTATGAGAAAAGTACCATTTCTCCATCATAGGTCAGGCACTCTTGGAAGACACGGTCCAAAAATACGTTGGTCAGAGTCCCTGTTCCATATCGAGATAGCTCCTCCTTGCTAAGCATCCCATTGTGATCTTTGTCAAGATTTAAGTACTGTCCTGCAGGGAGGGAGAAAAAGAAGGGGGGTGGGGGAAATGCAGTAACAATTTCTTGTGCCACTTCATAACAAAGGATTAGTGAACAAACATGCTACAACTTTTTAGATTTGTAGTAAGAGAACCTCTTGATTTCTACTGCACAAATTGGCAGGATTTTTGTCTTAATGAAGATGGTTGGTAGTGGGGTTGTATAAAACCATGTCGTCTTGTAGTGACAGTACTTAATATTTACAAGTGGGATCTCAACAAAATGTTGCAAAATGGAGTGCTTCTATTCAGGATTTCGGGCAGGCAGCCATGCCCTTTTCCAGGACACGCCATTCCCCTGTCTCCTCAACACTGAACATTATATGGCCACTAAACATGTGTCGTTCTGAATAGGCTGTTTTAAGACCCTCTTTTAGGTTTTCTGTACTTCTACAAACCTTTGGTTTCCCCTAAGCCTGCTGGCGCCGCCCTCTTGTATGAGTACTGTGAAGGTGCCTGCTTGATCTCAACAGGCAAGGAGTTCCACAGTGTAGGCACTGCCACACTAAACGATCAAGTTCTTACAAATGCAGAACGGGTGTATTATGTGGCAGCTGTAGTTGTGTCAATCTGTTGTTGTGTAGTCAAATGACTAGAGATGCGGAGTGCCAGTTAATGGACAAAAACCTGCATCTCCTGCCTAGGAGCACAAGAAGGCAGCATAACCCACCATGACACAACTAGAGAAATGATGTCTTTAGAAACTAGAGGAATTCCTATTTTGAAATCTGAGGTGTGCTAAGAGCAAACACTGTGGATTGAGAGATGTATAAGTAAGGGCTGAATGAAAAAGTTGTAATGATGCATTCGAACAAGATTTTAAGTAGCTTGCATTTACATATAGAACAATATACAGTGGTACCTCGGGTTAAGTACTTAATTCCTTCCGGAGGTCTGTACTTAACCTGAAACTGTTCTTAACCTGAAGCACCACTTTAGCTAATGGGGCTTCCCACTGCCGCCGCAACACCACTGCACAATTTCTGTTCTCATCCTGAAGCGAAGTTCTTAACCTGAAGCACTATTTCTGGGTTAGCAGAGTCTGTAACCTAAAGCGTACGTAACCCGAGGTACCACTGTATATGTAAGGCCCATGAGTCAATCTTGCTTTTTTCTAGAATCTCAAAAGGGTCCACCTATGAGCAACTTACCACACGGTGGCAGCATAGAACAGTACATCCATGAAGGACTAGTTATGGTCCACAGCCTTTATGTTTCCCACCCCTGGTTTACACGAGACAGGAATAAATATATGCTAAATACTTAATCATACTAAATAGCTAATAAAAACTACTAAGATCACTGCAGGCAATCCAATAATCAATAAAAGCGCTGTCATCCTGCACTAGGGACTCCTTGGGGTTCCCAGGGAGTGGCCTTCAGTGGTTCAGGCCTCCTGCATGGACGCCAATACAGTTCTTCAAATAAATTATTTTTTAAAAAATTAAAAATATATATAAATTAATAGAAATCTCCTCCTCCTCCTTCTTCGGCGGGCCTGTGATGAGTTTGTTTTTTCCTGGGTGGTCTCCGGCACACAGTTCCCCCCTGGCCCCAGCCTGCTGTTTTCGTGCTAGGCTCGGGGTCAGGCCTGGCCTAGACTGCATGATTCCTTGAGCCCTCCCTGGCCTTCCTGGTACCCTCCTACTTCTTTCTCTTGGTGTGGTGGCAGCAAGCTGGTGTCCGGCTAGCGGGGGGCTCCTTTTCGCTTTGTGTTTTGTGTTCGGCTTTGGAGGTTCCACTGGGCCACCAAAGGGGTGCTCCCGGTCCTGGCAGGGTTGAGGCCATTGGGGGGTGCTCCGTGCAGCCTCCCTGGTTGTCGCATTGGGCACCCCTAGTCTCCCCTCCCTGATCATGGTGGTGTTGGCAGCACAGGGACTAGCCAGGCAGCGCAGTTGGTGCTGGCAGTCTTCAGGCGCTCCGCACGGCCATGGCGATCGCCATCTTGCCTCCTCGATCCCTGCCCTTATGACATGCTCTCATGGAAGAAGTGCATATACAAACTACAGTGTCATGACACCAAGCTGCAATTCCAAACTGGTATGGCAAAAGGGCTTTTATTTGTACCGTATAAAATCATAGCCAGAACAAAAGAAAAGAAAGAAAGGAATATAAAAAATGCTTGTGGGAAATGCTGCTTTGTGAGGATGCGACAATATGATGCAAATTCTTGTACATACCATAAACCCTCAATGCAGATGGAGCAGAAAACCAATTGGTTTCTTGACTTTCTTTAGAAAGTTCTTCATCCCGTAACTGAATGAATATGAAAATACTGAGTAAGCATTCAGCAAGTATAATGAGGAAACACAACAGGAAATGTCAATATAAATGTAAATCTCTACCTCTAATAGGTCATCAAGGAAACTGCAGGCTAAAATATCCTGTATTTTTATCTTTCCTGGAAGAAAAAACAAAAACAAATTAACCCCCACAAAATTACTTATTACTTAATGACTGGAATATTCAGGGGCTTCATCAAGAAAGTTTCCACTTAGCATGACAAAGGCGACTGAATGAGAGGAAACGGTTTTAGTATTTGGAAACCTTCAAGTCAATCAAAATTATAAGAGAAAAACAAATGTTATTTTTAAACAATTTTAAATAAACCATTCGTCATTAGCACTTCATATAGTCTAGAAGAGCCAACACGGAGAGAATTACATTTAATAATTTTACTAATTGACCAAGTAAGTATTATTTCAGATGAATATATAATTTTAATAAGAAAGAAAAAGTACTCTGTTCATGTATTGTATTCTCTTGTATTTTTTGTGAATTTCCCTTTGCCTTGCTAAAACATCCATATGCTGCCTTTTAGGTCAAGACTTGCCCCAGTTTTACTGCAATATAGGGGAGGGGGAATCAGTCTGCTTCCCTCTGGATGTACATAGTGAAAAATACTGAATGTCTACCTAACTTCAGTAAGTCCAGCAGGTGGGGGGAGATGGATGCAGCTACAAGCAACTGCAGCTACAAGCAGAGTCTGGTCTTGCCCCCAGGGCAGGCAGGCTTTATAGAGCTGCCCCAGCACACCTTGCTGGTCAGCAGGTGTTGCGTGCCCACCTGCCTAGGGTCCTGGTCCCTGCTCAAGACCAAAAAAAAAAAAAAAAAAAAAAAAAGGCAAAGTAAATTGAACTTACCTGTTCGGAGAGGATCTAAAAAGAAGAAGAATTTCCTGACTGCGGTGCAGACATAGAATGAGTAAAAGGATTTCTCTAAACCATCCAACTGTGGTAATGTGGGGATGAGTTCCAGAATATAATTTTCTAAATCCTGGGAAATGAAACAAGAACATATATGATTATGGTATAGGTAGGTGTCAGGGAACTGCCATCGGACGGAAGGGAGGTGAAAGGGCTCACACAGGTTGGGAGAGACGCAGCAGCTGAAGAGGGAACCAACAGGGAGGTGAAAGGGCTCACACAGGTTGGGAGAGACGCAGCAGCTGAAGAGGGAACCAGCAGGGGAGAGGAGCTGAGCTGGAGGGATGGCTCAGAGACACTTCCAGCGAAAACAGTGGAGAGGTTTCAGGACCTCCTGTAAGAACACCCACTCCTCGCCGGAAACTGTCACGCAGAGATTCCAGAAGACGTGTTTCCGTTAAGGAGCTTTTATGTTGGAAGCGATTACGAAAGCAACCACTGTCGGAATCTGCTAGTGACTAGAGTAGCCATGTCTGAGGGGCTCCGTCACAGACAGAGGTTTGTGGACTTGAACAAACTCTGAGGGGATACGATTTTACGCACAAGCAGCTCATCATCCCATCACAGCATTCCGACAGTCTTTGAAAGCAGCTTGTGCAGGAGAAGGCATCATGAGCAACCCAGCCGGAACCGGAGAAGCAGGAGCTGGAGCGGGTCCAAGCCTGGAAGAAAGGTACCAGATGTTGGAGGTCCAGCTAGCGATGCAGACGGCGAGGCTTGAGGAGAGGAGGGCTCAGGATGCAGACAAAAGGGGAAAGCCACCCAGTTCGCCAGAAAGGTACCAGGATTGGTGCAGAAGTTTGGGGGAGCCCAAAACTATCATGGTTTTCGGACAGAAATGCAATATGCCCTCAATCTGCAGTTTGAAGAAATCCCTGACGAGGAATCACGAGTGGCTTTCGTGATTGAGCACCTTGAAAAGGGGGCGAGAGACTGGGTTAGACCCCTGATGGCAGCAAATAGTGACGTCTTAAAGGACACGATGAAGTTCTTTCGCGCCATGGATCTGATGTTTTCCAGCGATATTGAAAAGGGAGTGGTGCGCAGACAGTTAATGGGTTGCAAACAGGGGAGCCGATCTGTCCGTGAGTACTGGACTGAGTTCACCATGCTTGTTCACAGATTGGGGTGGGACTTATCGGCGGAACCCATTCAAATGCTCTTTGAAGAAGGGCTTTCTTCGGCTGTGAAAGACGAACTTTCCCGGGCGCCCAGGGCGGAGTCTATGGACCAGCTGACCAAATCAGCGCTGGCCATAGGAGCGCGCCAGGAGGCGAGAGCATTGGAGAGGCGGGAAGGGAAAGGGGAACGTTGGAAGGAGTTCCGCATTCCAGACATTCCAGAGCCAACTTTCCCACCGGCAGAGCCGATGGAAATCGGAACAGCGCGCGCGCGCAGTTTCAAAGCCCAGTGAGGGGGCAAAGAAGGAGGGAAAAGGCGCCCGGAAATGCTATCTCTGCCAACAGCCAGGTCACTTTGCCAGAGTCTGCCCCCAGAGGAAAGAATGGCAAGGGATGGTAGGAGCTGTGGATGGAAGAGAGGAAAATATACCGGAGCAAGTAAAAGCCAACGCCTGGCTGCCACTGTCAGGGCACAGCAGCCAGGCCAAAGAGCAGTGAGAGTGCCCACGCCAGAACCTCCTAAACCCGCCCTAGTGATAGAAGTGACGCTAGAGCTGCCAAACGGACACCCTCTAAAGATAAAGGCGCTGTTGGACTCAGGCAGCTCCTGCAATTTCATGAGCAAAGAGTTTGCAGCTGAACACCAGATACAGACAATCCTTTAAGCAGCCCCCTGCAGGTGACCACGATCGATGGCAGGGAGCTGTTGGGTGGAGAAGTCAGCTTGCAGACCGTCCCAATGATAATGAAGGTAGCAAGGCACACCGAACTGATAGCTTTTAATGTGGCCACCTTGGGAGGAGCGCCCATTATATTGGGGATGAGCTGGCTAGCGTTACATGATCCGCTGGTGGGCTGGCATCAGAGAGTGGTTTCTTTTGGTTCAGCACATTGCTTAGAACACTGCAAAGAGGGAAAGGGTTTGGCAGGGGTCCAAGCCACCCTAGCAGGGACTGAAGTAACAGAGAACGTGAAGGTACCACGACAATATGCAGATCTCCGTGACGTCTTCAGCGAAAGGGAAGCTGACCAACTACCCCCGCATAGACCCTTTGACTGTCAAATCAACTTACTCCCTGGAGCACAGCTCCCTGTAGGCAAGCTGTACGCCATGTCAGACAGAGAGATGCAGGAGTTAAGAGAGTTCATTGACAAGAACCTGAAGAGAGGGTTCATCAGAGAGTCCAGGGCGGTGGGGGCAGCCCAGTGTTTTTGTGGATAAGAAAAACACGAACAAGCCGAGGCTGGTGTGTGACTTCAGGGCCTTAAATGCAGTGTCAGAACCAGTAGCCTTCCCTATGCCCAGGATTGACGACATTTTGACAAGGGTGCGGAAGGGAAAGATTTTCACAAAGCTGGACCTAAGGGGGGCGTACAACCTGGTACGAATAAGGAAGGGGGATGAATGGAAAACCACTATGTTCACCCCTTTAGGGGCATTTGAATATTTGGTTATGCCCTTCGGCCTACAAGCAGGCTCCGCAACATTTCAATCGTTTATGAACCACGTCCTGGGGCCTTTGCTTTACAAGAATTGTGTGGCCTTTTAGACGACGTGTTGGTGTATTCTGAGAATGAGGAGCAGCATGTGAGAGACGTCAGAGAAGTGTTGAGCAGGCTGCAAGCCAACCAGCTGTGGGTGAAACTGGAGAAGTGTCAGTTTCATACCAAGGAGGTGGAATTCCTGGGGTATCGCCTGTCAGACAAGGGATTGGCCATGGATCCCGGCAAGGTCCAGGCGGTGCTGGAATGGAAAACACCCAAAACAAAGAAGGATGTGCAGAGGTTCCTAGGATTTGGGAACTTCTATCGTAAGTTCATCCGAAACTTTGCCCACCTGACGGCGCCCATTACGGACTGTCTCAGCAGTAAGAAGAAGTTCGTGTGGACTGAGGAGGCGGAGCGAGCATTTGAGGAACTAAAAAGGGCCTTCGCCTCGGAACAACAACTCCTGCATGTGGATTTACAAAACCGATGAGAGTGGAAACTGACGCATCAGACAGAGCGATTGGGGCGGTGCTTCTGCAGCCAGGCAAGAAGGGGTCAGAGTGGAGACCGTGTGCCTTTTTTCGCGAAAGCTGAACAAATCCGAGAGGAACTACACGGTGTATGACCGAGAACTACTAGCCATTCATGAGGCGTTCCGGAGATGGAGGCACCTGCTAATTGGCGCACAACATAAGGTGCAAGTGTGCACTGACCACAAGAACCTAGAGTATTGGAGGACGGCACGAGTGCTCAACCAACGGCAAGTGAGATGGGCCCAGGAGTTCTCCAAATTTAACTTTGAGATTAGTTACGTGCCAGGCCCAGAGAACATTAGGGCGGACGCTCTCTCACGCAAACCTGAATATTTGGAGGGAGGGGGCACCCGAAGAGAGACATGTCATTCCAGAAGACCGCTGGGTGTGTGGGGCGGCATTGGTGGGACAAAGAGAACTGGTAGAGGAAACAGAGAATGATGAATACGCCCAGAATAAGCTCAGAGGTCTTAGGGGTGATGGAGAGGAACCAGGGGTTTCGAGGAAAGAAATGGAGCTTTGTATTACAAAGGGGCACTGTATATCCCTGAAGGAGAGTTAAGGGGAGGGTACTCAAGCAGTTGCACGACAGCCCTACGGCGGGGCATTTTGGACAACACAAAACCATGTGGTTGGTCACCAGGGAATTTTGGTGGCCTAAGGTGAGGGAAGATGTACGTGAGTATGTAAGAGGGTGCGAGCAATGCCAGCGAGCCAAAGGGGAAAGGCGGGCGCCGGCGGGGCTATTAGAACCCTTACCAACCCCAGAACGACCTTGGGAGGCAGTGTCGATAGATTTTATGACTGATCTGCCGAAGTCCAAAGGGAAAACAGCCATCATGGTGGTGGTAGACCTACTAACAAAGATGTGCCACTTTGTAGCTTGCTCGCATGCAGTCACGGCGGAAGAGACAGCGAAGTTATTTGTAGAAAACATTTTTAGGTTGCACGGGGTGCCATTGAGGGTGGTCTCAGACCGAGGAAAACAATTTACTTCCAGGTTCTGGAGGAAGCTCATGAGCTTACTGCAGGTGGAGGTCAATTTTTCGACTGCCCGGCACCCTGAAACCAACGGGCAGGCGGAAAGAGCAAACGGTGTCCTCCAGCAATACCTGAGGTGTTATGTCAATGACAGAGAGAATGACTGGGTAGAAAAGTTGGCGCTGGCGGAATTTGCCTACAACAATGCCGAGAATGTGTCCACAGGGATGAGCCCCTTCTTGGCTAATTATGGGTGTCATCCCAGGGCTTTCCCAGGGGAGAGGGGGAGAGATGGAGCGTCCCGGCAGCCGAGCATTTTGTGGAAGAAATGGAAGCAATCCATCGTCAGCTCCAACTCAACTTAGAAAGGGCGAAGGAAGAATACAAGAGGCAGGCAGACAAGAACCGAAGGGAAGGTGAAACCATAAGGGTGGGAGATAGGGTGTGGCTGTCAACCCAAGGGTTGCCGTTCAAAGGAGGTTGTAAGAAATTAAGACCCAGGAGGTTGGGTCCCTTTGAGGTCATTCAACAGGTCAACCCAGTGGCTTTCAGGCTCCGGTTACCCAACCACATGAAACTGCACCCAGTATTTCACAGGTCGTTACTGTCACCGTACGAAGGGGGACGAGAAGGGCTGGCCACTCGGGACCGGTCGTAGAAGAAAGAGAATGCAGCAGCCATGTGGCAGAAATCCTCGACGCCAGGTGGAAGGGGGATCAGGTGGAGTATTTGGTAGCGTGGGAAGGAGAACCGGAGTCAGAAAACACTTGGGTAATGGCTGAAGATATCAATGACGAGGTATTGATAGAAACGTTCCATCAAAGGTTCCCAAGGAAACCTCAGCCTGTGGAGAGGTTCCGGAGGGAATACTTTGGGACCACTGATGAAGGGGAGGAGTTGGAAGGATTCCCGGACTCGGAAGGGGAAGGGGAGATGGACTCTGAGGAGGAGGTGTACTTGAGACCAGGAACCGCAACAGGTTGAGAGAAGTGTTCGAGACATCGGAAGATGAAGGAAGTTCATTCCGGGGTTTTGCCTCCTCACCGCCTGTAGAGGAGGGGGCGAGAGGGGGTGAAGGGGGCCCTGGAGGGGAGGTGGATGTCAGGGAACTGCCATCGGACGGAAGGGAGGTGAAAGGGCTCACACAGGTTGGGAGAGACGCAGCAGCTGAAGAGGGAACCAACAGGGAGGTGAAAGGGCTCACACAGGTTGGGAGAGACGCAGCAGCTGAAGAGGGAACCAGCAGGGGAGAGGAGCTGAGCTGGAGGGATGGCTCAGAGACACTTCCAGCGAAAACAGTGGAGAGGTTTCAGGACCTCCTGTAAGAACACCCACTCCTCGCCGGAAACTGTCACGCAGAGATTCCAGAAGACGTGTTTCCGTTAAGGAGCTTTTATGTTGGAAGCGATTACGAAAGCAACCACTGTCGGAATCTGCTAGTGACTAGAGTAGCCATGTCTGAGGGGCTCCGTCACAGACAGAGGTTTGTGGACTTGAACAAACTCTGAGGGGATACGATTTTACGCACAAGCAGCTCATCATCCCATCACAGTAGGCTTGCCGTATTTCAAAAGTGAAAATCTGGCACAAAGGTCCCCCCCCCCCCGCAGAGTTGTAGAGCTTTTTTTTGTAAAATCTGGTTTTTTAAATAAAGTTTTTGAGCTCCTTTTCAAGAAATTTGACAAAAAATCAACACTTCCGACTGACGAATCCAGTATGTCTGGGAAATTCCGGACGTATGGCAGCCCTAGGTATAGGTGTCACCATGACTTGAGCTGCAGCTGTTCACGCTTATCCTGTACTTTACAGTGGTCTGGAATGGACCATTTGTCTCCAGCTGCTTCCTACAGGCGCTGTAAGGATGCAACAAGCAAACACTAGTGAACACTCCAGAAGAACCCGACTCTCTAGCGACCCTTCATGCCACATACCCTTCCTTCCTGATGCTTGTGCATGCTGAGAGGCTTCACTGCCACAAACATAACACAATACAAGATGCAGGTTAGTTACCAAAGCTTTGTCAAATAATATTCTCCTATCTAGTACAGGTTAAAGCTATGGTTTTTCCAGAAGTGATGTACGGAAGTGAGAGCTGGGCCATAAAGAAGGCTGATCGCCAAAGAATTGATGCTTTTGAATTATGGTGCTGGAGGAGACTCTTGAGAGTCCCATGGACTGCAAGAAGATCAAACCTATTCATTCTTAAGGAAATCAGCCCTGAGTGCTCACTGGAAGGACAGATCCTGAACTGAGGCTCCAATACTTTGGCCACCTCATGAGAAAACTCCCTGGAAAAGACCCTGATGTTGGGAAAGATTGAGGGCACAAGGAGAAGGGGACGACAGAGGACGAGATGGTTGGATAGTGTTCTCGAAGCTACCAGCATGAGTCTGACCAAACTGTGGGAGGCAGTGGAAGACAGGAATGCCTGGTGTGCTCTGGTCCATGGGGTCACGAAGAGTCGGACACAACTAAAAGACTAAACAATAACAATCTAGTACAGAGCAGTTAAGATAACCCTTGAGCTGTGATTCTTTGGAACTGAACATCAGATAGACTCATTGAACATCAGGTACTTAATATGCCAACTGTGTTAAGCAGAAACAGACTACTGCACTCTCTCCAAGAAACAACTAAAGGAGAATATTGCTTACCTGAAACATTCTAGTTTGCATACATAATTGTATGTAAACACCTGATTACCAAATACATTCCCGCAATTCAAGACATGAAAAAGCACTTTAGTTTATGCCAGGCGACATGCTGAACATGCATTACTTACCGATTCCCTGAGGTAACCTTGTCCAGCCACGTCGTATAAACTGAGACCTATTCTCGTTTGGTATAGCCACACTGTAAAACAGATACAGATACATGACAGAATCTGTTTTGAGGCAAAGAAAGTCAAGGGCAAAGTGAAACAAAATATGACAATACGTTCAAAACAGAAAAAGACCCACCTTTCCTCATCACATAATTGAAAAACTGCATGATAGATATCCTTCCATAGGGATCGTTGTGAAGTAACTTAGCAAAGACTTTAGCTGTGAAGAACTGCCTGTGAAATATAAAAAACAACAATTTTGAAGTTCTGCTGAGCCACTGTAAGTCTTCCATAGGTTCAGTCAGTTTCATAATTTACACATTTTCCTGATAATTATGTTGTGGGACTCTGATGTATGTGTGGGTGTGGGTCTTTGGAAGGGAGAGTACCTTGACTGAGCAAGCAAGGGTGTATCATGGAAGCATGGGACACAAACAGGAAACCAACCCACATAAGAAGCTCACATATTCCATCTACATTCAACAGCAGTTCTGGAAAAAACCTAGTTGGTGCAATTCATTACTGCTTTTCATTCCGGATCCAAATAGTAATAATTAACCAAAAGCCTAAGCAATGTCTCAGAGCCACATCCTAGTTTGAATGCTAATCTGACATAAGTTCCAGTACATGAATTACAGTACATGAACTTGCAGCAACCAAGCTCAGCAGCACCCCCCCCCCCGCCTGATTCACACCTGATTAGGCCTTATTTACACCTAGAAACAGAAGGCAGATCCTTATGGAAAGCAACTTCCCACACAGTTCAAGAAATGTTCACCAAGCAAACAACTATGGGTAAAAACAACAACAACAGTGTGGTGAAAAATCTACTGAACCAAGCATGAAGCTATTCCACAGGTATGGCTTTCCATGTGGCTGGGTTTGCAATTATCGCTGCTGCACTGGGAAATTGTGAAAACCACCGTCAAATTGGGTTTGAGGTTGTGGACTGAACGCCCACATTGTTAGAACCCCTCAGAAGGTGATATCCTGAAGAAATATTATAATAAGCTCTGCAAGCATTAAGTCTTGGCAAAATGTATGCTCTTCGATACGTCTCTCACATCATCTGCTTGCTATTTGACCAGCTTGAGCTTTCACCTCAGTTCTGGTAAGAAGCCATGAGTATGCCAAGGATTGCTGTCCTATACTCCCTATCAGGATGCTTCTGCCAAACACATAAAAGCACTCTGCTGCCTACTGCGTACAAAGTCACAGCAAAAAAAACCCCCTTATTTTGCTACCTATAATGGTACTTCCCCTCCAACCACTTTACAGCTGCTCAAATGATGTTTTTATCAGAACTTCCTTCTGACAGCCAACAATATATCCTTGCAGAACTACGTGAATTTTACCGTGAGGTAGAATATGAGCAAACAGGGATGTAAAAAGGCTTAACTCATTCCTGAGGTACTATTTGCCCACTGCCACCAATATCAGCAGTACTGTTGCACTGGTCCAGTCCACAGAGTTCTACTATCAGGCTCACTAATCATCAGCCACTGCCACCCCCGGCTCTTATCACTGCTCCCCATAGCTGAATTGGTCGGAAGGCCATGAGGAGAGAACCCTCTCTGAAATCCTGGAGAGCCGCTGCCAGTCTGTGTAGACAATACTTAGCTAGATGGACCAATGAGCTTGGTATAAGGCAGCTTCCTAAGTTCCCGCGTGTTCTAACAGCTCTTCTAAAGAGCTGCCTACAAATTTAAAGAGGCACATATAGGGAGAAATAAAAATTAAGTCATAACAACCTGCAATTTAAATGTTGACCAAGACAATCCAGAACTCTTAAGCTAAGGGCAGACTAGCGTAAGTCCTGAAAATATAGGTGCCTTACTTGCACTTGGATCCAGCTTTCTCACCAACTTTCAGGAAGCTTTCATAGTTGATCATTGCTTCATCTCCCATCATGGGCGATGTCTGATGTTTGTCCAGCAGAAACCACAAATTCTTAAAAAGGGGGATGGAGGCAAAAAGTTAGGGAATTATTGCAAGACAAAATGATCAAGAATTGTTTACCTGAGATTAAGAAACACATTTTTTTTTCCTTACTTGCAGTTCTTCATTATCTAGTAGTTCTCTGCTTTTTCTCTGCAAAAAGACTGCTCTGGATTCTTCTCTTAGTTTCTGTAATAAAATTTCATCTTCTGCTGGCAACTAAAGAAAGAAAGAAATGAATGTTATTTGTAGTGTGGTACAACTCTACTGACCAGAACCCAGGCTGGGCAATTACAGTAAAAATTGCATGCAAACATGGTTTGTAACCACAACAGAAATTGGTCGACTTTTCTTCAATATGCAAAGGGGGCAAAGAAAAACAGTAGATTGATGTGTATGTCAGCTGTCCCAACTATTTTTAAATTGTCTGCATGCTGGCATAGCAATAGTGAATTCAAACTCCCAAGTCTAATATGTGCCTAATATAACTTTTATATAAACACATGATTCTACAAGTTAAAAATCTTTGAGTATTAAAGCTTGACAACAATATGCAAGGTCCCACCACAACAAAATGAAGCAAGCCTGCAAAATAGAATCAGTCCTTTTCACATCCTATTGTAAACTCAAAACTACAATGTATAGCTCAAAACTGATTACATCCGTGCTACCGGAATTATTGCATGAAGTCACTTTATTTGTAGGTTTGTTTTCTCTTCTTTTGACAAGCAGATGTGTCAAAATGGACAGGGTAAATCTGATTTCCTGAACTAGCCCATCTCCACTCCATAACCAATGCAGCTTGTAGAAGGCAGTGGCTAAGAGGCAACAATGAAAAGAGGTTCTTCTCTTGCCAGGTCAGGTGTGTCTCTCCTTCCCATTCCACCATCCTCTGAAGAAACCTCAGTAAGAGAAGGCACAGTTCTGCCACATAAGATTGTAAGAAACAGCCTTATTCGGAGTCAGATCACTGGTCCATGCTGGCTGGGGCTGATAGAAGTTGTAGTCCAACTACAATGGGAGGTCATCAGATCAGGGAAGATTATTCTAAGGAGCCCCAGTTAGTCAATCTGATTTCACAAGGGCAGGGCAACCACTGTTCAGAAGCCTGTCGCCCCTGCACCTTTGAAAATACAGTATGGAAGTCACTTTATGTTAAGAACTCTCAATTTTTATCCCACCTTGTGTACCCATTATACAGTAGGAGATGGACCTCCCTCTGGCTGAGTTGCTCCAGCATACCGAGGCAGAGGGGGCCAAGGATAATTAAAGACCAAAGGCCTGGTTATAGAGGAGAGTTTTTGCCTGGTGCCTAAAGACATATAAATGGTACCAAATGAGCTTCCCTGGGAACAGCATTCCACAAACAGGAGGTCATCCTTGAGACTTCTCATGCAGGGGTCCACAAAAAGGGGCCTAAGGTTAAGTTTGCAGCATCTGGGTTGGTTCATACAGGGAGTATTGCAGTCCTGAGCCATTTAAGGCTTTATAGGTCAAAAGCAGCATTTTACACTGGACCTGGAAACTAATTGGCAGTAAGTGCAGTCAGGTCAGAATTGGTTTTATATGCTCAGCCCTTCTAGCCCCGGTGAGCAACCTGACTATTGAATTCTGTACTAGCTGAGGTTTTCAAACCGTCTTCAGAGCCCCACGAATAATGCATTGCAGTAATCTAACTGCAAGAATCTTTGGATTTAGGATTTTAGTCAGTTTTACCAGCTTTTATGTAGTAATAAAAAGCTGATCATATTTATGAAGATTTTTGATCAAGAATACTATATATTTGCTATTGCACAGTTCAAATAATGGGGCAAATTTAAATGAATTGTAGAATGCCTTGTGTGTAGCTGAATGTGCACATTCACCCCTTCCCATCAATAATCTGAGCCTAACTGCAAACCAGATTCAAACCTCTACTCACATTTGTAAGGCCCATCTATCAGATTTATGTGCACCGTCACCTGACATTAAAGTATATGACAAATTTTTTTGTGAATAAAGAATTTATTGCAGAAACTGAAGGAAAAGAAGAAAATTACAGAATCACTGGAAAGCATACAATAAAAATGACCATTGCTACATAAAGACAAAAAGCAATGCAGACTGTAACACTGAGTGTATTCAAGTACATTTTAAAAAGTTGAAGAAACCAAAGAGGTTGACAGTCAGTGCAGAAATAAAAGAGGTAGACAGAATGTTGAATAGCACCAGTTCCATGAGCAGACCATCAAAGCACTAGCTCAATTACATGGTGATTACTCCCTGTGGACCTGCTTCCTGGTAGGACCACCACGTCTCCTTGGTCTCCCTCTCCTCCCCCTTGAAGGCACCCCAAGCACCCATGGGCCTGGAAGAGATGCTTGCACTTCAGTTGCTCTGGGCGTGTAGCCTTCTTGGTGTGATTGAGAAGGGCCAGGACTCTCCCCCTGGGCAGGCACAGGAGAGGCTTCTGTGGGGAAGGATCTTGCTGCTGAAAAGAAATCTATAAAATTGTGTCTAAGGAGATTGAGCTCTTGGCGGAATCGAACTATCTCGGCATCAGTTCTGTTTGTGTCCAGGATCCGTTGAGTCCTCTGCTGTTGCCACTCTTCCTGGCGAGCCCGGAGCTCAGCTTCAGCAGCCTGACGCTGTTCTCGCCTTGCCAGTCGCATCTCACGGATGAGGCTGTTCTGAAATGAGCGCTGCTGTTCAAGGAACAGTCGGAATGTTGTGTCCATGGCCTCCCTTCCAGCTCTTATCTCCTCCAGCAGGCGGTCTATGGTTTCCTCCCTGGCCCGGCGTCTTCTAGCCCTCATCTGTGCCACCCTGTCCATGGCTGGCACTGGTTGCCTGGGTGCTGCTGCCTCTGGGTCACCTGTTGGTCTCCCTGTTTTTTGGGGGAAAGAAAACAAACAAACACACACAAATGATGAAGAAGCAAGAGTAAGAGTACATGAACACAGTTACTGTAAACAAAACACAAATTAGGAGGGAAGGAGTTCAAGGAGAGGGAACTTTCTGCAATCATGTCACTACCTCCAACTGGGTATGTTAGCAAGATAATTTATATTTATGGTTAGCAAATAAGAGGTCAGAAAAAGGAATGCTTTTAGTGGTAATGTCATTGGTAATATGTCTAGCCAGTCTTTGTAATTGGGACCCCTTCTCTGGTAACAACAATAGGTTGATTGATGGCAACAGAATATCCCACTATGATTTCATGTTTGCAAGTCAAAATAGTTTCAGTGGCAGTTGAAACAAAAGTCCAGTATGCAGGTGAATTTTGTAACCGCCTTCTTCAATCCATGATAAAGGATTCCTTTAGAAAGAGAAGCAGAAGCTTCATCCAGCAAAACCTTGGGCCTGTCAGCAGAAATTAGGTTAAGGACATGACCAATTTGAGGACACTTTACTATGGAAGTGAAATTAACTACATGGAAGAGCTGAGGAGGAATTTCAAAGACAACTCTAGCCATCACCAAATATAGTAACATGATGAACCCTCCTCTCTTTCCATACATTGTTAGATTAAAAGCCTGAAGCAAAGAGAAATAGAAGCTTAATTACAGCAGTGGGTATTCCTTCAGAGAGAAATGTGGACAAATGATTAAAAAGACTCACCTATGAGTACTTTGTCCGGGACTCCTGCTTTTAACCTCTGTTCTGAATTGCAACTGGTTGGCAATAGCTGTGGAGCCTGAGCAGAAGCTGACCTGGCAGGCATTAGGGTGTCTGGTTCTTGGAAAACGGATGGTAGTTCTTCCTCCAAGGCAGATGCAGTTGCCACTGTGCTGGAGGAAGATGAAGAAACAGGCTGCAGGGGCAGCTGAAAGGAAGCAACCTCTTCAAGTTCAGATTCCACCTTAATCTTCAGCACCTCCTGGAGGGGCTGTGTGGCATCACTGAGTCCTTCAAAGGTTGCTTCCATCTCAGAGTCCTCTTCCACCTTCCAGGAAGTTTCTGGTATAGGTTGCCAGGAAGGCCCTGGTTGAACTGTGGTAGTGGAGGGCTGGAGTCTCATAGCCTGATTCACTGAAGAGGGGCCAGTTTCTGTTTCTCCTCCACAGATCTCATCCAGCTCCCTGAAGAAGCGACAGCGAACTGGCGTGGCCCCTGCCTTGCCCATAGCATCCTTTGCCTTGCGATATGCTTTGCGAAGATCTCGGATCCGGTTGTTGCACTGGATTCGCGTGCGTAGGAATCCCTCCTCAGCCATCTTCTTGGCTAGGACAGCATACAAATCACTGTTGGTGGGCATGTTCTGAACCCGGCGCTGGACCAGCAAGGTATTCCAGTGACCCAATAGGACTCTGGTCTCCTCATCTGTCCAGGTGGGGCCACGAGGGGCCCGACCAGATGATTTGGATTTGCCTTGCAGTTCTCCCTCCATAACAGTTGGGAATGGTTCCTGGAGAAAAAAGGCAAAGTGGTCTCTGCAGACTGAGTCCAGGGCAGAGATCTGCACTGTGTGTCTGTGCCTGCAGGTCTCAAACAGCTCTGTGCTGCAAAGTCACTTCCAAAAGAAGGGACAGCAGAGGAGAAGAGGAATCTCCCAAGTACTTGCCATGCTAGATGCAATGAACAGAGGGCAGAATCCCCAAGAGAATGGTTAGCACATGAATGTTTTGGACAGGGTTTTACAAAACCCAAGAATTTGGGGTAACAAATCTCTCTGTCTTCCTCAAATACAAGAACAGGGTTTCCCCCTACACCAAGGTAGGCTTCTTTCCCCACACTTGATGTACCAAGAAGCATGAGACAAGAAACCACAGGATAAACTGTCCAAAAACGTAGCATGAGACAAGTCCCTGCCACACAGGACAGATGCTTCCAGCGTACCAATCTGTCTGAATAGATGTTCAACAGCATTCAATTGAAGAAAAAGAGGTGCAGACATTTGCACAACAGAGCAACATTGCAATCTTTGAAATACACTTGTGCTCCCTCCCCGTTGTCCTTCCGCTGACAGGTGAAGACTTGCTTGTTCCAATAGGCTTTTGGGAACTGACTGCTTTTAATGAAAGGGCTGGTGCCATGCTGTTTTTATTGTAATTACTGGCATCGTTTTAACAGATTTTATATATCTGAAATTATATCAATGTTTATTATATCAATGTTTAATTGCTTCTAATGATTGTTTTTTCTGTTTTTAATGGTTCTTAATTTTACCTGGAAGCCACCTTGAATCCCATTTTATATATGTGTATAGTTTTAATTCTATCAATGTTTAATTGCTTTTAATGATTGTTTTTTCCGTTTTCAATAGTTCTTAATTTTACCTAGAAGCTTCCTTGAGTCCCATCAGGGAAAAAGCTGGGGTATAAAGATAATGATGATGATGATGATGATGATGATGATAATAATAATAATAATAATAAACAACTGTAAATACTAAGTTTCTCTTATACCTACAGTATTTCCCTGAGAGTGAGCACCAGAGAAACTCAATCGGACTTCCTTCTCAGCAGATATGCATAGAATTGCAGTGTTAACTTCACAAACTCTCATGAGTATTGTTTGTAAGAAAGACCTTCTAAGGGAAAATTGGAAACCTGTGGGGGACTCACCACCATTGGACATTTTTATGCAGATGTTGGATGGTCATGTGTCATGGATGCGTTGGGTGAGATTCTTGCACTGCAGGGGGTTGGACTAGATCCCTTGAGATCCCTTCCTACAATTCTATGATTCTATGTTCCCTCTTTCAGTAAGAAAAAAATAGCATGCAAAACATACACAGTGACAAAAGGTCTGATTATAAGAATGACACAGCAGTGTAAATAATATTCTATTTGGTTGAACATTAACATGATTTAGTGGTCATAATTGCACATTTATTCTGGAAATATCTGAAGTAGTATTGGTGGGAAACTTGATTTAAATTAATGATTTAAAGTGGCCTTTTATTGCTTATTTAAATCACACTGATTTAAAAGGCCACTTTAAATCACGTATTTTAATCAATCCACCCTGTTGAACACATAATGCAAAATGGTTAAAGCTTACTGGTGAAACTTTTAACAGGCCCTCTTTACACCACAAACCTGTAAGAAGCAGCTGCACTCATCAGCGAATTCACTTGGACAAGTAGTAGAGGATTCGCATCCCACGCCCCAACCAGACATGGTATACATAGACAAAAACTGTAATGCATTATCTCTGTCTACTAAGAATGCAGTATTATTCAGAATGGGTCTGGATAGCTAAAAGAACATTGGCTGCCATGTATACCTGCTTGTTTGCCAATACCACTGGGGGTGGGGTGGGAGCTCTACTGGTGGTACTGCTGTTAGTTAAGCCATGATATGCAGCAAACAGAGGGGGTTCCGTTTCTGTAATGGTGCCCGCTCTATGGAACTTGATCCCCTTTGAAATAAGGCAGCCACTGACTCTGATGAGCTTTTGAAACCTGCTTGAGACCTATAAGCTTACCTAGGCATTTGATGGTTACTAATTTCCACCTTTGAATAGGACACATTGCTGGCTACAGCAGATAGAATTTTACAGTGGTTTCATTTTTTAATATTATTCTACCTTACTGGTTTTTTATTTTTTTGCAAACTGCTCTGAGATTACTCAGATGGAAGAAGTGTGTGTGTGTGTGTGTGTGTAAGAATTAATTATTTGGAGTAGAATCTATGAGTCAACCACAGAAAATCTTAGTTATGGAAATCTGTTTTAAACAACACTTTTGTGCAAAACAAAATAGAGTAGGATTCCTCTCCTTGGTTATCTAGGCTATTTATGTCAATGGACTTTGTAGTGAAAGAAACCAATTAATGTGTGTGCTTAATTCCCTTTGGTAATATGAAACTAGCAAATTGATTCCACAGAACACTTTCCCTCTTTTAAACTGGAGAGCAAATGAGCACTGAAAACCATACTTACCCTATAATAAAATCGTGGTATGCTCATATAGGATGTACTGGCATTTTTCCTCCCTCCTTTCCATTCCAGGTAGTATTTTGTAAACAGCTCCATCTCTTCATCCTTCAGCTCCTGATCACTCCTTTTAGCTAGTTAATGTAATATGCGATGCATTACATTTCATAGCAAAATGTACTTCCATATGCAAAATATTTATTTCTGCTTTTGTATAATTATGCCAGAGACTTGCAGCCAAATGATTTGTCAAATCTCACATACCTGTTTGAAACACATACACAAGCAAACACTCTGGCTTCTCTGCCCAATATTCTCTCAGTCTCCAAAGCAACGTTGGCTGCAAAATCCCTTCCTGCTAAGAGCATACAGCAGTTCCCATGAAAGCTTTGCCTCCCAGAGTGACTTTTCACTTTGTCCATATAAGCTTTAGTAATTATTAAAAAGCTATTGTTGAGCTCTTTCCCAGAGCTGTTAGAATGTTCTACTACATCACAACAGCTGTGCTAACAGATTGAGGAGGGTTGCAGGTTTTAGGGCAGAACAACATATTATTTCTATTTACTTGTAACAGAAGTCTGGTGGATGCTTTGAGACACACATATATTTGCAACTCTACAGGTAGAAAAAAACATGTCATGGTGAGTGGTTTAGCCTGTGGAAGGGGAAGTTAAGAATCTCCTCTCAGAGCAATTTATAAATGGGTTGTTCTATAAATTGTGTCCACATGTAGTTCAGTCCCTCGTCAATTTTAGAATTCCAGTGTCAATCTTGCATAATTATTTTATGCATTTTAGTAGCAACCTCTCTTAGCCATTTAACATTGAGAAATGCAATCCTTACAGCCCCATAGGGAGAGGAACACTGAAGGCCTTTTCTAGCCTCTTGAAAGGGAGCTGAGATAGCACAATGAATCAGTGTTAGAAACTGGGATAGAAAAGCTAGGAGCCAAATGGCTTCTGGGACCTGGGTTGTGGGCGCCAAAACGGAATGTCTAGTCACCACGGGGCAGGGGGGGTCGGCAACACTTTTTATTTATTATTTTGATAAGCATGAAGTAATACACAATTCACATAAGTGACACACTGTTAATATCACATTTTTAGAAGAAATTGTTAATCCACGTTTAATTTGGTGTTTACAATAAAGATACTGGTATTCAGTTTTCAAAATACTCTACTCTTTATTGTTAAAATCCTTAACATTTTGTCTATCCTTAACATATACTTTGAGGCTTCAAAGCACATACATTTCAGTAAACCTTGAGTGTCAGCCAGGCACAAAAAATGGCACCCACTTTTTGAGGTGCTCGCAAATGTGCCTGGTGCCCTGCTTGCAAATGGTGATCAACTTTTGAGGCTGCCTGGTTCTGTATTCTGCCACCCTTGGAGGTGCAGCTGGAGGGGACACAAGAGTAGGGCTTTGCAGCTGCAGCAGATTACGAAATTCCCTCCTGAAAGAAGTTTGGCTGGTCCTTTCTCTTCTGACTTTTGGGTGGGTATGCTTTTAATGTGTTTGGAGTTCTTTAATCTCCTGATGTGGCACTGTAGTTTTTTAATTGACTCAATGCTCTTCCCCTGTCGCTGTTGTGTCTGTTTTTATCTCCTCCCTCTTTTTTATTTTATTTGTGTTTTAATTGGGGATCTGCCTTGGTGGCCTCAAAGGCAGGGCAAAACTTTTCATAAATAAAAGGAAAACCCTAGCCTCCTGTACCATGCATTGCAGGGGATTGGCCTACATGACCCATTCTGTCAACTCTAAATTTTATGATTCTACCATCCATTTTAGGAAACAGCAAAAATATATTTTGTTGTAGATCAGTTCATTATTATTTTTTTACAATATATGATACAATAAATCATCTAACAAATAAGTAAATATAGAATAGGAAAGCACTCAAGTGTGACAATCCCTAATGGTCATGTAATCAAAGCCATTACATGGAAGGAAATATCAGCTGTGGGTACCATTCACTGGATCTACCAAATTGAGATGGGCTAGGAAAGTACTTTCCCTGGGGACATGGAATTCTAAAGTTCTCAAAAAAGTTATTAATCTGCTTCACCCAAATAATCCTCTGAAAGGCTTTCCGTTCTGATTCAAAGAGTACTGTATATCTCACACAGCCTGGTGAGCTAGTCTAAACATAGGGCCCAAGACAATGTAATGGCGTAAGCAACTACTTTTGGTAAAGACAATACAAATGCTTGTAACAGGGGTAAAGATAAAGGTACCCCTGACCTTTAGGTCCAGTTGCAGATGACTCTGGGGTTGCGTGCTCATCTCGCTCTCTAGGCCAAGGGAGCCGGTGTTTGTCTACAGACAGCTTCCGGGTCATGTGGCCAGCATGACTAAGCCGCTTCTGGCAAACCAGAGCAGCGCATGGAAACGCTGTTTACCTTCCCTATTTATCTACTTGCACTTGACGTGCTTTTGAACTGCTAGGTGGGCAGGATCTGGGACCAAACAATGGGAGCTCACCCTGTCGCAGGGATTCGAACTGCTGACCTTCCGATCGGCAAGCCCTAGGCTCTGTGGTTTAGAACCTTATTTGGCCAGAGGGCTGCCCAAAGGGTTGACTGACCTTCTGAGAGCTATGTGACAGTGATGGGCATTGCAAAATGCACACTCACTAAGAATGCAAGAATAGTCATGCTGGATCTGTCAAAATACCTAGCTCATCCTCTTCTCACAGTGGCCAATCAGAAGTCTATAGGAAGCCTGCGAGCAGAACAAGAGGCAATAGTACTCTCCCACTGAGGCATACTGCCTCAGACAATGTGTGTATGCACACACTCACTGCACATAGAGACCACATCCTCAGAGAGGTGGGCAAACACATTCAGACATACACCCCACCCTTCAGGTGGGCAAACACATTCAGACATACACCCCACCCTTCAGCCGATCAACAGAGGAGCAAGGCTGGGGATTCCTCCCCATCTTGTTTCCTCAGTGTTAAGACATTTTAGCAATGGTACCACATCAGAACGAGAAGAGATGCCTTTGAAAGGAAAGCAGTAGACAGGAGGAAAAGGCACACATTTTTGTTGCCTGATTTTGGCAGAGGGCTGGTGGACCACAGAAAGCTTTGTATGTCAGATGTGGCCTGAAGGCTTGCCACTTCTGGCCTATAATGTCACATTATAATTTCTCATCATTGGAGGGAAAGTGATGACTGTATGGTATGGGTGTTATAGGTAAGTGCAGTTATTTATCAATGTCACATAATACAGTTACAGGTAGGTAGCCGTGTTGGTCTGCCGTAGTTGAAACAAAATAAAAAAATTCCTTCCAGTAGCACCTTAGAGACCAACTAAGTTTGTTATTGGTATAAGTTTTCGTGTGCATCATGCAAACTTATACCAATAACATCATGCAAACTTAAACCAATAACAAACTTAGTTGGTCTCTAAGGTGCTACTGGAAGGATTTTTTTTATTTTGTTTCGACATAATACAGTAGCAGCTATCTAAGAGCCACTCTAGAACCATGTTGGATTTGAAAACGGAGTCAAGCTCCCATCAATGACGTCCTGTCACAATCTTAATTCTCAATATGTAATACTGGGTCCAAAACAAGAGGACATTAAAGCAAAAAAATATGAACTGCAACAGAAAATCATTATGGCCTAATAGTAACTGTGAAAATTTATTCTATGCATTAAAAGTCATCATGCTAAGAGTAGGCTTGTTTCCTCCACACATGCCTGTGGACTGAACAGGAATTTTAACTTGAATTATGGATTGTAAACACAAACCCAATGACAGTGTAGCATACTAATAGAAACAAAAAACTGCTTGGTCTACAACAGTGTTTCCTAAACTTGGGTATCCAGCCAAGCGCATAACCAGGATTTTTTGGGGGGGAGGGGCAAAACTGACACAATTGGTCAGTTAGTTACGGTAAGTATTCTTGGCTATGCCCATGTAGCCAGCTGTTCTTGGACTACAACTCCCACCATCCTTAGCTAGCAGAAGCAGTGGTCAGGGATGATGGGAATTGTAGTCCCCCCAAAAAAAAACCCTGGTCTAGAATGACTATGAAGCCAGATGCTGTCTTCTATTGGCAGGTAAAGTTAGTTAATACAGATGGGGTCCAATGTGGTGTAACTGGCATTGTGCTGGACTTGGACAAGAGACACCTGATTTCAAATCACTTGTGAAGCTCTGCCGGTGAAACGGGAAAAAGTCATTACCTATCTTAACTTCACACCTCAAGAAGAGGCTTGTTGTGAAGAATGAGAGAAACCCATGGAAGGTGGCCTGACCTCCTTGAATGAGGGTTACGACAGAGGTACGGCAGGGGAAATGAATTATAAGGAGAGCAATAAGGTGAAATAAGAGAGTCAGAAAAGCCGCCAAAGGCAGAGAACGTAGCTATTTCTGTTCACTCAGGGGCACCGCTAACGAGAGGCACGGAATCCTTTCAGGGTGGGGACTGGAAACTCCTAAGAGACTTCCCTGAAAGGGCTGCGCGGAAGGGACGGGGGCCTGGTGGCGGAAGCGCCAAAGGCCAGCAACCGGCCTCCAACGGTCAGTTGGCCATTCCGCCCCCCGTCCGTGAGGGAAGAAGGAAGGCGCTGACAGTTGTCCTTGTCCTCCTCCTCCTCCCGCCTCACCGCTATAAACCCCTGCGCGCGCACTCACGGTCGCTGCTGGCGGCCAAGCGGCTCTTCAGCGCCTGCTTCCAGTCCATGTCCCGCGATACTCCCGTCCCAGACGACCCATCAACCGCTCTCCCGACAACCGCCGCCAACAGACCAACATCCGGGAAACGGTGCCTGCGTCACGTGACGGCCGCTCCGTTGCCGCCATCTTGAGTGCAGGCAAAAAAGAAAAAGCTACAAGGCATACGTAAAAGAAGAGCTCCCTTAAGTAACATGGCTACCGCAAGCTCTCGTCGTTAATTGAGTCCTGGAGACCCGCGTGCTCGTCAGCCGACCTCAATGCAGCACTCCAATTGGCTGAAGGCTCTGAGGAAAAAAAGCTTGAGGGAGCTACAGCTGCGCTTGCCCCTGCATGGCGTTTTCTTGACCAGAGATAGTTCTGCCATGCTGAGTTAATGCCTTCCGTGCGATGAAGAAGGGCCGCGTTGATCACGTAACTAGGTCGGTTGGATGGAAAGGGCCGGTAGTGTCTTTAAGAAGCGGCTGCGGGAGGCGGTGCAGAGGGTTTGCGGCTCACATAGACTACAATTCCCAGGATGCCATGTGCTTAGTTATCTCGGGTGCCTAGACTAGAGCTTCCACTCTACTGCAGCTTGGGAGTTGTCGTGGCTTGCGGTAACAATGTGTTTGGCTGTATACACTGAGCATTTTATTTCAGTTCTGTCTTGCCACAACTATTGAAGGGGAAGGCAAAAGTAGGGCTAAGCCCTGTGATTTAATACTGTATTTATATCACGGATTTTCCCCTCCCAATGTGCATTAGTTCCCCATCTTTTTAAAGACAAATAAAAACAGAAGCATCCAGCTTTTTCTTGTGAGGAACAGAGGATGGAGATTGCAGTTGCTGCTATTCATGAAATTTCTGTACATAGGAGAAAATAGATACAGTATTGGATCGGCTGTGTGTTTCTGCTTTTTTCTTACAACAGTGGTCAGTATAAGTAGTAGTACATCTCAAGTCTTTTCACCTTCTGGTACATCTGAGCTCTTCCCTTTACCATAAGTCAGAAATGTAGCCACCTGTGTTCTTTCATCATGGCTTTGTGTAACAGCAAAACTCCATAGCAGGAAATTAAGCTTGTGGACCTTGGTGGCTTGGGGACAAGCGTGACAGCAGACACACTACATTCAGACATAAACATGGTTTAGTGCTATGTGAACGAACTAATGCCCTCTCATTTCCTCCTGCAGCATAACTGTGAGGAGATCAGGAGCCTCTGGTTTGGTTTTGAATAGCAGTTTGTTGTTTTGTTCAAACTGGAGCAAATTTTATTAGTTTAAACTATGGTTTGTTCACATATACCCAAATCAAACCATGGTTTATGATCCTGGTTTGTTTGAATGAACCATGGTAAAAACATTACCCTGTTCCGACAAAATAACAAAGTGTGGTTGAAAACAGAAGTGGATGCTTATGATCATGGCCATATGCGAAGAGAGGGGAGAGCAGGGTTACACAAGCCTGAGGTGTGGTGTCTGCAACTTAGCTACAGTATCTTAAGGGTGAAAAATAATGCCAAACCACTCGAAAGTAGGATTGTGTTGGAAACATAACTTTTGTGTTAACCCTGATTGAGTTGCCTTTAAGGTAAAGATAGGCAATTCCTTCATGCCAGTTACACAATTCTTCTAATTTTCCATGCCACTTAAAGACCTTTGTAGAGGATGGTTGGAAGCTGCAGAAAGTAGAAGAAAAGGAGTTTTCTATTTAGGGATTGAGAAAAAGAAACACTAGTAGATAGGAGGAATTTTGGTCAGAAGTTGCAATTGTGTATATTGTATCATTTTGGAGGGGTATTGATTTTTTTGTTCTTCTTATTTGCTTTTATGTTTCTTGACAGGATTTGAATGAAAATCTCACATTGTGCTTATTGCTTCAGTGTGTAGATATAGCAACTGACAGAACATCAAAGATGGGTTGATATCAAGCTATTATTCTTTTTCTTTTTTACATTTGGGGAAAGGGATGCTCTCACTTTGAAATGAGCTTACACCATCTCTTTCTGAAGACTACATGAAGCCTGATTCAGTTTACTGAAACACCTAAATTGACTACTCACTTCTATCCTATCCCATCCCACCCCACGTTTCTCAGTTTTGATAAGGGTTTTAATACTCCACAAACTACATAACTGGGCTGTTCCTTCAGGAATTTATCCTCTCTCCATCGGTGTCATTATTTTTTTACATCATGGTATTTTTTCACCAAACAAGCAGCTTGGGGCTACTGAAGTTACTGAAGAAAAGTCACATGTTTCATCCCATGCCGAAGCATCAGCAGATGCCCACTGTCTTGGGGTGCTTCATTTTCACCTCGTCATATCAGTGTGCAAAACCAGTGGATCCCAGAATTCGTCCAGGAACTACCACATTGAGTTTTAAAGGTAAAGGTGAAGGTATAAGGGAGACCAGAGTGGGGAAAGACTATTCTTCTCCACGCCCTTTCAACCTGTTTGCTGCTGGAGCATCGAAGAGGAGATCAGGGCCCCGTGAAGCCATTGAAGATTCAGAGCGTTCCATCCTTTCGAGGCGGATAACGCTTCATCCTCCAGAAAAACCTTTGAGTGCTGGCGAATGGGAAGAGCTGAAGGGACAATTTGAGGGGCTGAGAAAGTTTGAACTGCTTATGTTTGAGCAAATGATAGCTTGCAACAGTCCCATCGATGTGGCCAAATCCTTGTTGGCTGCAGTGGCTAATCGAGAGGGAGATATTCAATACAGTATTTTGCTGAAGTACTTGTGCCTGTGTGTCTCTCAGGGGAGCACGGAGGAGATTTACGATGTCCATGACATTCTGAAAGCCAGATTTAAGACTTTAGAAACATCGGGTTATGGTCTTCTCATCAGAGGTCTGAGTGGTACACCACGCTGGAGGGAGGCCTTGTCGCTTCTGGAGGAGTTAAAAAAAGTCATGACCCCTTCAAAATCAAACTATGGAGACTGCATCAGGGGGGCTCTTCTTAACCGGGAAATAAATCTTGCATGCGAACTGTTTCATGAGATGCTAGCTAAGGACCTGGTGCCAAACCTGGATACCTTACAGATTTTCTTCGACACTGGCAGAAGTGTGAAGGATGACATTTTGAAAACTGAACTCATGCACATCCTCTCCTACTTAAGAGATAATCAAGTATATCCTGGGGAAGCTTTAATGCAGAGCATAAAGCAGTGGTTTGAAAGGTAAGTTTATCCTGTTGCAGGTAACTGGCTGATCTGATTCAGCCAGACTTGCCTGGAGACAATTTCAAATCATACAAGCTTCAGAATCTGATCACTCTAAGCAGCTGTTAACCTTTGGTTTTGTTTATTGTTAGTTGTAAATGCATGCCATGTGTCACATACTTAGGTAGGTCTCCTAATTTTGTGTCTGTGTATCTGCGCTGTGGGTTAAACCACAGAGCCTAGGACTTGCCGATCAGAAGGTCAGCGGTTCGAATCCCCGCGACGGGGTGAGCTGTTGCTCGGTCCCTGCTCCTGCCAACCTAGCAGTTCAAAAGCACGTCAAAGTGCAAGTAGATAAATAGGTACCACTCCGGCGGGAAGGTAAACGGCGTTTCCGTGCGCTGCTCTGGTTCGCCAGAAGCGGCTTAGTCATGCTGGCCACATGACCCGGAAGCTGTACGCCGGCTCCCTTGGCCAATAAAGTGAGATGAGTGCCGCAACCCCAGAGTAGGCCACAATTGGACCTAATGGGCAGGGGTCCCTTTACCTTTACCTATCTGGTATTAGTTACAGCGAACTTAGAAATGTGGCTAATCATATTTTTTTTGCAAGGCAAGGTTCCCTGTGGAGGTGAGCAAAACACTCACTAATGAAAAGGGTGTGCTACTTTCTAACTCGCATGCCTGTACAACATAAGCTGACCCGCTGTGTTAATCACTTCCTCCTTATTTCTCTCAACAATACAAGGAGGTATTTCAACAACCTACCACATTTCACATCCCTTGGATCCACGTTCTGGTCCCTCTGGATCTCTACCTGCACTCCCTCGTGCGTATTAAAGAATGCCATTGGACACAGCCACTTTAAAATATTTTTTGTTGCAGCCTGTTGACATCCTTGCACAGGTTAAATAACATCTACAACCTTTTGCAAAAGTCCTGCCTTCAGAATACATACGTACTGAATAGGCAGATGTTAAATGATATTTTCAAGCTTTTGTGGACATGTAACCTTTACCTTTAGTTAAGTCTGGCATACTCCTAGGTATGTTTGCTCGGAATTTGCAGAATTGATGGGTTTTATCCATGAGTAAACGTGCATCAAATTGCAGATAATGCATTTGATCATATATGTGTTTGCTTGCTTATTTATTGCATTTGCACACCACCTTTCTGCCAAAGCATCCAACATAGTTTACAATTTTAAAATAGTAAAATAAATAAATGCTCTAAAATGTAGAGTGACAATTGTCTCTAGCTGACAGGGAGCTGGTGGAAGAAGCTCCCTGGCCTTGCTTTCTTCTGCCTTCCCTTGAGGCAGATGGCTCTTAATTAAGACCATGTTCTTTGAAAGTCCCAAATGTTCAAAATACTTTACTGACAAGTAAGTATGCATAGAATTGTTGCCTTAGTTTGGAACTAGTCACAAGAGGTGCATCTTTTGGACTGTGATTAAATTTATAATATATTCTAATTTTTGTGCAATTTTTTGTAGTATTCCCGGAGAAAACTGGAAAGGAAGCTTAACTACCATCAAACATAGGTAAACATTTTTTTAAAATCTTGAAGCGCTATTTAATAATTTTGCTTATCATTACTTTGATCAAAGATTTTCAGCCCTGGCTTAAAGTGTGTGTTTTTTTTAATTGTTTCTGACAATTTGTGCATATATAAATTTGTACAGGGGAATTTAGTGGTTGCTCCACCCCCATTGTTCTGCCCGAACACTGAGGTCCAGCTCCGAGGACCTTCTGGCGAGAAGTGAGGTTACAAGGAACCAGGCAGAGGGCCTTCTCAGTAGTGGCACCCACCCTGTGAAACGCCCTCCCATCAGATGTCAAGGAAATAAAATACTATCTGACTTTTAGAAGAGATCTGAAGGCAGCTCTGTTTAGAGAAGTTTTTAATGTTAGATATTTTATCACATTATTGTTATTGTTATTATTATTATTATTATTAATATTCTGTTGAGAGCTGCCCAGAGTGGCTGGGGAAACCTAGCCACATGGTTGGGATATAATAAATGATGATGGTAATGATGCAATCCTGTACCCAGTTACGTGAGAGTAAATCTCATTTAATTCAATGAGACTTAATTCTGAAAAGACCTGTATAGGATTGTTCTTTAAATTGAATGGTGAAATCACACAGAAATGTGTAAGTTCAGTAACCACCAAAATAAAAGGTTAAATTGTTACAATTATTTTATGATATGTTTAATTATTGAATGTCCTGAGGATTCCTGCTGTCAAGTGAGTGAAAATAGCAGTGTGTAATAGGAGTAGAAGTGGAGACAAAGTAAAGGTATTAGAGAAGAATACATTGCTGTAAAGGAAAAATCAGAAGAACATTTTCCAACTGCTGTAAACTACATACAGTGGCAGACATCTTCATGCATTACATAGTATATGGAGGTTTCAGTTGTTTTCTGGTCCTCAGTCTGTGGTGACAGGTAAAATCATACCCCATCATTCTTGAGTTCAGTCACCTGAACAATGGAGAAGACACTGCTTTCCTCCCCTCACGGCACTGGTTTCAAACTCCTCTGCCTAGGACTGTAGTGGGGAATAAAATACCATTACAATTCCTGCATAAATTAGCTGAGGGGTTTGTGGAGAGAAAAGCCTCTGTGTGTGTTATTTGCTACACTCTGGGTGATGTAGCCCCAACAGTCAAAAAAAGGTTCACCACCCTGCCTTATAGTGTCCTATAGTTTTGTATACCTCTGCCATTCCCTTATTTTTGCTATTCTGGTCATTCTTCCACCCCACCCCATCCCAAAAAAGGTTCCCAAACTTGGATCTCCACCTGTTTTTGGACTACAACTCCCATCATCCCTAGCTAGCAGGACAAGTGGTCAGGGATGATGGGAACTGTAGTCCCCAAACTGCTGGAGACCCAAGTTTGGGAAGTCCTGGTCTAGATTTTTAAAGCTTTAGTTCAATAGAAACTGCATGTATGGCTTGGTGCCACAGCAGTATGTGCTAACAGGAGGTGTGATGAATAAATGAACTCTATAATCGTAAAATCTTCATTTTTATATACTCCATCTAACTGTTGGGCAAGGCAGTGTGTGGCCTTTTTTGTGTGTGTAACCATGGTTTAGCTTACCTGAACAAGCCTTGGGCTCATGTGCTTCCTCCTCTCCTCATCTAGCACACCTGTGAGGATGACATTTGGTGTTTTGATTTCTATTTTCAGCCACAAATTAGTATTATTTCTGAACTTAGACACCTGTGGTCTTAACCACAGTCTATTGCCGTAGTGGGGAACCTGTGGTCCTGGAGATGTTTTAGGACTCCTACTCCTATCAGCCCTAGATAGCATGGTCCATGGGCAGGGATAATGAGCTGTAGTCTATCAACACTAGGAGACCTTTGTACTAAACCATAGCTTAGCATTACATCTGAACAAGGATCCAACATGGTCCTGCAAGTTTTGGATCAAGACATGAATAAATGCACCTTTTAATTTTATGTTTTTTGCAATTTTTTTGGTATATAACATTTTTCTTCAATCATTGTTTGAAGGAAAATCAGGTTTACTTTGCAGATAATTTTATAAGCTGCTGATAACTGTCTGTGGCTTGATTGATGTTGCAGTGGGCAGTGCCCATCTTGTAATCAGTCCTTGGAAAGTATTAACCTGAGTCCAGAAGAATACAGCACTCTCAAGGAAAGAATAATAAAGGATGTGATACAAGGGACTGATACATTTAGGAAAACAACCCCCCAGGTGAGTTGCAAGGAAACCAATATTTTTCTACTGATTTGCTTATAAGAAATGATGTATTTGCCTATAAGCCTGCTGTAATGCTGCCACCACACTGGCAGAACAGCATGTTTTTTAAAAGTACCGTATTTTTTGCTCTATTAGATGCGCCAGACCATAAGATGCACCTAGTTTTTAGGGGAGGAAAACAAGAAATAAGAAAGCAACGCAAAGCATCCTGAGCTAAGAGGGAGTGCTCCTCCATCTTCGCTCAGGAGGTTTTGCGGGGCTATCCCTGAAGCCAGGAGAGCAAGCGGGATCGGTGCGCACTGATCCTTCTTGCCCTCCTGGCTTTCCCCCCATCTCCCGCAAGAGCCGCACGCTCTTTAAAGGGAGCACGGCTATCCCGGGCTTTTGCGGGAGGTGGGGGAAGGGACCGTGCACTCTGTCCCTTCCCCCACCTTCTGCAAAAGCCAGGGATAGCCATGTGAAGCCTCCGCAGGCCAGCAGGATGAAGGCTCCCCGCTGCCTGCGGAGGCTTCGCGCGGCTAAGCTGCGCAGCGCTCCCTCTAGCTGTTCTAGCTTCGCCGTGCGAAGCCTCCACAGGGCATGGGGATGAAGGCTTCCTGTGCCCTGCAGAGGCTTCACGTGAAGCTAGAACAGCTAGAGGGCAGCCCTTCTCCCTCCTCTGGGAAAAGCTGCGAAGAGCTGCACACATGCTCCACGCGGCTCTTTAAAGGGAACGCTGAGCAGAGCCTCCCGCCTGCATTCGCTCCATAAGACGCACACATGTTTTCCCTTACTTTTTAGGAGAGGAAAAGTGCGCATTATAGACCAAAAAATACAGTATTTTGTTTATGTAGCTCTTGATAGGTCCCATTCTACCTAATTGTTGCAATAGCAAGCCATGGGACCAAAGCACGAATAATATAAAAATAGTCCTCAAAGGTTGTGCTTAATTTATGACTAATTCAGAATAACAGAATAAAGAACATTTTATATATAAGCTACATCATTAGCATGTGAATCATTGGTGGCCGCCAGATTAGATGTTTTTAAGCTGGCACCCACGGTACATACATATTTGAGGCCCTTTCCTTTGGACTGGTATCTACTTTTAGCATCATAAATCCTTAAGCTGTAAACAAAACTATTGAAAAATGTATACATATTGCAACACTAGATTGAGGCATGTTGTGTCATTAATCTGGACCTATTTATAGGTCCTCTGTGAGCAGGCATTTCCATCTTGCTTGTGATGAGTCTGCTTCTGCCCATGTATTCGTTTGTTCCATTTTTAATAAATCATGCCACAGTTTAGAAATTATGCCATGTTAAAAGCACCATCTCTAGAATTAATAATTCAAATACTTGTATTGTTTGCCTCCTTGGAATGTAAACGGGCCACTGGATGGCGCTCGTGTTACATCTTGGATATGACGCTAGAGACAAAAAATATTAACGGAGATCAGAGATTGTGGAAGATGCATAACTTGTATTATTTCCCTTTCTTCTGCCCCACCCTTTAAAGTATCAGTTACTAATGGATCAGGGCATTTCTTTCAGGATCACATTCATGGAGTTGTGCCGTTTACAAATTCTTGACTCTTCTACAAAAGGAACAGCACAGTAATGATTTGATTTGTAAAGTAGGAATCCTTCTACTGTGAAATATGCTGTTACAGTTGTACCTCGGCTCCCGAATGCCTTGGGAGTTCAACGTTCCGGCTCCCAAACGATCAAAAACCGGAAATGAGCGTTCCGGTTTTTGAATGTTCTTTTGGAAGCTTGAATGTCCAATGGGGCTTCCGTGGCTTCCGATTGGCTGCAGGAGCCGCGCTTTGGTTTCCGAATGTTTTGGAAGTTGAATGGACTTCCGGAACGGATTCCGTTTGACTTCTGAGGTACGACTGTATTTCTGATGTAGGGAATTTGCTGCTCTTTAAACTAGTTGTAGCAACGTAGTTCAATGAGGCCGCTTCCTATGTTAGTACCAACTATGGGCTGAGCAAACTCCCAGTTCAAATTGTGCCTCGTCCATGAAATAATCTTGACAGCCTTAGGCAAATTCTTTTTCTTTTTTACATCTCTGTATAAGTTCACTTTGTGCCGTGTTGGCTAATAACAGTGGCTTCCCTAGTGGGGCTTTTATCAGAAATAAGGAGGAGGTGTGTTTGGGACCAGACGTGGGGAAATCCATGGTTGGATTTAACTTTTGAATTCAGCCCAGGCCTCCCGAACATGGTTTGTTGGGGAGAAACAAACCACAAGTACTGGTTTGGCTGTAACACAGAATTAGCCGTTTGATTGGTTTTTCCCTGCTCCAGGAAGAGAGGAGCAAAGTGCTCAAAGTGTGTGGTCACCATCATGCAGGGCATGTACAACCTAATTTTGCTAACTGTGTTTCATGGCCAGCATTGTTTCCAAATGCAGTCATCATTATTTCCATTAATCGTGTGTTTTACTGTACAAATGAGAGTGTATGCAATTGTGCAGCTCCTCTGTATGTACCACTTAACAGTTTTTCAGCTATCAGTCACAGAAAAACACACATGTTTTTGTGTTAAACATGTCTGTCTCAAAATCCCAAGAGCCTCTTCATTTCCTGACCTGTTCCTCACATGTTCAGGAACAGGAAATGATAGGGTTTTAGGGGGTTGGAGGTGTTTGATAAGGAAAGTTATTTTGCTGCAGTGGCCAAGAATAGATTGACTAATGTTGATGCTGGTTACGGGGCTATTTTTTCTGTCAGACCTTTCTGTTGATGTTAACTCTTTAAGCCCTTAACAGTTTAACCTTGGTACAGTGGTACCTCGGGTTACATACGCTTCAGGTTACAGATGCTTCAGGTTACAGACTCCGCTAACCCAGAAATAGTACCTTGGGTTAAGAACTTTGCTTCAGGATGAGAACAGAAATCGTGCTCCGGTGGCGCGGCGGCAGCTGGAGGCCCCATTAGCTAAAGTGGTCTTCAGGTTAAGAACGGACCTCCAGAACGAATTAAGTACTTAACCCGAGGGACCATTGTACTTTAAAGTCTTCTGTATGTTTCTCTTGATATGCTATTGTCATAATTTGAGGGCCTACTCCAGATCCCTTGAACTTGTTGGGCAAGGCTGGTATTAACTAGGATTAGGGGGGAGGTGAGCGCTGCACCCCAAAGTCGAATTCGACTGGACTTAATCATCCAGGAGTCCTTTGCCTTTTTACCTTTAGCCACCCTATGAAAAGTCTTGCCAGGCACAATGTGTCAGGACCTATCCTTATAGTGCTACAAGCCATTCCTAAAGATGCAGCTTTTTAAAAAGGCCCTAAGCTGCACTCATTTGTTCACTTTGTGTTTTATTTTGACAAGAGTTTGGAATTGTTGAATTTGTATTTAGTTTTATGGTAATACATTGACATTGTGATTGATTTTGAGTCAGGGATTGTTTTTGCTATTTTAATTGTTAGCCACCTTGAGTTTCTTTGGAAAGCTAGGCAAGATTGAAAATTTAAATCAATCAATCGATCTGCCTGAAAGAAAGGGGGGTGTATATGTATATGTATACGTACAGTGGTACCTCGGGTTACATACGCTTCAGGTTACATACGCTTCAGGTTTCAGACTCCGCTAACCCAGAAATAGTACCTCGGGTTAAGAACTTTGCTTCAGGATGAGAACAGAAATCGCGTGGCGGCAGCGCAGCAGCAGCGGGAGGCCCCATTAGCTAAAGTAGTGCTTCAGGTTAAGAACAATTTCAGGTTAAGAACGGACCTCCGGAACAAATTAAGTACTTAACCCGAGGTACCACTGTATATGTATGGACATGGGTGGCACTGTGGTCTAAACCACTGAGGTTTGAATCCATGTCATGGGATGAGCTCCCATTGCTCTGCCCCGGCTTCTGCCAATCTAGCATTTTGAAAGCACACTAGTGCAAGTAGATAAATAGGAACCGCTGTGGCAGGAAGGTAAATGGCGTTTCCGTGTGCTCTGGCACTTGTCACGGTCTTCCATTGCACCAGAAGCAGTTTAGTCATGTTGTCCACACGACCCAGAAAGCTGTCTGTGGACAAATGCCAGCTCCCTTGGCCTGAAAAGCACCCCATAATCACCTTTGACTGGACTCAACCGTCCATTTCCAGGAGGATATGACTGGCCACTGTTGGGAGTGAAATGCTGGACTAGATCAGCCTTTTGTCTGGGTCAGTAGGACTGTTCTTATGCACGTTCATCTATAATTAGCAGGCCACTAAAGGGAGAGAATCTATGGGTATGTTATGTTGGTGGGTTGATCCTTGGGGTCCCTGCCAACTCTATGATTCTATAATTTGATGATTGCTAAAAGTGAATCATTATTTTGAGTAATTATTTGGCTTATGCTACAAATTTTGGGAATTTACCATGGTTAGAAATGGCCGGAGTTTTTAACACAAAGCTGGGGGTTTTCTGGAAGGGATTTGTTGTGGGAACAGCTCTAGTCTTAGCCTTGATAATAGAATGTTTGTTTTGAGGCAAGTATTGGATGTTTGGGGAGATTCCATTTCTCACTAATAATAGCTCTTGCAGCAGCTGCCTGAAATCAGATGTAGATAGAGAAAGGCATCTGTTCCGTTAATGTTTTATTATTATTTTAAAGACATATTTGCACTTATCCTTGCCCAAATTATATGTTATGATGTAGTGACTGAGATGCCTGCAGTCTCAAGGGGTTGTGTCAGTGACTTTGCTCCTAATTTTAACTTATTTTAATAGGAAAAGCAGTATTTGCTACAGCACAGGGCCTTTTAACTGAAATAACATCCTGATTGTAGGCTTATTAAAAGACGTAAAGAATGCTGGACAACAGGGGAAACTTCACTGAGCTGTTCAGGAATTAGCATGGTATCCATTTAAGACTGAATTTTTCAGTTCCTGTGTAACATAATTTCTAAATCTTCCTGCTGCTGGGAACTGATGTGCATGCTTACTGTAGAAAATGAATTAAAACCCTTGTTTCAAAGAAACATTGATGTAAAAAAACCCCTAGAATACTAGCTCCCTGAAATGCAACTTCAATTCCCATATCTCAAGAAACGTATAAATTACTGTTTCTATTATGGCAGAGAAGGCTGCTGGCTCTTCCTGGGCTTGAGAGGATAAGTAGTTTTATGGACGCCGTTATGGAATGGTTGGTTACTAATTTTTCGTACTCAGTGAGGTGATCGCGTTTGTGATCAGGTGGATGTACACGAGGCCCTTTCTTATGAAGCCACAGTGAGTCACTGAAGACACATGGCTGGCATTCCTCTCCTGAATCAGTCACACAGTGATCCAACTCAGGTATTTTTCTTTCTGAAACCAGTTTGTGAAACCAAATGTAAATGAATGGATGATTGTCGCCTGTGGAATCCTTCTTTTGTGCCACCATGTGCGTTAGAGAAGCATCAGTAAAGACATCAGAGATACCACTGCTGTACGCTCTCTCGCTTCCTCTGAGCTCAACAGAATCCGACTGAGACCAGCAGGCAGAGTTTCCAGGTAGACAGCTGGAATCATGGCTTAATCACTGACCTTTCCGGATTTTTTTTTTTTTAATAAAATATTTATTGAAATTTTCAAAGTGTTACGAAATAAAATAAAAGCAGAAGAAAATACAAAATAAAAATAGTTAACAAAGTAGATAAAGAAAGAAAAACAAACCCCTACAAATTCAAAAATAAGAGAAAAAGACATTAAAAAAAAATTACACCACAAACAATTTAATAACATTTAAAAACAAATTCATTATTCTCGAATCCTCAACTGTCATTACCTTCTTTCTTTGACCTCCTCCTCCTCCCTTTCTTTGTATCCTAGTTATTAATTATCCCAGCAAATCCTTTCCATATTTCATAATATTCTGTCATTACATTACCCTAAACAGTTTTAATCTTATCTTTCTTTCTATAAGAAAATAAACCTTAAAGCTTAAAACTTAAATCTTATCCTTACCAACTTCTCATAACCATAATATTCTTTCATAATTCTTTAAACATCTTTACTAAAGCCGAGTAATTTCATTCCAACATTTTTCTAACATTCATCAATTTTATAAAACAGTTCTAATGGTAGAAAAAAAGAAATACAAACAGATCCAATCTTCATCCAACGTCCCTTCCTCCTGGTTCCGGGTTTTGTCAGTCCTTATTATCCCATCGATCTGGCCCATTAACCTGGCAACCTTATATCCGAGGCCCTCAAGTCTCTTCCATGTCCCTTCCGCAGCTCTTCTTCATATTTGTAACTGTATTTTCCCTTGTCTCCTGCTCGTGGTAACTCCAGCTTGGCAATATTTTTAACCCTTCTCGACAGATCAGCCCCTTTTCCATATTCAGCACTGAATTCCATATGGTATTTAAAAGCATGTTTCAAAGACCTTCCAAAATTAAGAGCCCCCACAATCCCAAACATCTCACGGCCCATTGCCAGATTTGAAAAGTCCAAACATCCCAGCATGGGGGGGGTCAATCCAGCCCCCCATTTCCAAGCCAAACCAAACTTTTCCTTTCCAAATCTGGCTTTTTCCAAGTTCATTTGTCAAATCCGAAAACTCATATTCCTGTTGGGCCTGTTCTGTCAGGACACACTCCTGATTTAATTCCTGGGTGGGCTCCACATATTTTCCCACTGTCTGTTCAAAATTTCCCACTGCCTGTTCAAAATTTCTAGTCGAAGTCGTCATCAAATTCACCTTCTCATGTAACTGTTCCAGTAGGGCATTTGTTTTGTAGAAAGCACACAACAAAGCTTCTGAATACATTGTCCTGCAAGGTCAAATGCCTATTCCCACGATTGTAATCTGTAAACAGCTGCCGGCTCCCTGGAGTTGGTTACAGTTTCACAGTCTCCCTCTGGGGGAAAACTTCTATTTGATCTTGCAACAAAGTTTCCCTTTTTGAGATACTTTGTCAATATTTATTCCTTTGAAATGCGAAGGGAAACAGTGGAATCACTATGTTTCTCTTCTTTTAGCTATCTGTCAAAAACGTTTGTCTCTGGTCAATGAACTTCAAACGTCAGTCCTGACACCCCGCTCCAGGATCAGGACGGAGGAAAGTTGCTTTACTTTAAACTCACTTTAAACAGTCCAAAAAAGATCCCCCTTCTTCTCCTGCTGTCGAAGGGGGGTTCCACAATTTTAAATGATGAAATCCAATCCTTTAAAGGCGATTTTCTGAGCTCTAGTTTACGTTGTCTTTGCTTTATTCTGTCTACAGAAGAACGGAAGGCTGACTTCCTGTTTAGACCTTCCCGTTCCGTACCAAATTGAAATAAATTTTTAAGATCCAATTCCTTTCTGCTCGCAAGTCCCCATTTAATGTCCAGTTGTTCAAAGTCTAAGTACTCACGGGTGCTTATTTTTGAGTCCAAATTGTCCCAGGAAAAAGGCAGCGCTCTCCGGCAACGGCTATGCGGCTTCGCTCCACGGAAATAGCAGTTGACTCACAGCACCGCGCCACTTCCCCCTCTTCACTTCGGAGCCCGTTAGTGGGTTCCTTAGCGAGTTGGGGGGGGCGCTAAAGGTGCCCGCCGAGTCCCATGGTCACAGGCTTCATCCGCCTGTGATTTTTAAAAGGGTCCCCGCTTCGCCGTAGCGGAGAAGACCCGTTTCCCGCGGAGCTAGTCCCTCCAGTTCAGAGGGAGTCCGCCATTGCCGATGGCGCCACCCCGGAAGTCCTGACCTTTCCGGATATTTGTTGTCTACTTGCTACTCTTAGTGGAAGGCCATGGCACCAATGCACACCTGTGGTCAACTGACTCTTCGAAGCGACTCATTCAGCCCTATTACTTATCACAAGAAGGAAATAACTAGATGAATTTGACTGTAATGGTAGCTAATTATCGCCTTTCAGCCATTTGTTAGTTAGCCAAAGAGCTGCAGTGACAGTTTAATGATTCATTAACTCAATTCTATTTCCACCCCACCCCCCTTCTCATCTCATTGTTCGGCTTAAGCTCTAATTTCATTTCACTTAATTAATTTCAGTCTAATTTGGTTGAGTGGTGTTTGGAGAGAGAAAAAGTTCACAGAAAAATTTAATTTCCTGCTTCTGAAGGATGTGCCAAAATATTTCTACCAAGAGATTGAGCCTGTAAAAAAAATCATTCTTCGATGCTGTATTCATAGGGAAACTTTTAAAGGCCTAAATCTGTTGGATTCCACTTCACATTGCATCACATCCTTAACAGCTGCTGGTCATGATGGCTATAATATGCCACTTCCAGGATCCAAGGCCATATCCTTCTGAATGGTTGCTGGGAAGCAGCAGTGCCCTCATGTCTTGTTGGTTCTTAAGCACTTTTAAACTAGCTTTGCAAACTGAATGAAAATGCTGTCCAGGTAGCTAAAGTATCTGGGAGTCTTCCTTTCATTTTTGGGTTGTCATTTTGGAACAATACATCACTTAACCTCCTGACAGCTATCTTTCCCCACACGGAGCTGTCACCTCACCTTGCATACCACAAACTCCATTTTTAGTTCATTTTTTCTCCTCATAGCATACCCAGGTTCCTACCCAATTGCCTTCTTCCTCTCACTCTCCCCTTTTGTGGTCCCCATGTGACCTCCTCTTGGCCTTTCACGAGAGGCAGTTTAGAAAGCTGGCAAAGTAATTATATTATTGATGCGTTCATGTTATAAGTTTGCAAAGGCCCTTTTACAGACGACACTCTTGCATGTAATATAATCCTGCATAAAAACCAGCATGGACATGCAGCATTTCCAACATAACTAAAATCAGTACTGATTTTAAAAAATATGAAAGGTGCAAAGCAGAGCATATAAAAGCCAATTGGCTCATGGAAATCCTCCGAATTAAGCAAGCCTTAGCAGGCCATAATGAGGGGGCCACAACCAACCAACCAAAAGAGAAAAGGCCAGGTTCTCATACTTGAGGTTGTATAGTTTGAGAAACTTGGGAATAGGCCCACTCAGATGACCTGAGCTAGTAGCAGAGTTTATAGGGGAAGTGGTTTTCATATGTCTCAGAAGTGGCACTGATGGGGAAAATTCTGTACAGGGTTACAGCTGGTGCAAGAGCGAGAAACTTGCAAACACTGACTGATTAGATATTTTTTGGTAGAATGGTTGGCAATACTATTGGGGTCAGAATGGGAAGTGTTTATGGTGCATGCGCAGGGCTTGTCCCTGTTGGGATACTGCCAGGGAGACAAAGTCCATCATGGTCCCAAGCCGTCTCTGGACGATCCATCGATCTCCCGTAGTCACGCAGTATCAGTAATTAGTGACATGAGCTCCAGAAATAGCCCAACATCTAGAGCCGATGCACACTCTCTATCAGCAGATAATGCACAGCCAAAGTTGCACTCAGGAGAGCATTATTTACAAGTTTTATTCAGCGTTGATCAGAACAAAGAAAACATGACTGCCTGCATCAGTGTCTCCAGACACAGAGAGAAACGAAAGCAACAGAAAACATAAACATCCTGTGAACAGGAAATACGCAAACTCTGTGACTCTCAAAGCCTGCTCCCTTTTAAGGTGGAACGGAAATATCCTAACAGTCCCTAGGTGTAAACTTATTGGTAACAAGCCGTAGCAGATTCCCCTGAGGGAAAAAAGGAAAAAGAAAGTATTAGCATGTCAGTTCTGCTTTCCTTTTGTGCTGCACAAGTGTCTAGGGTAATTAGAAGGCTTTGGTGATATGCGCGAGTTGACAGGGTTCATTTCGGGAAATGCACCTGCAATAACCCCTGAGAGGCAGTTTGAGTAACAAAAGCAATAGGGAGTTCCCAGAAGACTTGCTGTCAGGTATTTTGAAAAAAAGGAAGCAAGAACAGGATTCGAAATGTAGGTTTTAAAAATGTAATGTGGAGGTAGTGACTAACGTCGGTGACTAATGTCAAACGTTGGAACAAAGTGCACTGTCACATGTATTATTGATAAGACTGAGAGAACTGGGTTTTCTCAAGATCTGCTAGTTGCTGTGTTGTAGGGCAAAAATGAAAAGAAAATCCTAGCTACCCCAAGCAGTTTGCTTTGCCATCCTGCAATTCTCAGTTGATTTCAGTAGTTTTGCTTCATCCGCATCCTACCTGATTGAAAGTAGAACTATAGGCTGCAATTTAGATACACTTGCTTGGGAGTCAGTGCCAGTGAATTCATTGGGGTTTACTTCTGAGTAGACATGTATAGGATTGTATTGTTACCCCCACTCGGTCCATTTTGTGTTCTTTGATTCTTTGCACACTGGTGAACTTTCCCCTTCAAAATCATGCGTGTAAATCAAAATGTCCTTTTGTTTCAGGTAATTGAATGAGAAGCCAAAAGAGCTCGGGTTTTCTGTCCTAGGTGTGCAGCATAGCTTGATCATCTTGTTAACTACATGTTGAGCACCGTTGGTACTATTTTGCTCACTAAAATAATTTATGCACAGCAAAAGGTTTGGATAATTACTTCAGACTCCTCTATGAAGTTCAGGCCTCTGACTTTACTGCTTCCCTGTCCTGCAGTACACCTAGCCCAAAACGTGGCTCCTGTATTTCCACAGCCTCCAGACCTTCCGGCCCATGGGCCCTGTGTGATGTTCCTTTTTCTATGCTTTCATTTTGGATGGTGCTTTCTTCTGCAGCGACTGCAAAAGAACTGGTAGAGGAAGTTGTTGTTTCTTGGTTGCCCGCTGAGAGGCAGCTGCTACTTGCTGTGAGAGAGGTTTTACTCAGATTACCAGGAATTGAGAAGGGTTGGGAAAACCACAGTTTCCCAGTTTCATTTCTGCAAACTCTGGAAGTAATGGATTAAAACAGCACACATGAATAACTCAACCCAAAGTGGATTGGTGACATCGCTCAGAGTAGTTTTTCAGATATGTCTGTACCACTTCATGGAGTTCTAAAAATGATTTGATAGGCTTGGTTGGCACCTCCATCCTAAATATGGCAGAAATTAGTTCATAAACCTTACGTTTAGGCCTAAAGAGAACAAATAAGCTGTGTAGCTACTGCAGGTGTAAAAAATAAAATTTCCAGGATATGTTCCTATCAACTGTTTAGAGTCGGGGCTAATGTATACTCAGTAATTAAAAAAAAAAATCAATTCTGTGCTCGGGTATCCTTGTATTGTGCCAAGAAAAGTGGATTTCTGAAACTTATATGCAAATTAGCATACATTAATTATCAGTTTTTTAATATAGACTTAGATATATAAATTAATATATATAAATAAAAATAGATAAATAAATAAATAAATAAATAAATATGCAGGCTGTAGAAGTTCTCAATTTCTGACTTCTGAATCTTCATAAGATATTGCCCATATTCATTGAAGCTTATCATTGCAAGCATAAGGACTAGAAACTTGCCTGCAGTAAAAAGAGCAATTAAAGATAGCTTGGTTGCTGAATTCTGTGTCCATTACCAATTTATTTTCTTTCATTGAATATATAAAATCTGGTTGAAAAAAACAAAAATAGCAGGGTATCTAATAAGGCAGTTATGTTTCATTGTTGCTTTTCTTTCAACTTCTTACCTTCTCTCTTTTCTGGTTTTTTAGGAACTTGAAGAATTTCAGACATTCGTGAATCAGTGTCCCCCTTTTGATATTGTGATTGATGGTCTCAACGTTAGCAGAGTTTACAACAAAGCCACTCCATCTCAAACTGTAAGTACCATTCTATCTCTTAAATAACTGCGTGTGTGTAATAGCTATTTTACCGCTTCAAATCATGGTTTAACATTCTGACTTTTCCTGGAGCAAGCCATCGACCATAGTTTCTCATTTTGACTTAACTGAGAAACTATAGTTAACTGAAGGTTTGTTTGTTTGTTTACTTCCTAGTGTGTAGGAAGCAGGGAAAGGGGCTGCATTTGCTTCCATAAGGCTCTTTCACACCCTCTTATTATGCTGAAATATGATAACTTGGACATGGCCAGCATGTTAGAATCCATGCACAGAATGCTTACGCCATTCTTTATAGAGGACCCCCATTCTAAGTAAAATGTTCAGGGAAATGTTAAATTGATACCAGGGATGAGGACCTGTTGGAGAAGAATGAATTGACTGCAGACAAGAGTGAGCGAGGTGTTTCCAGATAGGCACAGCCCACTTGCGCACTGTGCTGATCATTGCCACTTCCAGCAGGTATCCCCATGCATACAATCAAAGTTTAGTGTGAAATCTGTCATGAGAAGCAGCCACTGGGATGGGAGGACTTCAAGGTCTCTTCTTGACATCAGTTTAGTTAGTGATTGGGCGCAAAAAAAAAGAAGCACCTCAGAGGTGAGGTACCTTTTTAAAATCATGAGTGTTTAGAGTTCTTGTTGCCACTTTTTTTGCATAATGGATGCTGTCCCTCTAGCTCCATACAGTCTTTGGACTAAAACATCAATTGCCATGGGAATTGCTTGTTTAGCTTGTGGTTGTTTGACAGCTTTTGACAGAAATCGTATAGCTTTTGCATCTGGCGGAGTATTAACTGAGGCTGTGGTGGTGCACAAAAGCCTTATCAGAAACATGGTGTAATGGCAGCCCATGCTAAGGTCTTGCTTTTACTCTCCTTAACCCTGTAACGTATCTTTCCTGGTTTTTTCATATCTGTGGCTAAGTCACTAACATGTTATTGGCTGGTGGAAGCAGGGATTTACTTGTTGTCGTGTACTGGCAAGTTGAACAAGTTTTGCAGAAGGTGCAGTGAGAACTCAGTATGGTTTCTGATAACTGGCAGCTCAGCCCTGGTGTAAGGAGAAGAAGCTCAGAGTTGATATGAGGAACAGTGGTGAGGCAGTATAGAAACATGCAGTACATCAATGCAAATCCAAGACATGTGCCAGTTTGTGTCATTGATTGCATACTCACTCGCTGGATCATCATCTTGTTGTGTTGAATGGGCTTGCATGTTCCTGTGACCCTTGTGAGTGAAGCCGTCAAGAGACTCGTACTTCCAGCAGGGTCACCCAAGGCGGTAAGGTCAAAGGGGAGGAGCTAGACAAAGAATGATCCAAAAAGTCCTCAACGGCAGAACAGGCGGAAGATAACAAGGAGTATGTTACAACGGCTGTGAAGGCGGATGAAGGCTGCAGCAGATAAGAATCTACCAGTCATTGTGATTACTCATATCATTGGAATAGAGCCTTACTGCGAAGACTGTGCGTTGGTCAGCGTGCACTGATCTACACACATAAAACAAATCCATGCACACGTGCCTTCCAAAAACCCATCCCATACCCAAACACCGTGTTTATGGAAGACAATTTTACTTGGCTGCGAGTGAACGCCAGAAAAGAAGAAGATTGGTTGCATACATCCCCATGTGCAAAAACACCCTACCAGGGTGTTTCCCTCACCTTTGTTTCAGTTTTGGCAGTAGGATCATTGGGCATCAAGACTAGGGACGTACCTTAGGGTTGGTCAGGCTGGCGCCTGCCAAGGGCACAGACCCAGAGGTGTGTGCGAAAACCACGCCTTTTCCACTCTTTCCAAATTGGGCATGCGCTCCCTGGGCCACTGTTCCGCTGCTCTGGGCACCTAGGCAAGGTGTGCAGGATCCTTTGCCAAGGGTGCAAAGGAGCCTAGATACACCTCCAATCAGGACTATATGAATACACAATGTAAGAACCGAATCACATGGCATGTTCTACATGCAAAGGGGCTACATTCCGAGATTAACTTCTGTGTGCACCCCCCCCAACACAACATGTAGTCAACATTTGGGGTTGATGATAATCGTGGCAAAAATGATAATTTTAGCAGGCGTATGTAACTGAAGAGGAATGCAGCCCAGTAAAAAGGAAGCTATGTACTGTTCTGACTAGAAAAGAAAATCCCTGGTGTCTTCTGCAGAAGCTGCAAAATCATTGTGGTAATCTAACACAACATCCTGTTAGGTCTCCAGATATGTGGCTTTTTAAGTTAAACGAAAGTAATCTCTCACAGGCCTTTAATTTCCACATGAAAAACTCCAATCAGAATGAGGATAAGGGGAAAACATCCTTGCCCCACATTGTACCGATTGTTGTTGTAAAAAATTACTTCTAAATCTGGAATTGTCAAGCAAACGCATGTAGGAGTTGAGTAGAATAATAGGAAGGAGATTCTAGATGTGTTTGGAGGAACAAAAGAAACAATCTTATCAGACACATCAATGGAATTCCCAGCTTGGAATGGGAGCACTTTCAGCATGTTATGAGGTAAAACAGAAAGTGTACACACTGTTCTCTTACATGTCCAAGCTAAAGGAAGTGTGGTGTTATCCAGGAGTCATCTCTGTTAATCAGATACTGTGTGTTTTTGTTTTGTTAAAAAAATAATTCTGAGAACTCTGAAAGGTCAGTGTCAAAACTTAAGCTACTCCCGCAGGGCCAGGCTGAGTTTGTGGGCAGCCATACCTGATTTCCACACCTGGAGGGTATGTTCTCTAGCTTGGGGTCCCTGAGTTCAGTGGCTTGAGCTGGGCAAACTGGAAGCTGGTGGCTGAATTGTGACAAGCGGAAGGGACTGCTCCGCCATCCGAGCAAAGGCAGATGGCCTGACTGATCCCCACTTGCACCTGGTGACAACCATGAGATCTAACCATGAGATACAAGATCCCCAGCAAATCTCTGCCCTTGGGCTTCTGCATTCAGGCCCCAGAGTACCCAACAAGCTATCGCAGAGGCTGCTGTGATGTAAATGTGAATCACAGAATGATAGACTCATAGAATTGGAAGGGACCCATTGGATCATCTAGTCCAACCCCCCTGCAATGCAGGAATATGCACCCATGTGGGGATCAAACCCGTGACCTTGGCATTATCAACACCATGCTCTAACCAGCTGAGCTAACTGGCATGTAATTTGTCTTCAGTAACCAGCCGATGAGACGCTGCCACTGGGCAAGTGAGGAAAAGAGGAACTTGCAGATTAAGTGCCTGCAAGGCAGCATTGGTGGGCTTCACTGTCAGCTTGACCTTTGAGTCCTTTCCTTCCCCTTGTTACTTGAAGTCACCCAAAAGCTGTACCATTCTAGTCTCCCAGGAGGAATGCAGGGGCTTTCCGCTCCACCCCTGCTTCTGTTGTTGCAAGGATATGGTAGGAAATGCCAGGGATCCCATTTGTATTTTTCCTACGTGTTAGGGAGGCTTTCTGGTGCAACACTTCCTCCTCTTCCTGTCTTCCTTGCTCTGAGTTTAGAATTGTTCCTCTGTTGGGGGGGGGCAGGGGGCGGTGCACCCAGAAAGAGGAGAGAGAATGAAGGACTGATACTATGGTGTGCAGGTAACACAACTTAAAAACACTCTTCGCTGAGATTAAAACAGACTAAAAGACCTGGGTGGAAATACAAAATACACACAAGGCAAACCTGAACAAAAGGCCACCTTGAGATGTGTATCAGAGGCACGTGATCCTGTATTCTCACTTTACATGTTTCGGAGCTGATACTGGAGGCATTTAAAACCAGCTCTAGAGCTGAGACATGACTTGATAAGCAAACAATTCTGAATAATTCCCATGGGAGTCTAACACTGAGGGATCTGAACAAAAATGCGGCACAGGAAAATAGCGTGTGGATGTGTGTTTGGCAATTTCAAGACATCAGGCAATTTTAGGCCTTGTATTGTAACACAGAGAGCTTGCCTTTATTTAATAAGTGGCACACAACTGTAGCAGAAGGGAATACAGTGGTACCTCGGGTTAAGAACTTAATTCGTTCCGCAGGTCTGCTCTTAACCTGAAACTGTTCTTAACCTGAAGCACCACTTTAGCTAATGGGGCCATCTGTTGCTGCCGCGCTGCCGGAGCACAATTTCTGTTCTCATCCTGAAGCAAAGTTCTTAACCCGAAGTAATATTTCTGGGTTAGCGGAGTCTGTAACCTGAAGCGTATGTATTCTGAAGCGTATGTAACCCGAGGTACCACTGTATTGTGAAGTGATGCTGAGAAGGAAGAAAACTGATAGGTGGGAACTGTGTGTATGCGGAACCAAAATGTGCTACCTGAGGGGGGAGGGGGGAGACCTCAAACCTGGTGAGCAAATGCAATCTTCCAGGTCTCTCTGTCTGGCCTTTCCTCAGGCCACCCCCCCTTCCATGCCACGCTCTTCACTGATTCTGCTCTACCCATTCTTTGAGCGCTGTTTGCCTGGCTGGAATGTGTCCTTCAACCATGCTGATAGCTCTTGCTTGCTTGTACAGAGAGTGTAGAAAAGTCTGAATTGTGCGTGACTTGAATGTAGGATATTGCACAAAGCCTCCACACACTTTTTCTTCTGGCCCTGCCCATCGCTGCTATGTGGCCCCCAGAAGCTTGGTTGTGAGGAAATCTGGCCCTTGGGCTGAAAAAGATTCCCCAACCCTTCCTCAGCACCAAGTCTAGGGCTGGTGTAAAGTAGCACCACTGAGGTACAGGAAAGAGCGTTAGGATGAGCCCCACCTCTGGGTCGCGCATGTCCCTGCTACAACCTTTTTCAGCCATTCAGGCTGAAACTTTGCTGACAAAGTATATTGGGGGAGTTCCACCGGGGCTATCTGTTGTGGGAGTTGCAATTCTGCTGTGGTTTCCACCCAAACCTAATCTTCCATTTAGGGTTGTCTCACATCAGCAATTGCCATGTTGCATTAGAGGTTTCAATAATTTTCCCTTGCAATGCAAAAGTGGGCAGGGAAAAAAACCTCCCAGAAGTAAAGGGTAAATGAGGGATGGGAGGCGTGGATCAAGGAAATGTTCAGATTGATTGCACACTCATCCCTATTGTATTTTGAAATTTAGGAAAATTAGACGCGTAATGTAAAGGTGTCCTGCGGCAACTCAAATATTTCTGTAATGCGTATGTAGGTGGTAGGCAATTGTAGGTCATAAAGCACATTTTGAGTCATGTTTTTTGAACAGCTTTTCTTTTGTGAAGCGTTTGCACTATTTGTAGATGCAGGCTGAAGGCTGAAGAAATGAATGCTTCCCCACACAAGCCAATTTTCTGCTTACAGGGAAAATTCATCAGGGGAGGGTTTCTTCTGACTGTGCTACTTTTCAGCTTGCTAGGAGGGTTTTTGCTTTAGGCAGGGGAGCATTCAGAATGTGTGAAGTGGAACAGTTCACTCTGCAGTGCCCGCCCACTCCCAATTCTGCTGCTTGGCCTACACTCAGGAGAAAGTGGGTGAAACGCATAATCTGCTTATGTCAAGCTTATTTTCTAGGTCACATGAGGCTCAAACTAGACATAATAGTGGCTGATGCAGGTCTACTGAAATCAAGTATAAGGCAAGCAGGGGGAATCCAGGGACTCATTCTTAGATGGTGATAGGCAAGTGAGTGAGAGGGTTCCCATAGTCTGTTGCCCAAACTCATTTCCCCCCTACACTTAGGCTCTAATACCAGAACTGTGCCCAGTTGGGGGGGAAATTCATTTGGAGGGGGATGGCTGGGGAGAAAGCTGCAGACCTTTGCTTGTGTTTCTAACAGGGCAAGGTAGAAATGGGTTGGATGTCTTTGCAGTAGGAGGGTAGTTTTGGAGGCCTTGTTGGAAGCTCCTAGGTTGAGCCACAGCACGATCATGTCCTGTTCCTAATGTATGTTCCCATTTGAAGCAGTGTTCCAAATTAGCCAGGCGTGTTTTGCAACTGGCATGTTTCCAATTGCGACTACAGTGGTACCTCAGGATAAGTACTTAATTTGTTCCAGAGGTCCGTTCTTAACCTGAAACTGTTCTTAACCTGAAGCACCACTTTAGCTAATGGGGCCTCCTGCTGCCACTGCGCTGCCGGAGCCCAATTTGTGTTCTTATCCTGAAGCTAAGTTCTTAACCTGAAGCACTATTTCTGGATTAGCGGAGTGTGTAACCTGAAGCGTATGTAACCTGAAGCGTATGTAACCCGAGGTACCACTGTATATGGAGATCTCTGGATGTCAGGTTTGCGACTTGACATCTCCATCTGGCTGGCCTCGCCAGCTTTCTTATGCCGGTAAGCAGAAGAGCTTATTTATTGCATTTATATCCCACATTTTTCTTCATGGAGCACATGGTTCACTTCCCCTCCTTCGTTAATTCCTACAACGACCCTGTGAGGTAGGTTAAGAGGCTGTGACTGGCCCATGGTCACCCAGTGAGCTTCATGACTGAGTAGGGATTTCAACCCTGATCTTTCAGGTCCTAGTCCGGCACTCTAACCACTACACCACACTGGCTAGAGTACCTCTGCTATGGGGCAGTTATATGAATTAAGTAGGGAAATAAATATGGGGAAAGCAAAATGTCACTTAGAGAAGTATTCCCCTTGAAGCTTGAATTTGTTTTATTCTAGATTTTTTTTTGATGTTTTAATGAGTTGTAAACCACTTTGAGATGTTTTCTTTAAAATATAAACTGGTATAGAAATGAAGTGAATAAGACTAAGAATAAACTCCACTGGGGCAGGGAGGGGGGAATAGTGTCTAGACATACTTTAACCCAGGTTTAAGATGCCATTTAGCAGTTAACTTATGTATCTGAGTTTCTAATACCGATTTGGAGAGGAGACTGAAGACATTGTTTAGGGCAATGTAGTTCAGTAACAGAACACCTGCTTTGCATGCAGAAGGCCCCAAGTTCAATCCTTTGCATATCCTGGTAAGGCTGGGAGGGAAACCCCATCTGACATTCTGCAGAACTGCTGCCAGTTACTGTAGAAATAACGGATGGACCAATGGTTTGACATGGTATCAGGCAGCTTCTTATGTTTTGTAACGTTTGGCCGTGCTGTAGAGAGTATTTAATGCTTGCCATAGAACAGACTTGCCTCAGTTGCTCAATATGTATTGGTGGTTGCTACAGCAACCGAAATGTGTTCCCACTTGTACTGTACACAGCGAGTTTCTTCCTGGTTTGCTCAGGGAATCTTTCTAAAACATGACGCACACTGCAGCAGGTTGTCTTACCTTCTTCTCTTTCTCCTCAGATGAGAAGTTCATTTTTTCTAAATCTCTCAACTTTAATCCTTTATGCAATCTCCCATTCTGTGTCAACTCTTCCTAGTGCAGCCTTTTTTGCCTTCTAACAATCAACCTGTCATGAAATTATCACCTAAGACAGAAACTAGTTACATAAGTCCAGATCTGATGTGTTCTTGATAATACTGAGAAGCAGGAGGGGTCATGGAAAGAGCCAGGTAAGTGTAGTGGTTGAAGTATTGGGCTAGAACTTGGAAGACCAGAGATCAAATTGCCACTCAGCCACGAAGCTCATTGGATGACCTTCGGCTGGTTATTTACTTTCAACCTAGCCTACCTCATAGGGTTGTTGTGAGGATAAAATGGGAAGGAGGAAAACTATGCATGCCACCTTGAGCTCCTTGGAGGAAAGGTGATATAAATCATAAAACTGGAAGGGACCCCAAGTTTCATGTAATCCAACCCCCTGCAATACAGGAATCTCAGCTAAAGCATCCATGACAGATGGCCACCCAACCTCTGCTTAAAAACCTCCAAGGAAGGAGAGTCCACCACCTCCCGAGGAAGACTGTTCTACATAAAAATATAAATATAAATATAGTGAAGGGTGGGAAAATAATAAAATCCAATAGGAAATTCCCTTTGGTTTTGTTTGTTTATCTAACAGGTTTCACTTCTCCTTCCTACTTCCTATGGAGGAAATAGTTACGTTCAAGTGTGAAACTTAATGCTGTTGATTTGTGTAGCCCTTAACTTCCTCTGAAGACTATAGAGCAACCTTCACCTATCTGGTGCTCTCCAGATGTTTTGGACTACAACTCCATCAGCTGCTGGCTGGGACTGATGGTAAACCATCTGGCTGGCAAAGCTCAGAGGCATTACACAGAAAATCCACAGTTCTTTAGGTCTACAAACAGAGGTAGGCAACCTAAGGCCCGTGGGCCGGATGTGGCCCAATTGCCTTCTCAATCCGGCCCACGGATGGTCCGGGAATCAGCACATTTTTACATGAATAGAATGTGTCCTTTTATTTAAAATGCATCCCTGGGGCTTGTGGGGCTTGCCTGGTGTCAAATACCTTGACAGGATCTTTGCTATGAGGCTTCCATCCTTTGAAGACTGTGTACCCTGTGGCTTTTCCTGAAAAAATACTAGCTTAAGTGTCCAGCTTGCTACATAGCTGCCTGCAGTGAGTGTAATGATTTCAGTGGAATGAACATGTTGGCACAAAAGCAAGTATTTAGAATAGGAAATCCCTTTTTAGTGGGAAAGTTGTATTTACATATCTCTTTTGCATCAGTAGTTCTTCTGTGTCACCGAAAACGTCACTCTAGTATCTCTGAATTGTGTAAATGCTCAGGGAATTGTCGTGGTGAGTCACTGTTGAATAAGTGATTCCTATAGCAACCTATTTTATGTTGGGTGTGTGTATTTAAGCTGAGAGTTCAAGGAACAAAACTAAGTATCACCTTGAGAAATATTTGGAATTTGAAGGATTCACATGTTTTTTTAGGTGATGATGATTTTTAGGTGTGTTAAATTCTTCCTTTGGTATTTTTATGTTTTATCTAGGTCACTACTCACATACTGGGCATATTGAATTCATACGTAGAAATGCCTTTAAATTTTGCCCGTTCATGTTTAAACAGAGAATCTCTTTTTAAATGTCTTCGTACAAAGCTGTTTGATCTCAGATTAATTTGTTTTATTGCCATCCATGTACATTGAGACAGGAAACTTTTTCAGCCTGAGGGTCATAATTCTTCATGGGGCTGGGCAGCAGCCTTCTGGGTAGTCTGGGTGGGGCGAAGCCAGAAGCAAAACTGGGCAGAGCAATGGATGCAATTTTTATTTTTTTGTATAGTAGCAACACAAGTCTGAGGTTTTTGCACCTACTCACTGCCCTCCCTCCCCCACTCCCGCCTGCCTTATTTCCGTTTTCCATCCATGCAAGAACTATGCATTATCACACGTCAAATACCCACTTCAGCCAGATAAAAGCAGAGATTGTGGCACTGGACTGGTGAGGGACCTAGGAAGCGTTCCAAGGCTAGATAGAAAAGCCTGGAAGACCGCATTTGGCCTCCAGGCCGCATCTGGCCCCCATTTCCCTTGTTTTGCAAATAATGAGAGGACTGATCCCTGCCCCAAGTGGTTTACAGTGTAGAATTTAACACAGAGCTGGGAGGGGCAGGGACAAAAAGAGAAGAAGCTGCAATAATTGCATACTCTTATTAGCTTAACCTAAGAATGTGCAGGGACGCGGGTGGCGCTGTGGGTAAAACCTCAGTGCCTAGGACTTGCTGAACGTAAGGTCGGCGGTTCGAATCCCTGCGGCGGGGTGAGCTCCTGTCGTTCGGTCCCAGCTCCTGCCCACCTAGCAGTTCGAAAGCACCCCTAAGTGCAAGTAGATAAATAGGTACCACTTTATAGCGGGAAGGTAAACGGCGTTTCCGTGTGCGGCACTGGTGCTGGCTCGCCAGTTGCAGCTTCGTCACGCTGGCCACGTGACCCGGAAGTGTCTTCGGACGGTGCCAGCTCCCGGCCTCTTGAGCAAGATGAGCGCACAACCCTAGAGTCGGTCACGACTGGCCTGTACGGGCAGGGGTACCTTTACCTTTACCTTTACAAGAATGTGCATGTTCTCAGAATTTTAAGGGTGGATTTGAAAGAAGTTAGAGGCACCGTGGAGACACTCTTGCAGGCAGTTTCATCTATAAAGGAACAAGATTGGTTGGAGGAATAAAATTTTGGGGTAGAGAGGCAGAGCTGGATTTCATCAACATACAAGAGTTACTCAAAGCCATGAGGTCATCTAGCTGTCCTTTGGGAGCACTTAAAATTGGGTAACTACAGGTGAGCATCCATGCCTCTTAGCTGGTTGCTCAAAGTACACCTGCATCCGCGAAGGAACTCTGTGGGGTTTGCATATCTTTCTTCTTCTTTGGTGTTTGCATTTACAACAGCTGGTTACATAAGAGCCTGGGTGTGGTGTTTGCACTTTCACTGATAACAACAGTGCATGTTGGGAAGGTTGTTCTGTAGATTAATATCCCTCTTTAAAACACACTGTACTTGCAAGTAAGCTCTATTGATAAAGAATAGGGGTGGCTAAACATTTCTGACCCGAGGGCCTCATTTGCCCTTGGCCAGCCCTTCAGAGGCCACTTGCCAGCAGTTAGTGCAGTTTGGGCATGCACACTCTAGCATGCAAACACGTAGGCAGGCACAGATACGGGCGGATAGCCACCTCCTCAGTTGTTCTGTGCAGATCGACAGAGGAGTGGCTTATCTCCCCCGCTCTGTTCATCAAATGATTGATCTGATGACCAGGGGTGGGGCAATTTGCACCTCTAGCAAGGCACTGAGATCCACCTACTTCCATTTTTCTTTTTTTCACTGCTACCAAAATCATTGGCAACTCAGGGGGGCAGATTGCAGGGTGTGTGTTAGTGGTGGTAGGCCCTGCTGGCCTAAGATACCAAATGCATTAAAATTGACACGGAGTTGTCTTGACAGGTATCCTCATGATGTGGTTTGTTACTCTAGAGATTATAGGGGGGGTTATCAATTTGGGGAAGCATTTTTCTGTGTTAGTTTGCCTGCAGAGGCCCAGCAGGCAGGCAGGCAGGCAGACACTCTGTTTGCTGCAGAGGATCCTGGTGCATTAACCATGCCCATTGAGCTTCACTATCAGCACATGTATACAGGCAATTCCTCATGGGCGCGCGATTGGCGCTGACGCATGGACCATTTTTGGCACCATAAGCGGGGCAGAACAAACATGGCCTTCAGCACACCACATGCTCCACTGTAGCTGCAGAAGGAGGTTGGTATTGGTTGGCAAAGTAGGTGGTTTCTTAAGAACCCTCTAGAAGGCACATTTTCCTTCCAGTTGTGCCAGTGGCAGTACAGTGGTCCCTGGATCATAACAGCTGCCAGTAACAACATGCAAAGGCTGAAATTTTTGTTCTTGGCAACCCTTCTCATGAACATATAGTGCGTTTCAAGTCTTTCTGCCTCATTGTGGGGAAGGCATGGCTACTGACGAAACTCAAGTTGAAGAAACATATTTTGACTTTTTAAAATACAGTGGCGCTCAGGTTGCAAATGTGATCCGTGCAGGAGGCACATTCGCAACCCGCAGCACCGCGTCTGCGCATGCGCGGGTTGCAATTTAGCTCTTCTGCGCATGCGCGACCGCTGAAACCCGGAAGTAACCCGTTCTGGTACTTCCGGGTTTCGGCACATCTGTAACCTGAAAAACGCATCCTGAAGCGTCTGTAACCTGAGGTATGACTGTAGCTGACTCAGGTCATGGATTTCAGCTTTTCTGATCAACATAGCTTGTTTGATGTCTTCTTTCTAGCTGCTTAGTTCCTGCTTGATAACATTTTTTTTGGTAATTGGTCCCTAGATAGATATTGGGTGACATCCTATTTAGCGCAGACTGCCTCTCATATAATGTATATACGCCTGCTTTTCTGCCCTCTGTCCCCTCAACCAATCCAGTGCCACTTCTGTGTGTGTGTGTGTGTGTTGGGGGACCAGAGTGAGGAGAAGCAGGAAAGCACAATTCCTTTCCATCAGCAAATGCTCACTGTGCTGATGGATAGCTGCCATTGGATGTCACCCTATATAAGGGATTTTTGAACTGAATTCCCTTTTGCTGTTCCACTTCATGAGGTTATCACGTTCATCTTGCATAACTTCTGCATTCTTTTCTGCACGTTTCGCCAGCACGCTCCTACTTCCTTCCCCAGGATCGCCAGTAAAAAGAATGAATAAAACATATTTCCTGGTTGAAGGCAGAGAGACTTTACCAATTGCATCTCTTGCAGCTGGATTGTTTTAGGTTAATTTTCATCTTTGCCACTTTGTGCAGTAACTCCCACTGTATCATATGATGTACGAAAATTTGAATGAACTGCATTTCTTGTGGCTAGAAAATCAAATTGGAGCTTTGTGCTCGAAAACTGCTCTGCTCATTAAGTGGGAGAACACCCTTTAAAACAAAAACAAAAAACCAACCCATTTTCTGTATCACCTTGTACTTCCCAAGCCCCAGGAATAGCTTTCCACAGTCCCTGTGGAACAATTCAGGATATGGTGCAGAGGGCTGCAGTAAATGGGAGGGAGGTCAATGTAAACTGGGTGCCTTGCTTTAGGAAAGCAGATGTACTTTCTTGGATCACTCTCTTGTAGGCACAGAGCCACCACTGAATACAACCCACTATTCAATTTTTTAAGGCTTTTAGATTACTTTTCATATGCAAAAGGAATCAACACGTTCTTAATCTTCCTGTATAAACAGAACCGTGTAAGAACCTAACTTCAGAGAAACACAAAATGAAATATATTTGAATTTCTGGTGTGACATTATGTTAAAGGTCAGTGTGCTTACTGTAAATCAGGGGTGGACAGAAGATGTATCACGTTCTACTGTAGCATCTGTGGGTGATTTGCAGTAGATAAGCAAGGGGTCGTGACTCCAATTATTTAACGGTAGCAACAGCAAGATGACTTTTTCCATCTCTATAAGGCTGCTGAAAATAAAAAAATAAATAAAAAAGTGGAGTCTTATGCAAAAACTATGGGCTCAGTTCATTTCTGGTATTGAAAGCATATTCCTTGGCTCAGAATATGGTCAGAGGCACTGCGTTCTTCAGTTTCAACTGTATGCTTTTCGTACCCAGCTCTGGGTAATAGGTCTTGGGCTTCTAATAAACCAAAAACCAAAATGAAGATTCTCCAAGCCTGGAGTTTGCTGACTCCTGAGGCATGAAACCATATAGGAGTGGTCTTCACCGTTTAGTCTTCTGTTAAAATAATACTGAAGGGCCAATATCTCCTAAGTATTCATCGCTGTGACAACGTAACAGTAGCAAGGTTAGGTAGCTGGATATGCAGGATTCCATAACCTCTTCACTTTAGCTAGCATCTGACGCCTAATGATCTTTTAATGAAACCCCTAAATTTTTTAAAAATGTGGTGAAGGAGGATTTATCTTTGGTCTATCAAACCTCTTATCGTAGGAAAAAGGTGTGAAATAGCCCTGGTGGGATGGTAGGGAGCGTTTTATATTTTTATCCCCTTTTGAGTTTGATTCTGATCCCCAAAGCTGTAGAAAGGCAAAACAGAGGAAGCTTTTTTCTTGGATTGTTTACCTTGTGGCAGAAGCCTGTGCATGCCTACTAAGGAATAAGTTCCATTGAGTTCAATGGGACTTATGCCCAGATGAGAGTGTATGCAATTGCAGCCCTAGTAAGCAACTAAAAGGAATGTTTAGAAACATCAATACCTCAGTTTGGCCACAAGAAGGAACCATTGTTTATGAGATATGCCCAAAGAAAGATTCTAGCACCGCTCATAGGGTGGTTTTTTAAATTACTTTTTATAATTTCAGGCTCTGAAGTAAACATTTTAAAGACTGTGCCACCCCTTTCCCCCTGCCTGACCCCTCCTCCATCTAATTGTAAAAACTTAAAAAGACGCAAAACTTGTATTCAATGGAGTGAAGATTTTTAGATGTATATAAAACTGTTCATAGTTTGGAAAAAGCAAATGGGGAACCTTCGTCAGGAGGCAACTAACACCCAAACTTTGTTTCTTAAAAAGGTGGCTTGGCAGCTATTGATTGTTCAGCTTTTTCTGCTATTAGCTGAGATGTAGCTCTGTCCTGGGGTAGCATTGATGTGCTGGGATGCCGGACCAGATCCTGGGGAGGGGACACACTTTGCCCTAAAAACAGCTCAAGGGTTCATGTATGGCAGTGGCTGCCAACCATTTTGGATTCATGGGAAGATTTGGAAATTGAAGAAGCTGTCATTGACACAGACCACCCCCAGTACAACCACACACACACGCCCTGCAAGCAGTTAGGCTTGAAAAAAGTGTGTTAGCTTTTTCAAATCTAATTTGGGGTGCGGGGTTGATCTTCCTGGAGAGTTTCCCATCTGCTATCCAAAAACCTTCTCTTAAAAGCCAACAGAGGGGTTGATGTGTTAATCAGTAGCAACAAAAACCAACAGAGGATTTGGTGGTACAGCACAGTACTTTAAAAATGAACAGATTTGTTGTGATAAAATCTTCTGTCACAGAAGAGCCTGTTTCATTAGATACATGCAGTGATATCTTGAGAGAGCAGAGGGGTATCTATTTAATTAATTGGCTTTGTTTTTTCCAGGGTGGTTCATAAAAAAAGAGAATGAAATAATAAAATTGGGAAAAATGCACAATAAACAACAACTGCAGTAAGTTCATCAGTATATTGGTAAAAATACCACTCCCAAAATGCAAAATAGTATCAGGGGAGTGTAGGTGACCACCGTGCTCTTTGTCTTATCACATCCAACAGAAAAGGAGTGTCTGAATAGGTCCCTCCTTATCAGAGGGAATGTCTCCTGCTGCCTTAGCAGGTGAAAATAAGACAGTGCCTTCAGAAACCCTTTTTGGGCAGGGTGCTTGAACCACTCCAATCACTCTTAAATGAAACTAGCGGCAATGATCTATTTCCATTTAGTTTCAGGCATGGAAAATGCTCTGGCCACCCATGAGAATGATCTCTGCAGGAGGGGAGCAAGTGGAACGTGACACTGCTCAGTCTCCTGAACATCTCAGTGGAGGCTGTTTGTGTTGACTTTTAGGTGCCTAGGCTTCCAGTGGGGAATGTGAGCTGGCTGAAAGAATGCACCAGCATAGAAAAATAGCATTGTTCGGCTTTGTGTCTACTTAATTGGTTTTATATTTGTGTTTTTATTAGTTATGCACCCTCCTCTGTACTATCCTGAGCAGTGAAAAGTACCGGGGGTAGTGGTGAAGCATTCATAATGCTATTTTGCTGTGTGCTGCCCTGATGGTGAAAATCCCTTGCTGAGCCCAGCCTAAATATCATTTGAAGAAACAGAAGTATTTGTAATTGAGAGAGAAGATACAAGTACCTGACAACACCAAGATTAAGAAAATACTCTTTAATTACATGTTTCAGCTTCTGCCTTCATCATGAACCTGAGGTACAGATAATTTTAATATCTCAGGGACAATTTCTATATGTGTTCTCTTAATCCTTATGGGATCCCTGAAGGAGCAGGAGATGCACTAAATAAGAGTTCCCATATCTCTTTAGTCCTGTCAGTAATTTAGATTTCCCTGTTTTGTAATGAGTTGACTTCTGGTGCACCTTTACAATGGGATAACTAGGATGGCATGCGTCATTCAAGGTGTGCATACACAAATAGCTGTAATTTCCCTTTAGTGTCACTGATGAATTGGATCCTTTTCTCTACAGCATGGGATAATGCCACCTGTCAAACTCCTTCTCAGGAGGATGTGAGGATTTAATCTGGTATATTGTTTACCAGAAGCTCTGAAGGTGAAAAGTGCTCTTTAAGCGTTCCTAATTAATCTAATAGCTAGTTGTACCTGGTAAGGATTTCGCCTTGTGATTTCATTGCAGCCGTAACATGTGCATCCTTGGGTGTGGCTGTTAGAGGTCACGTTTTCTGTTCCTCCAGTTCCAATAATAGCTTTGTTTATCCTACTTGTGTTTGGCGTCTTTGCTTTAAAAAGAACAGGCATAAGCTGGACCTGCCTTGAGGTTTATCAAAATAAATAAGGCAGAATGCTGCAAAGTATGTGATAAAATTAAAAGTGCAGGACTCCCCTTTTTCTTTCATAGCTTGATTTCACTTTGAAAGGAATATTCCATCATGTTATTAGAAACATTTATACCATATGCTCAAATATTGAAGAGGACAATGTTTAGTTGGAAAAGGTGAACCTCTGGCCTTCAGTGACTATCAGGAGTATATCTTGTCCCAGGAAACCTGCCCCTAATCATTAAATTTAGGTATCGTGCTGCTCTGCCTTCACATACTTTGTCCTTGGTCAAGAAAACCCAGGGTGAGGTGGGGAATAATCTTATGGGATTAATACCTGCAAGCAATGTCTTATCATTTCCCATTTCATAAAGACTTGGTTCTGTCTCCTCCTTCTCTCTTTGTGGTTTAGCGCTGAATAGTCAGCCACATGAAGAAAGATCAAGAGTTGTAAATTCTCCATTTGGAGCAGAGATCCAAATTAAGCATTAGCTAAGTTTATTGAGTTATTGGACACAGCAGGGAAAGGGGGCTTAAGACAGACACGATAAAAGAAACCAAACTGGTCTGTCCAATCTTGGAGTAATTTGATAAACTGCCAAGCAAAAAGAATCTGCGTCGGATTTAGGGTGGTACGGGTAGCTGAAGAGGTGCAAAATGGAGAAGGTCCATAATTGAGAAGATCCATTTGGGAGTGCCCAATTTTGGCCTTACTCTCCTCTGAAAGAAGTAGACACTTGTATGAGGGAAAGCTATCATGAATTTGAAAGAACTGACAGTCTCCCCAGGAAAAAGTGTGACGTTAACCAGTGGGGTGGTATTGGCAAACCAGTCAGTTTTTTGGAGGTGGAGGTAGGATACTCTGCATGGAAGCATAGCAAACCATGAAGCACTCCTGACACCTTGACAGGTACAATACACAGATGGAAAGATCAAAAGGAGTGAAGACAGGGTGAGTTCTTGTGTTAGGCAGGATGGTTTCTCTAGGACTACATTGGCTTGTATATCTCTCACACCTTCTGTCTTGGTAGGAGCAAATCAAGGGTTGTCGTCCATGACATCTTACTTAAAGTAGACCTATGGAAATAAATGAACCTAAGCTAGTCATGTCCATTCATTTCGATGAATCTGCTCTCAGTATGACTAACATTGTATACAACCCTGAGTGCTTATGAGGTCTGAAAAACAACTTAATCTTGAAATCACTAAGTCTTGCTCTCCTTTGGGAGGAAAAATGAGAAATACATTTAAGAGACAAAAAATAAGTCAAAATTGATTAAGAAAATGTCTCTAAGGAAACTGAGCTTTTCTTCACAACTTCATGAACAGGTGTTGGTTGAAGGACAGGTCCAAAGCACCTACCAAATTTGAGGGGCTGCTTTGTTCTATTGTTTTGTAGATTGCATCATTTCCATAATTAACTAGGGATAAGCTTTACACATATCCCCAAAATGAATGTGCATACATATTTTTTTACATGTATCACAAGCGATGCTGTATTCAAGGAAATTTTTATCACTAACCATCCTGAACCCTGTTTTGCACTACTTTGGTTTGCTAAGTGTCTGGTGGTCTTTTATCTCAAAACAGCACCATTCAAATACAATATAAAAAAATCCCTCTGTATCTTCTAAATTTGGTTTGATTGGGTTAATTTCTTTCTTGGACAAGAGACTACAGTGGTACCTCGGGTTACATACGCTTCAGGTTACAGACTCCGCTAACCCAGAAATAGTACCTCGGGTTAAGAACTTTGCTTCAGGATGAGAACAGAAATCGTGCTCCGGCGGCACAGTGGCAGCAGGAGGCCCCATTAGCTAAAGTGTTGCTTCAGGTTAAGAACAGACCTGCGGAACGAATTAAGTACTTAACCTGAGGTACCACTGTATTATTTCATGCAGGATAAAATACTTCTCATGTTCAGATCAGAATCATTTTACAAATAATCACATTTAAATACAAGTTACTGTATAATTTGTGTATTTGGATTAAGGAAATTTTCTTATAGGCCAGGACTTAATATCAGAAAATCCCAGGTCAAGAACATTTGAATGGTGATTCCCCTAATTTCATGTGTACCAACCCGTAAAAAGCTGTTGAGTATTTTTGGAACACTTTTTAAACCACACAATGGAAAGCAAATATGCTAATGTCAGACACAGCGTTTTAATCTATAATTGATCTCCTGAGTTTCAATTTTATACAGTTTAACCGAACCTAAGTTGTTGGTTTTTTTTTAAAAAAAAACCCACATCAAATATTTTCTTTCCCCACCCCTGAACTAGAATGAAACCTGAAATGTTGGTTGAAAATCTCTGTTGGACCAAAATGAATCTTAAACAAACTCTTTTTTGTTCTCTTTTATTAACAAAAACCAAACCAAAACTATTATGAGCATTGTTTCCAAACTCAAAGAGTAATCCCTTTCGATATTTGCATGTAGGGTTACAATGCGCAGATATTATTGAGGTGGAGGAAGGACATGGCACACCCTCTGTTTGCCCTTGCAGAGAAACAGGAGTCAGAATAATATCTACTCCACCTCCAACCCTGGAATGGACCCTGCCTGGGAATTGGCACACAAGCACTTCCATTGTATCCCCCGCAGTGAGCAGGCACTAGCCCTCACAAAAGTGGGGCAGCAATTTTATTTGGGTTTATTTATTTAACAAAAATTATGTACTGTTTGACTGTAAGAGAACCTTTTAAGTGGTTTACACAAATATAAAATAAAGCATGAAAGTTATCAGTTAGCAGGAATTTGAAAACATTCAAAAGACGATTTAAATCAACAGTAGGATAGGCTTACCTAAACAGAAATGTTTTAAGCCAGCACTGAACAGAGAACAGTGCAGTGAAGGCGCCTGCCTGCCTTATGTTAGTTAATAGGCAGGTAGTTCCCATAGGTGTAGGTGTTGCCATATTAAAAGATTAATTTATTACAAGCACTGAATGAATATTATGTGGCACCCATAACACAGCCAATTCTACAGCTTGAAGCAGGTGGGTGGGCATATATTGGATCACGTCCTAAGAGGTTAAGGGCTTTATAATGAAGTGTAACACCCTGAACTTTGCCTGGTAGCAAATGGGCATCCTGTGCAGATCTCAGAGCAGAGGTGTTATGTTCTGCAAGATTGTAAAGCCGCTTGGACAGAAAAGAAAGAATAATCGTCCTCAATTGTCAGGCCAGCAGGCTTGTGCTAAATTGCAGCCTGGAGGCATGGATGTTTTTGCCTTGCTGGAGCGAGCTGTTGCTGTGTAAATGCCACAAGGCTTTCTGTGATCTTATTCTCATCTCCCTCCATCTGTCCTTCGCTAGAGGCCAGGTTTGAAGAATTGCACAACCATTTCTGTGTTCCCAAAGGGGCTTTGGCCATGTTTCCCGAATATTCCCCACCTTCCTGCCAGGGCTGTATGGGAAAACCTTTTTTTGAAACAGAGAGTAGTTTCAAAAACAGCATGTGAGGTCTGATGTTCAAAGGCAATATCCCCCAGGGTGTACACAAGCCCTTTGATGTGCTTAAAGTAGCTCTTTGGATCCAGACCACAATGTGGAAATTGAAAAAAATGGGGAGGGGGGTTTGCAGGGGAACGTTCTGGAACATTGCATCCTCAGGTTACAGTCTGAGATGCACTTTTCTTACGCATTGGCATAATAAATCAGGGACCAAATTAACTGTTTTCAAGGACAGTGTGCCGCGATGCAAGTCAAGCAAGACTGTAAAATGGAAGCAGCCTACATAACACAATGTGCTTCCCCCCGCCCCACACAGACAAGAGAGCAAGAAGAACGGCGTGCTTGCATTTGTGTAGGTGCAGCAGGTGTCTGATGGATGGTGTACGTTATCTCTTGCTCCTACTTCTCTTTGTCTCTCACTTATTCCCCCCTTTTGTTCATTTAGATTTAAATTTACTTAAATCTTCCTACGTTTTCTTTGAAAAAATAATAATAATAATGTTTTTTTTAAGAGCGAACATGTAAATCCTAAAATAGCTAACATCTGGTGAGTGGGTGCTTTGTACACACCATACAGTTAAAGCACATACCACCACCACATCCCAAAATCCTCCTAAGTCCCCAACCTCCCCTTTCTCACCTTCAGCTTGTCCTGGTGTGTACCAGTCATGGCTGGGATCCTTTTCCTCATCCTTGGTGTCCTTTCAGTTTATGACAGTGTCCTTTCTTCAGCCCACCTCCAGTGCCACCATGTGTACTGCCCTGGCCCCGCCATGATGGAACTGTTGTCGGTTTAGCAAGGCTGGATTCTTCCTACACTTACAAGTTGAAACCAGAGGGAGTGGGGCTGGCATAAAAGGCAAAGTTGGGAGCAGTCGGTGCGCACCCACACACGGTTTGAGCCATTGCCCATTCACCCAAATGTCCTCACCAATCAGGACCAAATGGCTGACTTAGAGACCCTTTAAACTCTCCCTTAGCCAATTTGCTTTGAAGTGGGAGAAGCTGTAGCTCAGTGGGAGATCACACCCTTCTTGTGGAAAAGATCCCCAGCTCAGTTCCCAGCATCTTCAGGGAGGGCAGGGTCAGTATAAGCTTACAGTATGAGACAGCTTTATGCAAGTCAAAGGGAAATGCATTATTTTAAGAGAATATATGCAAGGAAAGGCAATATTCTTACAGCGCCAGAGCCCTGAGAATTGGTAACCAATAGTTTTGTACAGTGGTACCTTGGGTTAAGAACTTAATTCGTTCTGGAGGTCCGTTCTTAACCTGAAACTGTTCTTAACCTGGTACCACTTTAGCTAATGGGGCCTCCCGCTGCTGCTTTTGCACTGCCGTCGTGCGATTTCTGTTCTCATTCTGAAGCAAAGTTCTTAACCCGAGGTACTATTTCTGGGTTAGCAGAGTCTGTAACCTGAAGCGTCTGTAACCTGAGGTACCACTATACTGAAAATCAGGGGTGGACAGAAGGCAGGCTAGGATCTCATAGTAGATTTCTGAGCAATGATTTATGTTATTTCAACAAGAGTTTCTGATGCCCAGTTGTTTTAACATTTAGCAACAACAAAGGGGCACCTTTTCCTCCTTAAATTCAGCTGCTTAAATGCAGGAAACTTGCAGGGCATTCAACTAAGTTTTACTCAGAGTACACCGATTGAGATCAATTGACCAACCATAGCCATGTTCATTCATTTCAATGAGTTTGCCTTGAATAAAACATAGTTGAATGCCACTCCTAGAATGGACTTTTGTGGGGAAGGATTATGAGTATGGTTCAGTTCTGGTACTGAAAACAAATTATTGAACTCAGAATATGCTCAGAGGCACCCTGTTCTTTAAATCTAATTGTATGCCTTTTGAACTTTGTTTTGGTTGGTAGATCTTGGACTTCCGGTAAAAAAGAAAGAAATAAAGAAATGTTTGTGTATTTGCATCTCAGAACTGGGTGCTCCTTGAGCATTTTTGGGAAACCTCTTTTTGAGACAGTGGTGTTGCAAAAGAGACTGTTTACTTGTCTCAAGATGAATGCCGGAACTCAGATTTCTGAAGAATCCATGTTTTATGGATTGTGACATCTGTTTAATACTGAGCCATAGCAGCTTGCCATTTAGCAAGAGTAATCTGTGGAAATTAGGCAATTGAGGAAAACTCTCTTCTTCTCTTGCAACTGTATGCCTTTAAAGTATTGTAAGTAATATGCTGCTGGGACTCTGAAAACAGTTTTTTAAATCCAGTGCTTCAAATACCCCACCTTGAAATATTTCCTATGAAAGTACTGTTTGTAAATACTGAAACAAAATACAAAATTCCATGTCACCTTTTGCAGAAGAAGACCAAAGAGGCTTGTGGCACCTTAAGGACTGTTAGGGTGGCATAAATTTTCATAGACTAGAGTCAGTTAAGATACTAAAAGGCTTAGTTTTTGCTGCTGCAGCCTATGATAGCTACCCCTCTTTGTTCTGTAGTATATTTTGTGGCCTCTCACAAATCCTCCCATGAAATGAATGGGAAAATTGTGTATTCCTGAACTCATCCCTCATATTTTCCTCTTGAAGCTGAAACTCGCTGCTTTTATTTGGCAAAAACAAAAAAAACCCCAACTCCTGAAGTATTCCTTCTCGTATCAGCAAAGGTGAATTCACCCAAAGGTGACTTCCTTCTATGTGACAAAGCTATGGCAGGTGAGTTGCCATTTGGCTGAGTCATAATTTGTAGTGTTTTCCTACAAAAGCACTCAGGGAATTCCCTTCTGAGAAATGTTCCCATATCCTGAGGAGGAAGATAGTTGTACAAAAAGCCTGACCTTTTAAAAAGTATGACACACTCTTTATGCTATGTGGTGCAACGATTATGAGCCCATGACTGGGAACTGGGACTGTTGGCTGCTGTTCCTTGCTTGTACGGATAACCTGGTGCAGTTTTGATTCCATCAAACTGATGTCTAAATTCCCATCGATTGCAGTCATCTTGGGGTTGTACTATCACTACTGTTGATTACATAATGTTGTAGTTTTCGTATGTCAGCCTGGAACTTCTACGCCCAAATGCGCATCTATGCACCTGTGTTCTAATCATGTGTTCCATCCCCGGTCAATTGTGAGACATGACAATGCACTCTCTCACCCATTCTCCTTGTGTCACATATCCCATTTCTGACTGTGGGGGTACCATATATCTGCACCCAAAAGTCAAATTCTCAGTTTGTGGTGGGGCAGTCTCCTCCCCTTCTGACAATAAGGCTCCACTTTCTATCAAAGGATTTCAATTACACGGTGTTTACAGTCTTACTGTAGCTGTTTTAGATTTCCTGTCTTATTGCTGATGGTTTTTGAGAGACTATGACAAAACAGGGAAGGGAACCTCTTTGCTCTCTAGGGCAATGACTGTGGGGCAGCAAACCACGTGCAGGTTTTTTTTCATAGCTCCATGTGACAGCCATCCTCTTGTGGCAAGTGATTTGAGTGCAATGGCTCACTAGGAAATTGTCTCCACTTCTCTGCCAATGTTCTCTCTTTTTTTTAAAAAAATTGCCCCATTCACATGGTAGGACGCTGTCTACAAATGCCTTGTATTTAGGGGCACATCTTCTGCACAGAGCAATTTTGAAATACTTGTTTTACTGAACAAAGCAAGAACCAAATCCATTGCTCTTCAGTATTAACAGGAGGTTTTCAAATAGCTGGTGATGGCTTTCACCATGTCAGTGCAGTGGGTGGGATCATGTGGGCCACAGAAAAGGGGTGGGGAACTGGATCTGGCCAAAGGGACAAACCTAGAAAAGCCAACAGAAGCAGAGAGGTTGGATGGTGTTTTTGTATGGCAGGTGCAGTGTAGTTTGAGGAAAACAAATGCACATCTGTGGGGAGGAAGTCCACAATGGAAAATGCCCTCTAATTGCACCATGCATAATTTGGAGTGTCAGTGTAGTGTAGTGGTTAGAGCAGGGGTCCGCAACCTAAGGCCCATGGGCTAGAAGCGGCCCGCGGAGGTCGTTTGACCGGCCCATGAGCCGCCCGCTCGCACACTGCACTAAACCAGCGCAGCGTGGGGACTCGCTTCCACAGTACCAAAAATCACGTCTGTGCGTGTGAAGACGGTGAAAATTGCGGGCGCATGCACTCATGATCTGGCCCACGGAGGGATCTCCGTGGGACCGATCTGGCCCAGGCAAGATAAACCTTGCTGACCCCCGGGTGAAAGGGTCAGACTAGGACCTGGAAGACCAGAGTTCAAGTCCCCACTTGGCCATGAAATTAACTGAGTGACCATGAGTCAGTCATGGCCACTCTGCCTAATCTACTCCACTCATACTGGTGGGTCTTCGCTTCACCTGCTCATCATCAGCTTTGGATGATTCATCTATGCTCTTAGAATTCCATATTGCAGTGCTAACCAGAAGCATGTTTCAGTAAACATCTGGGAGAAACAGTCAGCCTTTGAACCAAGTGTGAACGTTATATATTTTAATGGGATATTTTTATATCTACATTCTAACTTGAATGCCTCAGTGCAAGGTGGGGCAGGATTCAAAAGCAAATAAGGTAAATGAATCACTATTCCTCTTCTGCCAACAGACTAACAAGATTTGGGGAGGGCCCTGTGCAGGAGCCCATCGGTGGTGTCACCTTGACCATTGAGGAAGGAGGAACAGCGAGGGTGGGGTGCTAGGACTGAGAAAACACCCAAGTATTATCTGCGCAAAAAACTTGGAGAGGCACCTAAACTTTTTAAATATTAAGGCAAAAGCCAATATTACAAGGTACCTTTTGGTATCATGTGAACTTGGACAAAGCATATTTTGTGCATGTGAATTCATATTTGCCATTCACAATGTTGACAGACTTTCTTTGTAGCGATGCAACCATCTAAAAAAACCAGGGGAATTTTCACCACACTGTCAACATGCTTGGGCATTACCCAGCTGTTCAGGGGATGCATTCAAGTTGCCAATTCCACCTTTTCCTCTTGAGTTCCTTTCTTCTTTCACCACCTCTCTTACACACACACACACACACACACACCACATTTTCACATTTGTTTCAAGCATTTCTTATTGAATTTGATTGTCTGCACTTCTTTTGCTAATTAAGTTTTTCCCCCTCTCCCTTTTTTAAAGGTTGCATTATTTAAAGTATTTTTTTAAATTACCTGCCCCCTTACCTGCCCTTCACTGTAAGCTTCCAGGGCTGTTTCAAAAAATCTATACATTAAAAAAATGTATGAATACTGTCATGCTGTAGTTTCCTTAGCTGCTGTGAACTACAGTGTGACAGCAAATGGGGCTGTCAGCATTTTTGGACCATCACAGCAGAATCAGAGAGTGAGGAGACGTCAATAGAACTGGTGATGGAGGCAGGCAGGTGGTTGGGTGGCTTCGATGAGAAGTAAAGGAACGGGGTGGGTGGCTTTGGCGAGGAGTAGCTTCACTGAGGACTGAAGGGAGGCAGCAGGTGGCTTAAGTGAGATAAAAGTGAGGCAGTGGGTGACTTTGGTGAAGGAGATTGTGGCAGGTAGGTGGAGTTGGTGAGTGCAGTGAGCAGGGGCACAGGTCCTGGTTACCTAGTATAATCACACAATTTACTTCATTCCTGAAAAGCAAATCATTTCTTCTAGTTTCCCCTTGGTTTTTCTAAATTGACCATTTGTGCTTGACGTGCCATGGAAGCCTGCTAAGCATCCTGGATCTTATTGATCTATGACGTGAGGAGAGAATTCAGAAGAAACTGGAAAGCACAAAAAATATTGACAAGTCTCTGAGAATGGCTGATCAGATGGCTCAGAGAGATTACAAGTGTGCAGCGTTACTAGTCCCATGGTAAAAATAAGGCCCTCAAGTGCAGCTACACATTTGTTTTGTCAACCCTGCAATCCAGGTTTCAGTTTTCTGATTTTACTCTTATTGTTTGATGCAAATTGCTTTGGTTAGGCTTTTAAATGAGTGCAGGATGCAAAATTTAAAACATAAATGCCTGTTCCCTCCCCACCAAGGTGTGCCTGGCTTCTTCACTATACAGTGGTACCTCTGGTTACGAACTTAATTCGTTCTGGAGGTCTGTTCTTATGCTGAAACTGTTCTGATCCTGAGGTGCAATTTCGCTAATGGGGTCTCCCACGGCATGATTTCCGTTCGCATCTTGGGGCAAAGTTCACAACCAGGAGCAGTTACTTCCGGGTTAGCGGAGCTTGTAACCTGAAGCGTTCGTAACCAGAAGCATTCGTAACCAGAGGTACCACCGTACAGCTTTCAGCGAATGCTGAAGACACACCTTTTTAGCCTGGCCTTTGACACCAGAAAAGTGTTTTCAGGCCCTACCTTATTCTTGGGATTGTAATCTATTTTAACTGTTTTTAATTTTAACCCACCCTGGGACCTGTTGGTGAAAGGCAGGTAGTAGGTTTAACAATGAATAATATAGTTTAAAAAGGCAAATGCTTCCAAGATCATATTGACAAATCCAGTACTGATCCCCAGGTATACCCATTGGATGCTGGCTCAGGGTAGTGTTGTTGTTTTGTAGGGAATAGGAATGCAATATCATACCAGGGTATAAAGAATTGCAGCATCTCCTCAAAAATATGTTATATCTGTATTCACATTGTGTTTGAAAAATTTGCTGAACCACTCCTAGAGTCCTTGCACTTGGCCTGCATTGGTGCTTTCTGGAAGCAGCCACATGGGAGTTCATGAAGTACTATCACCTATGATATGTTCTGGTTTTCATCTGTTTTGTCTTTCTGCTTTTATCTTTTTTTATGTGTTAGCTGGCCCATGTGCCCTGCTGCTTGCCCCACCTCAGTCCCTTCCATTTTTCACATTTGGCCAGAGCCCCTTTCTCAGCTACTATATTTTTCTCCATAGGTTCATATTCTCAACAGAAAAGAAGCAGACCGCTTCACATTTTAAAATGAACTTCCATTGGGTTTCTTAAGAACAGATTGTCCCATTGAGCTTTGAATATTTTCTATTCTAAAGCAACAGCCCTTAGCATTTGACTAGTGTGAGTGCCAGCCATTTCTCGGAACATTTTTCTTTGATTCAGTCGTTTGAAGATTGGGCTATAAGTGAGTGGAAGCTTTCAGACATAGTCTGATGAATATAAAGAAACAGCACAGCGAAATTGTTTCTTTTTCCCTTTTATTGTGGGCTTTTATGTTTTCCTTAAAGATCTAGAAGTAGACTTTAGAAAGATTTTAGCAGTGTGTCATTTGGGGCCTGATCTTAACATTAGAATGTAAGAAGAGACCTGCTGGATCAGGTCAATGGTAATGAGAAATCTGCAGTGTGTTGGACACCCAAAAATATAGTTTTTGCCTTTTGGAAATAATTATTAACTATTATTTGGTGATTGGAAGGGAGAATATATGTGCAATTGTAAAGCAAGAAACGTTTGCTTTAAGATCCACTCATTCAAACCATTTGACCCATTCTAACCATTCAGTTTTCTTTATGACTAAAAGAAAGTGGTTTCTCTTGTGTGTTCCTTTTCTAAGAAGCAGTTATATGTGGGAGTAGTATAACCAGACAGGAAATCTCATTGTAGCTATGTATAGACCACCACAGTAATATCCACACCTAAAATTAGAGGCAGACTATTATAAAAGGAAACAGGTAGAAGGAGGCATTCAGTGGTTCTAAAACAACGCAAGAACACAGAATTTCCTATTTATCTGAGTACGGATAGCTTTTTGCCATCCTGAATTCCTGCAGGATTTGTTTTCAGGTACTCCACAGTGATCACAGGTCTTTTCCATTGGTAATCAGGCTTTTGAAGACTGCCTTCAAAGTTTAGATAGGGCCAAGCTAGGTTTCTTCAAACAGGACTACTGCTTTTGCGCAAGGCCAGTTTGACCATACAGATGGGGTAGGCAGAAGCGACACAATTCAAGGGCTATGCTAGAAGCAATGTCCAAATCTGGACTTTTCTGCTGCTTCCAGCACAGCTGGCTTCCCAAAATGCTGTGTGACATCTTGGGAGGTACTCTTAGTTCAAGCTGGGCCAACCTCGCCCTGTTTGTGGCGGAAAGAGAATGTGAGCTGGCCCAGGCTTTGTGCTCATCCTTGCTGTGATTCAACTTCCAACCCTCCCTTCCTCTTATAGCTTTGGCTTCCTGTTGTGTTTCACTGCCAGCCAACTCCTAACCATTTCTACAGTTTCAATGCAGCCTCTCTCCCCCCAGGATATTGAGGGTGGATGGTGGTAGGAATGCAAGGGGAGAGAACCAAAATATGAGCCAAAAATATGAGAAGGTGGGAGTTTAACTGCAGTGGCAAGTGAAGGAAGACGTGTAGGCACCTATATTTTTTCTAAATTTTCAGCCTATATTCTCTTAAGGCTGGGGTGGCAACCTTTTTCAGCTCAAGGGACACATTCCCTTCTGGACAACCTTTGTGGTGTGAGAGGGCATCACAAGCCAATGATCAGAAGCAAAAGTGGGAAGAGTAAATGTTATCTTTGGATAGTAGGCTGGTGAGGGTTTGGCTTGGGAGAGTATGTAGCCTAGGGAGTGGTTTTCTGGCCAGATAGAAAGGTCTGTATTTGGTCCTTGAGCCTGAGATACCCGCCTCCCTGTGCTAAGGGCTTATTTGTTAAATGTAATTTCAGCTTCAGCAGTGGCCTGCAATAATTCAGAGGTTCAGATCTGACCATAGAGGACAATGTGTTATCCAGTATTAAGCTAGAAATACAAGAATGCAAGATGTGGTCCATGTATTAGAAGCTTGTTTATGTCTTCATTGTCTTTAATTCTGGTTCACTGAATGTTTGCTGCTTCTTTTTCTTTCTTCCCATAGCTGCTGAATGTTGTCAGCTACCTAGCACAGCAGAATCCACGGATGCTTATACTGGGGCGCAAACACATGCTGAAGAAATCTTCTCAGTGGCACAGAAATGATATGGCTGCTCTGCAGAAGAAAGCACACTTCTTCTTTACTGAAAACCTGTATGTTCTGATGTTTAACAATGTCATCTTCAGAAACATTTATACTGTACTAGATTCAAGTTGTAGCTTTAAGACACTTTGACAAGCAGACCCTGAGTTTGATCATTTATGTGATGGGATTATGAGCTGCTTGTGCGTAAAATCGTATTCCCTCAGAGTTTGTTCAAGTCCACAAACCTCTGTCTGTGACTGAGCCCCTCTGACATGGCTCCTCTAGTCACTAGAAGATTCCGACAGTGGTTGCTTTCGTAATCGCTTCCAACATAAAAGCTCCTTAACGGAAACACGTCTTCTGGACTCTCTGCGTGACAGTTTCCGGCGAGGAGTGGGTGTCGCTACAGGAGGTCCGGAAACCTCACCACTGTTTTCGCTGGAAGTATCTCTGAGCCATCCCCCAGCTCCCTTTCCCTCAGTTCAGCTTCTCTCCCCTGCTGGTTTCCTCTTCCGCTGCTGAGTCTCTTCCAACCTGTCTGAGCCCTTTCACCTCCCTCAGTTCAGCTTCTCTCCTTGCTGGTTCCCTCTTCAGCTGCTGAATCTCTTCCAACCTGTCTGAGTCCTTTCACCTCCCTTCCTTCCGATGGCAGTTCCCTGACATCCACCTCCCCTCCAGGGCCCCCTTCACCCCCTCTCGCCCCCTCCTCTACGGGCGGTGAGGAGGTAAAACCCGGAATGAACTTCCTTCATCTTCCGATGTCTCGAACACTTCTCTCCACCTGTTGCGGTTCCTGGTCTCGAAGCCTCCTCCTCCTCCGAGTCCATCTCCCTTCCCCTTCCGATTCTGGGAATCCTTCCAACTCCTCCTCCTCCTCAGTGGTCCCAAAGTATTCCCTCCGGAACCTCTCCACAGGCTGAGGTTTCCGCGGGAACCTTTGATGGAACATTTCTATCAATACCTCATCATTGATATCTTTGGCCATTACCCACGTGTTTTCTGACTCCGGTTCTCCTTCCCACGCTACCAAATACTCCACCTGATTCCCCTTCCACCTGGCATCAAGGATTTCTGCCACATGACTGCTGCATTCTCTTTCTTCTATGACCCGGTCCCGAGTGGCCATCCCTTCTCGTCCCCCCTCGTACGGTGACAGTAACGACCTGTGAAATACTGGGTGCAGTTTCATGTGGTTGGGTAACCGGAGCCTGAAAGCCACTGGGTTGACCTGTTGAATGACCTCAAAGGGACCCAACCTCCTGGGTCGTAATTTCTTACAACCTCCTTTGAGCGGCAACCCTCGGGTTGACAGCCACACCCTATCTCCAACCCTTATGGTTTCACCTTCCCTTCGGTTCTTGTCTGCCTGCCTCTTGTATTCTTCCTTCGCCCTTTCTAAGTTGAGTTGGAGCTGACGGTGGATTGCTTCCATTTCTTCTACAAAATGCTCGGCTGCCGGTACGCTCCATCTCTCCCCTTCCCCCCCTGGGAAAGCCCTGGGATGACACCCATAATTAGCCAAGAAGGGGCTCATCCCTGTGGACACATTCTCGGCATTGTTGTAGGCAAATTCCGCCAGCGCCAACTTTTCTACCCAGTCATTCTCTCTGTCATTGACATAACACCTCAGGTATTGCTGGAGGACACCGTTTGCTCTTTCCGCCTGCCCGTTGGTTTCAGGGTGCCGGGCAGTCGAAAGTTGACCTCCACCTGCAGTAAGCTCATGAGCTTCCTCCAGAACCTGGAAGTAAATTGTTTTCCTCGGTCTGAGACCACCCTCAATGGCACCCCGTGCAACCTAAAAATGTGTTCTACAAATAACTCTCTGTCTCTTCCGCCGTGACTGCATGCGAGCAAGCTACAAAGTGGCACATCTTTGTTAGTAGGTCTACCACCACCATGATGGCTGTTTTCCCTTTGGACTTCGGCAGATCAGTCATAAAATCTATCGACACTGCCTCCCAAGGTCGTTCTGGTGTTGGTAGGGTTCTAATAGCCCCGCCGGCGCCCGCCTTTCCCCTTTGGCTCGCTGGCACTGCTCGCACCCTCTTACATACTCACGTACATCCTCCCTCACCTTAGGCCACCAAAATTCCCTGGTGACCAACCACATGGTTTTGTGTTGCCCAAAATGCCCCGCCGTGGGGCTGTCATGCAACTGCTTGAGTACCCTCCCCTTAAGTCTCCTTCAGGGATATACAGTGCCCCTTTGTAATACAAAGCTCCATTTCTTTCCTCGAAAACCTTGATTCCTCTCCCTCATCCCTAAGACCTCTGAGCTTATTCTGGGCGTATTCATCATTCTCTGTTTCTTCTACCAGTTCTCTTTGTCCCACCAATGCCGCCCCACACACCCAGCGGTCCTCTGGAATGACATGTCTCTCAACGGGTGCTCCCTCCCCTCCCAATATTCAGGTTTGCGTGAGAGAGCGTCCGCCCTAATGTTCTCTGGGCCTGGCACGTAACAAATCTCAAAGTTAAATTTGGAGAATTCCTGGGCCCATCTCACTTGCCGTTGGTTGAGCACTCGTGCCGTCCTCCAATACTCTAGGTTCTTGTGGTCAGTGCACACTTGCACCTTATGTTGTGCGCCAATTAGCAGGTGCCTCCATCTCCGGAACGCCTCATGAATGGCTAGTAGTTCTCGGTCATACACCGTGTAGTTCCTCTCGGATTTGTTCAGCTTTCGCGAAAAAAGCACACGGTCTCCACTCTGACTCCTCCTTCCCTGGCTGGAGAAGCACCGCCCCAACCGCTCTGTCTGATGCGTCAGTTTCCACTCTCATCGGTTTTTGTAAATCCACATGCAGGAGCTGTTGTTCCGAGGCGAAGGCCCTTTTAGTTCCTCAAATGCTTGCTCCGCCTCCTCCGTCCAAACGAACTTCTTCTTACTGCTGAGACAGTCCGTAATGGGCGCCGTCAGGTGGGCAAAGTTTGGGATGAACTTACGATAGAAGTTCCCAAACCCTAAAAACCTCTGCACATCCTTCCTTGTTTTGGGTGTTTTCCATTCCAGTACCGCCTGGACCTTGTCGGGATCCATGGCCAACCCCTTGTCAGACAGGCGATACCCCAGGAATTCCACCTCCTTGGTATGAAACTGACACTTCTCCAGTTTCACCCACAGCTGGTTGGCTTGCAGCCTGCTCAACACTTCTCTGACGTCTCTCACATGCTGCTCCTCATTCTCAGAATACACCAACACGTCGTCTAAGAAGGCCACACAATTCTTGTAAAGCAACGGCCCCAGGACGTGGTTCATAAACGATTGAAATGTTGCGGAGCCTGCTTGTAGACCGAAGGGCATAACTAAGTATTCAAATGCCCCTAAAGGGGTGAACATGGTGGTTTTCCATTCATCCCCCTTCCTTATTCGTATCAGGTTGTACGCCCCCCTTAGATCCAGCTTGGTAAAAATCTTTCCCTTCCGCACCCTTGTCAAAATGTCGTCAATCCTGGGCATCGGGAAGGCCACTGGTTCTGACACTGCATTTAAGGCCCTGAAGTCACACACCAGTCTCGGCTTGTTCGTGTTTTTTGTGGACAAAAACACTGGGCTGCCCCCCACCGCCCTGGACTCTCTGATGAACCCTCTCTTCAGGTTCTTGTCAATGAACTCTCTTAGCTCCTGCATCTCTCTGTCTGACATGGCGTACAGCTTGCCCACAGGGAGCTGTGCCCCAGGGAGCAAATTGATTTGACAGTCAAAGGCTCTATGCGGTGGTAGTTGGTCAGCTTCCCTTTCGCTGAAGACGTCGCGGAGATCTGCGTATTGTCGTGGTACCTTCACGTTCTCCGTCACTTCAGTCCCTGCTAGAGTGGCTTGGGCCCCTGCCAAAACCCTTCCCTCTTTGCAATGTTCTAAGCAATGTGCTGACCCAAAAGAAACCACTCTTTGATGCCAGCCCACCAGCGGATCATGTAACGCTAGCCAGCTCATCCCCAATATAATGGGAGCTCCTCCCAAGGTGGCCACATTAAATGCTATTAGTTCGGTGTGCCTTGCCACCTTCATTATCATTGGGACGGTCTGCAAGCTGACTTCTCCTCCCAACAGCTCCCTGCCATCGATCGTGGTTACCTGCAGGGGTTGCTTAAAGGGAGCGTCTGTATCTGGTGTTCAGCTGCAAACTCTTTGCTCATGAAATTGCAGGAGCTGCCTGAGTCCAACAGCGCCTTTATCTTTAGAGGGTGTCCGTTTGGCAGCTCTAGTGTCACTTCTATCACTAGGGCGGGTTTAGGAGGTTCTGGAGTGGGCACTTTCACTGCTCTTTGGCCTGGCTGCTGTGCCCCGACAATGGCAGCCAGGCGTTGGCTTTTAGTTGCTCCGGTATTTTTCCTCTCTTCCCTCCACAGCTCCCACCATCCCTTGCCATTCCTTCCTCTGGGGGCAGACTCTGGCAAAGTGCCCTGGCTGTTGGCAGAGATAGCATTTCCGGGCGCCTTTTCCATCCTTCTTTCCCCCTCACTGGGCTTTGAAACTGCGCGCGCGCGCTGTTCCGATTTCCATCGGCTCTGCCGGCGGGACAGTTGGCTCTGGAATGTCTGGAATGCGGAACTCCTTCCAACGTTCCCCTTCCCTTCCCGCCTCTCCAATGCTCTCGCCTCCTGGCGCGCTCCTATGGCCAGCGCTGATTTGGTCAGCTGGTCCATAGACTCCGCCCTGGGCGCCCGGGAAAGTTCATCTTTCACAGCCGAAGAAAGCCCTTCTTCAAAGAGCATTTGAATGGGTTCCGCCGATAAGTCCCACCCCAATCTGTGTATCAGCATGGTGAACTCAGTCCAGTACTCACGTACAGATCGGCTCCCCTGTTTGCAAGCCATTAACTGTCTGCGCACCACTCCCTTTTCAATATCGCTGGAAAACATCAGATCCATGGCGCGAAAGAACTTCATCGTGTCCTTTAGGACGTCACTATGCGCTGCCATCAGGGGTCTCACCCAGTCTCTCGCCCCCTTTTCAAGATGCCCAATCACAAAAGCCACTCGTGATTCCTCATCAGGAAATCATCAAACTGCAGATTGAGGGCATATTGCATTTCTGTCCGAAAGCTATGATAGTCTTTGGGCTCCCCCCCAAATTTCTGCACCAATCCTGGTACCTTTCTGGCGAGCTGGGTGGCTTTCTCCCTTTGTCTGCATCTTGAGCCCTCCTCTCCTCCAGCCTCGCCGTCTGCAGCGCCAGCTGGACCTCCAACACCCGGTACCTTTCTTCCAGGCTTGGACCCGCTCCAGCCCCTGCTTCTCCGGTTCCTGCTGGGTTGCTCATTATGCCTTCTCCTGCACAAGCTGCGTTCAAAGACTGTCGGAATGCTGTGATGGGATTATGAGCTGCTTGTGCGTAAAATCGTATTCCCTCAGAGTTTGTTCAAGTCCACAAACCTCTGTCTGTGACTGAGCCCCTCTGACATGGCTCCTCTAGTCACTAGAAGATTCCGACAGTGGTTGCTTTCGTAATCGCTTCCAACATAAAAGCTCCTTAACGGAAACACGTCTTCTGGACTCTCTGCGTGACAGTTTCCGGCGAGGAGTGGGTGTCGCTACAGGAGGTCCGGAAACCTCACCACTGTTTTCGCTGGAAGTATCTCTGAGCCATCCCCCAGCTCCCTTTCCCTCAGTTCAGCTTCTCTCCCCTGCTGGTTTCCTCTTCCGCTGCTGAGTCTCTTCCAACCTGTCTGAGCCCTTTCACCTCCCTCAGTTCAGCTTCTCTCCCCTTGCTGGTTCCCTCTTCAGCTGCTGAATCTCTTCCAACCTGTCTGAGTCCTTTCACCTCCCTTCCTTCCGATGGCAGTTCCCTGACAATTTAAGGCAAATGTTTTTAGTTGTACAAGCAGTACATTCTTGATGGGTTGCATTTCTTAATTTTGAACTTCTCTGCAATATTTAAATCCTTTTCCCAGCCCAAGGTAATATAAAACAAATGCAGGTCTTTTGTTGTCGCTGTTCAGTAGTGCAGCTTTGCCTTGTAGGTATTTAATCAATGATCAGCTATTTTGTATTCCCAACCACATTTGAACACAGTAAGTGTGCCATCCTAGCCATTAAGGCTAAGCAGCCGACGAGGTGTTTATCAGACGAAGCTGAGCTCGTTAAAACATGCCTCTCTCATCCAAAAGATCAAGCAAATTGGCATCGGCGAAACTATCCAGAACTGCTAGATGAGCAGCCTGTGATAGAGAAATTAGGTTGACTTGAGCATTCAGCCGAAAGATCAAACACCTCTCATTATCCATTTAATCTCTTTCTCTAATACTTTCTCCTCCTTACATCCATGTATAGTTCATTCTGGAAACACAATGAAATGAAGCAGATACAATGGGCTGTACCCAACTAATTCAAAATATACCCATTAAAATTAATGGGCCTAATTCAGCCATGTCTATTAATTTCAATGGGTCAATGATTAACATTGGCTACAACCTTGTATCTTGTGTTAGGACATAGCCTTGATTTACTATTAGGTGTTGGCAGTGCTCACATGCACACTGGGAAAAATTGCATTTCTCATCACATGGAAGCGTCTGTCAAAACAGAGAAGAGAAAAGAGAAGCTTGAATACTATTTATTACTTACGTCTGCTGGGTGTCTCATAAAATGAGTTCTCTAGTCTGGAGGGTGTACTAAAACATAATACAATAAAAAGTGTCATAGACTTTCAACATCCAGCTCAACATAAAACTCAAGTACAAAAAATCCAACATACTAAAATGCGGTATAAATCACAGGAGCTAAATCACTAATAAGGGCTAAAATAACATGACCTTAAAAGGCTGGAGTGTGTGTACCAGAAGGACAGCAATGGAGGGGAGATTCACTAGGGACAGCATTGCTTACCAGACCGAAAACAATGAAAAGGCCCTTTCTCTTATGGTTATTATTTAAACTTCAGATTGAGGAGGTGCATGTAGAAGGTGTCTCTGTCCTCACCATTAAAGGCTTGGGCTGGTAGGTATCCTACCTGGTACTGAAGTTTCTAGTTGTGTAGAATTTTATAGGTCAAAGCTGGCACTTGGAATTGGGCCCAAAATTGATTCCAGAATCAGTTAAGCCAAGAGAGAAGCAGAATATCCTGAAATGCTTAACAAAGAGCACTCAACAAAGCTTTACCTATTTCAATTACCTCTGGTCATAAAACAACACAGAATTAGCATACGGTGTTATTTTTGCAGCAAAACTCTATAAACCTTAATAGCTTGCCTTATTTTAGTACAATTGAATGTGCTTCTGTAAAATTTTGAAAATAAATCCGCTGTGAAACTGAGAGACACAATTTTGTTAAATGGTTAAATTTTGAAAGCTATCCAGCAGACCAGGTGTGGGTAATCTGTGGCCCTCTGGATGTCACTGGACTACCAACTCCATGAGCCCTGGTAAGCATGGCCAGTTGTCAGAGGATGGGAGTTGTAGTCTTGCAGCAATTGAGGGCCATGCATTAGCCATCCCTGCAATTGCTGTTGTTGGCCTCTTATCTGTTTTGAGAGACAGTGGAGTGCGTCTCTGGGGAAGTGATCTCTCCAGGGCACAAGCCTGGGCAGTGTGTATGGAGGTCCTGGGCTGCCCATAGAAAAATACCCCCCCCCGGCCTCATTGATGTGGTCCAAAGGAAAGCAGAGCAATATGCTTGGCTGCAGAAGTTGCTGGAAGGAGGCAAGTTGCCATCCAGCAGTCTTAGGGACTCCACTCTGGATTTGTGTAGGGTTTACTCCTTAGCTTTATTTTTCTCCCAAAGATATCCCACAAGGCAGCGGAGGTTTAGGATCAGTTTTTTCCTTCTTTTAGACTGGCTACCTTCGCAGGTTGACAAGCCCCAGCTGCCCCTAACTTCCCCCTGCAGCACATGCAGAAACCACTATTGGTCTTATCTGCTCAATCCACTGGAGCTTGTCTTTTGCATACACAGGAAGTCCCTAACATGCTGAGGGTTTGTGGCTCACCAGCTACCCTCACCTGGTTTACTAACCAATCAAAGCTATTACTGGGGTGTGGCTGCTGTTGCATGCTGACAGCTTCTAGGAGCCACAGGTGAAAGCTTAGGGTGGGGACCAAAGGTGGACAAACTGCCCCAGAAGCATGATATATCCTCCACCAGAGGTACTACCCCTCCCCTAACACCCCCAAAATCCCTGTAATAGAGACAAAAAAATCCCTGGTGATTAAAGTTTGGATGCTAGATTGTTTCTCATGCTGTGCAGAGCTACGCCTAATTATTTTATGTTTATATCTGATAGATGAAAGATAGTTCCTACTTAGAATTAGCTACATTTATGTTTTGGTTTGGATAGTTATTTTAGATTGCAAGCTTATATTGTTTCAGATTATAGTGAAAAGAGGACAATGGTTTTCTATTTTTAAAAATACTATTTTCTTAAATGTGGATGTTAAAAATGTAGATAGGAAAGGGTCAAGCAACTTAGTACAGTCATACCTCGGGTTAAAGTAGCTTCAGGATGAGTATTTTCGGGTTGCGCGCTGTGGTGACCTGGAAGTAACGGAGCGTGTTACTTCTGGGTTTCGCCACTCGCGCATGCGCAGACGTTCAAAATGACATCACACGCATGCGCGGAAGCGGCAAATCACAACGCGCAGACGCGGGTTGTGTTCACTTCAGGATGCGACCGGGGCCCCGGAACGTATCCCGTTTGCATCCAGAGGTACCACTGTAACTTCATAATTAACAAATGAGAACAGTTTAAATAAGCTCCTGAGCAGTTTAGCAGTGTGTGATGTTCCACCTTCTTTTTAAAGGTCTGAAGATGATCCATTCCTGCTCTATGCCACTCTTCACTCAGGAAGTCACTGTAGATTTGTTACCAGAGATCTATTACGTGATCATAAGGCTTGTCTCTCTGACAGTCTAACTCGACGGCTGTTCTTTAAATGGCAGCGGGGACATCAGATGGTGCTATCTGACTACATACCAGGAAAGAGGATAAAGTTTGAGGTATTTTTTATTTTAATGCACTCCTCCTGCTGATTTAGTTTTAGTAATGGAAATGGCTGCATGTGATCATCACAGAATAATAAACTGATTTAAAATATGATTAAATTATAACATCAATGGATTAAGTTGGTAATGTGGAGTGGGTGTAATATTTACTGGCCATCCCCCAAAATAATTTCTTTAGGATTTTATTCCCGTAGTACCTATTCTGCTTACCAAACATATCTGTGAATGTATGTTGGGAGATGTGCAACACATATATTTTTATAGGAAGTAAAAACTAACAGTTATTTCTCTTTCTTTACTTAACAGTCTGTATTGAATTTTGATACAATCGTGCAGACCACAGGTAACACATGGCATATTCCCTATGATGACAACGTCTTGGAAAGATCTTCTTATGAAGTGCCTACAAAATGGCTTTGTCTTCAACAGAAATAAAGGATGCATTTCTCCAAACAAAAATGTACTGTTGTCTCAAATAAAGCAGATACTATGTACCTATTATGGAATTCATGTTCTGATGCAAGAGACCCACATTTGATCGAACCCTGAAACTTATCAACTCATATTTTATTTCTATAACGTATTGTAAATGGTGGAGAATATTATATAGCTGATTTTAAAATAAAATAAAAAAAATCATCTTTGATTTTTGATTTCTGTGTTAAAAAAATATTCTTGATTTTCACCAATGTCTCTATTTCAGATGTTTTGTTCTGATGACTTCTTTACCAGAAACTCCACACAGGTGCTTCTCTGCACCAGTATTTCTCGGTTTATGATGAAGAAAGTGTTACCCACTTACTTTAGTAGTACTGCTCATATTCTCCCAAGTTCTCAGTTGGGCACCTCTGTGACTTTCTGCTGCTGCGGTTTTATTAGAGGCGGTGGAGGGCATTCGGGTTATATACATGCCATTTGCAGGGTCCCACCACATTTTACCATGAAGTGAGCCTCCAAGAAAGATACACCAGAGAAGGGTTGGTGGTTCGGTGCTTCTGATTTTCATCAATGGGGCGCAATGAACAGCCCACAGTACAATATAAGGAATCATTAAAAAGGGACTAATGGGATGCGGGTGGCACTGTGGGTTAAGCCACTGAGCCTAGGACTTGCTGATCAAAGGTCGGCGGTTCGAATCCCTATGACAGGGTGAGCTCCCGTTGCTCAGTCCCAGCTCCTGCCAACCTAGCAGTTCGAAAGCACATCAAAGTGCAAGTACAGTGGTGCCTCGCAAGACGAAATTAATTTGTTCCGCGAGTTTTGTTGTCTTGAGATTTTTTTCGTCTTGCGAAGCACGGTGTCGGGAAAGTTTTGGAAAAGCTTCAAAAATCACCAAAGTCTTTAAAAACCTCAAAAAGGCTACCACACCGCGTTCTATGAGTTGCTCCTCGAAGTCAAGTCGCAACTGTATTAACGGTGTTTAGAAAAAGGAAACAATCTTGCAAGACGTTTCCGTCTTGCGAAGCAAGCCCATAGGGAAAATCGTCTTGCGAAGCAGCTCAAAAAACAAAAAACCCTTTCGTCTAGCGAGTTTTTTTGTCTTGCGAGGCATTCGTCTTGCGAGGTACTACTGTAGATAAATAGGTACCTTCCTCTGGCGGGAAGGTAAACGGCGTTTCCATGTGCTGCTCTGGTTCGCCAGAAGCTGCTTAGTCCTGCTGGCCACATGACCTGGAAGCTGTATGCCGGCTCCCTCGGCCAATAAAGCGAGATGAGCGCCGCAACCCCAGAGTCGTCGGGTACCTTTACCTAAAAAGGGACTAACCTTAAATCTCGCCCTCAGTTACGTTCACTAAAATGGGCACGTACTATGACAGATATTTTGATGGACCCTTACACTGTGCAGACCTTAGAAACTGGGGGGGGGGGGGCTATTGCGAGGGAGGGGGCTTTTAATTCCCTGCACACGGAATAAAAGTTTTCCGCAGGCACAGGAGGCGCCCGCTTGAGCTTCGCGCATCCCTTCAGATAGCGGAGCCAAGGAGACGAAGGAAGCCTCGTCTTTGCGCATGCTCGAAAGCCTGGCGGTAGCCGTCGGAGGGGGGGGAGCTTTACGCTACTCTCCGGCCCGCTCGCTCCTGCTGCGCTTGCGCGTCGTAGACAATGACTAAGGAGCAAAAGCGGAGCGGAAGTGAGTGGGAGACTGCACTGAACCTTGGTCGGCTGCGCCTGCGCGGGAACCTGTGACCCCGGAAGTACTCCCCGTTGCCCGAACTGCTGCTCCTGGAAGCTGCCCCTTGCATGCTGTGTCTGCAGACGGTTCCCCCCCATCGCCGCTACGACCACTTTTCATCCTCCCGCTGACCATGTCCCGAGGCTCCAGCGCCGGCTTCGACCGGCATATCACGATCTTCTCCCCTGAGGGGCGCCTCTACCAAGTAGGTGAGTGTCTGGCAGGAACTGCCCCGTCACGGCCCAGGGCCACTCCTCTCTCCGGCCCCATCGGAGGAAAGGGGCAAGGGGAGGGGAGCAGCCGCCCGCTCCCGTGTACTGGGAAGAGGGAGCACGTGATGGATACGCGGGGCGCCTCTGCCTCTCCCGTAGCCGCTTGCAGAGGGAAAGTGCCAGGAACGCGGTAGTCATGGGTCTCCGTGCAAGGTGCCTGGGCATCTTGTGAAAGAAGGGCAGGACCGCGCAGCGAAAAAGCTGTCTTTGTTTAAAAGCGAAACCGAAAGGAGTCTGCTGCAAAGGAGAATGCACCCCAGTGCTTGCGAAGGGGGGCATTATCGCTAGCCTTTTCATGACGAAGTTGCACTTGCTGAATATTCCCCTCCCTTGACAACTATTGAAGTTTCAGCGCCCTTGATTTCTTTTGCATCAGATCACCCTGTTCGTTGCACATTTACGATAATTGGGACAGGGGATTGGAACGGGTTTCAGCTTAAAAAAACAAAAGTAAACTCCCAGATGCTTTTGCAAAACTGAAGTGAAGAGAGAGTGTGAATCTTATGATTAGCAGCAGGACACTCCAGCATTGCAAAGTTAACTCAAGTATCCGGTAGTATGGACAAAAACACGTAACTGTGGAATGAGAGAGGTGTAAAACTATAGAAATTTGGTTATGTCAAATGCTCTTTAGATCGAAATATGAAAAAAAACTAATGTATGCCCACAATGATTTCAAGCTGTGTAACACTAAAAGTACTACTGAAGATGAGTAATCAGAGTTTGCATTTGGGAGCTTCTATATATGCTATGTAGCATTGTTGTCAAATCTCCTGACTATGTTTAATGTACCATTTAGAGTATGCATTTAAGGCCATAAACCAGGGTGGCCTTACATCAGTAGCTGTTCGTGGAAAGGACTGTGCAGTTATTGTCACACAGAAGAAAGTACCTGTAAGTAGCAGTATCCTGAGCATCTGATTTTTTTTATTATTATTATACGCTTGGATAATTTGCTTCCTTGTTGATCCTTAATAATTAACTCCTCTGCTGTTTATTCTTGTTACTTAAAAGCACCAGAATTCTCTGGAGCATATAAGTAGGCTTATAAAGAATCAGACTTGGAATTCTTGGGAAAACACACTTCGGTAAGGCCACTCCCACTGCAGAGTATCGCAGTTCCAGAATGCACAGCCCCAAAGTGGGCACTGGGCATTGCTTTCTTAAATCTTTTGAATGGTGGCCAGATTGATCCTGGTGTCAATCAAAGCCTTATGAAGAGTTCAACCCACCATAGACTAACTCAGTCAACACTTCCCACTCCCACCCCAGTCTGGCTGTCACCAGCCAGGGTATTTAGGAGTGAAGAGAAAGAGAAGCTGGTTAGGATCATTCAGGCTTTCCATTGCACCATCTTATTTTCATCTTAATAGCAGTGGACAGTGATGTTATTTGAAGGCAGTGTTAGTGACAAATACACTTTTTAGTTCTTTTTGTTTTTTTAACGTGGAAACCTTTATTTGGCTGTGTAGAATATTGTTTAAAACTATTCTTTGGCTTTCTCCATTAGGACAAGCTACTGGATTCCAGCACAGTGACTCACTTATTCAGAATAACTGAAAACATTGGCTGCGTAATGACAGGAATGACAGGTATAAAAATTACCCACCTGGAGATCTACCGGATGGTGATGTGCAATGTTGATATGGAGTCAAAACATAATACTTCTTGTTAATATCCAGTGAATTGTTATGAGCCAGAGGCATTTGATTTAGTACTGCCTCTGAAAGTAAGCAAATCTTACCAATTTCTGAATGGGAAACTTTCTCGTAACCCTTTGCATATTGCACAGATATCCCTGGGAGGGGAGAGAGTGGTATAAATGATTTTATTAATCCAGTCTACGGGAGGTGTAGGAGAAATATTTCAAATTAGTTTTGTATTCAGATTTTAAGTACAGTCGTACCTTGGTTCTCGAATGGAATCCGTTCTGGAAATCTGTTTGACTTTCGAAAACCAAGGCATGCCTTCCAATTGGCTGCAGGAGCTTCCTGCACTCATTTGGAAGCTGCCTCAGACATTCGGGTTCCAAAGAACATTTGCAAATCTGAACACTCACTTCCAGGTTTGCAGCCTTCGGGAGCCAAAATGTTCGAGTCGCAAGGCGTTTGCAAACCAAGGTACGACTGTACAAGCAACTCACAATTTACATGGGAATTATGTTCCAAGGCACCACATGTTTAAGTGAAGTCACATATATTTGAAACGCCATTGAAAAAAGCCTACAAATACGCAATTCTGCCTCTTTTTGTAATGTTTTGGGGTCACTTCTGGGTTCGGTGTGATGTGTGTGTGCACTGTAGTGCACATATTGAACATGTGTAAATGGGGAGTTGCCTGTAGCTTTTTTCTTGAAACTACATTGACTACATGAAGCATGGGAATGATTTCAGTTCTTTATTTATGTCAGCTGACAGTAGGTCCCAGGTGCAGAGAGCCCGCTATGAGGCTGCGAACTGGAAGTATAAGTATGGCTATGACATTCCAGTGGACATGCTGTGTAAAAGGATTGCAGACATTTCTCAGGTCTACACACAAAATGCTGAAATGAGGCCTCTTGGTTGCTGTAAGTATATAAAATATAAACTGAAAGTAACATTTCAGAACTTTTGGGATGCTAAGGCTGAAATATTGTGCAGTGGGATACTGCTGAGAAGATGCTGCTTCTGCATGGAGCAAAGTGTGGTTCTCATGAATTTCTTTCGTGATGGTATTTGAAGGCAATCAATACAGAAACCTGGACAGCTTAAACCTCACAGGAAAATCCTGATCCCTTTGCCCAGGAGCAGTGTCTTCATCTCACCTACAACCTCATCCCACTGAAGAAGGGAGACAGTTTTTCAAACAGATACTTGTGCTTTGTATCTCTGAGGAAAATGGAACCAGGGTCATTCCAATTTGCCACTGGTTAGCTGCCTGTAAATTGCACAAAAACACAGATAAGATTACAAAGGCAATAATTTAATCTGCTGAAGCTGCTGCTTCAGCAGCTGAAGGTACAGTCTGCTTGTCAAATGAGCTGGTGAAAAGAATTTCATGCTGCATCTTAGTATGCATCAAAGGTTACTAGGTCCTGTGCTAGGTGGTTTTGCTCTAGATTTTGGGACCTACCAACTAGCATTATCTTAGTCTTCCCTTTATTCAGATTTGCCTTGAGATTATTAGGTTATGCAACAGATTTGATTATGTCTTGTGGCAATACTACATATTCTACACAATCTTCTAGTCGTGACTGATAGATATGTATTTGAAAACCATCAAATGAAATCAGTTTTAAGTATTTGAGCATTTTTAAAAAACACTGTATCCAACTTAGATTTTATGCTTGGAAGTACTTTCAGGGTGACCTGTTTACTGAGAAACTGATTTATTGGAAGTACCTGCTCTTAAGGAATCTGGTTTCAGGTAATATTGTTGCAAGACACTCTGAAAGAAAGTTACTTCCATGTAATGCAGTTACATTTTTCTCAATCTCTACTTTCGAATAATACTGGATTGCAATGCAAGATGCTTTGCAGATGTTCAAGAAGAGCTTGTTTTGGTTTTGTTCCTATCCCTTTTTTCAAATTTGGAAGTTGGCATTTTAAGAAAAACGTATTTTGAAAAAGGGAATATATTTCAAACTACGTTCTAAAATAGAAAACAGTTTCACCTTTAAAATTGGCATCATGGGGTTTAGGTCCTGCAAAATAAACAATCAAGTTTAAGAAGCAGGCGACCCTTTCTCTAGTGATTCAGTGCAGCGTTGGGCCTGCAGTCTAATGCAATTAATGAATTGTCTGTTGTGCAGATATAGGTGAGCCATTTGTTAATGAGTTGTGCGTGGAGGTCTGTGCATGGAGCCAAGGACTGGCCAAGCTAAAAATTAGTCCCCATCTGTCATTCTACCTCCCGACACCATTTCTGAAGGGAAAACCATCAGGAAACATGCCAACTTGGAAGCAGCGCCACTCAACACCCCCCCCCCAAGCATGTCTTTCCTGCAAAGAGGCTGAAAAGCCTGTACCATTAGTTACTGCTTGAAGGTGCCCCAAACCCTTAACAGGAGCAGTAATGAACCTTTCCCCTGTCCACTTTTGCTGCTCTGGAGCCTCCTTTTCTGAGGTGCTTTGACCACGCAGTTGCCAAACATCCCCCAGACTTCATCCGAACTCTGAAGCTCAGAGGTTCGTGAAAATCATCAAGCAACTGTCTGGACAATTCTCCACCTACCTCTGAGCTTTGGAGCTGGGATTAAGGCATGATACTTGCCAGAGATCTTGTTGCACACTGCCCATGGCAAGTGGAATGCTGCATGTTTTGCCTGTTAGAGTAATAAGAGATTGACTAGAATAGAATGAAGCCATTGAATGAGAAAGGAGAATTCCACTCATTTTAAAAAAACATACTTTTTTTTCCCCAAAGGCATGATTTTGATTGGCATTGATGAAGAAAACAATCCTCAGGTATACAAGTGTGATCCAGCAGGATACTACTGTGGTTTTAAGGCTACAGCTGCAGGAGTCAAACAGACAGAATCAACTAGCTTTCTTGAAAAGAAAGTGAAGAAAAAATTGGACTGGACATTTGAACAGACCGTGGAGGTAAGTCAAATGTACATCAAATTTTGTTTGGCATCAAAGAGGTGGACAGTCCTTATTTGAGTTTGATGGGGGACAGTGACATACATTCCCCCCTCTAGTTTTTCCGTATGGTTATTGTCAAAACGTCTGAGTTATAGTCAAAATGTTTGCTTAACCTTTCACAAGTCTGCTCTGCAGAAGCCAAAAAATCCCATCCCACCCCCAATTGCCTGTTTAATTTCATGCCTTAAGTTGCTAGTACTTTAATTTTAGTTGTGGCACTGGGGAGCAGAGGACAGTTGAAATCACTGGCTGAAAAGTACTTGTCCTAGTAAGTGGGGTGCCCACTGATAAAGGCCTAATTTTTCTTGCACATTCCTAGGTTACTTTCTGTAACAATGCCTGTGTAGTTGGCTTATTGGGTAGGCAGTAATGCTAAACCAGTGTCCTAGTAGGGAAGAGGGAATGGGGAAAGCTTTCCCCACATTTTTAATGTGTCTCCCCCTCCCACCATCCCTCATTCTCACATCTCTGTATTAGCATCACAATTGTTCCATGTGTGTATTGAGCAATAGATTGGTGGGGCTGATACTCGGTGACATTAAATTTTTAAGAATTTTGTGCTTCAGGTGTCCACTTCTTTCTAGACTGATCTTGCCTTCGTCAAAACACTTTGACAACATTATATTAGCAACATGCAACCTTCAAATAGTTTGACTTCACCCCACAAAGGCTCACTCCTTTCCTCAACTATAGTGGCTACTCTAAAATTGGAAAGTAAAGTTGCTGTACACTGCAGTGTCGGACTTTTAGCTTTGAACGTTGCTAGAAACACAGCTGTCTTAACAAATCCCAACTGCAAGGAATGACTGCTGGCATAGTCATATTCACAGCTTCTTCAACAGAGAAGTTTAAAGTGTGCTAGAACTCTGCAGCATTTGAAATATTCTTAATTCAGCTTTGCATGAACAGGGCATAAATTTAACAGAAGTGAAAGATAAGTTTTGAATGTCAAAGTGGTATTTTTAATTTTGATTTTATATGCTGTGTTTCTAATGTCTCCTATATATTTCAATTCTAGACAGCAATAACCTGCCTCTCTACTGTTTTGTCCATTGACTTCAAACCTTCTGAAATAGAAGTAGGAGTTGTCACACTTGATAATCCTAAATTCAGGTAAAGAGTGAATGCAGAACTTTCCCTTTTTGCTTATGCACAACTAAATTTCATTCTCTTAATGAGACAGTTTAGGTGTGACCTCATAGTTCCATCCAGTGTGGTCATCCTGTTGGCACAAGGGCTACTGCTTGCACAATGGATGTTCCACTGCATCCTCTCCCCCATGCACCTCCCAAATCTGTTTTGGTGGTTTTCCCAACCTTCCAGAACAGAATGGGGGGACTGGAAGAGGAGAGGGAGGGGAAGTCCTGTTGTGCAGGCAGAAGTGCTTGCGCGTATAGGATGACTTCCTTGAATAAACCCTCATCCCTTGCACTGGAGTTCTAGAGCGTTTCATTTTACTGTATACAATTGCATGGATAAGTACACGTGCCTGTAACTGCTATTTGGGATGTGGCCAAGTACTTGAGGAGCTGCTGTGTTCCTTGCATATTTCACTTCCTATGGCATGCATTGTTTATACACGCTGCTAAATTCACCCACTGGCTCAGAACTGGAGTATAACAGGGTTTAAAGAGATTATTAGCATCCCTGAATTAGCAGCGGGAGATTGTCAAGAGAAAAGTGTTGCAATGCCAGCATCATGAGTGGTAACAATATAAGGGCATCCGTCGAGAGAATCTGCAGCCTTGAACCAGGCATAGCATGGTGCTCCATTAACAGAAACACCAGCACTTCCCCCTGTTTTAATTTATTATCCTTGGTACACAGAACTGACTCCTTACTGTTAACACTATCTTGGTGTATTGAACACTATTCACTAAGAGCAGGCATCCCCAACCTGCGGCACTCCAGATGTTTTGGCCTACAACTCCCATGATCCCTAGCTAACAGGACCAGTGGTCAGGGATGATGGAAATTGTAGTCCAAAACATCTGGAGGGCCGAAGGTTGGGGATGCCTGACTAAGAGCAAGAAAAAAGTGGCTCATTAGTGCTTTGAAGGGCGGCTGTTTTCACAGCTTAGTAGAAGAAGAGGAGGAGTTTGAATTTGATATCCCGCTTTATCACTACCTGAAGGAGTCTCAAAGCGGCTAACATTCTCCTTTCCCTTCCTCCCCCACAACAAACACACTGTGACGTGAGTGGGGCTGAGAGACTTCAAAGAAGTGTGACTGGCCCAAGGTCACCCAGCAGCTGCATGTGGAGGAGCGGAGACACGAACCCGGTTCCCCAGATTGCGAGTCTTTCGCTCTTAACCACTACACCACACTGGCTCTCACACTTAGACAGCCATAATTTGTGGCTGCCACTGGCCTTGCTTCTCTCCTGTCTTGGGGTAGAGCAGGATCTCAGTAGAAATCCCACTGGGCTTCAGAGATGCTTGGAAGTAGCAAGTCTCCTGCTTCATAGCACTATGAAGCCCAGTGCAGTTGCAGGCATAAGCTGCTGTCCTTCTCTCAGACTTGGGATATTGGTAAGAGGGCTCATCCTTGTGATTGTGCTAGGCTTCAGGAAAGCTTGGCAGCTGCTGTTTCCAAAACTCCTGTGAAGCAAACCACAAAGCTAGAGACTAAACCAAAAGAAACAAAACAAGTAAAACCTCAGAGGTACCACAAAACGGTTTTATAAAATGTGCATGTTTTGATGAAGGCCTTCAAGAGCACAAAAATACATTTCTTATTATGAAAACATTTCTCAACTGAATTTTCTAATTATGTATTTAATAGTGCTATTTGAGGCGCAAAATTAATAGTTTCCATTGTTTTCACTCCTCCTTTAGGATCCTTACAGAAGCAGAGATTGATACACACCTTGTCGCTTTAGCAGAGAGAGATTAGCTCTATTTAGAATTCCTAATTCTGTGACTTCGGGCCAGAATGTCTGGTGAAAACCAACTTGTTGATGGCTCTGGATTATGGGCTGAAAATGGAATGCTCACTATCTGATGTATTTTACTCTGTACGAATAAAATGGTGGTTTTGGAAAGCTGTGTCATTTCTTCATTGCTCAACAATTAACCTTCTTACATCAGTTGCTGTGTTTTGATTTACAGTGTTATAGCTATGAGCAGTTCCACAGTAACCACAAGTAACAGCTTTGAAAAAGTACTTTCAGAGATAACTGGGAGTGAATGTACTATGTTTAAATCTGCCTGCTGCAGAGTAATGGCTTTACTGTTGGACATTAGGCAGGAAAGCTTGTAACTTTTCCAGAGCTAGCAATAAAGAACTCAAAAGAACAATTCTATCTCTGTCTACTCAGAAATAAGCCTCACTGAGTTAAGGTGTTTTGTTTTGTTTTGTTTTGCTTTCTTTTCTAATTTTAAATGTTAAAATCTTCCAAATAAGAGTGACATGCAAAATATAATAATAAAAATGTGAACCTTTATGTATAATAAGTGTTCAATAAACCCATAGTTGGTTGTATTAAAATCTGAATTAAGAGATAAGGTTCTGAGCTTTTCAGGGAATCATCAAAGTAATTAACAGGTTCTTCCTTGAGGAATGAACGTACAGTACTATATTTTAATGGTTTGTATTTTATTTGTGAGTTTCCACTGCTATCTTGCATTTCCAAAGGAAAATCCTTAGAAAATTGTTCCATCCTGGTACAAGTCTGTAACTGGAGATATTTACAGTACTCAAGGCAAAATAGGATGCATTAAATATTTTCTATTACAATTTTAGGACTGCAGTGAACTGCAATAAAAGGTTTCACACCACACCTTCACCCCTAAACTGCCTTCATTCTTTTTTTAACCATGTAGCTTTAGGAAGTTCTGTATAATGTGAGAATCGCCACATTACAAAATTTGGTCCTATTAAAGGATTTAATTTGCTGACCCTGTCAAGTTTCACTGACATGAACCTTCACAGCTACCAGTTTTTATTACCATTTTACGGCAAGTCTTCTTTTCAAAGCCACTTAATGCAAATCTGTCAAGGTGTGGTTGCTTTTGAATCTTTGAGAAATGTATGATATGAACTATGTTGACTGACAGGAAACCAAACAGACACTACAGTTTTATACTTCACTAAAAACATATATAGAAGTCTAGACTGCTATAAAGCTAATAAGTTCTCAGTGTTTCAGATGCGTGGCATGAATTTGGTTTCAGAATATACAAAAGCAAGTTCTGTAGCACCTTAAAAGCCGAACAAATTTAACAAGTCTTAAAACTTTCCAGTTACCAATATGTAACCATATTTGATTACTGTTAATAAGGCAAATATGACAACTTCAAATGAATAACATGTATGAATCACAAATGGAGCTATCTTATAACCACAAGAGGCTTAACTCAGAATAACCCTGCAGTTTATTCATACCTTTATTCCAAATGGACCCAAATAATTAAAACCATAATTTCCCCTTGTTTATTTTGTCAAGTGACTTAAGTTTTGCCATATCAGTACTGTTTTCCATGTTTTCTTTAGTCATCCAATAGATTCTCCCCCCGCCCCCGTTTTTGCTTTAATTGCTTTCCAATTCTCTTTAGCTGGACCAGGAGGCCCCCATCTTTGTTATCGCAGCTGCTATTTCTTAACAAAAAGCGGTTTTTAAGGAAGTCCACCATTTTTATGAACAGCACAGTTCTCAAGTTTACTTGTGTGTTAAAAAAACCTATAAATCATGTTAATAAGTGAGTCTTTAAATTAGTGGATGGCACAATCCTACTTTGAAGTAAGTATATTGATTGCTAAGGGGCTTACCGTACTCTCAAGAGAATAGGTTTGCAGTATCACTGTCCCGTCCCGCTCCCCCCCCCCAGCCCAGTTTGTCTGTGATATACCCAAGGATACTGTTCAATCCTAAAACAGTAATTTAAGTATATGCAATTTTACCAAAGCTAATCACCCCATCCTTGTTTTTTGTTTTGCCCAGTTAATATTGCTTTCTTTTAGTACTAGGATAGGTAGCAACCATAATTTTCTTTCTATGCTGGCTTTTCCCAAGTGTATTTTGTTAAAGCTCTTGACTTCTACAGTCCTGTTACACGTTATTCCAGCAGCAATGTATTTCTAAACTGCATTCAGAACATGAAACAACTGGCCTGTTATCCAGGTATTCATTTCCACTCCTTTTGCCTTCTTCCTCCACTTCTTAATCTGCTATTGTAACAGCTTGAGGCGATTGTGAGCTACACTGTTACCTGTGTATCAAGAGATGCTGAAGTAGAAATAACCCTTCGTCCTAAGTGAACAGTGCACAGTTCTAATATTTGATGAGCAATACAAAAACCTGAAATATGAAGTGTATTGCTCAGCATTATCTGGGCTTCTTCACACACTTGTTTAATGTGAACAGTACTGTAAGCTTCCTGTACCTCCACTAATTCTCTGTTCTCCAAATGACGTTCTGTAAATCACCCTTTGTTTGACACCCATATAGAATTCACAAGTGGCAATTAAATGTTGCTGTCCAACCAGTTTATCTAGTGTGTAGCTTGGTGTGTGCATAAAATGATGAAAGCTGCTCATTTTGCTGACCTTAGCCTTCATAATTCTGCTCAGAACAGTTTGCTTTTTGAGAGGACTCAAAAGAATTTTTTTTAAAAAAATCCTAGGAGTCAAAGAGCAGCATTAACCAGTCTGGAAGAATGTTTTCCATTAAAAATCCAGTGTATATGAAACTCAACCTAGTTTTGCAATTCTTTGCCTACTTATTGAGCAGCAATAACCCATGGTTAAATGTTGCATTTCTGATTAGAGCCTGGAGGGAATTCCCACGTTAACTTTGTCTAAGCGTTCCTGTCCTAATCATGAGCTTTGGGCATAAAGTCTGCAGTTAGGCTAGAACACACAGGTTTAGCCTGTTTAGAAGGAAGCAACACTGTTGATTTGAAACTTAGCTCAGTTTTGCAAGTAGCACAACTCGGTTTTTATTCATTAAAGTACTTGCTGTAACAGTGGTTTTTTGGGGGGCCATACTATCCCTAATTAAAGGGATGCGGGTGGTGCTGTGGGTTAAACCACAGAGCCTAGGACTTGCCGATCCGAAGGTCGGCGGTTCGAATCCCCGCGACGGGGTGAGCTCCCGTTGCTCGGTCCCTGCTCCTGCCAACCTAGCAGTTCGAAAGCACATCAAAGTGCAAGTAGATAAATAGGTACCGTTCCGGCGGGAAGGTAAACGGCGTTTCCGTGTGCTGCTCTGGTTTGCCAGAAGCGGCTTAGTCATGCTGGCCACATGACTCGGAAGCTGTACACCGGCTTCCTCGGCCAATAAAGCGAGATGAGCGCTGCAACCCCAGAGTTGGTCACGACTGGACCTAATGGTCAGGGGTCCCTTTACCTTTACCTTTACTATCCCTAAGTAATAGTTTTCTCTTGCAGCATAAAGGGAGCCTAGTTGGGTTTTAGGGCCCCATAGTGTGCTATAATTCATTCTACAGTATATGTGAAAATACAGGGTTTTATGCAACAAAGTCCATTAGTGAAAGGCCTTCCACATGCACAACAGGACTTCCTTACCCTCCATGTCCCCACAAACCTGTTCTGGGTTCCCCTATAACCTTCTGGAGCAGATATTGGAGTTGTGGGGGGCAAGCTAGAAAATAAAGGGGAGTCCTGCTGTTACATGTGGAATTCCATGCACTAATGGGATGGCTTCATTAGAAACAACTCGTAGCTACTGTCATACCTTTTAAAATTCTGTTGCAATGCTGTGGGATTGTAAACACATTCATTAACCTAATATGTTTTATGAATGTACTACTTGTGCATACTTAAATCTTCATGCCAGTATGAAAAGACCACTCTTGTTTGTCTCCAGCCTTAAATGGAGCTGAGTCCTGCCTGTGCTGCAATAAACTGCTGCATCTCATATTTCGTACACCCACACTGTGGCCTCTATTTGGACAAAAGGAAACCAAATTTTAATCAAGCAATCAAAGCCAACTTATAAACAAGACTTCTGCCAGTTTTCACTTTACATCCAGGCTCTTAGCACATCTGGGAAAGACATAGGCCTTTCTTACTGTTCTTGAGTCGATGATAGCAGTGTCCACAACTGTAATGGAAATGACAAATAATATTTGTCTCTTGTTCCGTTCTCTCATCTCTGCCATGATTTAAGGCAAGGGATGGGGAACATGCATCATGTTGTTAGACTACAGCTCCTATTATTGCTCACCATTGCTCCTGTTGGCTGGAGCTGATGGAATCCAAAGAGCCACAAGTTCCCAAAATTGAACAGGTACCGGTAATTTACTGTGGCTTAGCAAGAAGCTCAAGGAAAGGCTGTGGGCAGTAAAAGCCAACATGGTGCCCACCAAATGTTGGATTCCAACTCCCATCAGCCCCAGCCAGCACGGCCCATGGTCAGGAAGGATGGGAGTTGTAGTCTTACACAACATCTGGGTTTTTTTTATAAGATATTTATTAAGATTTTCAGAATATTACAAGACAAAAAAAAGAAAAAAGAAAAAATACAAAGTAAAAATAGTTAAAAACAATTCCTTCCTTCCATTACTTATCCTTCATTTGCTTATTTCCAGGACCTCCTCACACCTCCCTTTTTTGTATTCCAGTTCAGTTATTAGTTCAACAAATCCCTCCTCTCTGTATGTATCCTACTCATTAATCATAAAATATTGTAATTTTAGATTTTTACCTGTTAATAAACCATTTTTTCATATTCCCTTATAACATTTCAGCTAAAGACCACTTAGTTTCTATCCAACATCATTCTAACATTCATTAATTTTGCAATATTTCTGTAGATAGTCTTTAAACTTTTTCCAATCTTCTTCCATCGACTCTTCTCCCTGGTCTCGGATTCTGCCAGTCATTTCCGCCAATTCCATATAGTCCATCACCTTCATCTGCCATTCTTCCAAGGTGGGTAGATCTTGTGTCTTCCAACACTTTGCAATGAGAATTCTTGCTGCTGTTGTGGCATACATAAAAAAAGTTCTGTCCTTCTTTGGCACCAATTGGCCGACTATGCCTAGGAGAAAGGCCTCTGGTTTCTTCAAGAAGGTATAT